GCCACTATCTTCTTAGTACTTTTGACAGATGTCAGTCACGACATGACTATTGCGATTGTCGATTCAAGCTGATAGCTAAGACAAAATAAATAGATTACTGCAAGAGAAAGCTGGAAGAGATTTTCCGGCTTCGCTTGTGTAACATGGAAGCCACGATCTTTCCAGTCTCGTGGAGTAGTTGTTCCTTCCATTGTTTTTGAAACAATGTTGCAATGTATACAAAATGTTGTTCCTGTTTGTCTAATTTCCTCCACTCGCCAATCAAGCGCGCAACCTCACATTGCAATACCGTTTTTCAACTAGTGGCATGATTCCAGAACCCATTGTTGGTGCAATTAATTAGAAGGGTAATGACGCGTTTAATCAAAAGCGAACCACTTCCTTCTCTGTACAATAACCATTATGATAAAAGCGGGAAGCTAAGCCAAGGATGTTAGCACGTAGCGGATCACTTAAAAAATAGGTCAACTATAGAGTCCTTTGTGGAATTGTTCTGTCCATGTCGCCACTAAGAGTATAATTTGTTAAATTTATTCTTTTATTCAATGTTTCAAACATTGATAAACAATACCGATTTTACCTCACGGACACATATTACAAGCAATTTTAATTTCTGGCGTTGCTTGTCCATGGACATTTTTTTTGAGTCACGTGAAGTTGTCGTAATTTGGCAGTCATAGAAAATTGTTGAAATGAATGCTAAGGGTTGTTCTTGTTTTTTCAGTTTGGTCGATAGTAGAAACCACGTCATCGTGGGTTTTGAACGAATGAGCAAACTAAAAAGGAAATTACTTTAGCGCACAAAACTTCGCAGGGAGAGCACAGGAATCACGTCTAAAATAGCCTTGGATTGTCCTTGAGAAAATTCAGGACTCAAATTGGAGTAACGAACATTAGAGATAAATGCACAATACAGCGAACTAAAACAATCATTTGAACCTCAGAGGATAAAGCACATTTAATTCTAAAACAAGCTCATTGCATTTACCCTCTACAAAGGTAAAGTAGGCTTATATAGAAAATATATTAAGAGTAGATAGGAAAAGAATTGTATAAGCTTCACCCCGATAATAAAATTTTGAGTTTCTCTTTCCTTGATAACGTGATTACATAGTAGAGAGACAGACCGTTAGAGAGTAAACCTTTGAAGGTAAGGTTACAAAGATTGTCTCTTTAATGGTTGATACAGACCATACTTTCGCGTGGGCTTTTATGTGTCTCTTTCTCCAAAGCAAGAAGTGAAAGGAAACAGAGAGATTTGATTGAACGCTTGATTTCATACTGCCTGTCCTATTTTTTATAGTAGCCGCATCCCAAGACTTAGTATTCCAAAGTAACGTTGATCAAGTAGTTGAAGGGTTTTGTTGTAGGAATATCAACATTTCACACATTCAACAAACATATCAATTTTATTATTTGCAACAAAGAAGACTGTAGGAGGATCCAATCTGAGAGCTGTAGGTTTGATTCGAGATGCAACAAAAACGAATAAAATGGTTTTGAATTTCTTCTGCAGTTTTGGCATCATTAGGCCAGCACTGAACGCGACTTAACTTGATCGATCCAAACATCTTAATATCAGGCAAGCCGCTACATACATACATACATAAATATTATCCAGAGGGTACTTGTGATTGGTCTCTTTTACTTATTTCAGATAGATTCAACCTCCAAAGAACTGTAGCCCGATATAATCGGCTCAGGACTAAAAAAAAAACGGATGCGGAAAAACATGGTAGATATTTATTGTAAATAAAAAGGGAGAGAGTAGGTTTGACAATCGGCAGAATTGACCCTAAAAAATAATAAAAAGAAACAAAACAACCCTTAGTTGTGGATATTTGCCAAATGAAGAGCAGATCCACAGATTATCTTCACAGCATATCTTATGAGAGTTAAAAGATCCCAGCGCGAAGAAAGTTCTGCTCACAATGTTGTTTTTCCTTCCGTTCCGTCCTCAAGCTAAACAACTGACTCCTTAAAAATGTGAGCCCCAGTCATTGCCTTCTTGCAAGAACAATCAAAACCTAGTTTAATTTTTAATCCTGGAACGATTTTAACGTGAATAAAACTGTTAGATTACTACGTAATAGCAAAATCTCACTGATAGCAATGCATAAAATATATATGTCTCGAAAGCGAATTTGAAATGAATTGAAGCATGACCTTTTCCATAATGTGTTTAAAGCTTGGCCTCGCAATAGGTCAGATAAGAAGTACGGTACTTCTTATCTTTCACTCGCAATTCTGAGCCTTCAAATAAATCTGGAAATCGTTTTCACTTAGTTGACAACGAGGAACGACGCACAAACTTACCTGTATCGAGAAGATTTTGATTTCAAACGATACACGAGGCGTATCTGTTTCCCCGACACTTTGTTCAACTTCGATTAACGCGTTTTCAGTGGTTTTTTTTATTTGTTAATCATAAGACTCTTACTCAATAGAAGGGAGGTTTAGCGGTTACATTATGGTTTTTTCTCATCATAACCGTCAATAGAGGCACTTATTGGGTTCGACAATCGTCTATTCTAGGTTCGTCTCGTAGGTCAAATGAGGTGAACCGTAAGCGACCACGAACACAATGGACGTGGTAGCTCTGCAACAATTTTAAAATAATTTAGAAGAATACAAAAGACAACCGGGCCAAGTTGATTAAAACTCAATAGGCTAACCACGGTTATCTTGATCTTTTATTAAATTTTGTAACTTTTCAGAAAGTTTTGCTTACGATGTCGTTTTTACTTCGCTTCTCCTTAAGCTGCAATAAAACTTCTCAAAATGTGAGCCTTAATGATTGTCCTCCGTTACAAGAGTAATTGAAAGCGAGTTTAATTTTCAATCCTGGAGCGTTTTCTACACACTTCTATCGATGGGAAGCTTCCTTAAAACGAAGCCTTTCCATTCGCCTGACTTTTTCTCAGCATTCGATAGAAAAACTTTTTTTAAAATTTAAATTAAAAGGCTGTGTTTTCAGTAGTTTTTCTCTTTGTTAATCAAAGAGACGTAATCAACGGAAGGGAAATGACTTAGCGGCCGGAAGGAAGAGGGATTAAATGATAATTTTTCCTCATTTTACTTCTGTGATTCTTGACTGACATTTTTATTACAAGTTAATTTGGTTTTATCGACTGAGTTTTCAATTACGACTGCGTATAAATGAAGTTTGTAAGTTACGTGTGTGTACGGCTATTAGTTGCTTCGGTTGAACACGAATAAACCGCACTATCGGTGCTGCCTAATATCTAAAAACAAGAATGACAGACACAAGTTCAAATAATTTCGACAAAACGGAAATTATTTTTTTTATCAATTTTAGCCGAAGAAGAATCACGTACTAAGCAAATATAGGAATAACAAATTCTTGCTCTAAGCAATGCATACTTTGGAGAAGTTTGTGTCTCAATGTACTCAATACAGAAAAGCATTCCTGATATAAACTAGAAAAGAATAACCAATATTCGGCCGTAGTTCTCCCAAAATCATTAGTAAAGGAGCTCATTGTAATTGCTATACATCCAGCTTAAATAATTGGATATTTTTCCCCAGAGCTCATCAGTTTGATCATTCCCAGTAACTTATGAAGAAAATTAACGCGCACCACTTACAAAAAAAAATCAACAGTTAACGAAATGAAGTCGACATTTAAATTACGGAAAAAAGAATTCCGAATTCATTGCAATGGGAGGCATTCTTGTCCGCATGCTCGGTCATTCTCAGCCATCTTTTATCCCTGGTTCATATGCCACCAAAATGTTTCTGAATTTAATACTCACTCAGTCTTGCAGCCGAAGCTATAGAACAAACTGATGAAATCAGTTTCTCCAATTCGTTTTCTTAATGACATTTTCTTTCTGTGAAACGTGATCCTTTTGAGTTGAGTAACAATGCTGTCCTCTTCGACACGGTACAAATAATTTCAATGGAATTTCTCTCATTACATTCTCGTTCCTGTTCTATCTACATTTACCACGATTCTGCTTCGCAGATTCTCACTGATGGATCTGTACTCTAATTTTCAAGGAAAATTTCAATGAAAGCCGGAAGATACTGTCGATAGAATGTAATTCTGTCCACCAAACCTATTGTGTGCGGCTATGCGATTCAACTGATCTATGCTTCACAAAGAACGGATATTTCCAGAGCTTTTAAGAGGAAACCGTTTTAACTGTCATGAAATTGAGGTCACCTTGTAGGCAAAGGAGTGATACTACAGCCGAGTGGCTTTCCTTTGCAGCTTCTTGCAAAGCCGTCTAACCAAAATATCCAACTCCATTTAGCGATACACCACGTTTGAGAATTTTCTGGACATTTTCGCAGTCTCCAAGTTGGCAGAATAATTGTGACGATTTGATTGCATAATCATTATAATTTCTATCGGCACGAAGGCACGGATACAGACTTACTGACATCGCTAAAGAGTATTCGTCTTGATTAATTTCTCGAAGAAAACCCCCCCTGCATAGGAAATTCTCATTACGTCAACGAGAAGCAAAACAAAGAGTATCTCCGCCATTTCTCACATTTATAACCCATCAAGCATTTCGTTCGTAACGGTCCTATCAAAGTCAACCACACTCACCCACCCGTCCCGATTAGGCGTCTTAAGCTTACAATAATCGTGGATTAGTGAAGTACGTTCGATCCAGCTTGAAAATGGATCTTTTTGACTCAGCGTAGAAAAATCCAGTGCGTAGTAAATCATTTCATTTGATCAAATGTCATCTGTATAAATCCTGATCTAGTCGTATTTATCAAAACACATGTAATCATAACAAAACTACTACCTATATACCGCAATTTGATAATATATATATATAATATAGATATACTACAGACTAATATAGAATCCACGCAATAGACCTCACATTCACCTATTGCATATAGTTTTAAAACATTTATAGTACACAAACACAATTTCATTGGTACATAAAATACAGAATTTTATTTTACACAATACATAGAATTCACAATATAGACTTATCAGATATAGTCTTGATGCACTCATAGTATTTTCTAACATTTGGTGGGTGGATGGGTAGGTAGGTCACGGAATATACTATAGTAAACACCATATATAATATATAGATCATTACACGATATTCACAGTATTTTTACAATTCTCACAATTATTTTTACAATGATTAGATACACCCTTAGTTTTAGTTTGTTTTAATCATTTTGTTATCGTGTCCCTGTAACCTGCTTGTGGCTATCTAGAAGACTTAGACACTTAAATAAAGTTGTTGATTGATTGATTTGCAATTTATCAACATATCTTTCCATGGCATCCAGACCGAAGTGAATCAACACCGCGCCGGGGATCTCGCATGAAATCTGGGCGAGTGGTGAGCCTGTCCAAGATGGCTCCTAAATCATGACATCGCACAGCATCCATTTATCTTTTACCAGGCTCCAAAATAGCATATGCACCCTAGGCCTGACTCACTCACGTTTTCCCGCACTTAAGACAGTTTACATGTAAGGTGAGTTCCTATTGGCTCCTACCGATAGTTAATTTTGTTCTTAACGGCCATTTTGGTTTAACGACACTCGATCAATCAAAGATTGCTTAAAAAGAAAATTCACATTTTCTTATTTTGGCACCGAGAACAAGTTACAGGTAACTAGGAAATTACGCCTAAAACTCGGTAAGTGTGAAGAAAAAAAGGAACACGAAGCTTAAGTACTGAACCTTAAGGCCTTGCGAACTTTATGAACTCAACTCTGGGAATATTTGTGTTATTTTCAATTAGAACCTAGCATAAAACCGAATACTGTTTATCTTATCAAAGGGCGTGTTTATTGACACACGCATAGCTTTCACATAAAAGAATTGAATTGAACCCTTTCCACTCCAACATCAGTATGCATATTCTCCATACTGGTCCCCATACATTCCCTAAGTTGCTGATGAGTAGAATTTGGCTCATAATCCAGAGCTTCTCTAGTTTATGACCATTTCCTTTATTTTCATTACCTGAATGTTTGATTCATGGGTGATGTTATAAGGAAAAATTGGATCCTAGTCACTATTAGAGGTTGAGGGAGAGAAGAGAAGAGAAATTGTTGTTCACGAGTACGGATAGTTATATTATTTTATTTTTTTTGGACGATCTAGAGCCTGGGAATCTTGTAAAGTAGGTGAGGAAGATTCTCGTCCGAGGTCGGTAGGTATATCGAATGCTCTCGCATAGCACAGCACAGACATACAACGGATGTAAGAAATCACTTCAACTTTCCCTCTATCAGCATGCACCGATTACATTGAAGATGTGAGTCTTTAACCATGTGATGTAATCCTTTTGGTCAGCGCCACGAGTCGAGGTATGAAGCTGGTCAAATGGATCGCAGGCTCGGGAAAAGATTCGAAACGAATGCTTTCGATCATGTTCGATTTTATCCGAGTGTCACAAGAATTTAATTGCGAAATGTAGAACGCACCCATTTCAGAAATCCGTAAATATTGCCACAAGGATCACATTCCCGAGGCTAAAATTTAAACAGTTGATAACGAAAAAAAAAGCATTTAAATTGCCAAGCCATACCACGCAATTTCCACCGAAGTTTTCACGTTCAAAGAATATCAACCTGACGGATTCCTGTGCCATTTTCTCCGGAAAGCTGTGCGAGACAGAACGAAAAGAATTAATACGATCACAAAGCATAACCTCCTTTATGCTATGTTTGCCCTTTGTGTCAATTTCCATAAGGAAAGCTGTGAACGACATTCCAGGAGAGAAATCAGGGCTGAAATACCCGCAGCCACAACAATCTTTGCTCTCCATGAATCATTCTGTCCACCAAAACTATTGTGTGTGTTCATGCGATTCAACTGATCCACGCTTCATAAGGAATGAATATTTTAAGAGTTTTTAAGGGGAAACCGTTCTGACTGCTATGAAGTACTTAGTTAGTTCAGTATAATTTGGTCATTCGTTAATATTTAGCATGTAGTCACTGTATGAATTAAAAGTCCGAAGTTATTTTGGTTTAAGCTCTCGCTACGAGTTTCCAAATTAACTGTCTTGTCTATCTTCCTTCAGTACAAGTGCTTAGCTTGTCTACTGATCTTGCTTTAGATCCACACGAAAGTTCTTGTTTTAGCTGACACAGTCAAAGATGGATTCAGTTGATCGGAAGCATTCAGTATACATTGTTGTGCATGTGTGAGATTCTTGTAAAAGTGTTTGGGTTAGTGATCTAACAACAAATGTTTAATATTCAAGGTCAGTCAGCTAGCATGGCCACTTATGCCTATACCGATAGTGAATATATAAGCATGTACTTTAAAGTTCACATAGTGGTTAGTAAGAAGTAAAAGAGTGAGATTCAGCCGGTGAGAATCAAAGTGTGAGAATCAGAGAGAGATCAATCAGAGTTACAGTCAGAGTGAAGTAAAATTGATGTAAGTAGAATTGTATATTAGAGAACAGAGAGATTAGAAAGGACTGAGAAACGACAGGTAGTCTAGTGTTAACTACTGAGTTGAAAACATAAATTCGCCACCGTAATGAGTGAAAAGGCTGACGTTTCGAGCGTTAGCCCTTCGTTGGATCGCTCTGACGAAGGACTAACGCTCGAAACGTCAGCCTTTTCACTCCACGGTGACCAATTAACGTTTTCAACTCACTTGTTACTCTCCCACCGACGCAGCACCACAGTTTTCTTAGAAACTTACCTCCTTCACTGACAAAAGACAGACCGAGAGTCCTTGGTGCCTTTCGTAAAAGGGTGTTGAGGTCTGCAGCTAGTTTTACCGTCACTGCAACCCAACATAACAATAAAGTCCGGGTAGAAAAACACCAAAGAGATGCTAGCGAACCAAAGCGGACAACGACGGTTTAGGAAGGTGAAGCCGGATTGACAGGAATAGAAAATGAAGAAATGAATAATTCAAACTAAATTTTACAAGATACTAGCTGCCAAGAATATCTCAGCCTTTCAAGGATCAAAGCTGTTAACATAATTCTAATGGTGGTGGACACTCAGGTATCTTTCCAAGCACAAAACTGTCCGCCCTGAAGGCCTGCATATCTTCTTCACTACAACTCAAAGGTACAGTTGTTGACTGTTCCATTGATGAGGTGGCTTCTGGAGCAGATCTCTGTAGAGAGAACAAAAATCAAAACAAGTTCAAGCCCGTTATTCCCACTGCATTAAGTCTTCTTTCCCCAAATTTCATGTCGCAAAAAAACTCGCCAATTTGATTCATAAACTTTCGATTCACTACATGAATATGTAATTTCTGCTAAAAGTTATTTAGCCATAGTTATTACCAAACAATGGCATTTTATTCGTACAGCAGTGAATACGAAACAGCACAAAAATCTCTGGTCTTTTCACAAGGGTGCTGCCACCAAAACAGCGCTGAAATACATGCACAACACATTCTTGGTTTTTGCATTCAACATTTTTCTCTCATGGAGAAAAATTCAAACTTGTTAATGACAATAATGATGTAAGGATGAAAAATTTAAACTTGATAATGACTAACCAAAGAGATCACAAACAGACACGATCTATAACTTTCTCGTATCTTTCGCTCGAAGATTTCAACTGAATTTCTGGTTTTAGACTCTTGACAAAATATACGAAATGAAGTAATGTTGTATTGTCTAAAAGTAACGATCGTATCGATTTATAAACACAAAATCATGATTCCATTGAAAGTTTTATGGATGCGACAAGAATGACAAAGAAAGCGAGCTAAAAGGGCACCTCAAAAGACTTCATTCGCGTATAGACCTGCCTTTATCAAGATCCAGCAAGTAAAGACTACCTTCATATCTTTGGAAGTGATTGCTCAGAAAGGAAAAAAATAAAGTCGCAAAACTGGAGTTAAATTACTTTCCTGTGTTCTAACTGACCCTTTGAAATGGGAAATAGCTTTAGTCCTTTCAGTGCCAAGATCTGAGAGCACATTCCCGAAACAAATCGCCATAATTTCATTCTTAGCTTAGGTTGAGAATTCTGTATTCGATCAAAGGAGCAGCCCTTATTTGATAATACTTTTCATTCCCTTTAACTGCTTGCGAAGCATTGTATCGAGATCACGTGGAGAATTGAAATATTGATCATACCAGGAGTGAAAGGGTTAAGAAACTGGGCGGCTTTAGACTCATATTCCTTGTATTTTCTTTTCTGTATCATTCTCAACGTGCAAGTTGAACAAGGTGTAAGTTTTGCTTCAATGTAAAATTGTAGTGATAAAACAATGGGTGCATTCTCCTTCGGGCAAAACAAATTCAATTATTAGCTGGATATGACTCTGGGCGAAACGATTCCCAGAAAAATGACCAGCTATCTTTGCTTTCAAAGGTTTACGTTTTCTCCGAGGGAAAGTAGTTTATTAAGGATGCCTTGTCACGAGGCACATTGAGAGCAATCACTCCCTTTCACCCCTGGGATGAAACACTGGACCAGCTCAGCTTACCCACCAACACCCTCCACGAGAAAAAATTGTCAGGCCCTAGGCCAGTTTGTGAAATTAAAGTAACAGCTTTGCTCCTTTGTTTTTGCTGCTGTTAAAAATGACCAGATACACCTACCATTGAGCTGCTTGATCCATTGCCTTTCTGTACTTGGGATTCACTCGGAAAAACCCCAGTCACTGTCTGCGAAGATACAGAACCAAACACTCCGGGTTTTGATTCAGTTTTTACTCCAGAGAAGCCAGTATTTGAAGTGGCTGATTGGCTTAAGTTTGTACTAAACATAGTCGTGGAATGGCCAGTTAAAGGAAAACTGGTCATTCCAGTTTGCTGATTGCTGGCACTTAAAGTATTCCCAAAAACATTTCCAGTCATTGCTGGGACATTGCTCTGTCCAAACAGGTTTACTTGATTGGTAGAATTACTTGTGCTGAATAAGTTACTAGGTTGGTTCAATGTAGCTGCTGGAGATGGGAAGCCAGTCAACTGAAAAACAGGGCCACTAGTTGTAAAACTACTCATCTGACCAAATGAACTATGTCCATTAAAACCTATCCCTGATTGTGTCTGTAGCATTGATGATCCTGCTTCCATTGACTCTGCTACCTTATGGCTGCGCTGCTTCTTTATCTCTTCTTGCTGATAATGAAAAACAAAATTGTCCAAGTGTTTCAAAAAGAACATATCACTATAATTATATTCGATGACCTACAACTGAAACACGCACATAGGCTTAGGGAGTCTCCACAGATATCAGGACTATATTTTTTTACACAATCTTTATTGAGGGAACCAACATTACAATAAGTGGTTTACAGAATGGTCCTCACAACATATCATCACATTTAAATGATGGTAGTGACAAGCAACTCTGGGCATCTATCAATCTGTAATATCCAGTAATTAAACACTAGAAAGGCCCATTCATGACACTGACATCAATCATCCCCGTTAGTGCATGGAGGATAACTCACAACTTTCTCATCACTATTTTCAAAGATGGACAAAACTGTTTGTTGCTATATGTGTTCAAGGAAAGAATACTGTATAAAAGGTTTATTATTTGAGCTTACAATCTGTGAGACTGACATGTGTCCTAACTGCTGCCGCTTTTGTTGATTAGCAGTGATAAGAGTTTTCAGTCCTTGTTGCTGTAAACAAAACCAAAAATTGGATAATTAGAGTGAGTTTGAAATATCTGAGGAAATATTGATTCAGCCCCATGTCAGAACAAATATCTCTTCCTTAAAATTCTGAGTTATGAATCTTAACCCCTGACCCCTAAGAGTGACTAGCATCTAAATTCCCCCTACAGTAACAATTCTCAATAAAAAACTTATGAAATTTAAGGAATGGATTGCCGAATAAAGCTCTTACTTGTGAAACAAATTCTCCTTGTCAGCAACATAGGAAATGTATAGAGAACAGTATGGAGAATAAGCATGCTGATGTTAAAGTGTAAAGGATTAAAGTAAAATCCAGATATAGATCATCTTACATAGCTATCAGCCTTCCCTTCAGCATGTGCATTGTATGCCTCAAGGCGAATTTCTTCTGGAGAGAAGTCCAGCAAACCTAAAATAACATTCATAACACAAGGCATCATTGTAATAATTTAACACAAGTACCACATAACTTTTCAAAAGGCTACAATCTTATAGCTGCTACAGCATGCCTGATAAAGTCACCTGTTAACTTTAAAATTTCAGGCCCCACACCTCTCTACAGAGAATATATTTACAGTAAGAGTAAGAAAACTGTAACTTCTGAAAACATTTCTGGATGGGGAGACAAGTCAACCAGGTGTGAGAAATCTTCACTGTATTCAGTCACATTCACTGATCTGTGGTTTTATGGTTTGCTATGTGATTGGTCAGAATTCAATAAACATTTCGAGCATTTTTCAGGTGTTCATAGTTCTTTTTTAAACACTTTAATTCCCAAAATCTGATTGTTAATTCTCCCCTCTGGTGGCTACACATTTGCTTGTAAATTAGTTTGGAGAATTTGGTATCAATTCAAAATAACAACTTCCACCTGATAAGTTAAAGTATTATTATTACCTGTTTGTTGGATAATATATGGATGTTGTTAGGAGAAATTACCTGTTAATCACTCCTGGGAGTTAAAGGGTTAACTTGGGTGGTACTCCTAAAGTAGATTGGAAAACACAATACAATTGGAGATAAGGGGGGGGGGGGAAGAGAAGGGGCTGTGACAGAAGCTAATTTGCAATCCACCTATAATAAGTTCAAACAAAAGGCCAATTAAACAGCCTTAAGAGTGGATTGTGCCGTAAAACTTCATATAAACTCACCTGGTAAGCATGGTTCTTCCTTTGTGTAAGTGAAACAAGACAATGGCCATTGTTTACTCTTTTCCCATATTGCCATTTCAGTTTGTATGGTTCTTCTATTAATTTAAAGAAAAAATCCAAACTTAGATTTGAGAACCAACAAAGGAGTATCTGTTGATGCTCAGTTTGTTAAACAAACTGAGCGTCAATTCTGTGAGTAGCATTTTCTTATGTAGTGTCACTTTCCTGAGTGGTGACAAAATGCTAGCCAATAGAAGACTACACATTCTCCCATTTTGCCAAAGGGTTGAGAGGCATTGCTGTGGGCCTAGATTAGTTTAAATCACATTTAGTGACATGCATTTTTAAAACAACATACTCATCTTACTGAATTTGAGATGGTGTCATGTCATCCTCCGCACCTTTAGAATGCTGAGTTTCTCTGGACAAAACTTCAAAGCGGTTCTATACAGGCACAGAGGCAACAAAAAAGTGTCAATCATTGATGTTAAGAAAAGCAACTGATATTGTTCATTATAAACTACCAGTTCATATTTTATGACTATTTTGATCATAAACAGCTTGTTTTAAAAGATTCAGGCTACAAATTGTTCCTCAGTTTTTAGGTCACATTCTAAAAAGCTCCAAATTTTTAAAATGTATTGATGTAACTTTTTCTACAGAAGAACATGGTTCTGGATTTTTTCTTGTTTCTTCAACTAGTAGTCCTTTTTTTTTTTTTTTTTTTGTAAGAATTAACCTTTGTAAACTATGTCCATATTTTGCGCTATCTGAACTGTTCTGAATTGCATGTGTTGTAAACAAAAGTTGCGTAAATAAATTGAGAAAATTTAGAGCCCTTTCAAAATGATCAAAAACAAGGGGTGACCTTTTCAATCCAAACTCTCGGATAGAGAAACTTACGATGGAAAAGACACTAGTCATTTAATAAAAATCTGGATTTTTCTGTATATTTCTTGTTTATTTACCTGGTTAGAAGGATAAGATTTGCCCCATTGCCCACTTCTTCCACTGAATCCTGAATTCTGTTGACCGAATCCAGTATTTGCTGCAAATTAACACACAACATTCATTAAGTGGATCAGTATTTTTAATCTTTAGTTAGTAAACTCAACTCTATGTATAACTTCGTAGTTTTAGTTTTTCTGATGCCTTAGCTTGAAGCTACCAAAAAAAATACTCGTACATGTAAATGCACAGATTCGAGTTGAGATATACAAAAACATTCGATTTGCACAATATTTTAAAATAATATGACAATTACCTCTTCCAGAAGGATGTTCATTCCTGCATTTGTCTCCAAACCGACAATTACCATTCAAAAAATGCTGGCAAACTGTTTTCCGTTTTTCTGTTGAAAAACGAGGAATATCGATATCAAATTATATTTGTAATAGCAAACTTTTCAAATGAAGAACCGCGTGAAGGAACCATGAAGCTTACCTGCAGTATGTTCATTACGGCAACTATCTCCAAATCGGCACTCGCCCTTTAAGAAATATTGACAAACAACCATGACCAAACAAGGTGAAGGAGATGATAACTTTGTCAAAATACGGCAGCCATTTTACATTATCCGCTGGTCAAAAAGAAAGTCTGTTACAGGGACTCGTACTCAGGCTACCAGCAAAAAAAGTTCATTTCCACCTTGGAGCTTTCTCTGGTTCTACAGTTATAAATTATAGAGAGGAGAGTTGTGAATCAGATCCTGGGGGTTAAAGGGCTAAAAACTGTATTAGAAACTTGGATCATTGTCAGTATTTGAGAAACCTGCACCCACACTTCTCCTCACCCAACAACAGTCAACTGATAACAAGTGATTAATTAAATAGGGGTGGATTATTTACCTCTACTATGCAAATTGCAGATGTGAAAGTGGTGAATGTCATCTGTAATTTTTTTCTACAGAATATCCCTAACAACTTTTTTAAAATTATATATTGAAGTAAAACGAAGAAGATGTATTAAAAATACACAGTCCTGCAAGATGTTTAATGGCACAGTCATAGCGATAGGCACAGTAGTGTCCTGGGTTTGCAAAACACAGTTTTCACAGAGCATGTACTCACCAGACTTTGATGCACCAGTTTTGATCACATGGTTCTCCACAATATGGATGGTGTTAGTGTTTCCAATTTACTTTCTTCAGGGCTTGCTCTAAGGAAAACAGATGCTTTTATTATACAGGTTTGTGCAATCCTTCAACCATTTTCTTATTTTTTTATAAGTGTGAGAGACTGGGGAGATGCCCTTTCTTAATGGTTAAGATGCCAGACCTGGCTGGAGAGGTCTGGGTTCAAGACCTAGTCTCTTGCTCGGGCAAAACATGTTACTCTAAAAGTGCTTCTTTGTCCACCCAATAGTAGAAATGGATACCAGCAAATGTTCAGGGAAGTCTGAAAAATTCTGGGGTGTACCTTGCAATCGACTGGTATCCTATCCAGGGAGAAGTAGTAATACTCTTTCAGGGAGAGTGAAAAGGTATTTGGTTGTCAAGGTCTCCACCTGATGTCTCTATTGACGCATGCTGGCCCATTCTGCCTCACATGGGTAGTGACCAATCACTTATACGTGCGTACACTTGGTATCATTCATGCTGCTGATGTTGCTGCTTTGTTCTCATCTTCTAATGCTTTTGTATACTTCTTGTCATGGAGCTGGTTAAAGGAGGAGCTTTCTATTTTTAAGGTATGAGCTGTTGCCTAAGGGTGGGGGGAAGGGGTAATGGTAATGAATTTGAAAATAATGCAAGTGACCACAAATTAAGCTGCTGATGATGAAGATATGGATCAGCAAAAGATCCGATCAACCTGCAATGAATGAAAGAAATTGCTAGGGCTGATCATTTTATTATCATTATTATTGTTATTACTATTGTAACTGCTTCCGTTGAAGCCAAGTGTTACCGCTTCCGAAAAAAGCTGCGAAATATTTTTTGGTTAGGTTGACGCGCCCGTGATTAGTTCCTTTTAGACAGAAAATTATAGTTAGCGTTTCAGTTCAAGATAAGACCCCATGTGATCAAGATCGGTTTTGAACAGAAGACAAGTTAGACTGTAATCCTCGATAAAGTAATCAAGACCCGCGCACGTTGGTAATCAATAACTTGTATTGTTATTATGTTATCTAGCTCGTAGTCGTTACTCAAAGTAAAATTTATCACTCGTTTTTTACCTTTCCTTTGGTTCTTGTTATTGCCACGTGCTCGTTTTCAAAATCGAGATTATTCTTAAGCTATGATCTACGGTGGCTGCGGTGACCCATAGAAGACATGCCACATTTTTTTTTTATCGCGCGATAAAATCAAAATATCGCGCTATAAATGGAAATTATCGCGCGATAACTGATAAATTATTGCGCGATAAATTAAAAATTAGTGCGCGAACAGTTCCGCTCTGAGAAGAAAGAGACCCTTGGTATTTGTGAGCTAGAACACGAATTATAACGTCAGCTTCATGAACGTCCTTTGTTTAATTCTTTGGGCCATGGAAAACTGCCTCCAACTTGTAGAATGCTACGAAAAACTAGTTCTGTGAGAGGAAAAGACGCGAGTACCATCATTTTGTGTCAGTAAGTTTATATTTATCATCTGAGATGCTTTACCATGTTAAAGAAAACTTTTGACCAAATGATGCAATGACAAATGAACACGCGCACTGGCTGTATATTATATATATTGTAGTTAGCAACGCTTCTAGCCTGTAACTCAACGTAACGTAACATAACTTGTCGAAAGATGCATATACGCTTTTCTGAGGTCTTCTCTTTTTCGCGCGTATCGGTGAAATTCTCGGCAAGCGCTCGCCACGCAAGCTCTTATTCTTTTGTAGCACGCATGAATAATTCCGTGACCACACAATAAAGTAACGAAAACTTTGAGTTGGACTATGGATGATATCAAGTGTAAATCTATTTTTAAAGAAGAAATAAAAGATTTTGAAAAATGGTTAAAGAAATGATTGGAGGACTTTTATTCACGTCACGTTTTGAAACAAATATTACGTGAAAGACTGATGGGAACTAAAACTTTCTCCACAATTTGATTTCATACAAACGGGATGTCGTCAAGAGACAAACCCATGAAAGGAAAAACTCGCGTATCAGGCTTTGTCCCTAGCGTGCAGTTCACGTGCAACAAACCTTTGATCTCATTATTTACGTTCCCGTCAGGAAAATCGCAGCCAAATGCGGGACAAATACTTGTGTTCCAATTAAGAATTTAACGATCTCTTTTTATAACTTATTTTTTTCCACTTGTTGGTGTGAGAAGAGTTGATCATGCAAGGAAACGAAAACCAGTTCAAGACGTTTAGCGAAAAATCAAAGTTATTATTCACACCTGGTAATGACAACGAAACTGGAAGACGAACAAATTTCTACGACGAAGATGCAGGTACATGATGACGATAAAATAATTTAATTCTATTGAAGTAGTGGATCGGATAACCTCTATCAGATTTGCCGAGTGCGGAAATTTTGCTTGCTAAAGACACGCAAATATTAGTCAGCACTTAATTGATGGGGAGAAACTTTGATACTAATCACTCCGAAAGATGTCGTCACTTGGTGACCGTATTCTGTTTTCAACTGTAGATTACTTCACAAAAATTCTAAAATGATGTAATCTTAAATTTATGGCGGAGTATAGCAACCAAGAGATTATATTTAACGGAGAAAAGAGCAGTACAGACACACATGTCAATGCGTGTCTTGACGTGTCGAGATTGGATTCAAAATGAATAGCTTGTAGTGCGTGACTTGATCTCGATGGGGTGACGTCTGCTCCTATTGCGAACTTGGAGTCAAGTTTCTCTGCACCAGTTTCGCACTTAAGCTCATCGTAGGTCTCTGTTTGTTTTAAATAGCACTTTTAACAACAATATCGCTTCTTACCAATAAAGTATAAAATAAAAGAATTTAGATCTTCATTTCGGTCACAATCTGCTCTAACATGGTTACTTTCACTAAGGACCACAACCTCAGCAGAAAGTTTCAAAGGGATTTCATCTCGACACCAGGAAGATGCTGATTGGCGTTGCCATAGTGATTGGGATCGCATTTTCTTGGGTGGGGTCAACGCAATTTGCTCAGAGCTCATATTCGCCGGATTTTAATGCGCCGTTCTTTGTCTCTTGGTTCTCAACCTCGTGGGTGCTTGTGGTTTTTCCTGTCTATTTTTTGCGGGCACTACTCAGAGGAAAGAAGATAACTCAGTTTTACAGGTTTGTCAAGTCAAAAAAAAAAAAAAAGAGACGAAACTCTTAGACTTTTGGAGTATGTAGCTTAAACAAAGATTTGATCTCATCAAATTCTTCTAACTCTCGTCCTAGTTTAGGGACTGGTCATGGGGGAGGGGAGGGGAAGCCAGATTTCGGTTGTCTCACGATAAAATTTACGTAATCCCCCCATGATGCTTCTTTAATTTTCTGATCCTGCTCCAACTTACCGACTAACCGTAATAAAGACTTATTTTAAATTTATTCACTGTTGCAAAAATTCCTTAATTCTCTTATACTTACGCGTCACTGGTAAGCTTGAGACATGACATGCTCAACCTCATTCCCTCTCTCTTCCAGAGGGTCAGAAGACCTGGGAACGAGGTTGTGACATACATCAGCGTTTTGTCTTTATTTCCTCTGTTTTAGAGAAAGTGAAAGAGTCTTTGGAAGCCAAGGCCTGCACCTCAGCTCACTTCTCAAATACGTGGGGCCATTTTGTCTTCTTTGGGTGATAGCCAATTACTCTTATGTGCGAGCCCTCGGGGTCCTTCGGGCAGCGGATGTTAGTGCTCTGTTTTCGTCTTGCAATGCTTTTGTTTATGTGTTCTCCCTGATTTGGCTGCAGGAAAGGCTCGGAATTGTTCAGGTGAGGGGAACAAAACCTCGATCACAACTTGAAACCAGTAAGGTAATGTTTGACCGTATCAATCGAGCTGATAATGTGAAATAGCCCCCGGAGAGAAATTCTAAAGCTGACGTTTCTCTCTAACGAAGGGGTAACCTTCGAAACAGTCAGCTTTAGAACTTTATGAATCTCTCATTATCAACTCAGTTGATATAACTAAATTTTCTGGCATTTCGGATGCTCTACCACTGAGCTATAGGAGACTCGAGATGGACTGGGCCCCTTAACTAGTTCCTTGGTGATAAATTTAAAGTTCCTGCGTACTGCAAGGATAGGAATGTCGATGTATGATACTTTTTCGCAGTGATGATACACTAGTACTGTTGTCGTTTGCTTCTTGTTTCTATCGCTATATCTCTTTTCCGTATCGTTACGAATCTGTTTGTAGTTTTAGTTTTCATAATATCTCAGCAGTTCTAATAGCGCCTTTGTGAGGGGAGCTCGACGAAACTCGATGTAGGAGGTTTTACCTCATTTTTTGTGGACAACATGAAGGAATCTCTCCTTAACCCAGTAATGACCTTCACTTCGTCTTATTTTATTTTTTTACCTCCACAGATTTCAGCAGTTGCACTTTGTATTGGAGGTATAGTAATGATGGCTTATGCAGAAGGATTTGCAGGACCCAACGTTGTTGGTGTAATACTGTCTGTAACTGCAGCAATCGGAGCTGCTTTGTACAAGGTAAATTCTGCAAAGTACCGTTAGGGTTTTGATCAACGAGATGCCCTCTGTGCGAAAATCTAGAACAGATGCCAGGGATATCCGAGTGCTGAAAGCCTTGTTTACAGAATCTTATTTTTACGTGTCGTGAAACTAAAGCAAAAATCTAACAGCCTCTTTAGTTAAAGTTATGCAAATCTAGTCACTTTTCGATTAATTTGTTTCAGCTTGAACTAGGCTTAAATCCTGACACAACCACACTGAATTGATCTTATAAGAGACCATATTCTCTTGAAACTATTATCGTACCAAAATTTTGTCTTCTCATTAAAAATATTAAATCAAAAAAGTTTTAGTTAGCAGAATGGTTGCCTGTTTTTAGAATGAAATGCTAATTTAACATGTTGCACAAATTTACTGGGTGACATCCCACGAGAAATCCTGGAAACGAGTTCGCTTTGGCTCCCGCACGGTACTATGCCCCGCTCGGGGAGTGCTGGTCGGTTACCCTTCTCTTTTGCTTTTAAGGTCTGGTTTAAAAGGATCGTTGGAGACGCTACATTAGGTCAAGTTTCCCTGTTCCTGTCCTGCCTCAGCTTACTCAGCACTGTACTTCTTTGGCCCTTAATCGTCATCTTTCATTATACACGTTGGGAGGAATTCAAATGGGAAGATATCCCCTGGAAATATCTTTGTGGAAATGCAGTTCTGGGAATGATATTCAACTTCCTGATAAACTTTGGCATCGCTTTTACGTACCCCTTGTTCATCTCTCTTGGTACAGTTCTCGGTATTCCTATCAATGCTGTGACAGATTATCTCTTTCGAAGAGCAGCGTTTGGCAGTTATAAAATAGTTGCTGCATTTTCCATCGTGATTGGTTTTTTGTTTATGCTGTTACCAAAAGAGTTCGAAAAAACTCTGCAGGAAACATTTTGTTGTCGGAAGAGAGAGCGGATCTTAAATTGAGACTGCGTTTGTTGTGTTAAACAACTTATGAATGACCCTCTCCTAGGTTTTAATAGGCCATTTTCGATATATTAAAATTCAAACTTGGCCCTGAGGCTTGGTGGAATTAACAAAAGAAATCACATCAAGGTTGAGGGATGAATAATTAATTCCTCTTGTTTTATATCCCCTAGCCTCGGAGCCATGTTAGAATTTTAATATATCGGACATGGCCTATTGAGCGTCTCAAGTTTGGAAGGCCAATTGCTAACTAATCTTTTGATTTATTCAATCTTATCATATATCGCAAAACTTCCTGTAACTCCTCTTGAGTGTCATCGGAACATTACACGAGGCTAAGAAGACCCGGTTATGCCAGGAATGTCCATTGTGCAACGGCTGTCTTCAAACGAAATGTGCTGAAATAAACACATTATTAATTTTGTGTACAAATATTTTAACCTTGGTTTTCGCCAGATGCCCGAGAGTAATTAAGCTTTAGCATTGGTCCATATCAGAAGCATCTAACCTATAAGCTATATGCTTCTGTCCATCCTGATGGAACATTGAGCTGTACGCTTCGATACACACACGGGTTGCAATAATTTGCTTTGATTTGTTCATTCCATGTCAGCTCGCAATTATTCACTCAAGTGGAAGTGATTACGAGAGGGTTTTTAACGAGCGAGGCCATTATCCACCCAGTTTCACCGATACTGGGGTGAATAATAGTTTTAGCACAGTCCACACAAAAACCGAAAAAATCTATTTTTATGTCAGTTCACTAGAAAGTTGTCGGGAATTAAACTTTTGATACGCAATTTTGTCTTTTTGGCTTCTTAGAGATGAATAGTACGTACTTGCTAGTCACAACCGACCTAGCCAATGAGCGTGTGCAAAAGGCACGCGCTTTTCAACTGTGTGATGTTTACTAAAACGTATTATTATTGATTTAATTGCATAGAGTAAAGTAAGAAAGGAATGTGGATGAGATTTCATTTTCTTGCTTTCATTTTTCGAATACGTAACTACGTTTCTTCGATTTCGTAACTTAATTTTTCAAATTGCGTGATTTTTTTTCTTTTCGAATATGTTAATGATTGAAGTCGTTAAAATATTGGACCGGCCATGATGACGTGATCGCTAGGATTTAATTCATTTGGAAGTAAAAAACAAACAAATTAAAAAATTAAAATAAAAAATGGTGTATTGTTAACTTCAGCACAAGAGGACTGAACACTGAAGACTGATTGAGGACCTTCGAGAAAATATCCGAAGATGCGTGTCAAAGATTCGTCCCAATCAGTTAGAGCCTATGTCAACAGGCCATAACTCTCTTCCACCACTCAACCACATTGCTTCTTTGTGGAGATCAATGAGAACGAACCAGCGTCGATGATCGGCTCGAAACTGAACCCTCTCTTTTGCGACGATGAGTAGGTACAAATGGGTCGCTTAAGGAGCGATGCATAAATGAATATATGTCCACACTTTCTGCCGGGGCTCCTGTGATCTTGCTTTTCCTGATAAGATTATACAAGGAGTTTGAGGAAAGTGGTAGCCCAAAAACCTTTGAATTTTTCTGAAACAAACTAGTACAAGAGCATCTTTAATTAAAATTACTGATTTGATTTGCAATTCTTAAAGCATGAAAACACTTATAATCAAACGCCCTTTAAGAACCCATCAATACGTCTTTCGCATCGTCAGTTCCATTAACACGAGTTTGAATCTTAGCAAAGCTCCTCTTTGACTGTATTTATGAAAGCGATTTCATCAACAATCACAAATTGACGACTAGCGTCCCTTTCAGCGAAGCGAATGCCGGGTGAGTCGGGGCTAGGAACCAATCTTTCGCGGCACGTTCCACTTTGTAAGCGGGAGACCTGTTCTGAGGCTAGTAGTTGTTCACTTGAGTTAGATCTTATGTAAAGTTTCCGTGAATGACAAAACAAATATTTCAGCAAAATGAGATGTTATACTGGGCACTAAAATGGCAGAAATGGTGTTTTACTGGGGCAACAAAAGCTCTTTGAGCTATTTGGCAGTTGTTTCCATCTTAGTCATTACTCTCGTCCATTGAGATATTTGTAGTTCCATTGAACTCCGGTTCAAGATAGTTCTCATCCTCCGGGACATCCTACAAAACAATATAACAAACGGTAATAAGCCTATGCATTAGATAAAGGTAAAGAGCAAGTTCTTCAGTTACTCAGTTCTACTGATCATGAATGTTCAATTTGTACTTAATATTTCTTCTCCTGTTAAGTCAATTTTTTTTCAGTATTTTCATCAATATTTGCCAAGTATCGTGATGTAATTTCTTTAATCCTGACTTCAAAAGTGATTTAACTAAATGTTGCTTAACACCGTCAAACAAAGTCCTTTTCTTTCACTCCATTTCAACTAAGCACAACACACCCATAAATAGGTCAACTTATCAGTGGACCATCTTAGTAACTTACTCCACATAGGTACCATGGTCGAGTCAATTAACTTGCAATAAAAGTAACGTCATCTTTAATACCAACAAGATCAAAACAAACATTATTGAGCATATGAGCCCACAAAGAGCTCTTCATCTATTTCCTTCTACTCTTTCCCGATCAAATTCCAGTTCCTGATGCAAGGAGTACAGACAATCGCAAACTTTTTCGGTGACTATTAAATTCTTACGCCTTTGGTCTTTATTTCTTCTTCCAGTGATTCCAAAAGCTCAGAAAATGATGGACGCTTTGTAGAATCCAAACTCCAGCATGACTTCATCATATCGTGGCTGTGAACAGAAAAACGATTCTATTTAGTAACACCTCGGAGTTGAACCATTGTGACAGACCGGGGTCTTATTCCATTCAAGATTATTTACATTTCATCTGGGCATCCATCCGGCTTGGCTAAAATTCGTCCTGCTTTCAGAAATTCTATTATTTCCATTCCGCCAAGACCAGAATACGGCATTTTACCTTGAAAGGAAAGATAAAGAGTTCAGTCTTTGTTGATGGTTTAATCAGCAGCTTGTCTCAATAAGACGACTAGTGATAATTATTATACAGTAGACTTCCTTTGAAAACTCTGATAAGTCGAGTGCATACGTTGACATGATAACCTTATATCTGCAGCAGATATTTTACACAATGATGATGATGTTTTGTGTGAGTATTCGAAATCTTAACTTACTCACATATCCTTTAATATGAAATAGGTAAAAAGTCTCAATGCTAAAACTGTTTACCTCCAGATTCAATCTCCCATAATAACACTCCAAAGGACCATCTGTCGCAAAACAGCACTATTAGGTCATTTTACAATAAAAACAAAATGATTTCTTACGGAATTATAATTCCAAATTGCAATAACGCCATAAGCTCACCATTATCACTAGCTACATCTCGATATAACTAGTATATAAAGGAAAGCATGAATTTGATATAGCATCTGAGCTATATCTTAACATTACAAAAGTGCATCAGTATGCCAAGAGTACCCCACTTGTTCTTAGAGTTTCATTATCATGACGAGGGAAGTATCTGCTGCTTAATTTCAATGGAAAACACTCAGAGACGATAAAATAGCTTCAAACTTAATCAGTTATTAGGACCCCTATTCGCGAATAGCAAGTAGCTTTACAATTTTAACTTTCCCTCAGAATTCCTTACAGAGTTAACTTACACATCTGTTTTAGTATTGTACGTGTAATCCTCCAAAGACTCAAGAGCCATCCAGCGAACAGGTAACATTCCCTTTTTTGGAAGAAATCATTTAAAGCATGGTTTGAGTAAAAACAATTCATTTTAAATAATACTAAAGAATAGTACGTACAAAAATCGTGAATTTTTATAGTTGTATGTTGAGACGGCATTGGCTCAGGGAGATAAAACTGGGATTGCAAGGAGCCCAAGGGGATTTAGTGCCGCCAAAGGACCCCCCAAACGGCGCGCTAATTGCTTGAAACGTATTGAAGAAAATTAGCTATTATTTACGAGTGTCTCTTGCTCTGGATAGTGAACGTAAATAGCAGTTTCTGAGACTGAGAATGCTAACTCACGGTGACATGGATACTCGAACCTTCTAATAACATACCATGGAACATTCTAGAAAATTCTGTTAGGATTTGTGATAATTATGTAATTTTACTAAAGTACGTAGTTGTGTAGTAAGCTTCTAGAATTTCCAGAATACGTTGGAGAATTGTTATTGTTTTCATTGTTATTGCTTTCATTTCATAAAAGTCGCTTCTTCGTAAGATTTAACTTAAGACGAGGTTCGAAGATCACTTTCATATTCATTTTAGACGTGTTGTTTAACTAAGTAGTTGGGTTTGTAGGAGTATAGTGTTCTTTCTCTCGGTTAATGTATACCGTAACACTTCAAAGGAGGAAGAATCTTTGCAATACGATATAGCTGGAACTATAAATATATATGTCGTTATAACTACTCTCCCCATTTTTTAAACACGAGAAAACTGGCCATACCCCAGATGTACTTTCGTATTCACCACTTTCATAAACATCACGTGACAGGCCGAAGTCGGAAACCATGGCAACATTTTCCTCGCCAAGAAGCACGTTTCTCGCTGCAAGGTCACGATGAACACACTAAGAAAGAGAAGCAGAATAAAAATCAAATAATCCTCTAGAAAGTAAATATTTTTCTGAATTCTTTATTGGATCTTGTACCTTTTTGCTGGCCAGGTGAAGCATTCCACAAGCTACATCTCTTGCGATCTTCATTTTGTCTTGGGGCGTGAACTTCATTGCCTCTTTCCGAACATTGTAATATGGATTTTCGCTCCTCTTTTTCAGTTGGTCCAACAAACAGCCATTCGGGGCCAAAGTGACAATCACCAATACTGGCTCTAGAATTTGCCACAAAGCTAAATATTAAGGTTGTGAAGCAAAATTGCATTTATTTGTGTTGCATAATTGGGAATTTGCTTTTACATAGAAAGACAAAACTGAAAAGGAAACTGCACGTAGAACATCAATTAATATCAACTAAAAGTTACCAGTCTTGGTACAAGCTCCAATAAGACTTAAGACATTAGGATGTTCACCAACTGTGACCATGACTGCAAGCTCGTTAATCAGGTCCCGTCTCTCTGTTTCTGTAGCATTTTCTGCAAAGAAATATTCTAAGCTTTACTGATATCCAAGGGGCAGCAAATCTGTTTACAAGTTGTATCAAACACTTGAAACGCATCTAATGCATGTGCTTTCAACCGAGAAATCATCAACCAATCATAAGTTTTCTAAATCGATCATTCACTTATTAACTTATTGAGCTTATTAACTAAGAAAATCAGTCAACCAATCAAAAACTTCATCAAAAATGTTTACCTTTAAGTTTTTTTACTGCGCATGCTCTCACTAGTTCTCCCATGCGCACCAAGCCTTTGTACACTTCCCCAAATGCACCTTCTCCCAGCTTGTCTTGGAGCGTAACATCTGATCTGGGAATTTCCGCCCAGCCTCCAACGTTCATGGAGAGCTCAATCTTCAAGAGCAATGTAACAGCGAATTACTCTTTCAAACATTAGATCACTGGATAACTGGATAACACTGGATAACTTAATCATAAAATTCAAGTCAAATTACCTCTCCTCTCTTCTGTTTTGATTTACATATTGGCCGAAACTTTAAGCAAACAGCCAATATAAATACAGCAGCTAAGAACAAGGGCAAGACTATAACTAACATCAAATCTCTGATGAATCTGTCTATAAGTTGGAAAAAAAAGCAAATGCTTATCGGAAGCAAGTAACATGAAGCATAAACCTTTCCCTTAAAAGCGTTTTTGTCTATTTGTGTCCTCAATAAGAAAAAGAGACAACTTGAAACTTTTTTCTTGATACCCTTGTTTTCACGTTTGAACTTTTTTAGATTACCTTATTTTAGGAACAAAGAAAATCAGAGCCAAAACACTTCATACTATGGAATATAAGTATCAAACACTATGATTGTGTCCTGTCCAAGCGTTGGATGACATCAGTTGTTATTGTTGACCTTTACCTTATCCCTAACTTCGTGAATTTTCTAATAATTTCCTTTTGGTAGGTACCTGTATATATGTAAAGATCGACTTGGTGCTGGTCATTTGGGAAGAAACCCACTCTGGGTGTTATTATTTCCTGGCAGTGTCTTTTGTGTTAACAATACACCCTCTGACTTTCCATAAATATTGTTGCTTGATAATCTGATGGTGTATTCTGTGGACGGATCTAAATTCTCCATAATCATTCTGGTCTCAGGGTAAGGAATTGTCCAAACTGCGGTAAAGTTCTTCAGTCTTGATATCTTTCGCTCTATAATGTAGTTGGGTATCTGATAAAGGCTGCCATAGTCTGGCTCCTCCCATGTCCAAATAACATATTTTTTCTGTGCATTCTTCACGGAGAAACTTTTAGGAGACCTCGGTGTTTCGGTCGAATGAAGGAAGTATCAATAGTATATTACTTAAAACCAGCAGCTTTAAAACTACATACCCCATATTATGTGGAGTCATCAATTTTTTGAGGGGGGGGGGGTTGATCTGAGAGTAGGGTATTTCTTAAAAGTATCCACAGAGCTTTACTTACCCTGAACCCGTATAGAAGTAACTTTAAGCCAATCTCCAAACGACGAACGCACCCCTCCCATCAAATGATTAAGAGCATCATCATCATCATGGACAGAGCTTTGTAAGAACATCCTGAGTCAAGTTGCTCGTTGTGTTTGCTTCATCATAGAGCTCGGACTCTTTGCTCCGGTATTGAATCCGATAACCCAACAGTTTTTCTTCATGACGAGAAGGAGGTATGTTCTTCCAAGAGATTAAAATGGCTGTTGAATTGAGAGGATGGCCTTTATGGAAAGTGGTAGCCTCTTCTGGAACTGGTAACATAAACATAAAAAAAACGCTCCTGATCTCTTAAACATTTTGGTCCACAGTAAAGAAGATTGTGTTCCTTTAGTTGAACTGGAGCAGAATCTGGAGTCCGAGAGGACTGAGATCATATTACATTGAAGCCATCAATAAACGATAGAGATCTCTGAACAAGAATCTTTCAGCTGCTTGGTTATTATACTATAATCAAAGAGCGCTTGGTAATTAATCTGCTTAAGTCTGCTCTTGATCTGCGTTTTCTCTAAGCCTTACCCTGGGTAATATTGTGAAATCTTCTATAAAATTTGTCTCCGCATGAAACAAAGCGAAGGAAATGATGCCACAGAATATGACATCCTAAATTGTTTTTCGTCAGTATCTGAATAATATGTCTGTATATTATGTTTTAAAAAGAGTTTTAAAAAAATTCTTTAATTTCATTGATACTTTCAATCTTCCATTTTCACTTGTGCTCTTTGGCTCTCGCGTAAGTTCTCTTTATGACTAAATTTACCTCTAGATGGACATCGAGATACTTTGCAGTATTCCCATCGAACATTTGGATCAGTGGTATAACACCATGGTCCATCTGGGGCACTGCTGTCTGGGTTACGAGACATGTTCGAGTCATTTTTGGAATAAGCGACATCTTCAGGAATCCGCCAGTGACGATGAGGACACTGAGATTTCCACGACTGACATATACGACCAGACCGAGTGACGTTCATGTTGCCACGGTAACCAACTCCCACACCGTAGTAACAATCTGACATAAGTCACATCTAGATGTTAAGGTACTGTCAAAGTAGCAGGGACTTGTTTTAGGCACTAGTCCGTTTTTTTCGTAGTTTTTTTGACGAAAGTTCTGTTGCAGGGACTAGTTGAAGGGACTAGTCCCTTCGTTTGTGTCAACCTCAAAGGACTTGAAGTGCTAAACCATGGAGTGATGTCGACTAGGATGGCGAGAAGCCTGGATATTAAATAAATGTTAAATGTTAGTTACTTTTATGTCATCGCTTGGCGCACAACTTGACATTTATCGAAATCATCTATTTTTCATCAAATCTTGATCTTTTTGTTTAAAGCACTATGGACGCATCAGACAGCGTTCTACTAGAGAACGTAAAAAACAGTTCAACAGACCTGTACTTTCAGTGTCATCACCTATGGGAAATGGAGAAAAGTGAGTAGTTGAGGTCAGAAAAGCAAAGTGAAAACATAAAATTCTCTCATCGATATGATAGGCTAAAAATATTATAGTTATTTCCTAACGTCTATTTTTTTTTTTATCTGTTTCTGTCTTCACAAAAGCCAATGCAGGTGGCTCATGTGCTGCCGGAGCGTTCCTTCTTTTCGTTACAATAATTAACAGCTATTTATCAAAGTGGAGGTGGCTACTGGTGGATATTTACCGAGCTGCGATGGATATTTATCCACCGCTAACCACGGACACTGTGGTGAATAGGTGTTTAAGTATATACTAAAATAGTAGGATGATATAGCACAAAAAAGGTGATTTTAAATCATTTATTCCTGCAACGATCACAATATTTTCGGGCGCAAATTCCGCGCGAATCGATTTAATTTCCGCAATCGGCTGAGTATGATATCATTTTGACATTCCGGACAAAATCAAAAGCGCTGGCTGTTGATTCTTGCCTTTATCGAACTATTCACTTTTACACGAACGTTGTCAATGAAACCTGGTCTTTTGTCTGTTCTTAATACGCATATGACTTACTTTTAGTGCTAACGCTTTTAAAGTTAATAATCAACCAGTCATTTAGGGGTACGTCACGCAATAGTGGAAGGAGATCGTTAACATTCTCACTGCATAAGTGTTACTCAGTACACGTCAAATAAGCAGATTAAGTGCTTTCACACATACTGATTAGCTAGCTTATATGCGATTTAAATACTATTTACATCTGTGGCAAACAACTGGCATTATTTCCTCATGTGAAAGTCTCTGTCCTGGTCCCTGAAGGTTCGTGTGATGAATTGGAAAGAGATATGCTGAACGTTGTAATGTTACAATTGTTGATTAAAGAGAGCAACCTGGATTTAAAGATCGCAATGACTGGCTGTACTTCCCACCAAAAGGTCTCACTAAAGACATTGTAATTAGCAATGTAATAACATTGTAGGGAGAAGTCATGAGTTAATACCTTCCTTCCAAGGTGGGCACAGTTTCTATCGCTCTGAAGAAGGGCTAGCGCTCGAAACGTCAGCTTTTTTACCCTTCACGGTGGCTTATTTACGTTTCCAACTCAGTTGTTAACACTAAATTACCTGCTATACTCTCCCACCGACGCAGCACCACAGTTCCTTTGGAAACTTACCCCGTATATACAGTTTGATAAGCTTCTTTTAAAGAAATGCCATTGAATTACTTCATAACACATCTCTTTCCAATTTTACTCACTGATCTGAATTTTTAATTTTTTTCGCTGACATCAAAACAAACGCAGCCGCATGAACAAATTTTCTTTAGAACCACGGGTGTCAAGTGACGTGTGGTCCCAGGCGAGGCTCAGTTTAGAAGGTAGGCAGGGTCACCAAGCTGGTTTTCGACGTTCTTGTGTCAAGGTGAATGTGTACGCGGGCCGTGAGAAACGTCTAAACTGGAAATTTTTAAAGCAAACTGCGGCTCAACGTCGGCTTCATGGGGAAGATTGAGTTTGTAGGGAATTGAAATGAAACTAAAGTATATGTGCTTGGATTCTGCGTTGGATTTGTGGCCGCTCAGTCATTTTGAGCTTAAATTTTTCATTTCTCGGATCGGGAGTTCAAAATTGGAGTGTGCAGCCCTAGGCCTGTCTCATGTACGTAGTAAACCTAGTGATGGATAACTCGCTAAAATGGGTTCTGTTCAACATAGTAAGCGGTCAGATAACAAGTGATGCACTGTGGAAGTAAGGTGAGGTATTTTTATTTAAAATACGACTGTATTATTTATTCCTTAGAGCGGTCGTAAACATTCCCATACATACTCTTATAATTTCGCCATGACTATCATTTCGCAAGATGATCATCTCACAACTACTTTCCATATGATGGAGATATGTTGATGGAATTATGTCATGACAACGATTGGTTATGAAAGAGAAAGAAATCTGATAAATAAAGACGGTTTTGATTCAAAAAAATAGACTCGCAGCCCACGAGGTGGCGTTATTGAAAAACAGTAAGTCTATGGTGCAGAAGGGACTTTCCCAAGGAAATGAGTCATCATATTGTTATTGTTCTTAGGTCATGCATGGTTGCAGTAAAGCCTCATCTTCGACCAAAGTGTTAAATGGTTATGGCGTGAGTAGAGTTGATCATGCAAGGAAACGAAGACCGGTTCAAGACGTCCAGCGAAAAATCTAAGTTGTTATTCACACCTAGTAATGACAACGAAACTGGAGGACGACATTTCTACGACGAAGATGCAAGTACATGATGACGATCAAATAATTTAATTTCTATTTAAGTACTCGATCGGATAACCTCTAAAGACATGCAAATATTAGTCAACGCTAAATCGGTAGGGAAAAACTTTGAAACTTATCTCTCCGACAGATGTTGTCATTTGGTGACCATATTCTGTTTTCAATTGTAGAATACTTCACGAAAATTCTAATCTGATGTAATCTCAAATTTATGACGGAGTATAGAAACCAACAGATGATATTTATCGGAGAAACGAGCAGTACACGGACAGGCATGTTAATGCGTGTCTTGACGTGTCGAGAATGACCGAGAATGGATTCAACTTAATAACTCGTAGCCCCGCGTGACTTGATCGTGATGGGGTGACGTCTGCTTCTATTGCGAACTTAGAGTCAAGCTTCGCTGCAACAGTTTCGCACCTAAGCTCCTAGGTCTTATTTAGTTTTAAATAGCACTTTTAGCAACAACATCGCTTTCGATCAATAAAGTATAAAATAAAAGAACTTAGATTTACATTTCGGTCACGATCTGCTCTGACATGGTTACTTTCACTGAGGACCACAACTTAGGAGGAAGACTGATTTGTGGGAAACTTATTAACCCTTTAACCCCTAAGAGTGACTGGCATCTATTTTCTCCTTACAATATCACCATTGAATCACACAATTATCTCACGAGAATAAAGGAAATAATCACCAACTAAAGAACTCTTGATTGTTAGACAAATTCTCCTTGTCAGCACCGTAGTATTTATACAGTGTATAGTATGGAGAATATGAATACTGATGTTTGCCTGTAAAGGGTTGAAATAAGTGGGTGGTGCAATTTTTAATATTACCCTGAATTACTTTTATTTAATTGAAAAAAAGTTTTACTAAATTAATCAACAAAAGTCCCACAGTGATTTTACTTTGGATATCTCCACTTTTCCCAGAATACCTTGAGTTATTCCAGAAATTCAAAGAACACTGGTTGGGATTTTGAGAGCAGTGCAAGTTGACAGCATCCACTGTGCTTTTCTGAAAAAGCAACGCTTTGTTTCCAGTATTCCAATGAGATATGGTAACATCTCTAAGTAACAGTGCGACTGCGTTCATTTTGATACCATTTGCAAAAATTAAAAATTTGGAAAGAAAATATTACTTATGACTTCTCCCTACAATATTATTACATTGCCAAGCATAGTAGTAACGAGAATTGAAAACAACAACAACAACAACAACAACCGGAATGTTGTGTGGTCGCTTTCGGCGGCACGACAGCTGTCAAGACATTAATCCAGGGTTAATTTCGGTTCCTGGAGAAGCTTTTTTCTCAGACTATCGTCTCTGATACCACAGACTAAGTGATCTCGAATTAAACCATCCTTTAACGATCCAAATTCGCAGGTATCGGCGAGCATGCGTAGCGCTGTTGTGTTGGTATCAACATAAAATGTAACACGTTTCCCGGCTAGTTTTCCTTTAGATTGCTTATAACAGTATTCAGTAACTTTGACGTTTTATCATCAAAAGTTGGGAAAATGCAATGAATGGGAAAATTATGTAACTAACTAATTTACCTCCTCAAGGTCTTTAGCGAGCTTCTGATGAAATGCAATCATACCAAACTTAGTTGTCCCTTTGCTTTGCTTTAATCAAACTTAATTTACCTCTCTAGTCCTCACAGAGAAATAGGAAGCCACTTTGCTTCTCGCCACAGAGGTATATAGTATTTCAATCGCATACAAGCGAGCTAATCAGCATGTGTGAAAGCACGTACTATACATAATTGACGTGTAATAAATTACTCTTACGCTGTGAGAACTTTGACGATCTCCTTCCGCTATTGCGTGACGTACTCCTAAATGACCAGTTGATTATTATCTTAAGAAGCGTTCGCCGGAGCATTGAAAGTAAGCCATATGCGTAATAAGAACAGACACAAGACCAGGTTTCATGACAACGTCATGTAAAAATGAATGGTTCGATAAAGGCAGGAATGTCAATATGTTATCATACTCCGCCGTTTGCGGAAAATAAGGAAAACCACCTATGAATTTGAATACTTTCCATATGCTGAATTCTTGCTGCAGCCTCTGATTCTGCTGGTAACTGAAACTGCGTTTTGGTTCTTAGTTAAGAGAACACAAATGAAGTAACTGGACATTGAATGATAAAACAAACACCGACTTCCAGTCGCGACATAAAAGTGATGAAACGTAACACGAGCTGCCCAAAGAGTGATTGCGCATTGTCAAAATTGATGAAATGTTAGAGGCCAAGAGTTCGATTGAATCTTTAATTAGATGTAAGATAATAAATGTCACTCTCCGTATGAGTTTTATTGAATTTTCTGGAAGCAAAAGGACTTTTTTTATTTTTAACTAAATATTTCGTAAAACCTTCAAACAAGTCTTGTCAGCAAAGCAAAGTTAAGCAAAAAAAAAAGAAAAAGAAAAAAAAAAAGGCTCCCTGGGTCACCAGTTTGTCTTTTTGCTTCCCAAAACTCGGCCTCACAAAAATGCTTCGACGGACTCTGTTTCGTTCTCAGTCAAAGACAAGGCAAAAAACTTAATACCACAGAGGTGAAACCATGAATTATGTCTAATTGTGGCGGAAGTGCACTTGATTTTACTTATGTTCCTTCGTTCCACATGACTTGACTTGACTTGAACTCACGTTACGTCACGCAAGCACTTCACGTCGCTTTATGTCTGGTAACTACGTCTTAAGTCTATTTTACTCCTCCTTGAAAACACCAAAGCAAACCTCCTGGTATCAATTTGTTGATTTTTACGAATAGAAATATTCTAAGTACCAACAAATACATGGGACAGAAAAAATTTAGACCTGAGTTTTCTAAAACCATTTATTACTCTGAAATCAGTAAGGCTCGAAGGTAAATTAACGTCATTGTGAAAGATCCGTTAATAGCATACGTTTTTTCATTACCCACCCTTTTGTGACCATTCTTACCTTATATTTGTTAAGATGCTTTCACCCTGCACAATTTTATTCGAGATTGAACAAGATCAATGAGTATTCTTTGTGGTCGAGTGAGTTGCTCTGCCTGATGAAGACAAAAGATTCACTTGAACGAAGGGAGTAGAAAGTTTGACCTTCAGAGATATGAAAAATTTGTTTAGATGTTCTGAGCACGCGCACATTTATTAGAGCTTAAACAGGGTCAACTGAGTATTCTTTGTGGTTGAATGAGTTGCTTTACCAGTTGAAAAGTTTTATTTTGCATCGTTTTGAGTGCGTGTCGCATATAAGACAGATCATAAGCGATTGTGTCATTTGGCTTCCGTGAAGAACTAAGTAGAGGAAACAATGGAGAGGATTAGTTTTTGTAATTTCCGCCTCTGCGCAGACCAACCCCTATGACGTTGTGTTACGTTCTGAAACTGAAAGGTGGCAGGAAGTCAGCCGTGTTACTCGCTTAGCTGTTCATTCGCTATCAGCTTTCTTAACTCAAGCTTCCGTGGTGAATATCATCGTAAAGTATCAGAGAGCGGAACCAGAAAGAAGAAGGCCTTGTAACGTAAGACAGTAGTCAGCTAGAAGGTATTCAAAGTCGTGAGTGATTTTCGTTCAAGCATGCAAGCAAAATTACTCGAATACTGTGTTACAAAGGATAAATGAATTTTCCGGCTTCAAAAATTGTATCGAGCGTTGCTCTCATTTTAGAAGGCTGACATACATTTGCATTTAGTTTATTTACAACGACGTGCTATTCCTAGTTTAACTGAAGCGTCATGTCACGGCGGGCTAGTTATGAAACAGGATCCAGCGCTTCGGCAGAGTATTGTTCATCCTGTTTTGATTCGCAGAGGAAAATACCATATCTATCAGAGAGTTGGTAAGCAGTAGACTCTTAACTTAGTGGATAGTCTTGTGGGGTGATCAGTTTGGCGTCAGGAACGGCTGTGAAGAACAACTTTGTTTGCCCAACTGAGTTAGACTCATTTGCAGCGGTGACTGTATTTTTAAGCATATTTCAGTTCCACTTAGAAACCAATATCCGCCACGATAGGAGACGAACTGATCTCATACAACGAGAAAGCGATTCTCAAACAGAATATCCACGCAGGCAAACCACTTGGCGTGTGAAAAGTCAGATTTGCCCTTCAGCAAATTGGCATTTAACGTGCTACGAACATCATTTTCAATTTTCTGCGCTACTGAACTCTGTTGTGCCATTAGTGACCGCAGGTCGTCTATAAAAGATAATTATGCCCTAGGAAAGAATAACATCTAGGTTCACTTATATTGGATTATTAGATTATTGATTAGTGAATATATTATTAGATCACTTATATCTGGAGAAGAATGGTAGCAGTCGTTAGAAATATGTTCATGCAGATTATTTCAACTTAATGATCTAATTCAACCGGTTTAGGATAACGACTGACAGTCTGGTATTATGTAATGGCTCGATTCTAAATTATAGATATTCATGTCTTTCCGCATATCGAGTTTACTGATCAATCGCTCTCTTTCAGTTTGCTTAATATTTTAAAATGTTTATTCGTTTTGTATCAAAGTTATTGACTGTACGATAAGGAATTAATTTTCTTATTTATCTTTACATCTTTAAATTAGATTGAAGTTTTTCCACTGGTAACCAACCTTACAACATAGAAATGACTCAAGTCTGGACCATAGTTGTTCTTACCTTCTTGAGCGCCATCTTTGTTCGTTGTGGTTGGTAGAAAAAGTTATTTTTGTTTTTGATTCAGATGCTATGCTGCTCATAGCCAAGTGATAATACATGATAGTGACATTTTACTCTTGGAGTATGAGGATAGCATTGAAAAGCTATTCACGGCAAATGAATTTCTACAAAGTTTAAGTGCGAGACAGAATCCTCGTCTGCTGAGGATACTTGGGACTACCACAAAAATATGTATCGTGTGTAGAGTTTACTTTCATTAGCTTCATACATTTCGGTTTCCTTGAGCTTGTCCACTTTTTTACGAATTGTACGGGCCTGAAATTTTTTCAGGCCTCATTTCAACTACTAGGTCATTAGTGTTCATAACTGCGAGGATCGATTCTATATTTGTTTCTTCAACCGCAGTGCACACATATGATTTTCACATGTTTACAGCCATTATTCACCACTTCGAAGGTTTATTTGGATTCAACAGTTGGCTTGTTAGCTCAGTTGGTGGAGCGCTGCACCGGTTTCACTGAGGTCATGGGTTTTAATAATCATTCCCTTTACTTTCTTTTACCGATAAACAGAAAATAACCTCACTCAAGTGCATTCTAATGCAAGGTTTGTATGCTTAACATTCCTCTGAAGTGCTAAAGCTAAGTGCTCTGTATAATATCTCTCTCAGTTTTATCTATTTATTTATTCATTCATTTACATGCCCATACATTATTTCCTTTTCATTGTTTCTATATCTTTAGCTGCATTCCAGCATTTCCTCCGGTGAATGCCTCCGCAAGAAACGCTTTCTGTATATTTTACGAGTATATAGGCGAATTCTGTAAAAACGTAACTAGAAGTCTATACGTTTATGGTGATCAGTCCACATTGGATACTGGTGAAAGGGAAGCTGTGAACTTTAAGGGTTATTTCGACGCTCTTGAGATCACACCGGAGTGCAGGATCCCATTTAAAGACTTGTTCTGTGTCTATGGTTTCCCTAATTGTGATGAATCATTGGCTCAGCCTAAAGAACGCCGTATTTGTCGCAGCTCATGCAAATATTTGCAAGTCATCTGCAAAAGGGTAATGGCTTTAATCAGAGATATACCGATCTTTCAACGCTACGTAGACTTGGCAAATTGCTCGAGCTCTAAATTTGCTTCTGCTAATGGTGGCGATGCTCCTGAGTGCTATCAATAGTACGATCTTCCTGGTAGGTATTGCAACGTTATTATTAACTCCTTTATTTGAACAAGTAACCCTCGTAATCTGATCATCTCGTTTGAGAATTAAAGAACCCTTTGGCTTTAACAGAGTCACTGCGCTGTGTGTCTGAGGGAAGATATATTGCACCATGTGGTGCCTCTCCCCACCCAGGTGTATTAATGGGTACCGGCGATTTGTCGGGGAAATTTTCCGAAGTGCAGAGGGGGGAGGGGGAGAGGTTCCCTGCGATGGATTTGAATCTCATCTTTGGGGAAAAGCAATACTTATTATGTACTAAAACAGTGGATGGCGTTTGAGGCGCGCTCTGATTGGCTGCTCCATCTCCAACTATCCTTTGCTATTCATCTCCGATCAACTCGGGCGGAATTTGCGCCCGAGTTGATCGGAGATGAATAATGAAAATATTATGCAGTAATAAATGAGTTAAATCAACTTTTTGCGCTATATCATCCTTCTATTTTAGCATATACTAAAAGACCTATTCGCCACAGTGTCCGTGGTTAGCGGTGGATATTTATCTCGCCGCTTGGCAGCTCAGTAAATATCCTCCAGTAGCCAACTCCACTTCGGTAAATAGCTGTTAATTAATGTCACGAAAAGTAAGAACGCTCCGGCAGCATATGAGCCACGTGTATTGGCTTGTGTGAAGACACAAACATATAAAAAAATCGAACGCTAGGAAATAATTGTAATATTTTTAGCCTATCATGTCGATGAGATAATTTTATATTTTCTGACCTCAACCACTCTCGCTTTTCTCCATTTCCCATAGGTGATGACACTGAAAGTACAGGTCTGTTATTTTACGATCTCTAATCGAACGCTGTCTGATAGATGATTTCTGTATATGTTAAGTTATGCTTCAAGCGATGACATAAAAGTAACTAACATTTTATCCAGGCTTCTCGCCCTCCCAGTCGACATCACTCCACGGTGTAGCACTTCAAGTTCTATGAGGTTGACAAACACGAAGGGACTAGTCCCTGCAACTAGTTCCTGTGACTAGTCCCGAGGACCAAGTCCTTTCGTGTGAACTACCCAGTTTCACTGACAAATGTAGTTACAGGTAACAAAATGTGGTCCACGATTTCAACATGTTGTTGGGACTTGTTCCTCCAAATTATCCAGGTCCCTGTGTAAAAGTGACAGGTCCTTGCAATTGCGACCAAATGAAAGTAATCTAACCACTGATCAGTATTTAAGTTCCCATAACCCCTTTCATGCTCCGTTTCAATATGGCGGCCTTTTTTTAATAGCTGCTGTTTTTCAGTTCTGGAAGAGTAGCATACAGAACCTCAGTCGAAAAAAGCAAATGCTCTCAAAATTGTAAATGCCTGACCAATTTTGTAAATTGAAGAGATGCTGCTTTCTGACGTGAGCGTGTCCTACAATTGTTTGGAGTTAATTTTCTAAATTCGGTTCCATTGTTTAGGATCGCTCCTTGTTCGCTGAATTTCAGTGAAAGCGCCCTAGGTTTTGCTATCTCGATGTGAAACAGGTCCCAGCAGGTAAACTCTTCAGGGGACTTGTCCCCACAACTGGTCCCATCGTGTTAACCGTGCAGCGGACTAGTCCCTAAAACAAATCCCCGCTACAAGTCCCCTCGTGTGTACCGACTTCTATGTTGACAGTACCTTAACATCTAGATGCGATTTATTTCAGATTGTTTCTACGGTGTGGGGGTTGGTTACCGTGGCAACATGAACGTCACTCAGTCTGGTCGTAAATGTCAGTCGTGGAAATCTCAGTGTCCTCATCGTCACTGGCGGATTCCTAAAGATGTCGCTGATTCCAAAAATGACTCGAACATGTGTCGTAACCCGGACAGTAGTGGCCCGGATGGACCATGGTGTTTTACCACTGACCCAAATGTTCGATGGGAATACTGCAACGTATCTCGATGTCCCTCTAGAGGTAAATTTAGTCATAAAGAGAACTTGCACGAGAACCGAAGAGCACGAGGGAAATAGAATATTGAAAGTATAAATGTAATTTAAAAATCATTTTAAAATTATTTTTAGAACATCATTTACAGACATATTATTCAGATACTGACGAAAAACAATTTAGGATGTTACATTCTGTGGCATCACTTCCTTTGCTTTGTTTTATGCGTAGACAAATTTTATGAAGATTTCACAATATTACCCAAGGTCGGACTTAGAGAAAACGCAGATCAAGAGCAGACTCAAGCAGACTTATTACAAGGCTTTCTTTGATCATGGTATAATAACCAAGCAGCTGAAAGATCCTGGTTCAGAGATCTAGATCATTTATTGATTGCCTTGATGTAGGATGATCTCAGTCCTCTCGGACTCCAGATTCTGCTCCAGATCAACCAAAGGAACACACTCTTCTTTACTGTGGACCAAAATGTTTGAGATCAAGAGTATTTTTACTAATTTTTTTGTTACCAGTTCCAGAAGAGGCTCCCACTTTCCTTAGAGGCCATCCTCTTAATTCAACAGCCATTTTAATCTCTTGGAAGGGCATACCTCCTTCTCGTCATGAAGAAAAACTGTTGGGCTATCGGATTCGATACCGGAGCAAAGGATCCGAGCTCTATTATGAAGCAAACACAACGAGCAACTTGACTCAAGATGTTATTAAATAGCTCCGTCCAAACACAGCATACGAGATTATGGTCAATGGGTTCAATGAAATTGGCCACGGGCGAAGTAGCACGGTCCTTGATTTAAAAACTCTGTCTTCTGGTATGTTGGGTATATACTACTTTCAATTAAATTGACAGTTGATAGTTGAGAGCGTTGTTGATATCCGGGTGCCAATGACACGTTGCAAGCAGATGCTATAACTATATTATCATGAGTGGGGAAATGAGGTCGAATGCCACTGATCATGACGGGTGGAAACTCGTATCATATTTCTCTTTTCCGCTTTTATAATTGAGAGTCTCAACCTTTTAGCATTAAACTAGCCGTATATTACTGTTTGGAAATCTTGAACCAGTAAAACAAATTTTTAGTTCATAATTTGCTCTTCCTTTTTCATTCATCTGTAATTCCTTTTTTGTCTTGTTATCACTTCCCTGTGTTCTTTGGTTGATTTTCAGGTGAGGAAATATTAGAGGTTGACTTCCAGCTGATTATAGATTCTGATTTTAGCAGGGATCTGCTCAACAGTAGCATGCAGTAAAAGGTTCTTGGAAATGGCTGAACTCATTAGAATTTCAGTAAGGAACAATTGGTTTGGTAAAAAATTTGATTGTTGTATGACAAAGTAGTGCTTTCAAATTTTTGCATGCCCTGTTTTTGAAAAAAACATTTTTTTTCTTTTAGATAAAACACCACTTCAACGAATCTTCTATGTTGAACATATATAACGTCATAACTATACATTTTAGGTAAGATCTAGAAACTATTTTTATTCCCGTTTAAAGATTTCGTTGGCCATTTAAAGGCTAAATTTGCCACTTATCAATTAGATAACATTTCATATGAAAATTAACTTTGCTTCCCTCAGAATAAAGTGTCTTTTCCATATCAAAGGTTTTCCACTCACCCAAATTTCAACACCGAAGCATTGAGTACCTAGTAGATGCTTAGTTCGAGAAAAGTAGCTCTCATGACAAGCATTATCTTATTTACCGCTGGTGAAGTGTTCTTAAGTATTTTGTTACTTTTGTTTTTAGAAATGGCAGCCTGAGTGCATCGAGTGCAGACATCAAAGTTCCTGCAACAATAAATACGAACACAACCGACAAAGATGATGCTCTTAATCAGTTGATAGGAGGGGTGCGTTCGTCGTTTGTAGATCGGCTTAAAGTCACTTCCATACGGGTTCAGGGTAAGTAAAGCTCTGTGGATACTTTTAAGAACTACCCTACTCTCAGATCACCCCCCCTCCCTCAAAAAAAAATTGATAACTCCACATAATATGGGGTATGTAGTTTTAAGGCTGCTGGTTTTTTAGTAATATACTATTGATACTTCCTTCATTCGTTAGAAACACCGAGGTCTCCTAAAAGTTTCTCCGTAAAGAATGCACAGAAAAAAATATCTTATTTTGACATGGGAGGAGCCAGACTATGACAGCCTATACCAGATACACAACTACATTATAGAGCGAAAGATATCAAGACTGAAGAACTTCACCGCGGTTTGGACAATTCCTTACCCTGAAACCAGGATGATTATGGAGAACTTAGATCCGTCCACAGAATACACCATCAGATTATCAAGCAACAATATGTATGGAAGGTCAGAGGGTGTATTGTTAACACAAAAGACACTGCCAGGTAATAATAACACCCAGAGTGGGTTCCTACCCAAATGATCAGTACCAAGTCGATCTTAACATGTATACAGGTACTTTCCAAAAGGAAATTATTAGAAAATTCACGAAGTTAGTGAAAAGAGAAAGGAATGGTCAAAAATAACAACTGATGTCATCCAACGCTAGGACAGGACACCATCATAGTGTTTGATACTTGTGTTCCATAGTATCAAGTACTTTCGCTCTGATTTTCTTTGTTCTTTGTTTGTAATGTAATCTAAAAAAGTTCAAACGTGAAACAAAGGTGTCAAGAAAAAAAGTTTCAAGTTGTCTATCTTTCTTATAGGGGACACAAATGGACGCAAACGCTTCTAAGGGAAAGATTAATACTTCATGTTATTTGCTTACGATAAGCATTTGCTTTTTTTTCCAACTTACAGACGGATTCGTCAGAGATTTGATGTTGGTTATAGTATTGCCCTTGTTCTTAGCTGCTGTATTTATATTGGCTGTTTGCTTAAAGTTTCGGTCAATATGCAAATCACAACAGAGGAGAGAAGAGGTAATTTGACTTGAATTTTATGATTAAGTTATCCAGTGATCTAATGTTTGAAAGAGTAATTCGCTGTTGCATTGCTCTTGAAGATTGAGCTCTCCATGAAAGTTGGAGACTGAGCGGAAATTCCCAGATCAGATGTTACTCTCCAAGACAAGCTGGGAGAAGGTGCATTTGGGGAAGTGTACAAAGGCTTGGTGCGCATGGGAGAACTAGTGAGAGCATGCACAGTAAAAAAACTTAAAGGTTAACATTCTGGATGAAGCTTTTGATTGGTTGACGGATTTTCTTAGTTAATAAGCTCAATAAATTAATAAGTGAATGATCGATTTACAATATGTATGATTGGTTGATGATTTCTCGGTTGAAAGCACATGCATTAGATGCGTTTGTAGTGTTTGATACAATTTGTAAACAGATTTACTGCCCCTTGGATATCAGTAAAGCATAGAGTATTTCTTTACAGAGAATGTTACAGAAACAGAGAGACGGGACCTGATTAACGAGCTTATAGTCATGGTCACAGTTGGTGAACATCCTAATGACTTAAGTCTTATTGGAGCTTGTACCAAGGCTGGTAACTTTTAGTTGATATTTATTGATGTTCTACGTGCAGTTTCCTTTCCACTTTCGTCCTTCTTTGTAATGATAAATTCCCAATTATGCAACACAAACAGTTCAACACTTGAGTGCAATTTTTGCCTCAGAACTTTAATATTTAACTTTGTCGCAAATTTTTAGAGCCAGTATTGGTGATTGTCACTTTGGCCCCGAATGGCTGTTTGTTGGACCAACTGAAGAAGAATAGAGAAAATTCATATTACAATGTTCGGAAAAACGAAATGATCTTCACGCCCCAACACAAAGTGAAGATTGCAAGAGATGTAGCTTGTGGAATGCTACACCTGGCCAGCAAAAAGGTACGAGATGCAATAACGAATTCAGAAAAATATTTCCTTTCTAGAGGATTATTTGATTCTTATCTGGCTTCTCTTTCTTAGTGTGTTCATCGTGACCTTGCAGCAAGAAATGTGCTTCTTGGCGAGGAGAATGTTGCCATGGTTTCCGACTTCGGCCTGTCGCGTGATGTTTATGAAATTGGTGAATACGAAAGTACATCCGGGGTATGGACAGTATTCTCGTCTTTAAAAAATGGGAAGAGTAGTTAAAACGACAAAGTTTTTTTCAATTTTTTATTTCATGGAAAACATGCTAAAATTCGTAGTTCCAGCTACATCGTATTGCAAAGAGTCTTCCTCCTTTGAAGTGTTACAGTATACGTTAACCGACAGAAAGAACACTATACTCCTACAAACCCAACTACTTTATTAAACAACACGTCTAAAATGAATATGAAAGCGATCTTCGAACTTCGTCTTAAGTTAAATCTTACGAAGAAACGACTCTTATGAAATGAAAGCAATAACAATGAAAACAATAACAATTCTCTAACGTATTCTGGAAATTCTAGAAGCTTACAACACAACTACTTTGTAGAATTACATACTTATCACAAAACCTAACAGAATTTTCTAGAATGTTCCATGGTATGTCAGTAGAAGGTTCGAGTATCCATGTCACCGTCAGTTAGCATTCTAGAAATTTCCAGAAACTGCTATTTACATACTCCTTGCAATCTCAGTTTTATCTCCCTGAGACAGTGTAGTCTCAACATACAACTATAAAAATTCACGATTTCCCTACCTGCTATTCTTTAGTATTATTTAAACCGAATTGTTTTTACTCAAACCATGCTTTAAATGTTTTCTTCCAAAAAAGGTACTGTTACCGGTTCGCTGAATGGCTCTTGAGTCTTTGGAGGATTACACGTACAATACTAAAACAGATGTGTAAGTTAACTCTGTAAGGAATTATGAGGGAAAGTTAAAATTGTAAAGCTACTTGCTATTAGCGAATAGGGGTCCTAATAACTGATTAAACTTTGAAGCTATTTTATGGTCTCTGAGTGTTTTCCATTGAAATCAATCAGCAGATACTTCCCTCGTCATGATGAGACTCTGAGAACAAGTCGAGTACTCTAAGCATATGTACTGTTGTAACGTAAAAATATAGCTCAGGTGCTATATCAAATACATGCTTTCCAAGATATATTAGTTTTATCGAGATGTAGTAATGTTGGTGGGGTTATGGTGTCATTGCAATTTGGAATTATATTTCCGTAAGAAGAAATTTGTTTTTATTGTAAAATGACCTAATAGTGTTGTTTTGCGACAGATGGTCCTTTGGAGTGTTATTATGGGAGATTGAATCTGGAGGTAAACAGTTTTAGCAGTGAGACTTTTTACCTGTTTCATATTAAAGGAAATGTTAGTAAGCTAAGATTTCGAATACTTACACAAAATATCATCATCATTATTATCATGTTCAATATCTGCTGAAGATATAGAGTTATCATGTCAACGTTTGCTATCGATTTATCAGAGTTTTCAAAGTAAGTCTACTGTATAATAATTACCACTAGGAGTAGATTCCTCTCAATTTAAGATCTGCCCTCTCCTCCGACAACAAAATACTTCCTGCAGAGTTTCCTTGACCTTTTTTTGTTAACAGCATAAACTGCCAAACACTGCTAGTAGTACACTTTGGTAGTACAGAAGAGCGATACAATTGTTAGCTCGAGGCAGTATGAGACTGGAATGGTGTGCTTAAGCATTAAATGTTATCGTGATACATTTAAGTCGTCTATCATCTACAGTGCTTCCTTGTGGAGATCAATGAGAACGAACCAGCGTATATAATCGGCTCAAAACTGAACCCTCTCTTCTGCGACGATGAGTAGGTACAAATGGGTCGCTTAAGGAGCGATGCACAACTGAATATATATTCACACTTTCTGCCGGAGTTATTGTGATCTTGCTTTACCTGACAAGATTCTGCAAGGAGTTTGAAAAGAGAAATGGCAGCCCAAAAACTTGAATTTTTTCTCAAACAAACTAGTATAAGAGCAACTTTGATTAAAATAATTGATTTGACTTGCAGTTCTTAAAGCATGAAAACACTTATGATAAAACGTCAGTCTTTCGCGTCGTCGGTTCCATTAACACGAGTTTTAATCTTAGCAAAGCTGCTTTTCGGCTGTATTTATGAAAGCGATTTCATCAACAATCACAACTTGACGATTAGCGTGCCGTTCAGCGAAGCGAATGCCGGGAGAGTCGGGGCTGGCAACCAATGTCTCGCCGCTCGTTCCACTTTGTAAGCGAAAGATCTGTTCTGAGGCTACTAGTTGTCGAGGAGCGTTTCCTAGTGCCGCCATGGACGAAGGCAAGCGAGAGGTACTTATCATTCTTCAATTACGAGGGGGACATTGGGATTTTCGGTTTTGCGGTTTAGATCGGTAAAGAGGGTAGCGGGACAAAGAAAAATAACGAACTGGATGGTAGTAAACGAATCAAGAAATGTAATAACTTGCTAACAATAATACAATAATACGTAACTTGCTAAAGGGCTTCATGAACTGAAAAACGTGTCCACTTCTCGCAGTTAGGTCAGGGTATGAGTGCAATAATTAAGTTCGCTGCTTCTAGTGATGGACGACAACGATTTTTTTGGATCACATACAAAGGCATAGATGAATGAAAATATTTTATACATGCGAACATGAAAGGTTTTCCATTGAATACGCAGCGCAAATGACTACTTTAAAGAAAATCATGAAAGATGACCAAAAGGAACTAAAATGCTAGCCTAAAGGTATTTGACCTCCTACAAAAGCTCTTTAAGCTATTTGGCAGTCGTTTCCATCTTAGTCATCACTTCCGTCCATTGAGATATTTGTAATTCCCTTGATATCCAGTTCAAGACAGTTCTCATCCTCCAGGACATCCTACAAAAAATAAAACAAACAGTAATAAGCCTATGCATTAAATAAAGGGAAAGAGCAAGTTCTCCATTAATTTTCTTTTACTCGTTGAACGATACACAGCTCTACTGATCATGAATGTTAAAATTTGTACTGAATATTTCTTCTCCCGTTGGATCCATTTTTTTCAGTATTTCCATCAATGTTTGTCAAGTATCATGATGTAATTTCTTTAAACCTGACTTCAAAAGTGATTTAACTTGATGTTCTTTAACACAAACAAAGTCCTTTTCTTTCACTCAATCGCAACTGAACACAACACACCCGCAATTAGGTCAACACATCAGTGGACCATCTCAATAACTTACTCCACATAAGTACCATCGTCGAGCCAATTAACTTGCCATAAAGGTTACGTCATCTTCGATACCAACAAGATAAACTAGTGAAACAAATATTATTTAGCATATGAGCCCACAAAGAGCTCTTCATCTATTTCCTTCTGCTCTTTCCCGATCAAATTCCATTTCCTGATGCAAGGAGTACAGACGATCATAAACTTTTTTCGGTGACAATTAAACTCTTACGCGTTTTGTCTTTATTTTTTCCTCGAGTGATTCCAAAAGCTCAGAAAATGATGGACGCTTTGTGGAATCCAAACTCCAGCATGACTTCATCATATCGTAGCTGTGAAAAGAAAAACGATTCTGTTTAGTCACACCTCAGAGTTGAACAATTGTGGCAGACCGGGGTCCTATTCTATTCAAGATTATTTACATTTCATCTGGGCATTCATCCGGCTTGGCTAACACTTTTCCTGCTTTCAGAAATTCTATTATTTCCATTCCGCCAAGACCAGAATACGGCATTTTACCTTGAAAGGAAAGATAAAGATTTCAGTCTTTGTTAATGGTTTAATCAGCAGCTTGTCTCAGTAAGACGACTAATGATAATTATTATACAGTAGACTTACTTTGAAACTCTGATAAGTCGAGAGAATACGTGAAATATACAATAACGTGTGCAGTTGACATGGTAACCCTATATCTGCAGCAGATATTCAGTTGAATATGATGATGATGATGATGATGTTTTGTGTGGGTATTCGAAATCTCAACTTACTCACATATCCTTTAATATGAAATAGGTAAAAATTCTCAATGCTAAAACTGTTTACCTCCAGATTCAATCTCCCATAATAACACTCCAAAGGACCATCTGTCGCAAAATAGCACTATTAGGTCATTTTACAATAAAAACAAAATTATTTCTAACGGAATCATGATTCCAAATTGCAATAACGCCCTAACCCCAACATTATTACTAGCTATATCTCGATATAACTAGTATATAAAGGAAAGCATGAATTTGATATAGCATCTGAGCTATATCTTAACATTACAACCGTGCATCAGTATGCTTATAGAGTACCCGACTTGTTCTTAGAGCTTCATTATCATGTCGAGGGAAGTATCTGCTGCTTAATTTCAATGGAAAACACTCAGAGACCATAAAATAGCTTCAAAGTTTAATCAGTTATTAGGACCCCTATTGGCTAATAGCATGTAGCTTTACAATTTTAACTTTCCCTCATAATTCCTCACAGAGTTAACTTACACATCTGTTTTAGTATTGTACGTGTAATCCTCCAAAGACTCAAGAGCCATCCAACGAACTGGTAATATTCCCTTTTTTTGGAAGAAAAATTTTAAAGCACAGTTTGACTAAAAACAATTCAGTTTAAATAACACTGAAGAATAGTACATACGAAAAATCGTGAATTTTTATAGTTGTATGTTAAGACGACATTGGATCAGGGAGATAAAACTGAGATTGTGAGGACCACAAGGGGACTTAGCACCGCCAAAGGATCCCTGAACCCTTTAATTGCTTGAAACGAATTGAAAAAAGTCTGCTGGATATCTGATTAATGAGAATATCAGCTGTTATTTACGAGTGTCTTCTGCTATGGACAGTGAATGTAAATAGCAGTTTCTCGAAATTTCTAGAACGCTAACTCACGGTGACATGGATACTCGAACCATCTAATAACATACAATGGAACATTCTAGAAAATTCTGTTAGGTTTTGTGATAATGATGTAATTCTACTAAAATAGTTGTGTTGTAATCTTCTAGAATTTCCAGAATACTTTAGAGAATTGCTATTGTTTTCATTGTTGTTGCTTTAATTTCATAAGAGTCGCTTCTTCATAAGATTTAACTTATATTAAGACGAAGTTCGAAAATCGCTTTCACATTCATTTTAGACGTGTTGTTTAATAAAGTAGGTGGGTTTGAAGGAGCAAAGTGTTCTTTCTGTCGGTTAACGTGTACCGTAACACTTCAAAGGAGGTTGAATCTTTGCAATACGATGTAGCTGGAACTACAGATTTTAGCATGCATTCCATGAAATAAAAAAATAAGCTATAATTTGTCGTTTTAACTACTCTCCCCATTTTTTAAACACGAGAATACTGTCCATACCCCGGATGTGCTTTCGTATTCACCACTTTCGTACACATCACGTGACAGGCCGAAGTCGGAAACCATGGCAACATTCTCCTCGCCAAGAAGCACGTTTCTTGCTGCAAGGTCACGATGAATACACTAAGAAAGAGAAGCCAAATAAAAATTAGATAATCCTCTAGAAAGTAAATATTTCTTTGAATTCGTTATTGGATCTTGCACCTTTTTGCTGGCCAGGTGTAACATTCCACAAGCTACATCTCTTGCGATCTTCACTTTGTCTTGGGGCGTGAAGTTTATTTCCTTTTTCGAAACATTGTAATATGGATTTTCTCTATTCTTCTTCAGTTGGTCCAACAAACAGCCATTCGGGGCCAAAGTGACAATCATCAATACTGGCTCTAGAATTTGTGACAAAGTTAAATATTAAAGTTGTGAATCAAGAATTGCAGTTAAGTGTTGAACTGTTTGCGTTGCATAATTGGGAATTTATCATTACATAGAAGGACGAAATTGGAAAGGATACTGCACGCAGAACATTAATAAATATTAACTAAAAGTTACCAGTCTTGGTACAAGCTCCAATAAGACTTAAGACATTGGGATGTTCACCAACTGCGACCATGACTGCTAGCTCGTTAATCAGGTCCCGTCTCTCTGTTTCTGTAGCATTCACTACAAAGAAATATTCTAAGCTTTACTGATATCCAAGGGGCAGCAAATCTGTTTACAAATTTGTATCAAACACTTGAAAGGCATCTAATGCATTTGCTTTCGATCAAGAAATTAACAACCGATCATAAATTTTGTAAATCGATCATTCACTTATTAACTTACTGAGCTTATTAACTAAAAAATCAGTCAAGCAATCAAATTTAAAGCTTCATCAAGAATGTTTACCTTTAAGTTTTTTTACTGCGCATGCTTTCACTAGTTCTCCCATGCGTACCAAGCCTTTGTACACCTCCCCAAATGCACCTTCTCCCAGCTTGTCTTGGAGAGTAACATCTGATCTGGGAATTTCCGCCCAGTCTCCAACTTTCATGGAGAGCTCAATCTTCAAGAACAATGCAACAGCGAATTACTCTTTCAAACATTAGATCACTGGATAACTTCATCATAAAATTCAAGTCAAATTACCTCTTCTCTCTTCTGTTTTGATTTACATATTGGCCGAAACTTTAAGCAAACAGCCAATATAAATACAGCAGCTAAGAACAAGGGCAAGACTATAACCAACATCAAATCTCTGATGAATCCGTCTGTAAGTTGGAAAAAAAAGCAAATGCTTATCGTGAGCAAATGACATGAAGCATTAACCTTTCGCTTACAAGCGTTTTGGTCAATTTGTGTCTTCAATAAGAAAGATAGACAATTGGAACCTTTTTTTCCTTGATACCTTTGTTTTCACGTTTGAACTTTTTGATATTACATTAATTTAGGAACAAAGAAAACTAGGGCAGAATTATTTAATACTATAGAACAGAAGTATCAAACACTATGATCGCGTCTTGTCTTAGCGTTGGATGACATTAGTTGTTATTGTTGACAATTCCTTTCTCTTTTCACTAACTTGGTGAATTTTCGAATAATTTCCTTCTGGAAAGTACCTGTACACATGTAAAGATCAACTTGGTGCTGGTCATTTGGGGAGGGAGAAACCCACTCTCGGTGTTGTTATTACCTGGCAGCGTCTTTTGTGTTAGCAATACACCCTCAGACCTCCCATACTTATTGTTGCTTGATAATATGATGGTGTATTCTGTGGAGGGATCTAAGTTCTCCATGATCATCGTGGTCTTAGGGTAAGGAATTGTCCAAAGTGCGGTAAAGTTCTTCAGTCTTGATATCTTTCGCTCTATAGTGTAGTTTTGTATCTGGTATAGGCTGCCATACTCTGGCTCCTCCCATATCAAAATAAGATATTTTTTCTGTGCATTCTTTACAGAGAAACTTTTAGGGGACCTCGGTGTTTCTAGCGAAAGAAGGAAGAATCAACAATACATAATTAAAAAACCACAGCTTTAAAACTTCATAACCCATATTATGTGGCGTTTTTCATTTCTTTTTTTTTTTTTTTTTTTTTTTTTGGGGGGGGGGGAATGATTTGAGAGTAGGGTAGTTCTTATAAGCATCCAAAAAGCTTTACTTACCCTGAACCCGTATGGAAGTAATTTTAAGGCGATCTCCAAACGACGAACGCATCCCTCCTATCAAATGATTAAGAGCATCATCTTTGTCGGTTGTGTTCGTATTTATTGTTGCAAGGACTTTAATGTCTGCCCTCAGGCTGCCATTTCTAAAAACAAGAGTAACAAAATACTTAAGAATACTTCACCAGCGGTAAATAAGATAATGTTTGTCATGAGAGCTGCTTTTCTCGAATGAACCATCTGCAAGGTACCCAATGCTTCAGTCTTGAAACGTGGGTGAGTGCAAAACCTTTTACAAGGAACGGAAATTTTAATCCATGGGGGACAAAGTTAATTGTCTTCTGAAATGTTATCTAATTGGCCTCATTTTGAAAGTAAGGGTGTTTGGAAACCAAAAAGGGGCCAATAAAGGCTTTAAATGGCCAACGAAATCTTTAAACGAGGATAAAATAGTTTCTTACCTAAAATGTATAGTTATGACGTCATATATCTTCAAAATAGAAGATTTGTTGAAGTGGTGTTTTATCTAAAAGAAAAAAATGTTTTATTCAAAAACAGAGCATGCAAAAATTTAAAAGCACTTCTTTGCCATCCATCAATCAAAATTTTACCAAACCAATTGTTCCTTACTGAAATTCTAATGAGTTCAGCCATTTCCAAGAACCTTTTACTGCTACTGTTGAGTAGATCGCTGCTGAAAACAGAATCTATGATCAGCTGGAAGTCAGCCTCTAATATTTCCTCACCTGAAAATCAACCAAAGAACACAGGGAAGTGATAACAAGACAAAAAAGGAACACAAATGGATGAATATAGCAAATTACGAACTAAAATTTGTTTGGCTGATTAATGATTTCCAAATAGTAATGTACAGCTAGTTTAATGCTAAAAGGTTGAAACTTTCAATTATGCGGAAAAGAGAAATGTAATATGAGTTTCTCCTCGTCATGATCAGTGGCATTCAACCTCATTTCCCCACTCATGATAACATAATTATGACATCTGTTTGAAACGCATCATTGGCACCCGGATATCAACAAAGCTGTTAACTGTTAACTGTTAACTGTCAATTTAACTGAAAGTGGTATATACCCTACATACCAGAAGACAGAGTTTTTAAATCAAGGACCGTGCTACTTGGCCCGTGGCCAATTTCATTGAACCCATTGACCATAATCTCGTATGCTGTGTTTGGACGGAGCTTTGTAAGAACATCCTGAGTCAAGTTGCTCGTTGTGTTTGCTTCATCATAGAGCTCGGACCCTTTGCTCCGGTATTGAATCCGATAACCCAACAGTTTTTCTTCATGACGAGAAGGAGGTATGTTCTTCCAAGAGATTAAAATGGCTGTTGAATTGAGAGGGTGGCCTTTAAGGAAAGTGGGAGCCTCTTCTGGAACTAGTAACATAAACATAAAAAAAACACTCTTTATCTCTTAAAGATTTTGGTCCACAGTAAAGAAGAGTGTGTTCCTTTGGTTGATCTGGAGCAGAGTCTGAAGTCCGAGAGGACTGAGATCATGTTACGTTAAAGTCATCAATAAACGATAGAGATCTCTGAACAAGAATCCTTCAGCTGTTTGGTTATTTTACCATGATCAAAGAGCGCCTGGTAATTAATCTGCTTAAGTCTGCTCTTGATCTACGTTTTCTCTAAGCCTGACCTTGGGTAATATTGTGAAATCTTCCATAAAATTTGTCTCCGCATGAAACAAAGCGAAGGAAATGATGCCCCAGAATATGACATCCTAAATTATTTTTCGTCAGTATCTGAACAATATGTCGGTATATTATGTTCTAAAAAGAATTTTAAAATGATTCTTTAATTCCATTTATACTTTCAATCTTCCATTTTCACTTGTGCCCTTTGGCTCTCGCGTAAGTTCTCTTTATGACTAAATTTACCTCTAGAGGGACATCGAGATACGTTGCAGTATTCCCATCGAACATTTGGGTCAGCGGTATAACACCATGGTCCATCCGGGGCACTGCTGTCTGGGTTACGACACATGTTCGAGTCATTTTTGGAATCAGCGACATCTTTAGGAATCCGCAAGTGACGATGAGGACACTGCGATTTCCACGACTGACATATACGACCAGACCGAGTGACGTTCATGTTGCCACGGTAACCAACTCCCACACCATAGAAACAATCTAAAATTAATCGCATCTAGATGTTAAGGTACTGTCAACGTAGAGGTCGGTACACACGAGGGGAGTGTAGCAGGGATTTGTTTTAGGGACTAGTCCGCTGTACGGTTAACACGATGGGACCAGTTGTGGGAACAAGTCCCCTGAAGAGTTTACCTACTGGGACCTGTTTAACATCGAGATAGCAAAACCTAGGGCGCTTTCACTGAAATTCAGCGAACAAGGAGCGATCCTAAACAATGGAACTTAATTTAAAAAATTAACTCCAAACAATTGTAGGACACGCTCACGTCAGACAACAGCATCTCTTCCATTTATAAGATTGGTCAAGCATTTACAATTTTGAAAGCATTTGCTTTTTTCGCCGAAGTTTCTGTATACTACACTTCCAGAGCTGAAAAACAGCAGCCATTAAAAAAAGGCCGCCATATTGAAACGGAGTACGAAAGGGGTTATGGCAACTTAAATACAGATCAGTGATTGGATTACTTTCATTTGGTCGCAATTGCAAGGACCTGTCACTTTAAAAGTTCATACACAGGGACCTGTATAATTTGTGGGAACAAGTTCCAAGAACTTGTTGAAATCGTGGACCACATTTTGTTACCTGCAACTACATTTTTCAGTGAAACTGGGTAGTTCACACGAAAGGACTTGGTCCTCGGGACTAGTCACAGGAACTAGTTACAGGAACTAGTCCCTTCGTGTTTATCAACCTCATAGAACTTGAAGTGCTACACCGTGGAGTGATGTCGACTGGGAGGGCGAGAAGCCTGAATAAAATGTTAGTTACTTTTATGTCATCGCTTGAAGCATAACTTAACATATACAGAAATCATCTATTTTTTTTATCAAATCTTGATCTTTTTGTTCAAAGCACTATGGACGTATCAGACAGCGTTCGACTAGAGATCGTAAAATAACAATTCAGAACATTAATAACAGACCTGTACTTTCAGTGTCATCACCTATAGGAGATGGAGAAAAGCGAGAGTAGTTGAGGTCAGAAAATATAAAATTATCTCATCGATATGATAGGCTAAAAATATTACAATTATTTCCTAGCGTTAGATTTTTTTATATGTTTTTGTCTTCACACAAGCAAATGCACGTGGCTCATATGCTGCCGGAGCGCTCCTACTTTTCGTGACATGAATTAACAGCTATTGACCAGAGTGGAGGTGGCTACTGGTGGATATTTACTGAGCTGCGAAGCGGCGAGATAAATATCCACCGCTAACCACAGACACTGGGGTGAATAGGTGTTTTAGTATATTCTAAAATAGTAGGATGATATAGCACAAAAATATGATTTTAACTCATTTATTCCTGCAACGATCATAATATTTTAGGGCGCAAATTCCGCCCGAGTTGATCGGAGGTGAATAGCAAAGGATAGTTGGGGATGGAGCAGCCAATCAGAGCGCGCCTCCAACGCTATCCGCTGTTTTAGTACATACTAAGTATTACTATTCCCCAAAGATGGGATTCAAATCAATCGCGGGTAATCTCTCTCCCTCCTCCCTCTGCACTTCGGAAAGTTTCCCCGACAAATCGCCAGTACCCATTAATACACCTGGGAGGGAAGAGGCACCGTATAGTGCAATATATCTTCCCTCAGACACACAGCGCAGTGACCCTGTAAAAGCCAAAGGGTTCTTTAATTCTCAACCGACATGACCAGATTACGCGGGTAACTTGTTTGAATAAAGGAGTTAAAGATGACGCTGCAATACCTACCAGGAAGATTGTACCATTGATAGCACTCAGGAGCATCGCCACCATTAGCAGCAGCAAATCTAGGGTTCGAGCAATTTGCCAAGTCTACGTAGCGTCGAAAGATCGGTATATCTCTGATTAAGGCCATTTCCCTTTTGCAGACGACTTGCAAATATTCGCATGAGCTGCGACAAGTACGGCGTTTTTTAGGCTGAGCCAGTGATTCATCACACTTAGGGAAACTGTATTCACAGAACAAGTCTTTGAATGGGATCCCGCACTCCGGTGCGATCTTAAGAACGTCGAAATAACCCTTAAAGTTCACAGTTTCCCTTTCACCAGTATCCAATGTGGACTGATCACCATAAACGTATAGACTACTGGTTATGTTTTTACAGAATTCGCCTTTATACTCGTAAAATATACAGGATGCGTTTCTTGCGGAGGCATTCACCGGAGGAAATGCTGGAATGCAGCTAAAGATATAGAAACAATGAAAAGGAAATAATGTATGAGCATGTAAATGAATGAATAAATAAATAGATAAAACTGAGAGAGATATTATACAGAGCACTTAGCATTAGCACTTCTGAGGAATGTTAAGCATACAAACCTTGCATTAGAATGCACTTGAGTGAGGTTATTTTCTGTTTATCGGTAAAAGAAAGTAAAGGGAATGATTATTAAAACCCATGACCTCAGTGAAACCGGTGCAGCGCTCTACCAACTGAGCTAACAAGCCAACTGTTGAATCCAAATTCACCACCTTCGAAGTGGTGAATAATGGCTGTAAACATGTGAAAATCATATGTGTGCACTGCGGTTGAAGAAACGAATATAGAATCGATCCTCGCAGTTATGAACACTACTGACCTAGTAGTTGAAATGAGGCCTGAAAAAATTTCAGGCCCGTACAGTTCGTAAAAAAGTGGACAAGCTCAAGGAAACCGAAATGTATGAAGCTAATAAAAGTAAACTCTACACACGATACATATTTTTGTGGTAGTCCCAAGTATCCTCAGCAGACGAGGATTCTGTCTCGCACTTAAACTTTGTAGAAATTCATTTGCCGTGAATAGCTTTTCAATGCTATCCTCATACTCCAAGAGTAAAATGTCACTATCATGTATTATTACTTGGCTATGAGCAGCATAGCATCTGAATCAAAAATAAAAATAACTTTTTCTACCAACCACAACGAACAAAGATGGCGCTCAAGAAGGTAAGAACAACTATGGTCCAGACTTGAGTCATTTCTATGTTGTAAGGTTGGTTACCAGTGGAAAAACTTCAATCTAATTTAAAGATGTAAAGATAAATAAGAAAATTAATTCCTTATCGTACAGTCAATAACAAAACGAATAAACATTTTAAAATATTAAGCAAACTGAAAGAGAGCAATTGATCAGTAAACTCGATATGCGGAAAGACATGAATATCTATAATTTAGAATCGAGCCATTACATAATACCAGACTGTCAGTCGTTATCCTAAACCGGTTGAATTAGATCATTAAGTTGAAATAATCTGCATGAACATATGCATATACCATTCTTCTCCAGATATAAGTAAATCTAATAATATATTCACCAATCAATAATCTAATAATCCAATATAAGTGAACCTAGATGTTATTCTTTCCTAGGGCATAATTATCTTTTATAGACGACCTGCGGTCACTAATAGCACAACAGAGTTCAGTAGCGCAGAAAATTGAAAATGATGTTCGCAGCACGTTAAATGCCAATTTGAAGAAGGGCAAATCTGACTTTTCATACGCCACGTGGTTTGCCTGCGTGGATATTCTGTTTGAGAATCGCTTTCTCGTTGTATGAGATCAGTTCGTCTCCTATCGTGGCGGATATTGGTTTCTAAGTGGAACTGAAATATGCTTAAAAATACAGTTACCGCTACAAATGAGTCTAACTCAGTTGGGCAAACAAAGTTGTTCTTCACAGCCGTTCCTGACGCCAAACTGATCACCCCACAAGACTATCCACTAAGTTAAGAGTCTACTGCTTACCAACTCTCTGATAGATATGGTAATTTCCTCTGCGAATCAAAACAGGATGAACAATACTCTGCCGAAGCGCTGGATCCTGTTTCATAACCAGCCCGCCGTGACATGACGTTTCAGTTAAACTAGGAATAGCACGTCGTTGTAAATAAACTAAATGCAAATGTGTGTCAGCCTTCTAAAATGAGAGCAACGCTCGATACAATTTTTGAAGAAAATTCATTTATCCTTTGTAACACAGTATTCGAGTTATTTTGCTCGCATGCTTGAACTAAAATCACTCACGACTTTGAATACCTTCTAGCTGACTACTGTCATACGTTACAAGGCCTCCTTCTTTTTGGTTCCGCTCTCTGATACTTTACGATGATATTCACCTCGAAAGCTTGAGCTAAGAAAGCTGATAGCGAATGAACAGCTAAGCGAGTAACACGGCTGACTTCCTGCCACCTTTCAGTTTCAGAACATAACACAAGGTCATAGGGGTTGGTCTGCGCAGAGGCGGAAATTACAAAAACTAATCCTCTCCATTGGTTCCTCTACCTAATTCGTCACGGAAGCCAAATAACGCAATCGCTTATGATCTGTCTTATATGCGACACGATGCAAAAAACGATGCAAAATAGTTAATTCAGCGGTCCCCTGAGTAAGATTTTTAATTGACGAAACAAACTTTTCAACTAGTAAAGCAACTCATTCAACCACAAAGAATACTCAGTTGACCCTGTTTAAGCTCCAATAAATGTGCGCATGCTCAGAACATCTAAACAAATTTTTCATATCTCTGAAGGTCAAACTTTCTTCTCCCTTCGTTCAAGTGAATCTTTTGTCTTCATCGGGCAAAGCAACTTACTCAACCACAAAGAATACTCATTGATCTTGTTCAAGCTCGAATAAAATTGTGCAGGGTGAAAGCATCTCAACAAATATAAGGTAAGAATGGTCACAAAAGGGTGGGTAATGAAAAAACCTTTGTTATTAACGGATCTGTCACAATGACGTTAATTTACCTTCGAGCCTTACTGATTTCAGAGTAATACATGGTTTTCGAAAACTCAGGTCTAAATTTTTTGTTCTGTCCCATGTATTTGTTGGTACTTAAAATATTTCTATTCGTAAAAATCAACAAATTGATACCAGGAGGTTTGCTTTGATGTTTTCAAGGAGGAGTAAAATAGACTTAAGACGTAGTTACCAGACGTAAAGTGACGTGACGTGCTTGCGTGACGTAGCGTGAGTTCAAGTCAAGTCAAGTCATGTGGAACGAAGGAACATAAGTAAAAGCAAGTGCACTTCCGCCACAATTAGACATAATTCATGGTTTCACTTCTGTGGTAGTGAGCTTTTTTGCCTTGTCTTTGACTGAGAACAAAACAGAGTCCGTCGGAGCATATTTGTGAGGCCGAGTTTTTGGACGCAAAAAAACAAACTGGTGACCCAGAGAGCCTTTTTTTTTTTTCTTTTTTTTTTTTGCTTTACTTTGCTGACAAGACTTGTTTAAAGGTTTTACAAAATATTTAGTTAAAAATAAACAAAGTCCTTTTGCTTCCAGAAAATTCAATAAAACTCATACGGAGAGTGACATTTATCATCTGACATCTAATTAAAGATTCAAATGAAATCTTGGCCTCTGACATTTCAGCAGATTTGACAATGCGCAATCACTCTTTGGGCAGCTCGTGTTACGTTTCATCACTTTCATGTCGCGACTGGAAGTCGGTGTTTGTTTCATCATTCAATGTCCAGTTACTTCATTCGTGTTCTCTTAACTAAGAACCAAAACGCAGTTTCAGTTACCAGCAGAATCAGAGGCTGGAGCAAGAAGTCAGCATACGGAAAGTATTCAAATTCATAGGTGGATTTACTTATTTTCCGCAAACGGCGGAGTATGATAACATATTGACATTCCTGCCTTTATCGAACCATTCACTTTTACATGAACGTTGTCATGAAACCTGATCTTGTGTCTGTTCTTATTACGCATATGGCTTACTTTCAATGCTCCGGCGAACGCTTTTTAAGATAATAATCAACTAGTCATTTAGGGGTACGTCACGCAATAGCGGAAGGAGATCGTCAAAGTTCTCACAGCGTAAGTGTAATTTATTACACGTCAAATATGTAGAGTACGTGCTTTCACACATGCTGATTAGCTCGCTTGTATGCGACTGAAATACTATATACCTCTGTGGCGAGAAGCAAAGTGGCTTCCTATTTCTCTGTGAGGACTAGAGAGGTAAATTAAGTTTGATTAAAGCAAAGCAAAGTGACAACTAAGTTTGGTATGATTGCATTTCATCAGAAGCTCGCTAAAGACCTTGAGGAGGTAAATTAGTTAGTTACATAATTTTCCCATTCATTGCATTTTCCCAACTTTTTATGATAAAACATCAAAGTTACTGAATACTGTTATGAGCCATCTAAAGGAAAACTAGCCGGGAAACGTGTTACATTTTATGTTGATACCAACACAACAGCGCTTCGCATGCTCGCCGATACCTGCGAATTTGGATCGTTAAAGGATGGTTTAATTCGAGATCACTTAGTCTTTGGTATCAGAGACGATAGCCTGAGAAAAAAGGAATCGAAATTAACCCTGGATTAATGTCTTGACAGCTGTCGTGCCGCTGAAAGAGACCACACAACATTCCGGTTGTTGTTGTTGTTGTTGTTTTCAATTCTCGTTACTACTATGCTTGGCAATGTAATAATATTGTAGGGAGAAGTCATAAGTAATATTTTCCTTCCAAATTTTTAATTTTTGCAAATGGTATCAAAATGAACGCAGTCGCACTGTTACTTAGAGATGTTACCATATCTCATTGGAATACTGGAAACAAAGCGTTGCTTTTTCGGAAAAGCACAGAGGATGCTGTCAACTTGCACTGCTCTCAAAATCCCAAACACTGTTCTTTGAATTTCTGGAATAACTCAAGGTATTCTGGGAAAAGTGAAGATATCCAAAGTAAAATCACTGTGGGAATTTTGTTGATTAATTTAGTAAAACTTTTTTTCAATTAAATAAAAGTAATTCAGGGTAATATGAAAAATTGCACCACCCACTTATTTCAACCCTTTACAGGCAAACATCATTATTCATATTCTCCATACTGTACACTGTATAAATACTACGGTGCTGACAAGGAGAATTTGTCTAACAATCAAGAGTTCTTTAGTTGGTGATCATTTCCTTTATTCTCATGACATTAATGTTTGATTCAATGGTGATATTGTAAGGAGAAAATAGGTGCCAGTCACTCTTAGGGGTTAAAGGGTTAATAAGTTTCCCACAAATCAGTCTTCCTCCTAAGTTGTGGTCCTCAGTGAGAGTAAACATGTTAGAGCAGATTGTGACCGAAATGTAAATCCAAATACCTTTATTTTATACTTTCTTGATCAAAAGCGATGTTGTTGCTAAAAGTGCTATTTAAAACAAAATGAGACCTAGGAGCTTAGGTGCGAAACTGGTGCAGCGAAGCTTGACTCCAAGTTCGCAATAGACGTAGACGTCACCCCATCACGATCAAGTTACATGGGGCTACGAGTTATTAATTTGAATCCATTCTCGGTCATTCTCGACACGTCAAGTCACGTCAAGACACGCATTAACATGCCTGTTCGTGTACTGCTCGTTTCTCTGATAAATATCATCTGTTGGTTTCTATACTCCGTCATAAATTTGAGATTACATCATATTAGAATTTTCGTGAAGTAATCTACAATTGAAAACAGAATATGGTCACCAAATGACAACATCTGTGGGAGAGATAAGTATCAAAGTTTTTCCCTATCGATTTAGCGCTGACTAATATTTGCATGTCTTTAGAGGTTACCGATCGAGTACTTAAATAGAAATTAAATTATTTGATCGTCGTCATGTACTTGCATCTTCGTCGTAGAAATGTACATGTCGTTCTCCAGTTTCGTTCTAGGTGTGAATAACAACTTATATTTTTCGCTGGACGTCTTGAACCGGTCTTCGTTTCCTTGCATGATCAACTCTTCTCACACCATAACCATTTAACACTTTGTTCGAAGATGAGGCTTTACTGCAATCCATGCATGACCTAAGAACAATAACAATGTGATGACTCATTTCCTCGGGAAAGTCCCTTCTGCACCATAGACTTCCTGTTTTTCAATAACGCCACCTCGTGGGCTGCGAGTCTATTTCTTTGAATCAAAACCGTCTTTATTTATCAGATTTCTTTCTCTTTCATAACCAATCGTTGTCATGACATAATTCCGTCAACATATTTCCATCATATGGAAAGTAGTATAGAGTTGGCGTGTTTGAGCTCATTTTGATGAAATGAGCTGGAACCGCCAACTCCTACACTACTAACAACTGATGTGATCAAAGGTTTATTGCACGTAAACTGCACGTTAGGGACAAAGCCTGATACGCGAGTTTTTCTTTTCATGGGTCTGTTTCTTGACGACATCCCGTTTGTATGAAATCGAATTATGGAGAAACTTTTAGTTCCCATCAGTCACGTAATATTTGTTTCAAATCATTTCTTTAACCATAATTTTAGTCTTTTAATTCTGTTTTAAAAACAGATTTACATTTGATATCATCCATAGTCCAACTCAAAGTTTTTGGTACTTTATTGTGTGGTTACGGAATTATTCATGCATGCTACACTAGAATAAGAGCTTGCGTGGCGAGCGCTTGGCGAGAATTTAACCGATACGCGCGGAAAAGAGAAGACCTCAGAGAAGCATACGCTTCTTTGACAAGTTACGCTATGTTAAGTTATAAGCTAGAAGCGTTGCCAAGCACAATATTTGAATGTCTTGTTCATTTCACAGCCAGTGCGCGTGTTCATTTGCCATTATTGCATCATTTGGTCAAAAATTTTCTCTAACATGGTAAAGCATCTCAGATGATAAATAAGCTTACTGACACAAAATGATGATGCTTGCGTCTTTTTCTCTCACAGAAATATTATTTCGTAGCCTTCTTCTCACGCGATAGCGGAATCAACAATAACAAAAATCCAATGATAATAAAAATCGTTGCGATGATCTTTAACAAACCAAACTCCGAGTCTCTAAACACATGGTCCATAAGTGAATTCAAAAGAATGCTGATCATTGCGCCAAGTGATATGAATAAAGTAGAAGTAGAGGTGATACCAAAGATCATTAAAGAGTGAAAAACCAGTGCTAATGCCCTAGTTCCACAGAGATATTCCCACGGCAAGTCGCTTAAGGAAGCACGTTCACACTCCGTGAACTGAAAGATCACAAGTAATGGCCAAAGAAGGAATGTGGTAAGCAGACCCAGACAGGATAAGGTCAGAGAGACTTGTCCTAAAATGGCATCACCAACAGTCTTTTTGAAAAACACCTGAAATTAGATAAATCAATTAACATGTAACTGACCGATTTTCAATCGACAGTTGAGAGTAACCCGGGATTGTTTTGGTTTTACTCCAACTCGTACAGAGACTAATATGGAAAACTAGCGCATCCTCTGTACCAATCAGATCACAGGTGGCTCATGCTCCAGCTGTGAGATGATCATCTTGCGAAATGATAGTCATGGCGTAATTATAAGAGTATGTATGGGAATGTTTACGACCGCTATAAGAAATAAATAATACAGTCATATTTTAAATAAAAATACCTCACCTTACTTCCACAGTGCATCGCTTGTTATCTGACAGCTTACTATGTTGAATAGAACCCATTTTAGCGAGTTATCCATCTCTAGGTTTACTACGTACATGAGACAGGCCTAAGGCTGCACACTTCATTTCCGAACGCCCAATCAGAGAAGCGAAAAATTCAAGCTCAAAATGACCGTGAAGCCACAAATCCAACGCAGAATCCAAGCACATATACTTTAGTTTCATTTCAATTCCCTACAAACTCAATCTTCCCCATGAAGCCGACGTTGAGCCGCAGTTTGCTTCAAGAACTTCCAGTTTAGACGTTTCTCACGGCCCGCGTACACATTCACCTTGACACAAGAACTTTGAAAACCAGCTTGGTGACCATGCCTCCTTTTTAAACTGAGCCTCGCCTGGGACCACACGTCACTTGGCACCCGTGGTTCTAAAGAAAATTTGTTCATGCGGCTGCGTTTGTTTTGATGTCAGCAAAAAATATTTAAATTCAGATCAATGAGTAAAATTGGAAAGAGTTGTGTTATGAAACAATTCAATGGCATTTCTTTAAAAGAAGCTTATCAAACTGTATATACGTGGTAGGTTTCCAAAGAAATTGTGGTGCTGCGTCGGTGGGAGAGTATAGCAGGTAATTTAGTGTTAACAACTGAGTTGGAAACGTAAATAAGCAATGTTATTACATTGCTAACTACAATGTCTTTAGTGAGACCTTTTGGTGGGAAGTACAGCCAGTCATTGCGATCTTTAAATCCAGGTTGCTCCCTTTAATCAACAATTGTAACATTACAACGTTCAGCATATCTCTTTCTAATTCATCACACGAACCTTCAGGGACCAGGACAGAGACTTTCACATGAGGAAATTTTGCCAGTTGTTTGCCGCAGATGTAAATAGTATTTAGATCGCATATAAGCTAGCTAATCAGTATGTGTGAAAGCACTTAATCTGCTTATTTGACGTGTACTGAGTAACACTTATGCAGTGAGAATGTTAACGATCTCCTTCCACTAATGCGTGACGTACCCCTAAATGACTGGTTGATTATTAATTTGAAAAGCGTTAGCACTAAAAGTAAGTCATATGCGTATTAAGAACAGACACAAGACCAGGTTTCACCGACAACGTTCGTGTAAAAGTGAATAGTTCGATAAAGGCAAGAATCAACAGCCAGCGCTTTGGATTTTGTCCGGAATGTCAAAATGATATCATACTCAGCCGATTGCGGAAATTAAGTAAAAATCACCTACGAATTTGAATACCTTCCGTAGGCTGACTTCTTGCCCCAGACTCTGATTCTGCTGGTGACGGAAACTGCGTTTTGGTTCTTAGTAAGAGGACACGAATGAAGAAACTGGACATTGAATGATGAAACAAACACTGACTTCCAGTCGCGACATAAAGCACGAGCCAACCAGGGAGTGTTTTAGCATTGTCAAATCTGCTGAAATGTCAGAAGCCAAGAGTTAATTCGTTCGAATCTCTAATTAGATGTAAGATAATAAATGTCACTCCCCGAATGAGTTTTACTGAATTTTCTGGAAGCAGAAGGACCGTTTATTTTTAACTAAATATTTTTTAAAACAGATCATGAATGAATGCGTCATTTGGCCTTTGACAAACTAGGTAGAGAAGAGAATGGAGAAGAGTAGTTTTTGTAATTTCCGCCCACGTGACCTTGTGTTATGTTTTGCAACTGAATAGTAGCAGGAAGTCAGTGTTACTCGCTTCGCTGTTCATTCGCTATCAGCTTTCTTAACTCACGCTTTCGTGCTGAATTTTATGCCAAAGTATCAGAGAGCAGAACCAAAAAGGAAAAAGGCTTGTAAGGGAAGACAGTAGTCAGTTAGATGATACTCAAATTCGTGAGTGATATTCGTTCAAGCGTGCGAGCAAAATTACTCGAATTTTAGGAGGCTGACACACATTTGTGTTTGGTTTATTTGCGACGTGTTTTTCCTGGTTTAAATGAAACGTCACGTCACAGCGGGCTGGGTATGAAACAGGATCCAGCGCTTCGGCAGAGTATTGTTTATCCTGTTTTAAACTATTCGCAGAGGAAAAATACTACATCGATCTATCAGAGTGTTGGTAAGCAGTAGCCTTTTAGCTTAGAGGATAGTCTTGTGGGTGATCAGTCTCGTAACCAGCGTCAATAACGACCCTGAAGAACAACTTTGGTTGCCAAACTGAGTTGGGCTCATTTGCAGTGGTGTCTGTATTTTAAGCATATTCTGTTCCTCATAGAACCAATCTCCGCCACGATGGGAGACAAACTGATATCATACAACGAGAAAGTGATTCTCAAACAGAATATCTATACAGCCAAATCACGAAGAGTGTGAAAAGTCAGATTTGCCGCTTAGCAAATTGGCATTTTAAGTGCTGCGAACATCATTTTCAATGACTTCTGTGTCTCATTTTTAATTAATTTCTGCGCTACTGAACCCTATTGTGCAATTAGGGATCGCAGGTCGTCTATAAAAGATAATTATGCCCTGGGAAAGAATAACATCTAGGTTCACGTATATTCTGGAGAAGAATGGTAGGAGTCGTTAGAAATATGTTCATGCAGATTCTTTCAACTTAATAATTGAATTCAACTGATTAAAGATGATACATGACAATTTGGTGCTATGTCATAGCTCGATTGTAATTTATAAATATTCATTTCTTTCCGCATATCGAGTTTACTCATTAATCGCTCTTTTTCAGCTTGCTCACAATTTTAAAATGTTTATCCGTTTTATATCAAAGTTGTTGACCGTACGTATCTTTGCATCTTTAAAATAGATTGAAGTTCTTGCACCGGTAACCAGCCTTACAACAGAGAAATGACTCAAGTCTGGAATATAGTTGTTCTTACCTTCTTGAGTGCCATCTTGGCTCCTTGCGGTTGGTAGAAAAAGTTGTTTTCATTTTTGATTCAGATGCTATGCCGCTTACAGCCGAGTGATAATACATGATAGTGACATTTTACTCTTGGACGAGGAAGATGATGATAAACTATTCACGGCAAATGAATTTCTACAAATTTTAAGTACGAGACTGTAAGAACTACACCGGCAAATAAAATGTATGGCATGTTTGCAGTATAACCATCAACAAGGAGTTATATAAAAACTCGGTTGTTATTACATGAGATTTTCCCCCTTAAATAGTGTTATTATAATAACTATTGTAATAATCATTTACTCTACTTTCTTTTACCGATAAACAGAAAATAACCCCACTCAAGTGCATTCTAATGCAAGGTTGGTATGCTTAACATTCCACTGAAGTGCTAAAGCCAAGTGCTCTGTGGAATGTCTCTTTCAGTTTTATATATTTGTTTATTCATTTACATGCCCATACATTATTTTCTTTTCATTGTTTCTATATCTTTAGCTGCATTCCAGCATTTCCTCCGGTGAATGCCTCCGCAAGAAACGCTTCCTGCATATTTTACGAGTATAAAGGCGAATTCTGTAAAAACATAACCAGAAGTCTATACGTTTATGGTGATCAGTCCACATTGGATTTTGGTGAAAGGGAAGCTGTGAACTTTGACGGTTATCTTAACGTTTTCAGTGGGATGACGCTGGAATGCAGGCTCCCAGTTAAAGACTTGTTCTGTGGCCATGTTTTCCCTCAGTGTGATGAATCATTGGCTCAGCCTAAAGAACGCCGTATTTGTCGCAGCTCATGCGAATATTTGCAAGTCGTTTGCAAAAGGGAAATTGCCTTACTCAGGGTTACACCGGCCTTTCAATACTTCATGGACCTGTTAGATTGCTCGAGCTCTAAATTTGTTTCTGCCAATGGTGGCGATGCTCCTGAGTGCTATCAATGGTACGATCTTCCTGGTAAGTATAGCAGCGTCATCATTTACTCCTTTATTTGAACAAGTTACCCTCATCATCTGGTCATGTCGTTTGAGAATTAAAGAACCCTATTGCTTTAACAGGGTCACAGCGCTGTGTGTCTGAGGGAAGATATATTGCACCATGTGGTGCCTCTCCCCTCCCAGGTGTATTAATGGGTACTAGCGACTGATTTGATTGATTGATCGATTTGATTCCCATCTTTGGGGAATAGTAATACTTAGTATATACTAAAACAGTGGATAGCGTTGGAGGCGCGCTCTGATTGGCCGCTCAATCTCCTACAATCCTTTGCTATTCACCTCCTATCGATTCGCACGGAATTTGCGCCCGAAAATATTGTGATCGTTGCAGGAATAAATGAGTTAAAATCATCTTTATTTTGATATATCATCCTACTATTTTAGTATATACTAAAACACCTATTCACCACAGTGTCCGTGGTTAGCGGTGGATATTTATCTCGCCGCTTCGTAGCTCGGTAAATATCCATCAGTAGCCACCTCCACTTTGATAAATAGCTGTTAATTATTGTAACGAAAAGAAGGAACGCTCCGGCAGCACATGAGCCCACCTGCATTGGCTTGTGTGAAGACAGAAACAGATAAAAAAATGAGACGCCAGGAAATAACTGTAATATTTTTAGCCTATCATATCGATGAGAGAATTTTATGTTTTCACTTTGCTTTTCTGACCTCAACTACTCACTTTTCTCCATTTCCCATAGGTGATGACACTGAAAGTACAGGTCTGTTGAACTGTTTTTTTACGTTCTCTAGTAGAATGCTGTCTGATGCGTCCATAGTGCTTTAAACAAAAAGATCAAGATTTGATAAAAAAATAGATGATTTCGATAAATGTCAAGTTGTGCGCCAAGCGATGACATAAAAGTAACTAACATTTTATCCAGGCTTCTCGCCATCCTAGTCGACATCACTCCATGGTTTAGCATTTCAAGTCCTTTGAGGTTGACACAAACGAAGGGACTAGTCCTTGCAACTAGTTCCTGTGACTAGTCCCGAGGACCAAGTCCTTTCGTGTGAACTACCCAGCTTCACCGAAAAATGTAGCTCCAGATAACAAAATATGGTCCACCAATTCAACAAGTTCCTGGGACTTGTTCCCCCAAATTATCCAGGTCCCTGTGTATGAACTGTTAAAGCGACAAGTCCTTGCAATTCCGACTAAATGGGAGTAATCCAACCACTGATCAGTATTTTAGTTCCCATAACTCTTTTCGCACTTAATATGGCGGCCTTGTTAAAATAGCTGCTGTTTTTCAGCTCTGGAAGAGTAGTATACAGAACCTTCGTCAAAAAAACAACAACAAAAAAAACGGACCAGTGCCTAAAACAAGTCCCTGCTACTTTGACAGTGCCTTAACATCTAGATGTGATTTATGTCAGATTGTTACTACGGTGTGGGAGTTGGTTACCGTGGCAACATGAACGTCACTCGGTCTGGTCGTAAATGTCAGTCGTGGAAATCTCAGTGTCCTCATCGTCACTGGCGGATTCCTAAAGATGTCGCTGATTCCAAAAATGACTCTAACATGTGTCGTAACCCAGACAGCAGTGCCCCAGATGGACCATGGTGTTATACCACTGATCTAAATGTTCGATGGGAATACTGCAAAGTATCTCGATGTCCATCTAGAGGTAAATTTAGTCATAAAGAGAACTTGCGCGAGAGCCGAAGAGCACGAGGGAAATAGAATATTGAAAGTATAAATGTAATTTAAAAATCATGTTAAAATTCTTTTTAGAACATAATATACAGACATATTATTCAGATACTGACGAAAAACAATTTAGGATGTCATATTCTGTGGCATTATTTCCTTCGCTTTGTTTCATGCGGAGACAAATTTTATAGAAGATTTCACAATATTACCCAAGGTCAGGCTTAGAAAAAAACGCAGATCAAGAGCAGACTCAAGCAGATTAATTACCAGGCGCTCTTTGATTATAGTATAATAACCAAGCAGCTGAAAGATTCTTGTTCAGAGATCTCTATCGTTTATTGATGGCTTTAATGTAATATGATCTCAGTCCTCTCGGACTCCAGATTCTGCTCCAGTTCAACTAAAGGAACACACTCTTCTTTACTGTGGACCAAAATGTTTATATAACATAGATAAAGAGTGTTTTTTCTTATATTTTTGTTACCAGTTCCAGAAGAGGCTCCCTCTTTCCTTAAAGGCCATCCTCTCAATTCAACAGCCATTTTAATCTCTTGGAAGAACATACCTCCTTCTCGTCATGAAGAAAAACTGTTGGGTTATCGGATTCAATACCGGAGCAAAGGGTCCGAGCTCTATTATGAAGCAAACACAACAAGCAACTTGACTCAGGATGTTCTTACAAAGCTCCGTCCAAACACAGCATACGAGATTATGGTCAATGGGTTCAATGAAATTGGCCACGGGCCAAGTAGCACGGTCCTTGATCTAAAAACTCTGTCTTCTGGTATGTAGGGTATACAACAGTTTCAATTAAATTGACAGTTGACAGTTGAGAGCTTTTTTGATATCCGGGTGCCAATGATGCGTTTCAAGCAGATGTCGTTATCATGAGTGGGGAAATGAGGTCGAATGCCACTGATCATGACGAGGAGAAACTCATATTATATTTCTCTTTTCCGCATAATTGAAAGTTTCAACTTTTAGCATTAAACTAGCCGTATTTTACTGTTTGGAAATCTTGAACCAGCCAAACAAATTTTTTAGTTCTTAATTTCCTATTTCTTTTTCATCCATCTGTGTTCCTTTTTTGTCTTGTTATCTCTTCCCTGTGTTCTTTGGTTTATTTTCAGGTGAGGAAATATTACAAGTTGACTTCCAGCTGATTATAGATTCTGATTTCAATAGCGATCTACTCAACAGTAGTAGTAAAAGGTTCTTGGAAATGGCTGAACTCATTAGAATTTCAGTAAGGAACAATTGGTTTGGTAAAATTTTGATTGATGGATGGCAAAGTAGTGCTTTTAAATTTTTGCATGTTCTGTTTTTGAATAAAACAATTTTTCTTTTAGATAAAACACCACTTCAACGAATCTTCTTATTTGAAGATATATGACGTCATAACTATACATTTTAGGTAAGAAACTATTTTTATCCTCGTTTAAAGATTTTGTTGGCCATTTAAAGCCAATAGTGGCCACTTTTTGGTTTCCAAACACCCTTACCTTCAAAATGTGGCCAATTCTCCTCACCGCTGGTGAGGTATTATTAAGTATTTTGTTACTCTTGTTTTTAGAAATGGCAGCCTGAGGGCAGACATTAAAGTCCTTGCAACAATCAATACGAACACAACCGACAAAGATGATACTCTTAATCATTTGATAGGAGGGATGCGTTCGTCGTTTGGAGATCGCCTTAAAATTACTTCCATACGGGTTCAGGGTAGGTAAAGCTTTATGGATGCTTATAAGAACTAACCTACTCTCAGATCATTCCCCCCCCCCCCCAAAAAAAAAAAAAAAAAAAAAAATGAATAACTCCACATAATATGGGTTACGAAGTTTTAAAGCTGCTGTTTTTTAATTATGTATTGTTGATTCTTCCTTCTTTCGCTAGAAACACCGAGGTCCCCTAAAAGTTTCTCCGTAAAGAATGCACAGAAAAAATATCTTATTTTGACATGGGAGGAGCCAGAATATGGCAGCCTATATCAGATACAAAACTACACTATAGAGCGAAAGATATCAAGACTGAAGAACTTTACCGCACTTTGGACAATTCCTTACCCTGAGACCACGATGATTATGGAGAACTTAGATCCCTCCACAGAATACACCATCAGATTATCAAGCAACAATAAGTATGGGAGGTCAGAGGGTGTATTGCTAACACAAAAGACACTGCCAGGTAATAATAACACCGAGAGTGGGTTTCTCCCTCCCCAAATGAACAGCGCCAAATTGATCTTTACATGTGTACAGGTACCTTCCAGAAGGAAATTATTCGATAATTCACCAAGTTAGTGAAAAGGGAAAGGAGTTGTCAACAATAACAGCTGATGTCATCCAACGCTAAGACAAGACGCGATCATAGTGTTTGATATTTCTGTTCTATAGTATTAAATAATTCTGCCCTAATTTTCTTTGTTCCTAAATTAATGTAATATCAAAAAGTTCAAACGTGAAAACAAAGGTATCAAGGAAAAAAAGTTTCAAGTTGTCTATTTTTCTTATTGAAGACACAAATTGACAAAAACGCTTGTAAGGGAAAGGTTAATGCTTCATGTCATTTGCTCACGATAAGCATTTGCTTTTTTTTTCCAACTTACAGACAGATTCATCAGAGATTTGATGTTGGTTATAGTCTTGCCCTTGTTCTTAGCTGCTGTATTTATATTGGCTGTTTGCTTAAAGTTTCAGCCAATATGTAAATCAAAACAGAAGAGAGAAGAGGTAATTTGACTTGAATTTTATGATGAAGTTATCCAGTGATCTAATGTTTGAAAGAGTAATTCGCTGTTGCATTGCTCTTGAAGATTGAGCTCTCCATGAAAGTTGGAGACTGCGCGGAAATTCCCAGATCAGATGTTACTCTCCAAGACAAGCTGGGAGAAGGTGCATTTGGGGAGGTGTACAAAGGCTTGGTGCGCATAGGAGAACAAGTGAGAGCATGCGCAGTAAAAAAACTTAAAGGTAAACATTCTTGATGAAGCTTTAAATTTGATTGCTTGACTGATTTTCTTAGTTAATAGGCTCAGTAAGTTGATAAGCGAATGATCGATTTACAAAATTTATGATCGGTTGATGATTTCCTGATTAAAAGCAAATGTATTAGATGCCTTTCAAGTGTTTGATACAAATTTGTAAACAGATTTGCTGCCCCTTGGATATCAGTAAAGCTTAGAATATTTCTTTGTAGTGAATGCTACAGAAACAGAGAGACGGGACCTGATTAACGAGCTTGCAGTCATGGTTGCAGTTGGTGAACATCCCAATGTCTTAAGTCTTATTGGAGCTTGTACCAAGACTGGTAACTTTTAGTTGATATTTATTAATGTTCTACGTGCAGTATCCTTTCCGGTTTCGTCCTTCTATGTAATGATAAATTCCCAATTATGCAACACAAACAGTTCAACACTTGACTGCAATTCTTGATTCACAACTTAAATATTTAACTTTGTCACAAATTCTAGAGCCAGTATTGATGATTGTCACTTTGGCCCCGAATGGCTGTTTGTTGGACCAACTGAAGAAGAATAGAGAAAATCCATATTACAATGTTTCGAAAAAGGAAATAAACTTCACGCCCCAAGACAAAGTGAAGATCGCAAGAGATGTAGCTCGTGGAATGCTACACCTGGCTAGCAAAAAGGTATAAGATCCAATAACGAATTCAAAGAAATATTTACTTTCTAGAGGATTATTTGATTCTTATTTGGCTTCTCTTTCTTAGTGTGTTCATCGTGACCTTGCAGCAAGAAACGTGCTTCTTGGCGAGGAGAATGTTGCCATGGTTTCCGACTTCGGCCTGTCACGTGATGTGTACGAAAGTGGTGAATACGAAAGTACATCCGGGGTATGGACAGTATTCTCGTGTTTAAAAAATGGGGAGAGTGGTTAAAACGACAAACTATTGCTTATTTTTTATTTCATGGAATGCATACTAAAATCTGTAGTTCCAGCTACACCGTATTGCAAAGATTCAACCTCCTTTGAAGTGTTACGGTACACGTTAACCGACAGAAAGAACACTTTGCTCCTTCAAACCCACCTACTTTATGAAGCAACACGTCTAAAATGAATGTGAAAGCGATCTTCGAACTTGTCTTAATATAAGTTAAATCTTACGAAGAAGCGACTCTTATGGAATGAAAGCAATAACAATGAAAAAAATAGCATTTCTCTAAAGTATTCTGGAAATTCTAGAAGATTACAACACAACTATTTTAGTAGAATTACATCATTATCACAAAACCTAACAGAATTTTCTTGAATGTTCCATTGTATGTTATTAGAAGGTTCGAGTATCCATGTCACCGTGAGTTAGCGTTCTAGAGATTTCGAGAAACTGCTATTTGCATTCACTATCCATAGCAGAAGACACTTGTAAATAACAGCTGATATTCTCGTTAATCGGATATCCAGCAGACTTTTTCCAATTCGTTTCAAGCAATTAACGCATTCGGGGATCCTTTGGCGGTGCTAAGTCCCCTTGTGGTCCTCGCCATCTCAGTTTTCAACATCTCAACATACAACGATAAGAATTCACGATTTTTCGTACGTACTATTCTTCAGTATTATTTAAACTGGATTGTTTTTACTCAAACTTTCCTTTAAATTTTTTCTTCCAAAAAAAGGGAATATTACCAGTTCGTTGGATGGCTCTTGAGTCTTTGGAAGATTACACGTACAATACTAAAACAGATGTGTAAGTTAACTCTGTGAGGAATTATGAGGGAAAGTTAAAATTGTAAAGCTACATGCTATAAGCGAATAGGGGTCCTAATAACTGATTAAGCTTTCCAGCTATTTTATGTTCTCTGAGTGTTTTCCATTGAAATTAAGCAGCAGATACTTCCCTCGTCATGATTATGAAGCTCTAAGAACAAGTCGGGTACTCTAAGCATACTGATGCACTGTTGTAATGTTAAGATATAGCTCAGATGCTATATCAAATTCATGCTTTCCTTTATATACTATTTATATCGAGATATAGCTAGTAATAATGGTGGGGTTATGGCATTATTGCAATTTGGAATCATAATTCCGTTAGAAATAAATTTGTTTTTATTGTAAAATGACCTAATAGTGCTGTTTTGCAACAGATGGTCCTTTGGAGTGTTATTATGGGAGATCGAATCTGGAGGTAAACAGTTTTAGCATTGAGATTTTTTACCTATTTCATATTAAAGGAGATGTGAGTAAGTTAAGATTTCGTATACCCACACAACACATCATCATCATGTTCAATATCTGCTGCAGATATTGGGTTATCATGTCAACTGCACACGCTATTGTATATTGCACGTATGCTCTCCACTTATCAGAGTTTTTAAAGTAAGTCTACTGTATAATAATTATCATTAGTCGTCTTACTGAGACAAGCTGCCGATTAAACCATTTACAAAGACTGAACTCTTTATCTTTACTTTCAAGGTAAAATGCCATATTCTGGTCTTGGAGGAATGGAAATAATAGAATTTCTGAAAGCAGGAAAAGTTTTAGCCAAGCCGGATGGATGCCCAGATGAAATGTAAATAATCTTGAATGGAATAAGACCCCGGTCTGCCACAATTGTTCAACTCTGAGGTGTGACTAAACAGAATGGTTTTTCTTTTCACAGCTACGATATGATGAAGTCATGCTGGAGTTTGGATTCTACAAAGCGTCCATCATTTTCTGAGCTTTTGGAGTCACTCGAGGAAGAAATAAAGACCGAAGGCGTAAGAATTTGATAGTCACCGAAAAAGTTTGTGATCGTCTGTACTCCTTTCACCGAAAAATGGAATTTGATCGGGAAAGAGCAGAAGGAAATAGATGAAGAGCTCTTTGTGAGCTTTTATGCTCGATAATATTTGTTTCACTAGTTTATCTTGTTGGTATCGAAGATGACGTAACTTTTATTGCAAGTTAATTGGCTCGACAGTGGTACTTATGTGGAGTAAGTTACTAAGATGGTCCAGTGATGTGTTGACATATTTATGGGTGTGTTGTGCTCTGTTGCAATTGAGAGAAAGAAAAGGAATTCGTTTGTGTTAAAGAACATTTGACTTGTTAAGTCACCTTTGAAGTCAGGTTTAAAGAAATTGCATCATAATACTTGACAAACATTGATGAAAATACTGAAAAAAATTTATCTGACAGGAGAAGAAATATTAAATACATGTACAAATTTTAATATTCGTGAACAGTTAAGCTGAGTATCGTTCATTGAGTAAGAGGAAATTAATAAAGAACTTGCTCTTTACCTTTATCTAATGCATAGGCTTATTACTGTTTGTTTTACTTTCCTGTAGGAAATCTTGGAGGATGAGAACTGTCTTGAACCGGATATTAAGGGAATTACAAATACCTCAATGGACGAGAGTAATGACTAAGACGGAAATAGCTTAAAGAGCTTTTGTAGTAGTTCAAAAACCTTTAGGCTAACATTTAAATTCATTTTGGTTATCTTTCATGATTTTCTTTTCAGTAGTCATTTGCACAACTTATTCAGTGGAAAGCCTTTCATGTGCGGCATGAATAAAATTTTTTTCATACATCTGTGTCATTGTGTGTGATCCAAATAAATCGTTGTCGTCTATCATTAGTAGAAGCAAACTTATTGAATTCATACCCTGATGTAACTGCGTGAAGTGGACATGTTTTCCAGTTCATGAAGCCCTTTAGGAAGTTACGACATCAATTTATATTGTGTCTGTTCACTCACTTACTGCCATCCAGTTCGTTATTTTCCTTTGTTCCGCTACTCTCTTTACCGATCTAAACCGCAAAACTGGAAATCCCAATACCCCCCTCCTGACTGAAGAACGATGCTTACTTCTCGCTTACCTTCGTCCACGACGGCACTACATGAAGTCTTGGGGCAAAAAAACTTCAAATGGGCCTGCGCTCCATTATGTCACGAAGAATCTATATTGGCTTGCTACGTAACATCTGTAATTTTCATTGAAAATATTTTAATTTTTTCACACCCCCTTTTTCTTAAACTCCCTATTATTTTGTAAGCGATTTGATTGTTTATTTTTCAAAACTCTCTGTTTTTTACGATCCGTGATCAGATCCGTGATCGGTCCGTGATCCGATCAGTGATCCAAGCCGGTCCAGATTTTGTCGACGCCACTCCGTTTCCGAACGCCCGATATCAGCATGGTAACCTTACCTTCTTTGCAAACTGTGCCTCGCTGGGGACCACACTGTCACTTAGCACCCGTGGATCTTAAATAATTTATTGATACTAGTGACGGTGTGTCCTCGGCGAGGCACAATTTGCAAAGGAGGCAAGCTTACCAAGCTGGTTTCAAATGGTCGTGGTGAATGTGTATGCAGGCCTTTAGAAACGTCTAAACTGGAACTTTTTGAAGCACACTGCGGCTTAGCGTCGGGGAAGATTAATTTGTAGTGAATTGAAATGAAACTACAATATATGTGCTTGGACTCTACGTTGAATTTGTGGGCGCCCGGTCATTTTGAGCTTGGATTTTTTTGCTTCTCGGATAGGGCGTTCGGAAGTGGGGTGTGCAGCCTTGGGCTTCTTCTACGTAGTAAACCTCAGTAAAAATGGTTAACTCGTTTAAATGGGTTCTTTTCATAGTAAGCAGTCAGATAACAAGCGATGCACTGTGGAAGTAAGGTGGGGTATTATTATTGAGAATTTGATTGTATTTTTTTATTCCTAACAGCATTCGTAAGTATTCCCATACATACTCTTATATTTTCGCCATGGCTCTTATTTCGCAAGGTGATCATCACACAGTTGGAGCTTGGGACGCCTGTGCTTCAGCAAGCACTTTCATTTACAGCCTCTTTGCAGCCTCGATCCCAGGCAAATAAGGCTCCAAGCCCCCAAGAGTTTTACTGAGCCAAAAACCATACTTGTAAACCTTGAAAAGAATGGACTAGACTGGACTACATGTCTGATCTAACAAGCGGCAGTAAAAGAAGAATAAAACGTGAAGCTATTGACAAAAAAATGAGATAAATTTGGACTCACCAAATATTCAAAACATTTAACGTGCTAAGAAAAGCAAACAAGCAAATGTATACACAAACAAAGACAAAACTACCAAGGAAACGCACTGTAAAAAAATACGATATGTTTTGACAGCCTTTGCCGTAACCCAGTCCTGCAGTGGACTGTACTAAGAACGTTTCTTCGCAAGGAGTGCATGTAAGGAGCTCGCCTTCGAAATAAGAAACATAAATTCGGAAGCATGTTATCTAAAATATGTTATAAGCTTCTTGTCAAATTAATGGTCCTAGTAAAATACGATTTCTGCCATTTTAGTGCCCAGTATAACGTCTCGTTTTGCTGAAATTTTTGCTTTATCATTCACAGAAACTTTACACAAGATCTAACTCAAATGAACAACTAATAGCCTCAGAACAGGTCTCCCGCTCACAAAGTGGAACGAGCCGCGAAAGATTGGTTCCCAGCCCCGACTCTCGAGGCATTCGCTTCGTTGAACGGCACACTAGTCGTCAAGTTGTGAATGTTGATGGAGACTCTGTCACAAATACAGCCAAAGAGCAGCTTCGTTGAGATTCAAACTCGTGTTAATGGAACTGACGATGCAAAAGACGTATTGATGGGTTCTCAAAGGGCGTTTAATTATAAGTGTTTTCATCCTTTAAGAATTGCAAATCAAATCAGTTATTTTAATTGAGGGTGCTCTTGTACTAATTTGTTTAAGAAAAATTAAAAAGTTTTTGGGTGGCCACTTTTCTCCTCAAACTCCTTGTAGAATCTTTTCGGGAAAAGCAAGATCACAGGAACTCCGGCGGAAAGAGAGGACATATATTCATTTGTGCATCGCTCCTTAAACGACCCATTTGTACCCACTCATCGTTGCAAAAGAGAGGGTTCAGTTTTGAGCTGATTATCGACGCTGGTTCGTCCTCTTTGGTCTCCACAAGGAAGCAATGAAGGTGTTAAACGACTTTAATGTATCACGATAATATTTAATGCTTAAGCACACCATTTCAATCTTGTACTACCAAAGTGTGCTAAAAGCAGTGTTTGGCAGTTATAAAACAGTTGCTGCATTTTCCATCGTGCTTGGTTTTTTTGTTTATGCTGTTACCAGAAAAGTTCAAGGAAACTCTGCAGGAAGTGGCTTGTTGTCGTAAGAGAGGGCGGATATTAAATTGAGAGGAATCCACTCCTAGGGTTTTATGGAGCGTCTCAAGTTTGGGACCCCAACTCCTTGTCTTTGCTAACTAACCTTTTTAATCAATCTTATCATGTATCGCAAGATTTTCTGTAACCCCTCACAGACCCTCTTGAGCGTCAGCAGAACATTACACCAGGTTAAGAAGACCTGTTTAGACCAGGAATGTCCCCCGCGCAACGACTGTATTCAAACGAAATGTGCTGAAATAAACACACTATTAATTTTGTGTAAAAATAGTTAACCCCGGTTTTCGCCGGATAACAGAGAGTAAGCTTTAACATTAGTCCATACCAGAAGTATAAAACTTATGAGGTATATGCTTCTGACCAACTTGAAGGAACATTGAGTTAAACAGCTCGATACACTCAAGGGATGAGAATGTTGTGGTCTCTTTATTGAAGGACTGTTCTCACGCAGACTTGTAGAAGTGACGTTTATAGTAGGAAGTATAGACGACTCTGGGTCATTTGGCATTATCAACTGAGTTGATAACGTAAATTGGCTACTATTAAAAGTTTATTTTCCTCTAATAAGGAGTAAAACCATACAGCTAAGTTTTAAAACTGCTGCAGCTTTAGGACACTGAATATTCATGTAATTCTTTTGCTAATATGTCTGATATAATGGAAACTCAAGCTCTTTGATCATTTTTCATGTTGTATGACGCACATAAGCACTACAAGGATTACTCAACTTCTCGTCTTCTCTATTCTTCGCGAGTTCTCTTTTCGGTATACATGCATAGTTTTGTATTTTATATTTTTTTTCAAAATAAAAGCCAATAAATCACTGGATATTTCACTAAAGAGAATTTTTCTACACACAAGATTCCGATCAAAAGCAATTTTCATATTTTCATTCTAGCCTTCAAGTTCAAGGTTAAAGCTTGTTAACATTGGCTCTAACCGATAGGGACGCATCTTTTAACACGTATCTTCGGATATTTTCTCAAAGATCCTCCTTCATTCTTCAGTCCTCATGAGCTGAAGTAAACAATACGCCATTTTTTATTTTTATTTTTTTATTTGTTTGTTTTGCACTTCCAAATGGATTGAATCCTAGCGATCACGTCATCCGGTCCAATATTTTAACGACTTCCGTTATTAGCATATTCGAAAAGAAAACAGTATCACGCAATTCGAAACAATTACGTTACGTAATCGAAGAAATGTAATAACGAATTCGAAACATGAAATCAGGAAAATGAAATCTCATCAACATACCTTTTTTACGTTACTCTACACAATTAAATCAATCATAACACGTTTTAGTAAACATCACACAGGGGAAAAGTGCATGCCTTTTGCACACGCTCATTGGCTAGGTCGGAGTCGGATGTGACTGGCAAGTATTATTCTTCTGCGAGAAGCTCAAAAGACAAAAGCGCGTGTCAAGAGTTTAGTTTCCGACCATTTTCTAGTGAACTGACATAAAAATATATTTTTTAAATAGAGCGTCTCAAGTTTGGGAAACCATCTCCTTGTATTTGGGTTTATGGCTTCTGAAACCTAATTGGTTACTAACTAACCTTTTTTTATCAATCCTATCATAAAGGGTAAGTTTTTCGTTTGTCTCACGATGTAGTCACGTGTGATGTAGATCGCGACGTTTCGACTGCATACTGCTAGTCTTCTTCAGGCGATGAGGTCGCCTGGTCATGCGTGATCTTATACAGCATGATGTTCTGCTGTGATTAGTTGTTTTTCAACAACTCTGATTGGTGCAGAGATTTGCTCCCTCGGCGGTTCGCTGTCGCACGGCTCTCCTGTTGTTGTGTTTTTTGACAGTGGGCATCCACGCTTCTGGAATTTCTATTCCACTATCCCCGTTGATTTTGTTAGGGTGAAGTCTTATGTGAATTGCCTCTTTGACCCTGCGCGTGTTGTAACAAGGATCACGATCCAGAAACTTTACTTCGTTCCAGAGTGGCTTGTGTCCGGTGTTGTGGGCATGCTCTGAAAAGGCGGAGGTCTCCGTACGGGCGAGGAATGCCTCGATCGTGCTCCTTAATTCTGTCTTGCATAGGTCTTCCAGTCTCTCCAATGTATACCTTGCCACATTCACAGGGAATCTTGTAAACTACACCATCTTGTTTGGCCGGGTCGACAGCGTCTTTTGGTCGTACTAACTGAGATCTTAGCGTAGTCTCCGACTTGAAAACAGCGCGTACGCCTTGTTGTTGTAGGCAACGGCGAAGCTGTTCGGACAGACCTTTGACATAAGGTAAAACTGCAGTAGCTTTAAACTCGTAGGCAGGTTCGGCACTGTTGTTCGGTTTTCCGGTCTTGGTAAGTTTCTGCAAGAAAGAAAAAGGATAACCATTAGGAACCAGAACAGATGACAGATGTTTTTTCTCCTCGGAAATGACAGAGGGTTTTGTTACGAGACGTTTGGCGTGCTCGTAAAGGCACTTGACAATACCACCCTCAATCAGTAAAACGCGGTGCTGAGCTTAACACTTAATTAATTTTGTGTAAAAACAGGTTAATTTAACTTTTGAAATTTTATTTATAATCATGTCAATAGATGTAAAGATGCAGCGTTTAAAGCCGTTCCGCTGCCAAACAAACATCGGCAGTGACTATTCAAAAACGGTAAATGTTTTAGATATCTGCTTGATGGAGGGGGCGGGAACTTTCCTTTTTATGCATAATTTATATGGTCCGTTAACTAGTTCAATCTCATCAGTAACTAAATCGATCATCATAAGTATTTCTACATACCGACGAACAGTGCTTTTCGCGCGCGCTGATTGGCTAGTTCGGATGTGAGAGGCAAGTTACATCTATCTCTGAGCAGCTGAAAAGGCAGAATCGAAATTCGAGGGTTAAAAAAAAAGGTTTGATGGTTTCTTTGTGGTATGTACTATGGCTATTATTCACCTCAGTATCCGTGAAATAAGAAGAAATTACCTCGCTCGTCAAAACTCCACCCCCTTGTCACTTCCACTTCAGTGGACAATTGCCAAATGATATGGAATAATACAAAACAGCGAACAAATCAGTTATTGCTACCTGTTTCTCGGGGCTTTCGTCGCCTTCCTACCAAAAATTTATCTAGGTCATCAAAAGGTTACCGATCGATATATCATGGCTGGGTCAAAATTCATGCCCAACGTAGTGCTAGACAGCGAACGGGAACACCTAAAAGTCTTCCCACCGAGTGGAAATGGCAGGCGTTTCGATGTTCGCACCATTCACATTTCGTGTAAATCAAACCCATACAGTGGAAGTCAACATAAATACGGTGGAATTATCATTTACGGGCGAGATGGCTTTGATGACTGGTACACTGCCAACGGAACACACTGCAAAAGTGGATATGTCGTCATCATGCAAACCGATACCCAAGAATTTCAAGAGCTGCAAAAGAAATGGCAGAATGAACCGGGCAAAGTACATGGCATCATCTACAAAAAAGCCTTCGGGGAATCATGCAACCAAGTGGATGTGGTCGGTGAAGGATTTGGAATCATAGATGGCGAGTTCAAGACAATTTCCAACACCTTCCATCCTTTTCTCAATGACGACGACAAGGGCAACCCGGACGACAAGAAGCACCGCTTCGCGGGCAAAGACGACAGCAAACACGGCCACAGCCTGGAGATGCATCCAGTATCAAAAAAGTGTGTAGAAAAGGTGGTTGAGTGGTGGAAGAGAGCTGGATCCAACTTCCTCGAGCGCCAGAATCATGCGGTTAAAAGTTTACTTTCCTCTGATGAGGAGTAAAAACCACATAGCTAAGTTCTAAAACTGCTGCAGCTTTAAGACACTGAATATTCATATAATTTTTTTGCTAATGTGTCGGACATAATGGAAGCTCAAGCTCTTTGGTCATTTTTTCTTGTTGTATGATGAGTATTCGCTCCACAAGGATTACTCAACTTCTCGTAGGTTGAGCTCCTTCGTGAGTTCTTTTTTAGGCATACATGCATAGTTTGGTATTTAATTTTTTTTCAAAATAAAAGCCTGTAAATCACTGAATGTTACATTAAAGGGAATTTTTCTAAACAAGATTCCGATCAAAAGCAATTTTCATATTTTCATTCGAGCCTTCAAGTTCAAGGTTATAGCCTGTTAACATAGGCTTTAACTGATAGAGACGAATCTTTCAGCACGCATCTTCGAATATTTTCTCAAAGATCCTCCTTCAGTCTTCAGTGTTCAGTCCTCTTGTGCTGAAGTTAACAATACACCATTCTTCGTTTTCATTTTTTAATTTCTTTGTTTTGCAGTTCCGAACGAATTGAATCCTCCACTCCAATATTTTAACGACTTCCGTTATTAGCATATTCGAAAAGGAAACAATATCACGAAATTCGAAACAATTAAGTAACGAAATCGAGAAATGTAATAACGAATTCGAAACATGAAGTCTCATCTACAGACTTTTTTACGTTACTCTATACAATTAAATCAATCATAATACATTTTAATAAACATCACATAAGTGAAAAGTGCGTGCCTTTTTCACACGCTCATTGGCTTGGTCGGATGTGACTAGCAAGTACTATTCATCTGCGAGAAGCCGAAAAGACAAAATCGCGCGTTAAGAGTTTAATTCCCGACCATTTTCTGGTGAACTGGCATAAAAAATAGATCTTTTTGGTATTTTGTGGACTGCACCAAATTTATTATTCACCCCAGCATCGGTGAAAATGGGTGGATATTGGCCTCGCTCGTTAAAAACCCACCCCTAATCACTTCCACTTGAGTGAATGGTTGCGAGCTGACAGGTAATGAACAAATTAGAGCAAATTATTGCGACCTGTTTCTCGGGGCTGAATTATCTTTTATATGCGAAATGGCTTTGATGACAAGTGCACTGCCAACAGAACACATTGTCGTGTTCCATGTTTGCTGTGCATGTTTGCTTTATTATCAAATCGTCATTACCTAGAATTGTTTTTACGTGTTTCTTGTCATACTCCTGTAACCAATTTTCGAATTCGCTTCTGACGCAAACATGGATCCGAACCGATGATTTATTCATCGTAGTTACTGCTGTAAGCGCGCTCCAACTTTGGAAGGTGTTCTCTACCATGTGGCCCTGTTACATTTCCATGAATCGGTAATCATACGCTTTCACATTTCATTGAGGAAAGGCGAAAGTTTTGCGGTTTCCTCGTTCGTCGACAAATCACACAGATAGTTGTAGAATCAACCCTTTACACCCTAATATCAGTATGCATATTCTCTTTACTGTTCTCTGCACTTTACCTCAGGTGATGAGGAACATTTTTTAACAACCAAGAGTTTCTTTAGTTGGTGATCATGTCCTTTATTCTCGTGACCTTTACGTGTAATTCAGGGGTGATATTTTAAGGACGAATATGATTGTAGTCTGGGGTCAACATTTGCTGTATGCAGTTTGGAGAAATATCAACTCATTGGTTGCAATGTAAGTTTATAAATATGTTCTGAAATATTTAAGTGGTCGTAACTATATTCATTTCTATTGGCATCTGAAGGAAAACACGATTCCATGTGCTGTTACATTACCAATTCGTTTCACTGGATGCATCCAGCGATTTCAATATTTAAGGAACCTTTTTTTTTAGTGGGCAATAAAAAACATGTGAACTCAAAGATTCACAAAAAATTTGATGACGTTAAAAGAAAAAAAAAGGAACAAATGGTATGTAAAATTACCTAAAATTATTTTGTGCACTGCTTTTGTCTAAAACCCTTTCCTAAAACAGAACGGTTTTATGATTTATTGTAAGCTTGAGGTAAATGTCCGCATTCCGAGGTGTCTGATTCGGGAATATCGATAATAAACCGACAGTTCTGGCTTTAAATTAACTGTCAACCTAGAGAGGTCCCACGTCATCTTACAACTCATAAAGTGGCCTCATTAAAAATATATAAATAATAACTTAAAAAATGAACCTTTGGAGAAGACATATTTCTTTTTATACTTGAGGGGTTGCTTGGCTTTTCTCCTGCAACGGGATCAATTTTCGAGGACGGGGCAGATTTTTTATCAGAGAGTCCTCCGAATTCCCAGCCTGCCGTGTCTCGCTGTCTTCAGCAAACCCCTCGTCCTGTTCTTTAATTTCATGATGTGGTCTCTTATGTTTCTTTTTCTTCTTGTGCCTTAGCCCATCGTGAAAGCTCTCCCCTGGATCTGTTCTAGTGCTTAGACCGTGATGGACTGGCATCGGTGTTGGAACACGTTCCCTTTCATCTTCTTCCAACTGACCACAGGTCACTGCAGGCGTCAAAGTTGTAGTATTAACTCTGCTTTGCTTAACTCTCTTTTTCCTTCTCCTCTTCAAGTCGCGACTTTCGTTATTTTCAACGTGTTCTTGTTGATCACTGTGCAGATGGACTCCTCCAATTTTGGGCTCTTTTCGTTTCTCCCTTCTTGAATCTCCGTGAGCGACTGTTATTGATACATCTCCTTGGGCAGTGCTCTCCACCGGAACACGTTCCTCTTTGTGACTGGCTTCTGAAGATTCTGAAATATTTTCACGCAGCTTCTTCGTAGCTTGTTTTCTCCTTTCAGTGGCTATTGCTTTCCGTCTCTTTTCGCTGTCAGGAAATACGAATATAAAGATGATTATGCAAATTCAATGAATGAAATAATGACAACTACACGATTATCATATTAATATTATCGTTCCAGAAAGCCTATGTCTACGAAATTTCGAAACTTAAGGAACTTTGTAATCTTTACTTTAAAAAGAAAGATCTCAAAGTTGGAAAATCCACTGAGTTTAAGGCGCTCTTACAGAAGTGTCAAATATTTTCAGCAAAGATCTTGACTTAAGGATTGCCTCAACCTCTTTCAAAATAAAAATAAAAAATTACTTAAGCTTTAAAGACCCCATTCCGGATGCGTTAAAATCCCTACTGATATATAATTTTAAATATGCAGGATGTAACTCCTGTTACATTGACCAGAGAGACAACTCGCCAATTTTCCACAAAGGTGAAGGAACATCTATTGCCAGACAAAAATTCGTATATACACAAGCACTTGCGTCCCTTTCCTAGATGTAAAAAAAAAATGTTCGGCTGAGTCCTTCAAATTCTTGACGCAGCCAAAACTTCTTATTGCCTTGAACAAAGGAAGCGTTATAGCGTGGCCGCTTGCGCTCGGTTCGTATGTGATGAACTCAAGCCAAATATTTTCCCGCACAGCCCTACCAATCGGTCAATAAGAACATATCATTTTTTTGCTTAGACTAACCTTCTACATTTGCGCCCGTGAGCGTGCACTTAAACTATTGTAAAGCTAATTGTCATTTAAAATATTGTCACTTCATTTGAAATGTTATCCCAGTTTTAACGTAACGAGTAACTGTAAAAACAAAGTCAACGGATATAACTGATAATGGCATGAGTCATGCCAGACATGTGTCAAAGAAGTCTTATCGTGAGTTTGAAGTTCAATTTGATTCCATTAATGTCACAAAGCTTCGGAAGTAAAAAGAACATTATTTTCTTGACGTATTTGCGAATATTAGCCACTGCGACTTCCTCATGAATCATGTGAGGTCACGTTTGTCAACATTGCAAACTGGTTCCGCGCTGAGCTTTGGAAAGTTTATCCGCTACATGAGAAGGCTTTCATTTTTCAACGCAAGCCTGATCAATAACTCTTTGTGATCAATAGATCTCAGACGTAGACTGAAAATTACTACAGGAAAAATGTCATTCGCAGCATACGTAGAGGGAGAAGAAGAAAATGATTGCTTTATGGTCTTGCCACGACGTGGTGGTAGTTTGAAAGGCAGGCGTTTCGTCGTTGACACGATTCACATCTCGTGCAAATCAGATCCATACCGAGGAGGTTGTTTCATGTACGGAGGAATCATAATCTACGGCCGCGAAGGAGAAGGAGATTGGTACACGGCAAATGGAACACACGGCAAAAGTGGATATGTTGTTATCATGCAAACTGACACCGAAGAATTTAAAGAGCTACAGAAAAAATGGCCGAACGAACCGAGAAAAGTCCACGGCATCATATACAGAAGAGCTTTCGGGGAATCATGCAAAAAGGTGAACGTGGTCGGTGAAGGATTTGGAATCATGAATGGTGAGTTTAAGACCATTTCAGGCGCTTTCAATCCTACTCACGGCGACGATTATCACTCGGATGACAGCTGGGAAATGCATCCACATTCAACAAAGTGCGTGAGAAAAGTGGTCGAATGGTGGAAGAAAGCTGGATATAACTTCCTCGAATGCCAGAATCATTCGGTTAAAAGTCTCTTGTCTTCTGACAATGACTAAAACTATACAGCTGGCACGGAAATTGTCTTAGTTTAACTCATAAGCTTTGATCGCATGAGACACGGATTATTCGTATAGTTATATTGCTATTTTGTATGACACGATGCGTCTCAAGATCTTCAGTTACTTCCTCATATTGTATGGGCAATAATACATGCTATTCAAGAAACACAAATTTGAAAACAAAGTGTAAAGAGAACTTTAAATAATTATGAAATGATAGGACCAAAGTTACTCCTACATGTTCAAAACATACTCTTTAATTTTCTTTAACAATAAAAGAAACAAACCGCAGTATTGTTGCGAACTGAACAATCGAAGCGGTTGCTAAAATAAAATTTCAAATAATAAGTTACGACAATTATGCGTAAAGAAATCGACAAACGAGAAAACAAAATAGAGTTGTACGAGATCCGGGGACAAATGGCTGGTTAACGGTTCAGGACGAAATAAAACGATTGAGGAAAACGATCCAGCACAGTTTAAATGATGAAGCCGAATGAATTTATACGAATGACACAAACAAAAGAAAAACTACGCCAAAAAAAAAAAAATTAGAACATCGATGAAAAAGCGACAAAGAAAGAAATACGAATTCTAAATGAATTGCAGTAAAAAGTCAAGTTTCCCTCTCAAAAATATTATTGATAGCAATCAATCACTACATAGCTAGTCATCTTCATTATCCAGCCAGTGATCTAACGTAATTAAGTAAACAATATTTACCCTTGCATGAAATACATGTAAAAGGAATGGTATTTGCAGGTGAGCTGCAATTCCAGTAATCAAAGCAAAGATGTCTGAAAAATTTCAGGCTATGATGGATTTCAAACCCAGGCCTACTGGGTAGTAGTTAGGGTGCTGTGACCAACTAAGCTACAAAGGCACAAGCTTGGAGTGGGGCAAATTTAAGTAGAACTTCTTTTTTTGTAGAGGAATTCACAATGTAATGAGATAAATGACATTTAGACAGACAGATGATCTACATGTAAATAAAATATATAAAACAGGTATGTTGCAAATAAAGCAATTGTAGAATAGAAGCTTGACAAATTCAGGTGACAACAAGATTCAAACCTGTGCCTCTTGCAAACAATCATACAGCGTTTCCACCAAATGAACTTCAAAATCACATGTCTGTTGAAGCCTTAATATTGTGATGCTTCTTTCTGCAATTGCTTTTATTCATTGGAGCCTATATGCAAAGATCATATCTTTAAAAGTGATATAATTTTCATAGATTGAGACATACCTGGCATTGTGAAGACAACAGGCCACAAGGCACAAGATGACCAACACAGAAAAGCTTATCGGTATCATTATATAGTTTAATTTATTATCATTTCTGCCTCCTTCCGATTTGCTGTTCAGTGTGACTGACTTGATTTCGACTCCTACCACAGATGAAAGGTTGTGCTTAAAATCTTGTACAATTTCCAGGAGAGTTGTTCCAGGAACAACACTGCAGCTGTCTTGTCGGAGGTCTCTTCCTTCAGGCAAGGTCACAAACAACTGGATCAAAACATCATTTTTTTCTTGTTTGGGAGATTCAACAAATGCTGCATTTTTGGTGGTAAATTTTCTGAAAATGATAATCAGCTGTTAGCTACGCTGGCAGGTGAGTGAAAAAGTTACAAAGGATTATCCACAAGATGTTGAAAGAGAACAGTAATTTTAATCTACTGTCAACAAACCAAATAGCTAATCAGAACATAAGTTTATAACCTCATGAGCCGATGAGTGGCAAAAATAGCAAAGAGACAACTGACTGATTTGTGGGAAACTTATTAACCCTTAAACCCCTAAGAGTGACTAGGATCTATTTTCTCCTTACAATACCACCATTGAATCACACATCAATGTCATGAGAATAAAGGAAATAATCACCAACAAAAGAACTCTTGATTGTTAGACAAATTCTCCTTGTCAGCACCTTAGTAAATGTACAGAGTACAGTATGGAGAATATAAATACTGATGTTAGGGTGTTAAGGTGGGTGGTGCAAGTGTTCATGTTGTCCTGAATTACTTTTATTGAATTGATCTACAGAGAGGAAAACAGTTGTACTTAATTAATCAGCAAAAGTCCCATAATGATTTTTACTTTGGATATCTCCACTTTTCCCAGAATACCTTGAGTCATTCCAGAAATTCATAGAACACTGGTTGGGATTTTGAGAGCAGTGCAAGTTGACAGCATCCACTGTGCTTTTCTGAAAAAGCAATGTTTTGTTTCCAGTATTCCAATGAGATATCGTAACATTTCCAAATAACAGAGCAACTTTGTTCATTTTGATATCATCTGAAAAATTAAAAGTTCACATCAGTGAGTAAAATTTAAAAGATTTTTACTGTGTTCACTTTGGTGTCATCCGAAAAAAATTAAAAATTCATATCAGTAGGTAGAATTTAAAAAAACTGTGTCATAAAATAATTTTAAAACATTTCTATAAAAAGAAGCATACCAAATTATGCCCACCCAGGAAGGAAGGGAATTAACTTATGACTTCTCCTTACAATATTATTACATTGCCAAGCCTGGTAGTAATGAGAATTAAAAAAACAACAACAACCAGGAGATGATTTCTTATTTAACAAGAAACCCTTAGAACTAAAATCAAAAGTAATAGTTAGGTTGTTGCGTCTGGTGAATTCTTACAAAGAGCTTGCAGGAATTGGAAAACATTTTACTGGATTTGAAATTCATAGGTTCAAGATACTACAACAAGGATAACAAATTTTTTTTTTCAAAGTAAACATTTGGGAAGAAGGGTCAGTTCAAGTGACTACCTGATGACATCTTCTAATTATTGAAAGAAATACATAATTTTGAAAATTTTTAATTACTGGCCTATGCTGATAAAGACAGGCTCCCTAATGATCTTTGCTTTTGAAATCTTTCATCTTGATTGTAACAGGTTGTTATAATTACTTTTCAATTCATAAATATCTCAATCACAACACTTTAAACAAGAATTTGTCGATATTTTCGGTAGAAGTACCAGTATCTAAGCAATAAGTGCCTTGAGTAGTGTGTGGTTTTTTTTTTTTCAAATAGATAATTATAGTCAACTGTCACCTATACAAGTCAAAATCCATATATTGTAAGTTAAATTAATGTAATGTCAACACTTTCCATTGAATTTAGTCTGAGAATTGGATCGTGATCAACAGAAATGGTGAGTGAAATATATTCTAGCTAAAGTTAAATGAGGTTACACTGAATTTCAATTTAAAATAGGTTAGTACCTAAAGCTTAATGTAGGAACACACAAAATGAAAAGGACAAGTGTAAAAAAAATATGGCACCCCATGATGATAAGGATGTGTCAACTTGATGAAAACAAGAAGACTTGGAGATCTTCACTGTTTCTAAATTAATTTCAAATGCATGAGTTGTTATCTGTAACTCTTTCTTATATTTACATTTTATCTGTTAATCTAACAAGTTAAGAGAGACTATATAAGAATAGAAGGGTAAAATTTATGGTAAGAGCCAAAATTAAAAATTTCGTTTTCGAGAAAATCGGAAAACAGATTTGTTTTGACACACGTAAGCACGGAAACAGGACGACCACTCGTGCCTTGATCGAAAGCAATAAATTTTGATCGCAGGAGACAAATAAACTTACCGCACGACTCACTGTTATTGACCACAATAAAAACGAGGGGTAGCGCAGTAGATAGCCACGCTCCGAACTCTAGTGGACTTCGTATAAACATCGTCTTAACCAAAACCATTTAACTTTCCAGAGGCTTCATTTCACAATACGTACCGATCAAACACGAGTTTTAAATTCGATTACACACGCGACAACGAGATGAAGTTAAATTGTTCCCTTCCTATACAACAGCAGAGTAGATTCTTCGAGCGCTTAAAACTTTTTGATCTGGACATTTCCACGATCGATGTAATTTAATTACGCTTGATCACCGTTCCTTGGGAGCATAACAAAGATGGCAAAATAAATTACTTGGCAACAGAAAAGCGTTAGCGGCAGCAATATTGAAATGAGAATTATCACTGCAGCAGGAGATTAACTTCCGAAAATAATTGTTTGAACGACGATCAATAAACAAACAAAGTTGAGAATATTCATGAACGATACATCGATCATGAAGTTAGGAGAACGATACACTGAGGCCAGACCTCTCTTACTGCCGTTTGTTAGTTGCCATTGAACATATAAATGAAATATATTTTAGCTTAAGTACAAGGACAAGTAAGTCAGCTGTTTGGATAAAATATATAATGTATGATCACCTGCGTTCTTTACTTCTGCTTTGTTATGTAAATTTATAATTTTAATCTTGATTCTTCGGCCTGCTGGCTCATGAAATAGCCAGCGGTTAATAACTCAGTCCTAATCTTACTCTTTTACATGTAACGCCTTGAAGAAGTCGTGTTCCTTCTGTACGACGTGGTGACTTATCACAAATCGAAGTCTCAAAAAGATGAAACAACATTTTTCTCTACATGGTGATAAATGGATCCCCACCAAACAAATTGATAGTATGTGGGAATTTGTCAAAGCTGTGAGTTTATCCCTATTTTGTGAGCTACTTTTATTTTGTCTTAAGCGTTTCGAAGAATGATTTGTTGTGAATGCAGTTATCTAGATTGATCTCGTAATGTTATTCATACTTCTTAGGTAGACTGGACTGAACATTGGTTGATAGGTCTGATTGTTTTCCACACGGCAACATTCCTATGTGTTATTTGCACAAGAAAATACACTAACTTTCAAATCGTCTTATTCTTGTTGCTATGTAAGTATGAACTAATATCATGTGTTACCCTTTGCCCAAAAGAAAATAAAAAATTGGTGACTCAGTTACACAGAGTTGATATTTGTCTACATTTTTCCCTCAGTGGGACTGGCATTTGCTTCAGAACAAATCAATACCTTAGGAGCGCAACACTGGAGGTAAGCACTGACAATATTCTGATGAATATTTAAAAGAAAGAATTACAAAAACATATATGCCAACTATTCCATATTATCTTGGAGTATCCACATGAATTTTGTGGTCTCCTGTATAGTTTGTTCACACTGATTCCTAAGAGCTAATTCAGCTTTCTTTTCTATAGAAGGGAGGAAATCAAGTAGTTCTTTATTCACTCAAGAATGATACAGTTTTCTTTTGAAGGATTTCCGTATTTGTTCACTTTGATTTTTATCTATATTTTGTATTTTTTGGGTTCATTTCTATGAACTCCCGGTTGGTGAGGAGAAACTGAGACATATAGGTTAATTGACATATTAAGAGAAGAGTTGGATATAGGAATCTGAAAATGAAAATAAATAAGATATTTATTTAAGCTTTTCCTTGTTTATTCAGGAAAATGAAATGAGTAGAACCCTGTCTTAAACTAACAAAACAATTAGACATTCACAAATTACCATTATTTAATGTATTATTTTTTATATAGGACCTTTGCAAAGGAGCAGTATTTTGATTCAGCTGGTTTGTTCATAACAGTTGTGTATTCAGGTCCAATACTTCTAAACTGCTTTGTTTTGACAGTAAGTACTGGAATAAATTACATTTAATTCTCAATTTATACTATCAAATAAGAGCCCCTCTAAAGAAATGCCCATCCAGCTGACCAAAATATTTTAGAAACACCCCTTCTTTGAACAGGAACCTTCAACCCCTTGTTTTTATAGAAGAGTGATCATATTTGTTGGATTTTCACATTCATTCCATACTTTTGTCCAGTTTGTAAACACAGTGTTGAAAAAATAGCTGTGAGTACCTACTGTCCCTCTCTGAAAACAAGATGATCAGCTTTGTGCATGATTACATGCTTTATACTGTTATATCATAAATGATATATTACAAGAAATGATCATATCTGGCAACTTCCCTTTCAGTTAATGGTCTCCTGTCATCACCTAAACTCAAAATTGATCTTTCTCAAGTTCCAGCTTTCCTTGATGTTGTTTTAAATGGGCCTTTTGTTATAACAAATTCCCTTTCTTGGTTGCTTCAACAATTTTCCATGTTTAACACATAGGTATTTTGAACAAGCTTTCACAGCTCCTAGGCCTAAGGTGTCTATATAAAGTATTGTTGTTGTTGTTGTTGTTATTATTATTTGGTCCACTCTATATCATCACCAAAACTAAACTCTACCCTGTCAGGGAAGTGGTTGTATAATGTACTCAGCTCAGTATTTTGCCCATTGGACAGAATATACTGTCTTTTTCTGCTTGTCCTTCTTGACAATGAAACCCTGCTGTTATATTTCAAGGTCTCCTGGCTGTGGACAGCGTGGAAAATGATGATAGTGGTAAAGAGAGGACAACTTAAAGAACTGAAGAAGAAAGAAAGAGAAGAAAAAAAATCACAATAAGATCAGGAGTATAGAATGCTAATATTAAGTGTTTATATTTATTGAGAAAAAAAGGATTCTCTCTTGCTACTCAGTGATGTTATGGTTCCCAGTTGGATCCATTGAGGTTTGTTCGAGCAAAGATCGTTTAGGAATTAGGCCAGAGTGGAATCACCTCAATGTCCAATTCTTGAACCAAGTTTCCTCGATCCGTCGTAATCGATTGTTTTTCTCCATGGTTTTGCCTAATCTGTTTTTCTCTCGTTAGGGAGCGAGATCTTTGGCTTGCGTGACAAGAAAGGAATTGACCCAGCGATCTGTAGTCCATTTCATGATCAGGCGTTCGCTCTCCACCCCCCCCCTCTCCTCTTATTAGAACAGTAGGATGAAATTAGACTTCCACCAGTCTTATTGTCACTTTCAGATTGTAGCTGCATGTAATCTACTGACTTGGTCGGGAAATTTACTGACCTTCGTTTTATTCTTTAAAAATGATTTGGACACTTTGTACAAACTGAATTCCTTTATTAGGAGCGACTTTTGGAAAATAATTAGCTTTCAAGCAGGCCTCCATTTTTAGTGTTACGGTACAAGTGTTTCTTTGCCCGCGAGAAACTTCAAGGCTTTCATTGAAGAGAACTACTGTGAGATCTGCAAAGGGTGTGGCTTACAGACCCCTCGCTTACCTCTTTTGCTCAGGCGAAGAAACAGCCGTGTCGCAGGGTCGATGATTGGGGCCTGCTCGCGGGCTAGGAAATAATAAATAAAGGGAACAAATGAGTAAGTTCCGCCTCCTGCTGCAACAACATCGGAAAGTAGTCTCTTTTTTCCATTCAGTGAGTCCGCACCTACTGCACAACCTCTATTTACTGTAAAGCAGAAAATCCCAGTCAACCTAATTAACAGGGTGGGTTTCAAGACCGTCGATTTTAAGACCATTACTCTCTCATTTTTCTGAAAACAAGAAATCGCTATGCTTGGATAAAATTCAGATCGCAGCTCAAACGCGGCGTTGATCAAAAATTCTCGAGAGATCTGCTGAAAAGACCTCCTCCTCTGTAACAACTGTTGTAAAAGCGTGTCGTATCTTCCTGCGAATAAAAGAAAAAGGTTTTACAGGACCACAGTGCGCGGTGGGTCAGATGTAACTCTTGTCTGGATTCAGATCTAGATTGAATAAGTTATCTCGAAGGATTACGGCACTTGTTCCTTAAAGTCCAATTTGCCTCCCTGGTACAAAATGAACATGGTTTTATCTCACTAGTCATTGCAACACATCTCATAGGAAACGCAGAGTGGAAAAAAAAAAAAGACTGATGTACGCCGTTGATTCAGATAATGTTACGGTCTTACCGAGGTGTTTTTATGAATTAGTTTTGGTCTAAGACCATCTCCCAACGATCGATAAGCGTCAATAAAATGTTCCTCATTCTATTCATTATTGCGCATTAATAGGGTGACAGAGAAACACGAGTGGAAAATAGACTTGATGAGAATCAACCCGATTTGTTAGCGTGACTAGAAAAACACCCCGTGATGCTTAATATTGTTCAAACACCCAATCAAAAGCTTCCGTATAGAGAGCTGACTTAAACGATTTTCTTCTGCCACACTAAACCGAAATTCTCAGAAAAACTAATTCCCAAAATTTGAATAGTGTTCAATCTGAGATACCGATGAGGCAAAGAGAATCGAATTCACCGTTTCATTGGTTAAAGAGATAAATCTAGTTTCCAGAGGCCGAACTTCCTTACCGTGACTGCTTCCGCCATAGGTATACGCGTACGTTGTTGATCTCAAGCGAAGGTAAGCTCGTATATTACCAACAAGTAACAGTTAACTAAAATACATGTAAATTTTCTGGTCAACATTTAAGCGGAACTCCAAGAACAACGAACGCTTCGTTAAACATATTATGTGTCACTTCATCATGTACGCCATCTAGCGCTTACCGTGATGTGAAGTCGACCTTCACAGCGACTTCGGTGCCGTGGCTGTCTCAGAGGGATTTGTGATCTAGCTGTCATTTAAGTTACATTTGCCTCTCAGTTAATGTTATTGGAATAGGAAGTAGTTCCACGAAAAATCGCTGCCTTAGTATAAAAAGGGAGCTATTTTATAGTCAGAACTGATTAAATGTTTGAATGCACCAGTGGTATATCTGTTATTCATTGATTAAATTGACGTTCACCGAGCCTGATCGTATTTACATGTATTTACCTTCTCTATAACGTATCTTGGGGCCAAAAATGAGATGAATTCACTTCCTTATAAACTCATTGATCTTTCAGATGTAAAAAGGCTCCTTTATGTGAATCAATGTGCTCCTTCATACTTAATCAAACATTGGCTTTTAGTTACAAAGCACCAGCTGTCCGACAATTCTTAATTTATGCCGGCATGACGCTAGGGTAGCGTCATTGTTACTGTATTCTGAGTTGCTAAGACATTCGGAAAAATAACTATCTTTGCAAAACAACTAGTGTGAACAAATGATCGTAATGAGGTATTGAATATCTTGTTCGCCTCCGACCATAACTGTAAATGTTTTATTTAAAATTGCGTTACATCATAACAGAGATCATCAACGGTTCATTCCATGTCCACTGTTGATAAACACTTTACGATACAATTTATTTATCTCTTTCGCTTTTTGAATTCCCCGAAATATCCTTTGGTTTATTTTCCACAGTTGTCTAAATTGCGTTTCATCCTTGCCACGATTGCTTCTTCGAGAAAATTTCTCTGTCGCAAAACGATTGAAAATATGGCGACTTAACTTACAATGACTTAACTATTGCTGGTTTGAAGATTGAAAGGAAAATGATTTTAAGTAGAACTTTAGACAAGTGGGGTACAGGCAACTTTTTCCTTCTCGGTCCAAGCCTTGTTTAGGATTATTATTTTCTTAATTTGGCGACAGAGTAACGGAATAACGGAACGAGACCTGGCCAGATAAAATCATGTCCTGTTTTCTGTATTTCATCAACACACAACCCCCAATTCCTTTTATTGGCACTGAGGAAGGGCTAACGCTCGAAAAATTACTTTAAAAACTGCTAATGGTAGCTTATTTACATTATCAACTCATTTGATAAAAACAAATTATCTTGTACTCTCAAATGCCTTTCTCCGCTAGCAGTTATTGAAAGCTGACGAAATATTGAGGGGGTGGGGTGGGTTACCCGTCCTTAATCGCATGGATAGAAATACGGGAACTCTATTCTATGCTCTGTGGATCGTGGCGACTAGGCCGGTTTTATTAAACCTTTTAACTAAAGCTATTTTTTAACAGTGATGGCTGAAGGACGATCAGGAGGTCCCTTTGAAATAGACTACCCAGAAGGTGTCCCATACAGTCCTTGGAACTTCAACATCTACACCATGTTGACGATAGTTAAACAGACCTGTTTTGGGCATGTCAAGGCCAACTTACGTCATGTGCTGAATCATCTCATGCCAGGAACAACACAAACGCTTCTGGAACACAGTGAATCCCTTGAGCTGGACAACTGCTTCATAGCAGGTCAAAAATTTGATGGGCAACGGGTTGGAAGCATGCCAGAAGATGTGCCTATCGTCCAACCAATAAGACAACCTATAGACTCGGATGACGACGTTATGAGAGATGTTGGTTTTTCTTTTGAATGTGATTATAATCTCTGTTTTAAGGATATTTCCGCTAGCGAAAATCCACCGCAGAGAGTTGATTTGAAGTCCCCAGAGGAGCATGTACAATTGCAAGTCCTCCCTTCGATGCCTCCTGGTTATGCCCGATTGGCAGTCCCTCCAAATGTGGATTGGGTACCAGGTCTGCAGAGTCTGTGTGTCCAAGATGAAGAAATCACACTCTTATCCTCAGAGCTTCTCATTGAACAGATGTACAACGTACTAACAATCATCACGGCCATATTAAACGTTCACAGAATGAAGAAACACCACAGCAACGATAAACCATACAATGAAGAAGATTGCATATCCCTTGGGGACTACCTCCAATACGTGGGACAGGCAGGACCAGCAGTCCACGTGGTCATGTGCATGGGAGACTTAAGTCCCCAAAAAGGGAGGTTCCTCTTTCTCACAGAAGACGTCAGTTTGTCTGTGCCCTGTAAAGAATGGCCCAGCTGTGCCAAGGAATGGTACACGAGGGACAGGCCATCACGTTGGCCATCACAGGAACTTATCAAGAAGGTGATACAGGATGGGTGTCACATTGTGCCAAAGTTTGACGCAGCAGTAAAAAGTTCAGTGACCCCAAGTAACAGTGAAATGGCGGAAGCTGCAGAGGGTAGTAATTTCCCCCAGACCCAATGGAGGTACTCATTCTCGCTGGCAGAAAGAACCCTGATGAACTCCATCACAGACGAGCAGAAGATGTGCTACCTTATTTTTAAGTACTTATTCTCCCGATACGTTAAGCTGGATTCAGTGATAACCACCTACACTACAAAAACTCTTTTTCTGTGGGCACTGGAGACCGTGCCTGTCGATCAGTGGACCAAAGCAACGATCGGTGACCGCGTAAAAGACCTCATGGAAGACCTGAGAACCTGCATTAAGAAGAAGCACTGTCCGCATTATTTCATTAGTGGGTCCAACACCCTCCAGCAAATGGACGACAAGAGCCTTAAAGTTACATTAGAGAATGGTTTGTCTATGTTGGATGAAGATATGGCGGAGGCACCAGTTTTGGGCTCGGGCACGTTTGAAACGACCTCGGATTTCCCCGTCAACTTCATGTTTACATACAAATCGTTCTACCCAATCAACGCCTGGTTAGAATCACTGAACGCTCAAATGATGGCGAAACTTGATGCACCGAGTAAAGTTCCCTCTGAACAGATCCTGGCAGATTTCATGGACAGCTCGAAAACTCACCCACTCGCGATGTCAGAGATTTTAAAATATCTTGTTCTATCGGACGAGATTTACAGTCAGCCTCTACCCGTTCCAGAGTTCCTCCTGAACCACGGGAAGGTTACACAGCTGATCAAATTCTTGGAAAAATCCATCACAACACCAGAAAAGTACAAAGAAAGCATGGCAGAACTTAACGTTGAGATACAGTTTCTTCACTTGCAGTTCAGAATAATCGACGAGCTTCAACAGTTTTTCACAGAAAACCCAAATTTTGCCTTCAGCTTTGAATCAAGCTCCGACGAAGGCGGGTCCGAGGGGGATGAGTAACCTCGCGTTATTCTTTGCCACTTTGGAATAAACGAGGACGTACCCGCAATTTGTTTTTTCTTCTGGAAACTCTGAATGTTTTTGCCGTATAATGGATAATATACTAACTATCAACTCATAGCGAGTGGTTAGAATGGACCCTCGGGGAAACCTATACACTATAATCGCACTGAAAATATTTCTGGCTGTGGTGGCGCCTTAACTTTCTTCACTGAAGTAAACTGCAAAATTAGATGAATATTAATGATAAGCTGAGATATCTTTATTCATGTCTTATTCCAATTTTTCCCTTGCTAAGAGAGTTTGTGAAGGGAAAGTTTTACTTCATGAGGGAAATCACAAGGGGAGAGGGGAGGCTAGTTGGAGAGTGTAGCTTTGTTACCAGACGTTTTCATATACTCACTTTAATTCGATTGATTAGCTAACAATTTAGTTAAGAAAAGTATTTAGGAACTGTGCTTATCTACAGACATATAAAGAAGATCCCTACGTCATGACATGCGCCAAGCTCTCGCTTTGTAGAAAGGAATGGAAAAGTAGGTGCAAAAAATAAAAATAACTTCAGATGGTGACTGTGTTATACCCCTGATCATTGTGCGTAGTTTTCTGTACGATTAGTGTCTTTGACACCACATTTTCCAAAAGGGAAACAGCATAACTTAACAGCAACCTTAAATATTAATTGCTTCTTAAAAAATACAAAGCAGTAGCTTGAATTTTTATCAGTTGGTATTAAATAACCAAATGGACAATTCGAATATCTGCTTGTTTCAGGTATGAAGTCTTCACTTCACGAACCCCGAGTTTTCAGCTCTAATTTGTTATCATTAAAGGCAATTACTCTAAGGATAAACGCATGTCGCCTTGTTATCTCCAGGGGAGTTGAAGTCCTTGGCCATACAAGAAGGCCTTGGTTATTTCATAAGTTACAAACTGGATTCCAACAAGTGGGGCAACCTGTTGAAAGACACAAACAACATAATAAATAGTGATACCAATCATTTTTCTGAACTATTCACACAATGGTTGATCAGGTGGTCTGGTTGAGAGTAGTCCTGAAATGTTGTCAGTGAGTGACACAGATCGCTGTTTCAACAACCTGGGTGGAAGTACTCATCAGAGTTTAGTGAGGAGTTTGTTAGTGAAATTGATTGGTTGAGATGATTTCAGTTGTAAGACTAAACTGAGCAGCAAACCACTACCGAGAATTCCAAGGAGTAATCCTCCCCCTCTCTTACTATTGAGGATTTCATGATGGTGGCTTTCAAGTGTTACCTTGAGCAGATTGGGCCACATTCCTTTGTATAAACCTTTTACTCCTTCCACTTGAACAATGGTTGTGAATGCATGTTTAGTAGAGGTGTACGCAAACAGGTCCCCACTGATCCCTTTCATTTGCATTCGTCTTCTCACCACATCTAAAGGATAAGTTACTGAAAACAAACATAATTAAAGTAAAGGAATCAGAAAACTGGTTTAGATGCCTACTTTGAGAAATACCCAACTGACCAGCCTGGGAAAAATACAGGGTTACCTGGTTTGAGAAATACATAAACTTAAATAAAATTTAGATTCCCAGTCTGTTTTAAACTTCTCTTATTCTCAGCCATTATGTTCCTTCTTTGCTCATAATTACACAATTTGTTTTTTTATATCTTGCCAAAAAAATACTTTCTGGTCTTTTTCGAGAGTAGAAGGGTTAACCCATTAACTCTGATTATTGACAAAGATAGAATTCCTCCTTACACCATCAAAACAAAAACAAGCAAATAAATCATGAGAATGGAGAAAAATATAATTTAGGGGGATTATTAGTTGATCCAATACCAAATTCTCAAATCTAAAACATCATAAGAATTGTATGGGAGAAAGTAAGGAGGATTACTAATGAGACCTTGAGAGTGGAGGGTTGAAGATGCATTATTGTGTACATGTACAGTATGTCTTTGATTAACTGACAAAAATGGCATGACTCTAGTTAAAGTAATTACAAAGCATGTTTCATCAGCTTGAGAACAAAATTCTACATTGAATTAAGGTTAGTTACAGTGATACTCACCAGTTTGAGAAATACCTCCTGCTAGTCCACCACAAATGAGACGAACCATGACAGGTAATTCCCTATCTTTGTCCATTCTTTTCAGCTCTGCTCCCCGTGCTCTCACAATTAAATGCCCCAGGACAAAATCTAAAATGAAAAATAACAAAATGACTCGTTCATCACCAATAAAGAAATTTGGTCTTAGTTTCATTACAACCATGGGGCTAAGAAAAAACTGAGAATCAAAAGGTCTGAGGTTTGATACCTCACAAAGACAAAGGACTCTGATGTTTTTACCACACACCCATGTTAAGTTGATGGAATAAAAATTTTGGCTTTGTTCTTTCATGAGCTTAAAAGTTTTTATCTTTCTTATGATATCCTGCTACATCAGCTAATGATTCATAACCAAAGATATAACCTATATATGAAAAGAGTATGTAGTTCAGGCTTTCTGAGTCTTAGTGCCATTAACTTATTGTGCTGATGTTACAAAACCTTCAGAGTTACAATAGAGACAAAATAGGTGAAACAGTACCTTTCAAAGTTTCATAAACAGCAAAATTCAAGCCTATGTAGGGAGCAATTCCCTGCAAAAATGATTGCAAAACTGTGGTATTATCAAGGAGGTAAGTTTCTAGAGAAACTGTTGTGCAGTGTCGGTAGGAGAGTATAGTGGGATAATTTAGTATTATAAACTGAGTTGATATCGCAATTTGGCCACCAAGCTGACCTTTTGAACATTAGCCCTTTGTCAGAGCCATCGATGACAAATGAATAAGGTTTTGTGTTAACTTGAATGTGCCATCACCTACAATCAGTGTCACATGCAGCAAAATTTAGAAGGTCAATGGGGAAAAAAATTAAGGCAGCCGAGTCACACTGGCTGTATCATTAGTGAAAATCAATTTTGGTTTTCAGCTGATAAAGAAAAAAAGATTGACTGCATAATGGACCTTTACATTGTTAAATATGTATTCAGTGAAATTAGATATACAAGAATATGAAGAGCTGACTTCACAACTGTTTCTCTACAAAATTATTACTTAGTCTTTATTACCCATATGTTATTATTTGACCAATTATCTCTAACTTCCTGCCCTGCCCGCTATTTAAAGTCTAAACAGTCTTAGTATTTGTATCTTTATTCTATAAGCGAAAGAAATTTGTGGCCAACATTGTCCTCACCCTGGAGATTATAAACTATTATCTTGCTTCAGCCTAATATTGTATGCTTTTAAACTCAACTTTTAAACTCTTTCCCGTGGCCAATTTACATTTTCAATTCAGTTGATACTAAATTACTCTAGTATTATAGGCAGTACATGTTTGTGTGTCATAACTGAAACAAATGCATATTGTAATAGTTACAAAGCATAGTCACTGTGCAAAATCTTGCATAATTATTTTACATGGAGGTGTTTATTATACAATACCATGACAGTTGGAGGAAGTCCTTTGTAAAGACAACCACTGATAAGTCCTCCTTCATCTTTCAGAATTGTTTGAAATGCATGTAAAATATTCCTGTAAGATCATGTCATAAATAAATAGACAGATAAATATATAAATAAATCATTGAATTCACCTTGTCTATAATCAGTATAAATGATACACCAGTTTCATCCTAAAAGTGAACTCGCATCTAATTTCTCCTTACAATATCTCCCTGAATCAAACAACATGGTCACAAGAATAAAGGAAAAGATCACCAACTACAGATGCTCTACAAGTTCTCCTTATCTACACCTTAGGAAATGTATAGGGAACAGTTTGGAGAATATGCATACTGATGTTAAGGTGTACACTATGGTTTAAGAAAGGATTTTTAATACCTGTATCTTCTCTCTGCCCCTTCACATTGTGCTGCAAGTCTTGTTCTGTGAAGAGACAGTCCATAGACTTTTTAAAATACTAAATACTAATCACCAATATAAAGTGAGAAATGTCGCTGAGTTGCAACCCATGGTACAGAGTCATTGTGTTATGTTTTGGGGCAGTTAATTTCTCTACATGGGTACCAGGCTTCCAATACTGCCAAGGAAATCTAACAAAATATTGCTCTCAAACCCTGTAATTCTCATGAGTTACTGAGACAGAATTCCTTTTAACAATATCAATACAATAACAAGCAGACAAGTGCTTAGAAAGGAGAAAAATATCAATTTGGGAAATTTTATTTGATCCAATACCAAATTATCCAAACTAACATCAAAAGAACTGTATGGCAGACAGTAAGGATGATTACTAATGACATCTGGAAGTGAAGGCATTAACTTGGGCCGAATTAGCACCCTATCCAGACAGAATTTCAATATTCCAAGTTGCTTCACAGGGATGGATCTAGAGGAAGGTGCAGGGGTACACCTCCCCTCCTCCCTTGAGGTAATGTTCAGCTTACTGATATGACTGGTATTATTCGAAAACAACTGTTTGCGTCACCTGTCAGTTACATCATTCCTGAGTGGTACACCCCTTCCTGGGAAAATTCCTGGATCCACTTTCTGCTTCTAGCCTCCCACATACAGTTATGTAGTTTAATCATTCTTGAATGCAGGATTAATATAATCAAAGTTTGCTAAACTTGGAAGGTTATGTTACTGAATATAACAATAGAACAGGCAGTAAGTTACCTTACAAGATCAAGAGGATAAGTTGCAATAACAGATGTTGTCCCAGCCAAACCTCCAGCAACTAGTCGCCGCAAAGGAGTTTGGTATTGAAGATCTTCTGAAACCTTCAGAAGCTGAAAATGTAATAAAATAATACTTAAAAATTGGTGCCAAGAAGACAAGCTGTTGTAGGAAAATAGGAGGTACCAAAGAGATTGAAATGTCCCATCCATGTTTTCCAAAAGATGTGAAATTATGCTTTTTAAATATCTATGCTCCCAATTTTCATATACCAGTAAATCTTTCCATTTTAATTCACTTATTGCCCTATATTTAGAGTACATAAACCTTCCAAGACATAATCAATAAATGTTCGATTACAATACCTTCTTGAATTCTTCATATGAAGCGAATTGTACAGCTGAGTATGGAATAATTCTAAGAACATTTGTTCCATTACCCTGTAGAGAGAGACTGCAAATGAGTACAGTATAACTGGGAGTTTATATGATTATATAAATTTGATGATTGAAACAACTCGTGATAAACTGGATTCTTATCTTTAAATAGAGATACAGTTCTTGCAAACAGATTCTGAAGAATATAATGAATTAACATCAAGAATATCACCTTCACATGACCTGTCCCTCTCTCCCTATACTCTCTCTCCTCACCCCATTCCCTGACAAAATCTTCCCTTTGTTGCTTTAAGATATATTTATTACTGGGCAAGGAGCATGAGCACCCCCTGGTAGGATGGGGTGAGGAGGGGGTAGACACATGATTTTTCCCAGAATACCATCAGCCTCTAAATTTTTTTTTTTAAAAATAGATATTGATACAAGTTTTTTTTATAGCTATTGATATAAATTATGATCACCTTAAAATAACCCTTTAACCCTTCCTCTCTTCCTATTTTGATCAAAGTTGCACCAACGCCTGAAAATTTTGGATCCTTAACTTGAATCTGAAAAGGAAATAATTCAGATAATTAAATATGAGCATACTTTTACTCTAAACTATCTCGTTGTAGTGAATTGAAGCCAACCTGTAGAAGAATTTTCACTCTTTCTAAAGGCGAAACACAAGTTCGTGACAAAGCGCCTGCAACTCCTCCAGATACGACATGTTTGACTTGTTTGCCACCGGGAAAAATTGGCTTTGCCGGCTCAACATCAACTTCTCGCTCGAGTCCTTCTTTGACTGCCAGGAATTTTGATTGCGTAAACCCATGAACATCTTTATCATGCTCCTGGGCTGAATCCTTTAGAACCATATTTTACTACGATGAATTGCATCTTCGTTCGTGGATTTTAACATTCTAGGAAGTCTACCTTAGCCATCGTGACTGAAGGCTCGATTCGTTCTCGAATGACGAAATGGAAGTGAAAAATCTCCTTACTTTCTTTTGACCAATAAAAAAAACTGATAATTCTGATACTTTGGGCCAATCACAAAGGGTGATAGGAAAACTCCCGTCATGCATTGTTAGTTTCATCGCCATGGAGGTAAATTTGCGGTTGTTGTGAGGGTAGAGTGACATTGATTAAAAGATATCAACTTGTCAGCAAAACAGAGGAAATCATGCCAGGTAACCTTAAAATTACAACAGTTTACAACTGTTTCATAGCAAAATATCCCTACTACCATCTGAAGGAAGGTTTCTGCAGGAATATCTTCGATCGAGACTTGCACTTACACTGATTGTACGAAATACTTAATATTGTTGTCCTGTTTTGTTTTAATTTTCTGGCGTTTGTATTTAATAGCTGCTACCAAGAAGACAGAGAAAAAAGGAGGGAAGGCGGATGCTGGTAAAGATCAAGTTGCACATGTTAAGCGATTGTTTGTTTGTGTGCAGATGAAGTTCTAGAAAGTCATTCACACAACAAGCATATTCCTGAACATTGTGTCATTTAAGCTGTAGACTAGAGTAATTTTTTCTGATATCTTAGTAATAGTTATCTTAAAGATATAGCTACATTAATATCTTTTATCAGTAATCTTATATTGTCTCCTGTTCAGGGTTCATATTCTTTTAATTTATTGCAATTTCTTTTCAAGAGTTTAGCAATGTTTCAAATTTTCAATATAGCTATTGTTTTGCTTTTTTTCAATCTTAGGTGCAACGATACTAAGTGGTGTATACATGTTTCCCAATGGAGATAAATATGGTGAGAACCATATCTGGTTATCTCATGCTAAATAGCTGTGGACTGTTGAGGAAGGGGTTTGAGCCCCAGACCAAGCCAAAACTTAAGGTTTCTAAATTACTGGGGAGAATGTGCCTCCTTGATACTATGCCATCTGCCAATGGTTAGACAATTTTGTCTTATCATTGGATTAGGAAAATAAACCACAGACCTGGTCTCTTGCATTTTCTCTTTACTGGTTAGCAGGAGACATTAATAATAATAATAATAATAATAATAATAATAATACAATAATTTATATAGCGCCCTTTTCCGTGAGCTCATGAAGCATGCTTTTCTCTCAAAGAGAAATATAGGCCCTCATTTAAACCAGATTTAAAGTTGAACTGGACAAGCCTGTCTAAATATCAAAAATAAATAAATAAATATAAATTAAAGTAAGTTCTATGGAATAGTCAAGACTGATAATCAGATATAGGGACACAGCTTTGATCAGGAAAATATACCAAACTGAAATGGCATCTTTGTGTTATCATATTTTTTAACACTGTGTGCTCCCAGATTGCTTTGTTTACCTCAGTTACTTTCTCGCAAATGTCTCGTTACCTGTCAATATCGACACCTTTCCTTGAAACCCTAGCGGGTTTCAATTTGGCAAATAAAATTGGCTTCCTCTGTAGATGGTGAATACATCCAGGCAGATGAAGGCTTATTGCGTCAAGGTTATGGTACCCATACAACAGTTGATGGACTTAGTTACTATGGTAACTGGAGTGGGGACAAGATGAATGGACAAGGTGAGTTCTGAAGGAGTGAAGACCTGATTTTGTATTCTAAGATCATTCGTTGTTTTCTATGGTAATGTTAAACCTTTCAATCCTAAGATCTCATTTTTTATTTTATTTAGTAATTCTCCTTTCTGTCTACCAAACAATCCTACGATGGTTATTTGAGAATTTGATATTAGATCAATTACTAACTTCTTAATTGATATTTTTCTTTGTTTTCATAACTTGTCCATTTGATACTGTGTTGATATTGTAAGGAAAAATTCTGCAATGGTCACTCATTGGAGTTAAAGGATAAAAGTTTTCTCAATGATGTTATTTACTGAAATAAGCAAACAAAACAAGGAAATTTGTCTGCTAATTCTTTATTCAAGATTGCTTCTCCATCTTCCTATGAACACGGAATAGACTGTTGTCTTATTTTTTAGGGAAACTTCTTCATCCATCAGGAGCCATATACGAGGTATTAAAACATCTTAAATACCATCATCATGTCTTGTTTGTTTGTTTGTTTTTTTTTACCACAAATGATTGATAACTCAGAGGTTAACCCTTTACACCCTTACATCAGTATACTTATTCCCCATACTGTTTTCTGAATATTTCCTGAGGTTCTGACATGGAGAATTTGTTAAATAATCAAGAGCTTCTTGAATTGGTGATCATTTCATATATTCTCATGACCTCACTGTTTGATTTAGGGTTGATATTGTAAGGAGAAATTAGAAGCCAATCACTCTAAAGGGTCAAAGGGTTAATGCCTTAGCTTGTATTCAATTCTTATTGTTAAAATTCTGCAATTTATTCAAGGGTGGTGTTTATTTGACGGTGGGGTTTCTATCAAAAGAATTTTCCCAGGTTCCAGCATTATTATTAAATATTGTGCATCATGGAAACTGGTTCAAAGCTTGAATGTTTAGCTGTGTTTTTTGTATAAATTTCCAAGTATTGTTTTGGTTACTGCATGAGTCATGCCACACTTGATATTCTATTTTTTCATAGCTCGTGAAATGAATAAATGTTGTATTTTCCTGGTCGAGTGCAGCCTAAAGCAGAGGGTGGCATTTATAGATAGTTTTTCTCACAATTATACTGCATTATTAATTTCATTGAGAATAGTGTAAATTCAAGGCCAACATTTAATGAATACATTTCCATACACTGAGCAATAATAGAACTGTTCCAATTGGGTAAGTTTACCTGTAATGAATTGCAGGTATTATTTTGTTATATAAGATGTAAATTTTCTCTCACTCACAGGGAGAATTTGTCAACAACATGTTCCATGGATTTGGAAAGTACACTTGGCCCGATGGATCATATTATGAGGGGAACTTCAACGAGAACAAGTAAGCCTTCCAAAAGTGATTGGGATTAGATAATTATCTGGGTGCCTCCCAAACTAAATAGGCCAACTTTGATTTTTTTGAGTTACGGCATGAAACAATTGATACATGTAGTCAGAGGAGCCCTCAGGAAAAAGCCCACAAATATTATACACTTAATGTATGGTTCCGAGAGAAACAGTTGGTTTTATTTTCCTGAGAGTCTCAGAAAACATCGGGTCTCTCTGGAAAATAAAACAAACTAGTTTCCCTTGTGACCATACATTAAGTGCTTTAATGGCAAAAACATGCTGTTGTATTTGGCTCGTGGGCAACAACTGTGTAATTATATCCTTCTTGGATCATACATTTGAATTTTATCAGGGGCATGTGACCAAGAATCAACCAATCACAGTGCTAGTTTTGTTGAGTGAAAGTCTAGGTCTATAACAATGTCATTTATTTGCTTGGAGTTTTGTGCCTTTTTTTTTTTTTTCAATTTTCTGGTTTTAAAATGTAAAAATTGGGTAATAGTAGATACATGTGTAAACTTGCCCATTACATGTTATCTGGTCAGCCAGGAGCTAAAATGTCATGGGATAGCATCTTCAGATTTCATGAACATTTTGGTACCTTTACCTCAAAATTTCTGCAGACATTTTCTAATGTTGCATGTTGTTGTTTTTTCTGTTACAGACTTGAAGGTCAGGGAACATTTACGGATGTAAAATCGCAAGTGTGGTATGGAAAATTCACACACAAGGCTGCTCCTGGGCTCAAGTTTAAACTGTGCATGTAGAATATCTCACAAATTTTGACACTGCAAGATGTAAATTTATATATATTATACCTGTACTTGACTGTAAATATTCATTCATGGCAATAAATGATGTTTTGGTTTACTTTTGAAATTGACTCTGCTGTCAATTGAATGAACAAATTTATAACATGAAAGTGTAACCAGCATGAAGCAATTCAGATTCAAATTTTCTTCTCGTTATTTATCCCTTCTCCAACTTTCATGATTTCATCCCCAGTATTTGAAAACATGTGTTCCTGGTGGGTTGTTAATACTCATTATATATTTACTTTGTGCAAGAAAACATTGTAATCACCCAGGCGTATGATTTAACACAGATATTTCAATCCATAGCCAGATGGCAGAAGCCAAACAGTTAGGATCTTCCACCAAAATAGATGTAGGTGTGGTTCTTTATGGTACTGAGCATTGTCCTTATCATTACTGACATGCTCAAGCTCTTGGCCAAACATATGATAGAGAGTGATTACCACTAACACTCTCAAAAGGCTAATCGAGAGTGTAAGGGCCAGAGACTTTAAAGAGGATTTAACATTTTTCACTTTGAATTCAGATTGGAGAATTATACCTTATCAGGCCTTGTCGCAGTCAGCCGATCTTCAGTAGTATGTCACGTAATGCTCCGTGACACCTAAGAGAACGGTTGCGAGAGAGCCATAATCTTTCTTCTTGCCCTGTCTCCTAGAACTATATGCTTTCTTGGAAAATCCAATTTTTAACATGAAAGAAGTAGTTGCATTCTGTACAAAGTCTCATCGCCTCGATCCTTTTGTTTGACTATATCGATCGGATTGGAGTGACCAAGTCCTTGATGGCACTTTGCACCGACAGGAGACTGGACTCCAACTTTCTTTAAGCGAATATTCTTTCCTCTGCTCAAATCATCAACATTCATAGCAGTTTTCCTATCGTCGAAAAAGAAGTACTAAGCATTAATATCAATGTTGTAGAGTTTTCTGATCTCCTTTATCAGCATCATGCCGGCTATTCACATCGCTGTACATCCTCTGCCGGGAACAGTGGAAGAGCTACACGAAAGGTAGCTCAAAGCAATTTTGAGATATGCGTTTATTTCGGTGCATTTCAACGAGGGTTGTACTTGTTTGTCCGCTAATCCTCGTATAAGCGTAAGAGTAGAGTATTTTTTCGCCATTGAACCTTTTACTGTTTTAATTTTTAGGCTGAAGGAGGTTTCAGAGTCAAAGGAAAAGAGTGGTTTCTTGAGGTAACATTTTGCTTATGAAAGAACTCCCTGCATGACTAGTTTAGATGAAAATGGCGAACAAAAACGTGCTCTGTATGTTTTTTATATAAACTTAGGTTCGGTGTAGAAGTTTTTCTGTTGCACGAGGGGACTTCTTCACTTGATTTGCCTTAAAGTGGTTTCATGTGTGTTGTTAAATGTAGTCCGATTTTTTTCCTTCCGAACAGAAGTTAAAAATTACACATGCATGCTTTCTCTTCGTTGCACATGTTTTTGGCCGTTAAACCCTCTAGACTTTGAGAAGCTTACTTTTAGTTCTCTTAATGTTTCTTTATAAAAGCTTTCTTAATTATCCTTTTCCCTTTTTGCGTCTGTAACGAGTGCAAATATGTTAACAAGAATGAAAGATGCGAGTCCTTTAAAACGTTTTATTCGTTCTAATATCTCTACAGATGTGGCTACACAGCTAGCATACACGTGAAAGGTTTCCTATTTTTTTCAAACTGTAGCGTTTTTAGTTAAAGTACCCATAAAATAATTTTTTTTACGTATTTCCTTAGTTTATCGTAGGTACAAACCAATCTCGGTAGAAAAAAAATTTAAAAAAATGTAAACTCAGTTTTTTGGGAGCTTAAGTGGTCTTATTTTGTCTTTAAGAGTGTCTCGTAGACTGGTAACGAGTTCTCAGTTGACTCTTGTAAATCTCTTACATCTCTTGTTATTTTGTATCAGTCAGCATTGAAATGCCCTTGAAATAATGTCTGATTGCAATGCATACCTAACTTCAGCAGGCTCTATTGTGAGTTGTGATACATAGCACTCAAGTAGGAAAGAAGAAATGGAAGTTGATTATACAGTTCAACCTTACGAAGAGGAATGGCGTGTATCAGGCCAAGATTTCAACAAAGACCAACAAAAATGATTTATCAGCTGGGGTTTTTAGGTCAAGATTAGAACAAGAAAACTCCCACTACTGAATGTTTTGTTTGTTGTGTTGTTTTCTATGGCAAAATCTATATTAGGAATGGGTGGCTGTGTTCATTTCTGTTGCCTTAACATATTCTTCCTGTGCACTAAGAGCAGTGAAGGTTCCCCTTGGTCAGTGCTCTAGAGTTTCGTTGCTGTAGAGTAATTCCCATGGCAAACAAAAAGCTAACCTGTGTTGTTTCAAGGAAACAAGCTCCCTAGATACAAAGAGTGCTGTCCAATTCAGGGAGTTTTTTAATTTGTATTTCCTGTTCATCAGTTCTCCAGTTCTTCAAGCACTTAAGGATCAAGTGATAAAAGAATGTGTGGTGGGACCAAGGCATGTTGCATTTCTTTTGGAGGTCAGTAATACAGAGTTTTCTATAAAAAATGATTTAGCAGGATCATGTCTTCTCCAGAGGCATCAGCACCCAGTGTTTTTCCCACCTACTTAACCCTTTCACTCTAGAACTGATAAGACATAATTTCTCCTTACAATACCAGTGCAATATCAAGCAGGCAAGGTGATAAGAGTATAGGAAAAAATCAATTAGGGGATTGTTAGTTGATCCAATACCAAATTCTCCAAACTAATGTCATGAGAATTATAGGGCAGACAGTAAGGGGATTTAAAAATAAGGTCCCAAGGTGAAAGGGTGGACACAAGGAAATCAATGTCAACAGAATACATCCTTGTGCCTTTAGCACCCACTTATTTCCTACCAGCTAATGTTTTTTTAAGGCGGTGAATGGTTTTTAACCTTGGAGTAACGTTTGATCATGAAGTCTGATTATCTGAATGAGAGCAGTCCTTAGAAGGACTTTTTGGTAAAGTGACTGATGTTCTAACACATCATGGGAAGTCATTATTAGAGTCAAGTGAAGTGCTGTTGTTTTGAGTCAAGTCAAATAAACTGATTGGTCAGTTTTGCCATGATATTACATTGGTTAGAATGAGCAGTGATAGTAATACTCAGGGTTATTTCGTGCTTCAAAAGTTGATGTTCACTGTGGTAGCTGTGTAGGTTTTTTTTTCTCTCATGTGAGATTTTTATCACCACGTTGTCAATTTACATGTTACATAATAATGTGAACAAGAATATACTACAGTGCTGATTAAGTACAATTTTAGTGATAAGTGTGTTCTGGTTTAGAATGGACAAGTTTGCCGTGTTCCTTTCACTCTTCATCCAGACAAGCTGGATCTGTCATCCAGAGACATAACTGTGTAAGTATTTTGACCAAGATTTTGATGCAAAATGAGAGCTAATAACTATATAAACATGTTCTTGTGTATTACAAAGTCCTCTGTAAAATATTCATGACTGGAAACCTAAAAGATCAAATTTCCATGTATAACTGGACAGGTTGAAGTGATTTGTATTATTCTGTATAAGTTATTACTGTACATAGTAGTTACTGTTTTTTTGGTTTTTTGTCCCTATAGGGAAGAAGATAACAGTAATACTGCTGCAAGGTCTGCATCTCACATAGTTCTACATGCAGGTATGTTTGATTTGCAGTCTTTGTACTCACAATACTGGTTTATTTCAGGAAGCCCTCTGAGTGATCAGGATTAATTTTCTCCTTGAACAATGAATGAAGTCATGATAGTTCATAACTAAAGATAAAACTGCTATGATCTCAAATAAATCCTGACAACAGCTGTTATAAGGAATTATGAGGAGAGAGGTTGGGAAGATTTTCACTTGTTAACTTTTGCATTTGCGTTTTGCATGTACACCTCAAAGAGCAATAGAATCAGTTAAAATAGCAGAAATTAATAGATAAGGAATGTTTGAGTCTAGATATGGTGTATCTTTGCATAATGGTAATTCCTTTTGTGTTGGTAGTTGGTGGTGGAAGTCGTGGTCAAGGTGAAAACTCCTGGGTCCTTTCAAACAGTGGAGAAACTCTGAGTGGTCTCACAGGACACCCAGTTATCAGGTAATTTTAATTTAATTAATTAATTTTTTAAAAAATTTTTTATTCCTCCAATTCCTAGCTGATACATAGTTATGTAAATATAAAGTGATATAACATAATATCAGATAAAGATTTACAAAGGAAAAAATGTGTAGAGCAGAAATTACAACACTTAAATGGAATTACATTGTATGTTGAAGGAGAGGAGAGGGGCACATCTAGAAAACTAATATTTGCTGTCCTTCTATGTATAACAAAGGACTGTAAAGGTATTGATAAAAACAGGGCTGTCCTTGTCAAGGGCTGTAAACAAAAAATTTACCCTTTGTATCTTTTATGAGCTCCTTTGACCAAACTTACACATCACATGTGTGTTTGAGGGGGGTGGGGGAGGTGGGGCAAGTTATGTCTGATTGTTTTCTGGCAGTCAGTCCTTTTAAAAAGGGTGTGGTACTTTCCAGGTTTTATTAAATGATTGGCTTAAGGGAGGAAACCTTCTCTATAACCTTTCAAAATGATTAATATTCCAAACTATGTCTGCAACATACAAAGTTTAATTTGCCAATATGATGTGTGAAATGTTTTTCAGTCGTTGGGGTTCAGCTCCATCAGCCATGTCATTAAGGACATCTGCTCGTGCACCAGTGCGTGGGCGTGGCCGTGTAGTACGAAGGGGTGCAAGAGGGGGAGCATCTGGGTGGGCAATAGGCTCTCGTGCTGTGCCACCAACAGCTGTTCCAGAAGAACTTGTTAATCAGGTAAGTCACTTGTCTCTTCCTTGTTTCTGGTTCATTTTTTCAGCTTGATGGATGGTTATCAATTTTCTATTGAATGTATTGTTGTGTTTTGTTCTTCAGGCTCAAGTTGTGCTTCAAGGGAAATCAAGGGCTGCCATCATCAGAGAGCTTCAGAGAACAGTTAGTTTCTTCTGTCATATTTATATATTGTACTCCCAGAGTTCTCAATATTGTTTGCAGATTGTTTTTGATACATGCGATGGACTTAGCTGTAAAAAAGGGACAGCTCATAGTGTAGTAATAAGAGTCAAACAGACTGACAGTAAACTTGAAGTTGCCTGTTGTTCAGGTGCGATAAATAATTAGCCTTGCAGTAAAGGGTTCAGTTTTGATTCCATGAGGAGGGAGAGAGGGGGAAATTAATCATGTTTATTTGTGTCATATGCAGTGTTTTTCACATTCCTTTCTCTCTTTGTAATTTACAATGGGCTATTTGAATTTATATTTCAGAATCTTGATGTGAATTTGGCAGTGAACAATCTTCTCAGCAGAGACGAAGATGATGGGGATGATGATGATAACCCAGAGTACCTTCCTGGAGGTGAGATTTTCACTGAAAGCTTTTCCAGCGATGCATTTTCTCTGTTTTCAAAGCACTAAGAAGTATTCGTTACTTTTTCTCCCAGATGACCTTATGTCCCTACTAGATGCTGGTGTGCATGTGGATGATCCATCTTTTGTTGTGGATCCAGAGGCAATATTTTCAGAGGACATGTTTTATAGTTCACAGTATGGAACAATTCATCGACGTCCTAACAGTAGTGCCAGGGCTTCAAGAACTGCAACAGAGAGAGAATCAGAACGTGACAGGGAAAGAAGTAGGGAAAGGGAGGCACTGAGGAGAGAGAGGGACCGATGGCTTGGGAACATCCATGGAGGGGCTCTTGACTGTGGGACATCAGGCAGTGCCCCCAAACAACCACCTCAGGACAAGGTACCTTCTCAGAGTTTCTCTGCTGATCCTGTGAGTGTGGCAGATCTACTTCAATGGTGGCAAACAGGCACGGTAAGAAACTAAAAATCTCATTTAATCATTAATTTAGACAAAATGTTTTTGCCTGGCAGCTGCTCATTGAAGGGGTAGCTATAACTTCATTCAAAAGAAACCAGGACAAGCTGTGACTTCAATAGACCATTGTGCATGGTAGAATTTCCTTCATTAAATATTTCCTTTATTCCTGCAGGATGGTGTTTTTCCATGCTTTACCCACATTGCTGCCATGTATTCAGAGCTGATATGTGTAGGGGCTGATGGGAAGCTGTACCAATGGAAATGGGAAGATCCTCTTCCCTACAAAGAACAAGATGCGGCAATATATCATCCCAGGGTCAGGTCTCTTGGTCTTGCAGATGAGAAGGTTGTGGCTGTATCTGCTTCCTCTATAAGGGCATCTGTACTCACAGAGACTGGAAAGGTATGTACAACATACAGCACCCTGGCTGACATGGCTATGACAGAAGTTTCCTCATTGGTCCTACATGTACATGTAGCCCTCTAGATCTTGTTGCACTTGTATTAATGTTCATAAGAAAACTTTATCACTCCCTGGGAGAAGTGGTTGCCAAATGATTATCGCGCCAAGTTCCAAAGCTATAGACATTTAACTGGTATATCTATGTTCTGTTCTTGGATAAGGCACTTCACTCTTACAGGGCCTCTCTTTACCCAAGAGTACTACAAGTGGGTATGGTGAAAATTGAGAAAATACTTAAGTAACCTTGGATGAGAGGATTAGCAATACCTTTGGCGATGACATCGAGTATGAAATAATCAAATAATTATTTGTATTTGATGATATTTCCCTGTAGGTGGCTACATGGGTCGATGAAACTCTTAGCTCTATTGCCAGTAAACTGGAGCATGCCACCCAAGGATTCTCAGAGTTCTCTGGAGACAAAGTTGTAGCAATTCACACATGCTCACTGTACACTTGTGCCCAAATGTCGTCTGGAGCCTTGTACTGGTGGTAAGTATCTGCTTCTTCTTTAAAATAATCAATTGAAAATCACTTTAGCTAATGGAAATTTGTTTGATGATCAATACATATCATTTCCACAGGGGTGTACTGCCGTTTGAGCAGAGAAAGAAACTGTTGGAAAAAGCTCGTGCCAGGGCAAGAAGAAATCGCACAACCTTTACTAGCTGCATCGTGCGTGGTGTTCAGGTAATGTAATCCCTAGTGCAACCACTCATGCAGTATGTGTTTGCACATTACACACTTGGCAACTAAACCATTAATCTCCCGTTAGTGACCAAGACAGGAAGAAAATTTAGTGTTCGCTAAAGTGAATGTCCATGTGTATGTCTTTATTGTGTGTTATAATGTACATGAAAACATTACGCGTTTCTGATCATCTGAAAACGAGTGCAAATTACAAATAGCGCGCGCAAGCTTTCAAAATAGCGTTTATCTTGACTTTCTGAGATGGTTTTTCATGTACATTGTTAACAAGTAATAACATGATTTCTCTTGCAATTTGGTGTGATAACTACTTGTAAATCTTTCAAAGTCTACAAATTGCATTTGCCCCTCGGGCTCGTGCAATTTTGTTGCCTTTGAAAAATTTACTTGTGCCTATCAACGCCAAATTGCACTCGAAATCATGTTATTACCTATACAAAGTTGATCATACAAGGTAATTTCCATTGTTATTTCTGATCATCAGGTCTGTTTGCGTAGCTGTCCTCTGTATCATCCTGGCTCTATTGGTATCAACATCTCCTCTGGCATTCCACGCATGGGACAGTTGTTAGAATCAGCTTGGAATTTGGATGAGAAGTGCCGTTTTAAAGTCCTTCCACTGGGAAATGAGGAAGCCAGCTGTAGTCCACCAGTTATTGATGAACAAGATAGTGATGTTCCTGGCTCTCTTGGCTTGAGTGAGTTGCTTGTCACAACATTTTCAGAACATGCATGAAATTTTATGCTTTCAATTTTTGGCGACTTTGAAATTCTTGTAACTACGGTAAAATGCAAGTCGTACCTTGGAATTCAAGTGCTTTATTTTTTACTTCATTATCATTCCAATTTTAATTTCAGAGCGGAAAAAGGATCCATCATTAGATTCCGCTGAGGATAAATCAGTCCAGGACTGGGATTTGAAGGATGTTATCTTTGTAGAAGATAAGCGGAACATACCTGTTGGAAAAGTGCTCAAGGTGAAAACATACAGAATATTTTTATGAATATATCTTGCTCAATAGATCATTCATATAAAAATGCTGACTCAAAAAAGCATAGCACATATGCCATGAATCTTTACACACCAAACATTGTGTATTTAATGGTTTTGTTGCGTTCTAATTTGTTAGGTTGATGGACCGTACGCCGCAGTTAAATTCCCACCCAAAGACACTTCCCTTCATGCTGCTGCTTTGTTAAATGAAGAAAATAGTTCTCTTTTACAAGATGTGCGGCTTCTGCGCAAGGACGAGCTTCAGGTATGCCGGCTACATCTTGTAATGATAAATAGATTAAGAAAGATGGCAAGTTTTGAGCTTGGTAAAGAAATAGAGAAATATGTCTTTTGTCTTGTCACCAGCGTGGGACAAAGAACAAATTCTGAGTCCCCATGAGGAATCGAACTTCAGACCGTTGAATTCCGCTCTCCGATGCTCTATCACTGAGGCACAAAGACTCTACGGCGAGCGAGGCCCATCACGAACTTCACATATGACACGCGGCCTGTATGCTGCTAGGATCAGCGATGTCGATAGCGCGATCGACATCGCTGGAAGCAAGGACGCATATGGATCTCCCTTTATAGTTTGAACTTATGATGTTGGGTCTAAAAAACTTTGTTTGCTTTATTAAAGCTGGTCAAGTCATCTGCTGCCAATAAGATTCCTGATTGTATTCAGCGGACACCAAAGTTGCTCTCCGTTCCATTGGGCACCAGACCTCTTGCGGTAACTGTCAACTGTAAAGGTACTTTCAGTTTTCAAGCATATGTTTACTATGACGTGTCTAGCTCGCATTGGTTTGTTTTACTTAGTGTACTACATTCTTTCATGGCAGGAGTTCATGTGATGTTGAAGACGTCAACTGGCGTTCGCTATGCTCTCTACAGCTTAGCATCTTCCAAACCCGAACCTGGAGGAACGATGCCAAAAGAATGCGCAGCCTTCCTCAGTCAGCCTGGAGTGAAAGATATTCAGCTATACCCAACAGGAGATGTAAGGAATAAGTACTGTTTTCATAAACAAAGACACACGCACAGGGTTGTAGACAAGGGACAGAAAGGACAAAAAATTGAAAAACATTACACTTGGTAGCTAAAATTGCTTTAAAACTCTTCATCATAAATTTTTATTGTTTGTTACTTTCCAGGATTCTCTAATAATGATGACAGACACAAACGGAGCATTGTTCCCTCTTTCAAAGAACTTTCTCGGAACTGTCAAAGATCCAGCATGGACTGTAAGGATTCATAATTCACTTTTTTTTTGCTTAAATGTTCTCATCGCTTGAGCTTTAGGGAGCTAAAAATTGCCTGTGCGACAAATTGCAAACGACGTAAACGTCATTCTTTAAGTCTCTATTAGGTTAACTGTGCAGGATGCAGATAATGCAGTTTTTATTTTACCAAGATATGGAAATTGTTTCAACTGGGAATGACTTATTCGATGTGTTATTGTCTCTTTTCATTTTAGGATCTTCCACCTTTGCAAAGTCTTGGTGTGGGTGTCACTTCTCTCAGACCAGGAACTGAGTGCAAAACCCGAGCCTTGGTGGTAGTGTTGGCTGTACAAGTAAGTTACATATACCTGTACACATTGACATGACTTTTGTTTCACCTCGTTCACCACTGGTGTGACTTCTCACCATTGGCTTTTCATTAAATGTCTTCTTTGTAGTCTGGCATATGTTCTCATCGCATCATCTTGTTTTTTTCATTTTTCTCCTTTTATTTACGTATACATTGATGATCGTTGATTTGCAGAACCAGCAGCTAATGACTCACATTCTGAAGTGTGACTTTGAAGCTATTAAACAGTTTCTTGATTCCATGGAGGCAGATCCTGGTAAGTCAGCATAAGCTGATGTATAATATTGATTTTAAGACTGCTGTAAAAATACAGGCAAGGCATGAAACGGGTTTGGAGAATTACCCATAAACCTGCGTTGCTAATTGTTTTTAATCGCCGGCAAAGGTGCTTGAGCAGACAATTAGACACCGTATTAACTTCACTCTTACCTCTCGCGGAACCAGCCATACATCAACAGACCATGTTCTTGTTACTTGAGAGCTCTTATCAAAACTTTTACCTTCTTGAATATGAGTCGTAGGGAACGCTTCTCTAGATGCTCTTCGCAATTTTCAGATTTACACTTTTGGTTTTTAGCTGCTTCCCTCGTTTCCAAAGATTAAAATGTACTTTTCTCCTTGATGTTTGACTGTACTGTGTGTACAGTCAACATGGGTAGCCTTCTAGAAGCAGTTTTACTGGAACGATGTGATGGCAATAGAAACATTCTCCACGCCTGCGTCTCCAGAAGCTTCCCAACATCTGCCCACGAGCCAGGGGAAGCAGTTGAATCTCAGGGTAGCAGTGTGTCTACGGCTACAGGTGCCCTTGGTAACAAGTTAGAGTCAATTAAGGGTGCAGTAGATGCTCTCGCCGCTGCCGTGGCAGCCGCTGCAGCAGCTGTTCGCTCAAGTGGTGAGTTAAGGTCACTTATCTTTCAACTAGCTTCCTTTAAATATCGTTTGCACTGGGCAAAACAACACTCAAGTTTAAAAAGGCCTCTAAATATTAGTATTGATTGGTTAATCATAAATCAAGAAGGAGCCAAAATGGTTAAGGATGGAGTAGATTAAAACAGATTGGAATTGACAAACTTGTGTCAAATTTTTTCCAACATTTTCGTCATAAAAGAGACCCAAAAAATGTATGTTCAATATGATAGAAAGACATAAGAGAGGTGACTTTAAACCAAGATGGAACAGGAATGCTTAACGGTGAAGAGTATCAAAACAGAGTGGAGTTGAAAAATTCATGTCAAATTTTTAGCAGTGCTAAATCATTTTCAGCTAGAAGGAAACCGCAAAATATTAGTGTGGTAAAATAGACAGAAAGTAAAAAGCCAGTAATAAACCAATGGGTAACAGGACCGGCTAAGGATGGAAAAGGTTCAAACGGATTACGAAAAGCTTTCAGTCTCTTATGTGTTGGTTTAACATATGCTGCAGCCGGCAATTTTCTCATGGCTTGTACCATACAATTACAACGCAGCCTGCAAAATTTGTACACCTGTTAAATGTGTAACATGCTCAATCAAGGTTTTGTCGTTGCTTCTTTCTCAGATGGTGGTTCCGGCAATTCACCTGCCACTAATAATACAGGCTCTGTGAGCAACAGTGGTGGGAATGGGGGTGGTAACAGTGGGCAAGGAAGCAGTGCAGGGTCGTCAAGACTGGGTATGCATGAGATGATGCAGAGAGCTGTGACTGCGGCCAGATCGGCGACATCCTCCTTGGCAGGACTTGATGTGGAAGAAGATGCCCCAATACCTACCTTGCACTGGCCACCAGACCCTCCAGGTTACCACTTTCACTTTCAAGCGCATTAGTTATAGTAACAAGTATCAGTTAAAAACGTAGTGGGTACTCAGTGTTACCTAGAAGCACTGGCTACTTGTTTCCGAAGCGCCGGCTACTTCAGAAGCATTATGTTTTTTATCTTCCATCTGAATTCAATTTAAACCTTTGCTAAGTAGTGTTTTTGTTTCGACTACCTTCTAAAATATTCTCTTGAGAACACTAAGTACCAGAACGACAACAGTTTGACCAAAAGTCCAATACTATTTTACTCAGTTGTGGTGTCCAGAAACCAAGTTTGCCAAATCATTGTTTTCAAATCTTGTTACTTTCTCGTTTGAGTTTTTGGCCAGTCGTTAATTCTAGTCGTTTTCGCTCAGTCGTCAGTCAAGATTTTAGTTTTAACTTTAATGTAGTTTGAAAACAGGATTAAATATGTTTTGGATTTTTACCACATTTGAGACCATTCCTTTGACTGGATTTGATAATAGTGACGGCGCAAATTATTCACAGTCTAGTCGTAATCCATAAACTCTCAAGATCCAACAAGTAATTCTTCCATTTGACTGCCATACATTACCTTGACATCAAACGAGAGAATTTGGTGTTATATCAACATAAACCTTTTCGTGCTGATAAGTTTCTGTGTTGTCTGATTACGTATTGGAATCGTAGGGAGAAATTACTTGCTAATCCTTCCTCAACTTTCATTGTTTAGATTCGCGAGATGACGATGCAGGTCCGCCATTAACCCCGGCTCCGTCAGGGACAATTCCTACACCAGCGCCATCCACAGCAGCTGCTGCAGTAGGAGGAACCGGAGCAGCGGCAGCAGGCTCCAGCAAGTCTTCTGAACCATTGTCGACACAGACTAAAGCTCTGAAGTGTCTGAATCTGTTGTGTAATAGCGCTGTATTAGCGCCATTCCTGTTGCAACTCATGACAGCCAAGTAAGGAGGGATAATCCATTGACATCTCGTTCAATTTCTTACATAAAAACATGAAATTTCGATTATCAAGTTTTTTAAAAGAAGAACTTTTAATCTTGTATTAACCTCTTGTAGTGATTTTGGGGTTAATCCATTACAAGTACACTAGTGTATAAAGTAGTAGGAAGGAAATTGATAAAATTACTCAGTGTGGAAAGTTTATCTCGGAACAACTGAGAAACAAAGAATTTGAGCATCAGAGTGAAGGAGTTGGACCCAGGACTACAACGCTTAAAACTACTAGACCAAGTTGTCTCCTTGAAACAAATTCATTTGAAATTAAACAAATTTAAGTTATTAAGAGAGGAGAAGCAGTCAGCTGGAAATAAGAGAGAGCCTGTTTAGACATGTATAAATTCCCCCTGGTTTCATTATTTGATTTCTGTTAGCTGTTACTCTTTTTTTCTTGCTATTTACTACATCTTCTCTATTTTTCAGGGATACAGATGGCTGCACCCCATTCATGGCTGCCGTTCGCGGCCGGTCCTACTATCCTGCCCTCAATCTGTTTGCCACTGCCAAGTACCTAGCGACTGGCCCAGACGGACAGATTGATAGAAGTGTCCTGATGTCCATGCTGTGTCCATCAGACAGTCACCCAGACGCCTCTCCTTTGCATGTTCTCTGCTGTAATGATACTTGTTCGTTCACTTGGACCGGCACCGAGCACATAAATCAAGACATCTTTGAATGCCGCACTTGTGGTTTGACTGGTTCTCTCTGTTGTTGTACTGAGTGTGCGCGAGTTTGCCACAGAGGACATGATTGCAAGTAAGACTAGCAGCTGTGCCAGGTCTTTCAGTGAATGTACTTTAAAATGATATTTTTAAACTAAACACACTGTTTTTTGTTATGTAATCAGGTTGAAAAGAACGGCACCCACTGCTTACTGTGACTGCTGGGAAAAGTGCAAGTGCCGTGCCTTGGTACCAGGCTCCCAGGCTGCTCGCACCCAGCTCCTTAAAAAACTTGTTTCAGAGACTGACCTCGTAAGCCGACCAAATGGAAGGTTAGTCGACTTAGCTGTCCTAATTCCTCGACATCGAACACAAAAGAAAGAAAATAGGAACTGTTGAATGTAGTCGTGAAATTTTTTTGTGGAATAACAATGCAAAAGCATTACAGCTCAGGATTACATTGGCACATATCTGACAAATCTTGAAATTGGTACTCCTGATTTTTAGTCTAAATACCTCACTTTGTTGAAGCATGGCCAGGCCTTAGATGTTTTCCTTTTATTAACTGATATCACTCTTAAAGCTTTAACTATAGAACACAGTGTTTTAAAGCACCTTTCCATTCGTTCTGCAGAGGAGAGCATTTGCTGTTATTTTTGGCTCAAACAGTGGCTCGACAAACTGTGGAGCAGCGACAGTTCCGACCTCATCGCACCACAACAGATACACGTCCTAAAGCAAAGACCAAGACGCTTGGTGCAAGTGGAACGCCCTTGCCTCTCCCTGAGCACGACTTGGATCCTCCAAGGTTCGCGCGTAAGGCACTAGAGTTTATTCTACAGGACTGGAGAGCTGTGAGTGCAATGTTGAGAGATGGTTGTCGTACGCCAGGAGATGCCAGGTAAACTTGGAACAGTTTTTACATCTTTTGTCGTCATACCAAGTCGATCTTTCCCTCGTAAATGTTTACATTAGAAATCTGAAAGACTTAACACAACCAAATTGAAACATGCAATACTGCGTGCGCAGGGAGTATGTAACTTCTCCTTACTATATCCATACATTATCCAGCAAACATGTAATGAAAACACTCAAACTGTTAAGGTAGAAGTTGTTATCTTGATTTAACACCAAATTCTCGTAACTAATGTACAAGGAGATGTATAGCAGCGAAAGGGAGAATTGACAATCAGATCTTGGGAGTTAAAGGGATAAGGGAGAATATCTTTTCAACAAAATTAAAAATGGTTTTATTCTCGGTAAGTTACATGGCCACAAGATTAAACTACTTACCATTTTTAGACCGCATGCGCACGAGAGCAGTGGTTTGCCCGACGCTGGTGCAAGTCAACTGATTCCTCTAACTGAACAAGAAGATCGTCTTCAGAGTCAGCCCGGTACAGTCCGGCTGGATGCATTTACACACTGTCTTGTAGCCAAGTGCGGCCCAGAGGTAACGTGTGACTTCTACATTTCTATCAATAGAGCATGGCTCATGATATCTCATTCTACCAAGCTATGATTGTCAAATTCAGTCATGTAACGTGGCTGAGTCTATTAATTGTTGTCTATTTTTCTGTTAACATTTTAGACACTTGACCCTCTTCTAGTTACTCTAGTCAATGCGATTGAAAACTCAACCGATCCTCACAAATCTGATGAACTGAGCCTGGCTCAGCGCTTTATCAGATCTGTAGCCAGAGTGTTTGTTGTCCTGTCATCGCAAATGGCTCCTGCTAATGGCAAACGCAAAGTGTAAGTGTTTTTGTCCATAAGTTGTTATTTGCGTGACCATGAAAGGTTGGTTTTCTCTTATTCTCTAATACATTCTGTATTGTCGCCGTAAAGTGTCCATTTCCGAGGACCCATTCACTTTCTTCCTACAATTATGTTCCTACATTATCCAGCAAAAAGGTTATGCACGCGTGTTTGTGTTCATCTCTCAAACTGAACAAGCTCAGGACTCAGTAGTGCTAATATATTTGGTTTTGTTTCCATTTCCTGTTTGAAACAGAGGTGTCGCGCAACCGTTGATCAAGTGTCAGCGCATTTTCCAGTGTCTTTCCACCATTGCCATTCCGGAACTTGTCCAAGTAGCCGATGCAATCTTAGCTCCAGTTCGGCTTGGCATCTGTCGCCCAGCGCAACCATTCAGTCTGTTGTCTTCTACACTAGAAGCTACTCAAGCCAGTGAGGATTTATTCACTGTGGAACCATTACCAATGAGACCCTCCACGCCTTCGGTGGAGGAAGCCGCCACTCAGGAGAGACCCAGTATTCATCGTGTGCGAACTCAGAGGCACAGGAGGAGGCAGACTGTTACTATTCCTCGTGTGCAGGAACAGAGTGCTGTGCCTGTGGAAGGACCAGCTGTTGATGGAGAAGAAGTAGAGGTAACAGTGTCATGTGTCACTCTGTTGTTAAATAGTGAGGAGAAAATGGATAGCTTTGCCAACGCTCCAAATAATGCATATGTATTTATTTTATAGAAAATTTTATGTTTTTATTGTCAGGTTGTTGAAGGAGGAGAGATGGAAACAGAGAGCCACGAAGAAGTAGGAGATGAAGAAATTGAAAGCGGAGCAGCTGGGAATGAATCTGATATGGATTTGGATTTACTTGCCGAGAGCGAGAGTGACAGTGAAGAGAGTCAGGTACAACTTGCTCCTTCAGACACGTACATGTACTAGTGTACACCTCATGTGACCATCAGCCTGCCGTGTTGAATTGTGTCCGATCTTAGTTGTCGGATACGGCCGAGTGTGAAGGAGTCCGTCCAGTTTTCGACGGTTCAGTCCGATCCCGACTTAATACGCCTCCACCCGCTTCTCGATGGATCCGTTCAGTCGTGGACGGGTTCGGTCAAATTTTGGGCGGTTCCGTCCGATTCTACACGGGTTCGTCCGATTTAGTTTGTTCCCAGCGTCCAGTTTCAGATGGTACATTTAATTAGAGGGGTATTACGGACTCTTTTCCAAATTTAGATTCACGCCAGTAATCCTTTGTTTTTCTGTCTGTTTGTTACCAGGTCGGTGAAGTGAACGTTGTTGAGAGTGTCCGTCGCAGTCGTGTCACAGGCTCACTAGTTGGTTCAGATGGTAGCGCCAGCATGCATGGTGAACATGTAGAGTTGTACTCTGAAGAGGAATCATCTACAGGAGAAGAGGAGGAAGAAGAAGAGGAAGAAGAAGAGGTGGTGGTGGAAACGTATGATATACCTGAGAGTATCGAGAACAGACCACCTACTGGAGGTAAAGTATCTACGCTCCATTCTAGACATAAGGAAGCGACGCTATAATACGCAGTGCCTTGGAAAGGTCTCTTCCCACGAGGGAGGAAAAAAAGTGAAAGCGAGATATTAAGAACATTTTCTGATACACTTTTGATACAGGTGTCACCATTCCCATAGCCATGATGTTTTTTTATTCCGTCTTTCAGGAGTGGACCCCAACGCTACCCCTCATGCCATGCAGTGGGCAATACGAGCCAACAACTCCCAGTCAAGAGCTGCAGGTAATAGTGCAGCCACTCCGCAGCCCACCAGCGGTACAGGGTTTATCTACGTTGATTCCAGCTCACTCAGACGAAGTGGTGGTAACGCCGCAGCTGCTAGTACTGCAGCCTCTAGTGAAGTGACTGGGACCAGTGGTGCGCTTAGTATGAGTAACTCTGCCAGTGCACTGGCGCGAGCCTTTGGTATTGTTGTCCGGGAGGTAAGTGGATTGGGCCGATTCGTTTTCAACGAGGTACACGCTTAGTTCAGATTTTACTGCCATGGGAGTGTGTTGCTTCTGTGTATTACAGTGTGTGTTAATCAAGTGTTGTTAAACCAAAACCAGAGTAATCTCACCAGCCACTCAGAATGAAGACAATTGCTCAAGCAGCCAGTGGAGGCTCAAGGGAAATATAAGCAAACATTCTGAAGCGCGGGAAAACGCCAATAATCAGGCCGCCATTTTGTTTAGTTTCGTTTTTGGTTGATCGTGCGGTCACCGGTGTCTTGTAAACCAAACAGAGGGCGCAGTATGGCCAATTCTATGCAATCTTTGATTCCCGTCGGCACTCTATTTAAAATTGCGCCATACACAGAGGTATCTTTTACTTTACGAGGTATATCCCAGTGTTTGTGGCAGGTAACGGAATGAAATTAATTCTTTTATTCTTATGAAAAAGCTAACAATCCTTTGTGCTCTACTGTTTCTCAGGTCACCGACCTGCTGAACATCGCTCAAGACCCGTCTGCCCTCCCTGCAGACAGCCTAACACCTACCCCATCGGCCTTAGCAGAGATTAATGTACTGGCAGACCAGCAGCTTCAAGCGGCTTGGAACTGGTTGGCAGTGGTGTTGGATTGCACTGAAGCTCAGCTTAGGTTTGGGTTGTCTCTGTCAGCAGCTACCGACCCCTCCCACCCTTCCCATCCGCTTCACGAGTTTCATCCTAAAGCCAACAAAGACAGGAGAACACGAGAAGACCCGACGCTTCTGAGAGCTTTGGAGAACAAAAGGAAAAGATCTGTGGTCAGACGGTAAGTGATTTTAGACAGTACAAACTTGCGTTAGTTTGGAGTGACATAACGAGACTTAGGCCCCTTAGTGAAGAAAACTAAGGTTTGACCGAACTGACTCTACGCCTAATATCTTAGCACGAAATTTGAAATAACCAACGTCAATTCTAATTCCAAACCGCAAGAGGGGTAAGGAAGTTGTCATCACCATCAGCAACTGACTTACCGGGTGGCAGAAGGGAAGATTCGTTGTATAGCTGAGGGGAAGAGTTTTATAATCCCACGGCTGGTTGGACATTCAAAACGGGCTCTTTCGCGCAGTTTTCTTTGGAATAGTTATGGAAGACTTGCGACAGCGGCATTTGGCATAAAACAGCTTTTGCTGCTTTTAGCCGCTTCCATTTGTTTTGTATTTATTTTTGTCATTGTTCTTTTTCATCTTTTGAAACAGTAAACATGGAGCGACCAGTAGTAACCTGGACACTGGTCGACAAGACTTCTTGGTTTACGTTCTTTCCCTTTTGAGAGGCCATTCAAACGAACACGGAGACTCCCTACCCAAACTGGATGTTTCTTCCTTGCGCCATGTTGCCTATGTTCTGGACGCTCTAGTTTACTACATACGTAATAACCCAAACGCCAGTTCTCAGGCGAACCGATCCAGTGCAGAGAAGACTGTTACCGCTGACACACCCAACGATGAAGAAGGTGGTGATGATGTCGATGATGAAGATAGTGCGAGTTTTAAGAGGGACGCCGATGAATATGAAGATGATACAGATCATGTTGAGGATGAACCTATGCCCACTCCTACCTTGCCTGGAAATTTGCACAGGTTTGTTGGTGTACATTAGCGAGGTGCATCTGGTTTTTGAGACGATGGCATTATTCTTTGTTCCAAAATTGAATCATTTAAGGGCTTAAAATCTTAATTTTCCCGCCAATAAGTGAAACACAGATGACTTGAAACAAAAACCTTCAACAAAGATGCGTTGTATCTAAAGCGACGTCTCGGAAAAAGCACATAGTTGAATTGGAGTTTGGGGAAGGAACTGAGTTGGGGCGGTTCTTAACTCTTGCAACTTATCTACCAAGTTGTCTGCATGTAGGAGTAAGTTCATGCTCAGTGCACAAAATGTTGTGATTTCAGCTTCTTTGTGCGAACTGACTCCACCACCGTACTAGGCTGCACTCCTCCGGACCCGTACCAGGCTCCTGTAGAGGAAGCCTTACCTCTTGCCTCTCAGCCACACCTTTTGCACCCCACAGCACGCAGAGAGCAGATGTTTGGAACTATACAAGAGCATTCAGACAGTGGCCGCGGTGGTGCACCTATGGTCAGCAGCATGGCTTTGTCGAGGGAAGGTTCTGAATCAGTGGTCTGTACTACAAGACCAACTAGTGGTGCCGCCACGGGACAGCTCTGGTCTGCAATGGACGTGAACAGTAAGGCCTTTTGTAATGAAAGTCCCAAAACCCCCTTTCCCCTCCCCCCCTGAAATCCATTTTAACCGTAAAATGTGCTTATACTCATCGGACGCCAAGAGTGCGCGTATTTGTTATTTGAAACCTTTTAGCCGACGGCTTTTTAAGCTGACAGTTCCTTTTCTACCCATTCACAATTTGAAGTCCGGCCCTGCTTAATACAGGTTTCGCTGTGTCACCAAAAACAAGTACATTCTCAGTCTGTCTTTCCACCTGGTGTGGGCGCATGGAGAAAATAGCTGAATAAAAGGCAAGCTAGTGTGTCCGAAATACCCGTATATTCAAATACTGTAATTAAATGCCCTTTTTCGGAGCTTTAAGTGGCTGTCGAAGATTTTTATCGTGAAGAACACGCAGACTTTATTAATTGACGCACGTAAACAACAATAGATGCAGCATTAGGCCCCTAAAGACGCTGGGAGTACGTTTTTGTTGGCAAGATTACATTAGACATAAGTTAAAACTACTCTCAAATTCTCATGATTCTAGTGACAGAAAGTGAGTCTTCAGTTGAACCCTCAACGTCAGGTGGCAAAAATTCCGAATCTGCTGTTAATCCCACGGCATCCACCTCTTCTTCCAAACCTGTCATCTGTAATGGAACCTCTGCTAACTCCCTGTTGGGCCGCTGGAGGTTGTGTGTGGAGTTATTCGGCCGGGTATTTCTGGAAGACGTTGGATCCGAGCCTTCGTCTGTATTGAACGAGTTAGGCAGGTTTGATGTGAAAGAGACCAAGTTTAGGCGAGAGATGGAACGGCTTAGGAACTCCACCCAGCGTGACTTGACTATTGAGGTACGAGACTTTTTTTAAAGTGGAATCCAAAGTAAGAGGTCATTTGTCAGTCTGTCAATCTGTTAGCATGCTAGTCAGTTTGTTAATCAGGCAGGCAGAGAGGCAAATGGACAGTCTATCAGGTAGTCAGTCAGTCAAATAACCGCAGTCAGTTTGTCAGTCAGTCAGTCAGTCAGTCAGTCAGTCAGTCGACCATTCAGGCTGTCTGCGAGGAAGTCAATCAGTCAGTCGCTTTCAGCTATATTAACTTTTGCGTATGTGTTTAGTCTAAGTATTTCATGTAAGCCGCACGAATTGACCTCAATAGTTCCTTTTTCATATTCCCAGGTTGAACGCGACCGTGCCTCTCTCATTCAACAAACCATCAGACAGTTAAACACACAGTTTGGCCGGCGCTGTCCCAGGTCTCGTCCAATGACTATACACCGTGTTAAGGTGACATTCAAGGACGAACCAGGGGAGGGGAGCGGTGTGGCGAGAAGTTATTACACTGCAGTTGGAGAAGCGTTCCTTTCTGGAGAAAAGCTGCCAGCTCTTGATAATAGCAGAAGTAAGGCTGGATTTGGTCTTCATTATCGCTACTCTTAAATAACTGACCCCATTTTACCAGATAACGTCATAAGAACGTTCCCAAGAAGTAGCGGATGTTACTCTGCTGGATCGGCGAAGAGGACCTAATTACATGGAAGAAGGGCTCTTTACTCCTGACTAAACCTTTGTCTGTCTCGATAATATCATTAGAACTCTGTTCTGTACTGAACATTTTATAAAACAGAACAACTGTTATCTACCGGTTGAAGCTGATCAACAATTCTCCCTTTTAGTTTGATACACGGCCGTTTTCTCTGTGTTGAAATAGAAGTTAAAATGTCACGCATTACCAGATAAATTTCGGCACATCACAAGTGCTACAATTACCATTACAAGCGTGATCGGGATCACGTGATGCATTATACAACTTTCTCTGAGTGATAGACACTGACGATGTGTTGATCTACCAACAGGTATAGCTCAGCGTATCAGACGCGCAACAAGTTACCGATACAAGCGAGATCGTGATCGTGAACGTGATGCAAGAAGACAGCTGTCAGCCGATGCACGAGCTTTTCATTTCAGTGGCGGCAGCAGCACTGGTGATGGAGAGGATCCCGATGGTGACCCACTGCCGTACCACAGGCAGTCTTTAGGAGAGAGGCTGTATCCTCGAGTCCATGCCTTGCAGCCTGTAAGAAAACGACTTGTGTCTTATTGTTACGGGGGCTATTTTGACTCAAAACCACTCATTAGATGGTATGAAAAACGCGCAAAATATGTGTTACTGACGAAGAAAAACGATAACAAACTTAACAAAAACACACTAACGAGGAGGTATGAGAAAGTAAAGGACGAAATAGCTAAATACAAAATTACACAAAAAATAATTAGCAAGCGCAGAGATCTTACAAGGGATGTTGTTTGATTTAAGAGGAATTCACTGAGTTAATATCATGAGAACAGTATGGCAGACATTGTCAAGAATTGTTAGTAAGATCTTGAGAGTGATGAGGTAACTGAAGCTCAACTTAACATTCCCTTTTACTCTATTTCAGTCTCTGGCCAGCAAGATCACCGGCATGCTTCTCGAGCTTTCTCCTGCTCAGCTACTTTTACTGTTGGCCAGTGAAGACACTTTGAGGCAGAGAGTGGAGGAAGCTGTTGAGTTACTTCTTGTGTCTGGAAGGTAAAGAGGAGAAATTGTGTCCTATTGTGAAGCTGTTCATGACTCACCGACTAGTTTGATATTAAGCCTTTGGCTGCGTGAGATGTTTTCGTTATCATTAAGGGTACACCATCCGATATGATCGACTTTACTCTGCTTCCGCTCTGGTCACCGAAACATCACTAACTGTCACCCTCACCCGGAAGATCGCAAGGCATACCGGCAAAAATTGACTCGCGGGTTCATTAAGGCCGACATTTCTTAAGTAAATTACTGTTTGATTTACGATGTTATTGCCGGCTGTGATTCGGAACCTCGTGGGGAACTTAGATTTTTCTTAAGTTTTCCCACACATTTGACTGGTGTTGATTCTCTCTCTCTAAACTGGCTCAGAGTTGTTTTCGCGTCCATCTGAATGAAGTTCTTTTCTTTCCTAGGAAACAAGTCAAGGATGCAGACGAGAACCCCCTTAGCGCTGGTGCGGACCTGGATGATTCCGAGGACGATAGTGCTCCGTTGTTCTACCAACCAGGCAAGACTGGGTTCTACTCGCCACGCCCAGGGAAGTGCTCTGAAGAGAGATTGAACTGCTTTAGGAATGTTGGAAGGTGAGAACAAACTGAAAATTGGTGTCAGGCTTAAGTGGTTCTCTATTAGTAATGTCGTGTATTATGTGGTGTTAAGTTTTGTTTTCTTAAACAGTAGTGTTCGATTGGCCACGCAGGAATTCTTGGCCCAGGATAAACTGTGATGTTTGTCTTCTTCTCAGGAAACAGCTTTCTCTTTCGACTATGTTGCAACTTCCGTACACTCAGCATTTAGATTTTTGTTTGTTTGTCTGTTTGTTTGTTTGTTTGTTTTTGTGGTTGCATCAATAGGAAGCTATGTACGTTAAACATGAACAGAAGCCTATAACCCAGTTTCTGTGTGTCCAAGGGTTACACTAGGTACCATAGGTACATATAGTTACTATTCTTTTGTTCGTTTTTCTGGTTGTTTCCTTTCATGTGACAATTAGAGCTGAAGTGAATTTAATTTTCCGACTCTTGTATTGAAGGATCATAGGATTGTGTCTTCTACAAAACGAACTGTGTCCGATCAACCTTAACAGACATGTTATAAAGCACATCCTCTCAAGAAGGGTAAGTAAATGATATACAAATGCACGCAGTCTGATTTTTCGATAATCGCCCGCCTGGGGACTTCATAATAAGTTACTGTAATCTTTTAAAATGGTGGCTGCCTGATTTCTTGTAATTGTTGAAAGAAAAAACAAACACTTAGAGAAAAAGCGGTCGCTCTATTGATAATCACAGCAAGTACGGCTAAACAGCTGATATTGATAATCACAGCAAGTACGGCTAAACAGCTGATATTGATAATCACAGCAAGTACGGCTAAACAGCTGATATTGATAATCACAGCAAGTACGGCTAAACAGCTGATATTTGGCTCGAGCTCTGCAAATGTTATTGCTCTATTCCAGTTAACATGATTGCGCCTTCAAAGAATAATTGCTTTTAAATTATATTGTAATTACGTGCGTTTTGAAACCCTTGAGGGAGGACCATGAAGTCTAAAATGTACCAAGTATCTCTAAATCAAACTCATTAAAGGGGACTATTAGTAAAAACAGTTTTCTTTTAATGTAGATTGGTTGGCACGACCTGGCATTTTTCGACCCTACTCTCTACGAAAGCTTACGGAAAATCATCGTCGAAGCCACGTCCCCAAATGCCGAGCACATTTTCAAGGGCTTAGACTTGACATTTAGTGTCCAGGCCACGGTGGAGGAAGGCGATGGCGGCCAAGTGGAATTGATCAAAGGTGGAAAAAATGTTTCTGTGACGCCATCTAACGTGTATGACTATGTACGGCTGTATGCCGAGCACAGAATGGTGGGCCATAACAAGAAGGCGCTCCAGGTAAATTTAGATGGTATGAAGTATCACTTGAATGACTCTTCTGCGTTTTTAAATAATTTCCTGTAGAGTATGGGAAGTATGGTAGATTAGTCAAACACGCATCATGTGAACCAATCAGATGTAAGGCGAGACAAGTCGTTACCTGGTCAATCGCGTTTTCCCGCGCTTTAGGGGGTTTTTCGATCTTATTGGATCCTTCTTATTTTTGTCTTTATTCTGATTGGCTTCTTCTGGTTTTGCAAAGTTTAATCGTCAAAAGTGTCTCAAAATATTCTCACCAAACAGTGTAGAGGGCGATTTCAAAATGTTTGTTCGTGCAGAAGTTTAGTTCCTATTTTTAGGGACTTGCAGAGGTTTTGCACTCAATTTGTGCTTCACGTATGAGTTGAAGAGATCTCTCTTTGTTCAAATGGCTTTTTAAGCTGTAATTTGATCTGCAGTGTATCGAACGCTGTGTTTACATTTTCACATCCTGGGAATTAAAACTGTGTTACTCTTGTTGAAGGCTCTACGAAATGGAGTATTGGATGTGATTCCCTTATCTGCATTTGATAACCTGACAGCTGAAGATTTCCGCCTGTTGTTGAATGGTTGTGGTGAGGTGAACGTACAACAGTTGACGAGCTACACTTGTTTTAACGACGAGACTGGAGGTATGAAATGAACGTGATGATGTAACATCTTATCACAATATGTTTGTCATGTTATTTGTTGCGATGCTGTCCTGGTGTGACGTCATGGAGTACAAAGTTATGTCTTGAGGTTTGATTTGACGTCGTTCAACGCCATGTGGAGCTAAGTCGTATGACATGATTTACGATGTGACACCATGTGGTTTCATGAGCCACACTTGATTCCATGAGATGGGAGATATCTGAAAGTAATAGTCATGACATCATGTCGCAAAATGCCTACGATGTCTTGTCATTTGAAGTGAGGTGTCATTTCAAGGCACAGGATATTATTGAGTCAAATAACATTTCACCTGTTTTTGTGCCACGTTTTATGATTTGCCGTTAAATATCATATCGTTTGGCGCGATGTGATCTCAATTGTAATGCCATGTTGAGGCGATGTCGTTGTGTCGTCATTTGTCACGCGGTTGTTTTCATTTACCCTGCATCTTTCTCTTTGCTCTCGGTAGGTGCTGGAGCTGAAAAGTTGCTCAAGTTCAAGAAGTGGTTTTGGTCCATTGTTGAAAAGATGAGCAATTCGGATAGACAAGACTTGGTGAGCATTGAAGCTTTGTTACAAATGTAAAGAACTTTAAAAAACCTAGAGGCTCGTGAAATAACCACACTTCTACTGCGTTGAAATTTCGTGGGGATGTTACTGAAATTAATGACCGTGGAAAGAGAAATTTGTAAACGCTCGTCAAAGACTTGTCTCGGGTGTATAGAACGTTTATTTGAATGATAATAAAGGGCTGCTTCTTTATGGAAGGGTTAAACCATAACCAAGTTTAGAACATACTAAACGGAAACCAGCCTTTGACGTTATTTAATGGCTGTGAATTCAATTTAGCTGAAGAAATGTTGCTTATTTAAAACCAATCGTTAAAGAAAGTGTATTCCATAGTTGACAGTTTTGGTTCACAGTTGATCCTTTAGCTTGAGTAGCTTTTGATACAGAGCACTTTATTTGAAGGTTTATTTTTGGACATCAAGCCCGGCACTCCCTGCGAGCGAGGAAGGTTTCCAACCTAAACCATCGGTAACAGTCAAACCTGCACATGATCATCAGCTTCCCACTGCTAATACGTGTATCTCCCGGCTGTACATACCACTGTACTCTTCACGTGCTATTCTTAAAAGCAAGCTTCTACTGGCTATCAAGACCAAAACGTTTGGATTTGTATAAGAGATATCTGACAAGTGTTGACCAGTGCAACCATAAACAGAAGAGAATGGAAGCAAAGGGAATGAACATGAAGGAATCAGTCATCCCTTAGAAATCTCCCGCTCCGTTTCATTCTTTTGATTTAGACAATTTCAAAGTGTTATCCCTTAGCACCTACCACTAATATTCACATTCTTCTAATGATGCCTACAAGGAGAATTTGTTTAACAATCAGGACCTTCTTGAATCAGTGATCATTTCCATAATTCTCATTAACCTTTATAATTAATTCAAGGGTGATACTTGTAAGGAGAAGTTAGAAGCCAGTGTGTCTAAGGCGATAAAGTAAGATCTTTCCGCATAGTAGATCGTCAACCGTGCTGTTTATAAATTGTATTAAGAAACACCAATAAAGAATTCGTTGAAATTGTGCCAGGTTTCGTAGCAGTTTTAATTTAATGTAATCTTATTGTATGCTGCTTCATTTTTGATAGTTAAAAAGTGTATATTTTCTCATTCATACATGGGGAGACATGTAATTAAATTTGCTAACTAGCATAAGCAGCAAATTAAAAGTGGCAATAGGGCTGACATTTTTGTACGCAAATGTAATCAACTAGGTTAACCCTTAACACCTTTACATTAGTATGCAAGTTCATTGTACTGTTCTCTATACATTTCCTATGGTACTTTCGAAGAGAATTTGTCTAACAATCAAGAGTTTCTAGAGTTATAAATCATTTCCTTTATTCTCATGACCTTAATTTTTAATTCAAGGGTGCTATTGTAAGGAGAAATTAGATGCTAGTGACTCTTGGGGGTTAAGGAGTAATAATCATCAGTGATGATGATGTGATGACTATTTCATGTATCATGCAAACTGAACAAGTCATTCATCAAATGTTTATTTTCAAAACCTGTTTTCATAATTTTGCTAACTAGCCCTTCCCTCTTCTTTATCAAGTTACATATGCACCAATGTTCACCTTCTTCCTACTGTTGCACACTTCAAGCCCAAAAAAATGGACAAAATTATCAAACAACACTCCTTTCTTTGTAACTACCATTTAGCAGGGTCACTGACCAATTTGACTGCAGTAAACAAGCCAAGAATTCCATCCACAATCTACATTTCCAGCAATCTAATCAAGGTCATAAACCCCACCCTCTTCTCCATTAAAATACTCCTTTGAAACTCTTTGCATGTTATCAGTAGAGACCAACTCAAAGGTGTGAAGCTATGTTGTCCTTTGCACTCTTAAGATCTCAAAACTATCTTTCTCAATGGAAGCCACAAACTTATTTTGGTGGCCATCACCGATAACTTAATGTAACATCAGACCCATCTCCTTCCTTATTTTCTAAATTCTCACAACCGTTAAGCTTGATAGTATATTTAAATTGTAAGGAGAAATTTAATACTGTTAACTCACTGGAAGTAAAAGAGTAACTTCTTACATTAAGTTATAAGGCCCAGACACAAGAATCCTGCATCCATTTGTTACAATCCTTTTGTTACTATGTTATGTAGAGAGTCTGACTCCAAGATGTCCTTGTGTTTTTTTGTCCATGTGCTTCAGTGCTTCCCTCTCTTCTCTTCTTCTTTGTTGTTCCAGAGCACGTCGTTCTCTTTCTGCCTGTTTTCTTTCTTTCACTAATTTCTCTGTTTCCCACTCAATGTCTTTCTCAGAAACAGCTTCTTCATCCCATACTGAAGTAGACTCATCATTCCAAGTACCAAGCTCAGGCTGAAAATAATTGACATCACAACTTTGTCACAAAATTGGGAGAGGTTTTAATGAATGTATCATTGACAGTTTACTGTTCATGATTTTGTGCTAAGACGGCTGAATGTCACATTGTATAATAGGCCATCTATAGATAAAGCAAGTAAAGATTGGGTTATTTAGTGTTCTGTGCATCACTGTGAATGTCTCACTTGTATAGCTTACCTCTACAGGGCTATAACTCATATCAAAGTTAAAACGACTTGGTGTGGTCTCTGGGCGTGTATTATAACCACCATCAGGGTAACCTTTATTCTTCTTGAGAACAATCTGTAAGCAAAGGAAAAAAGGGCGACTTTTTTAGAGCAATTCTGCAAGGTGCCACAAGATAATTTTATTATGTATTCTTTCCTTACCTTCTTTGGTTTTTGAAAGACAGGTGTCATGTCACGGAAGAGATCTTCCTCTGCTGGATCCTGCTGTGGATCAGAAGCTGGTTCAACTTTCACACTGAACTCCTCCATTTGTTCCCATTCCTCCCATTGCTCTTCACCTTCTAACTGCTGTTAATTGTAATACATATTAAACAATAATAATCAAATTTATCAGCAAATTCCATGCTAAAAGCAACTTGATGTATGGAATGCTCTCCACCTCAGCTAATTTGTTGAGGTACAATTGATTGGTGGGTACAAATTTCAACAACAAACATACTGCCAGTCCTCAAGTAAGTGCCTCATGCTATAATAAGCACCCTCTCCAGAATAAGTGCACATCCCCTGAGCCATAATGTCAAACAAGCGCTCTCTTCCTGCCTCACTTTCTTATATAATACAGATAAAAGGAAAATCTGTTTCTAGTTCTAACTTTTAAGCTTCAACTACAGCAGTAGAATCAGCACAGAAGAAATAAAAGGGATAAAAGGAAATCCTGATTCTATCTGTAACATTTTAGGCTTCAACTACAGCAGCAGAATTAGTACAATGGCACAATGAATGCCTCCCTCATTTAAGCAGCCTCCTTCCGATAAGCACCCCCCCCCTCCCCTCTTTCAGTCAAAAATCTTAAATATGAATCTGGGCATTTATTCCAGGAAATACAGTATCTAAGATTATTCATATAAACTAAAACCATTCAGACATTAACTTTGGCTTCCAAGAACAAAGTACCAATTCTCAGCACTGCTTATGCAAGATTTTTCATTATTTCAGCCCTTAAAATTTGGTGTTCTATCAGAAGATATGCCGTGGTTGATATTTTCCTTTCTTCTCATCACCTTCTTGCTTAAAATTATATTGATGTCGTGAGGAGAAATTTAGTTTTGGTCACACCTGGGGAGTAAAATGGTTGAATAGTAATTTCTGATATTTATTTACTAACACCATGAAACATCAGACGACGATTGATGTAATTTTGTTCGTTCGTCTGGGACTTTTCCATGAAAAATAAGCATAAGTATCTATATATATCTTCACAAATTATTCCAAAATACGTGGCTCAATTAAATTTTTGCTTAATTCGATCAATTCAAGGAAGACTTGCACGAGAATCTTCATCGTCGACGTCACGAAATCGAATCCCCTACAATGCTGAATGTCTTTGGTTATATTGATGATTTGAATTGTGTCAATAGCAATATCCATTAACGAAGCCAGACCATTTAACTCCATCTGCATTCAGCTGTACAAGATTAACACAAAGCTTACAAGATCATACAAACAAGACAAAATAAAGCTCACCTGGTCTCGGCTCACAGTCACTGAAGTTGGTATGCTATCCTTATCGCCCTGGCTAGACTTTCTCTGACGACCTCTAAATAAAATTTTCTTTATAAAAGTAATAAAAAAGGAGAAACAACTAAAGAAACGACGGAAAGTAAAGTGCACTATCTTCATACTTTTGTTCGTTTTAATTCAGGAAGAAACATGGCTGCTTATCGAGAAAGTACTGGGGTTGAGTCGGCACAGTCCTTCGCGCTGTTCAGCGAGCAGTTTCCTGAAGGACGGAGGAAATTTCATTCTTTCACTCCAAAAGAACATGGACGTCATAGCACTCTAGAGTTGATAACTAAGCACTTTGGTTACAAAGCGATTGTAGTTTTAAAAATTACGTCAAAAGCTTCTCCCCAGACTATTAAAAAACCACGTGCACCTCACCTCGACAACGTACAACCAAGAGTTTATAACCTCTTGATGACTCATTGCTTATAAGCTTGATCAGTAATAATTTAGGAATCGATACGCTGGTCTATGCCGGTAGGGCGACATTATTCAGATTTTACACTTCCTTTTTTAAATCTGAAACGCTAATGAAAACTACGGTCAGTTTAAAAAAAATCCTGTCCTTCATGAAAACTGGCACTGTGAATTTCAAACGTATACGTCGCCATTTAACTTTAGTTAAGTTGTCTACATCGTAACATAGACAACAATGCATTATTATTTTGGGAGATATTTAGCATAGGAAATCCGAACAAAGAAATCTGTTCCATATTATAATATTCTTACTCAAATGATCAGATTTATTTTGAGGAAATTATAACTTTCATGGCAAATATCTTGGAATTTGATCGCATCAAAAGATTATAATCTCTTAATCGCATCTAAAAAAAAAATACCCACCTCGTGCCCTGCCACGCATCTTGAGATAAGCAATGAAATCAAATTTGAAGACACTTGCCCCGCCAGCTCTTAAAAAATTCTGAAGGGCAATATTCTAAAAATTATTTTAAACGTTTCCGAAAGGAAATAAAGGTGACATTGACGTTATTACTCATAACATCATAGGAAGCTTCTTTAGAAGTCTTTTTACTCATTACCAGTCTACCATGAGAAGATTAAATCTAAAAGACCAAATGATTGCAACTCACCGAACTCACCCCCAATCTTACAATCCCCTCTATGTAATCAGTTAGCGACAACTGATCCCACCTACGTCCCACCCTGAAAACAATGTAATTCCACTCAAAAACCTACTACCCCCACTCCCTCCCCAGGCGATAAGTAATGACCGGGAGCTTTTGAAATGGCTAGTCCCAGGAAACTCTTATGATTTTGTCAGATTTCCCTGACCGTTCTCCAGTACCATTAACACTTCTGCATGCTAATCGTCACGTCTATGACAACAGGGAGTACGATCTACTCATCGGCAGGTGACCATAAAAGAAATCATTTGATTGTTATAAATATTGGGATCTTGAAGTGCCTAAGTCTGACGCACGTGGAGACAACCTCATGCAGATCTTGTTGTGTGTATGACAAAAATATTGCGTTGTCATTGTCTGTCTTCAATGCTGTAAAAACGTGATAATAAACAACTGAAACGTTTTTCAAGGACAGTTACTCTCTACTCGGTGTAAACCTGAGTGCTTCGACCACAAAACACTTGGAGCGAGGTGAGAAACGTTTTTTAAACCCTTCTACTTCCAGCAGAAGTCGCTGGGAATTAAAACGTAAAACCGCCCATATGGTAAATGGTGTTGCGGTATGTTGGCTGCTTACGTAGGAGGAGAATTTGTACCGCGCATAAATGAGTGAGGTTTACATCGCGGGCTTCTACGGAACAACATATATTCCCTTACTATCCTTCAAACTTCATACAGTTAACTGAATTAGTTGCAGACAAAATTTCACAAAATTATGGCCAAGTTTCTCAGAAGACTTAAAGAGAAGAACTGAGTGAAACGGAAGACAATCAACATTTAAAATCGCAAATACACGTGATTCCTTTGCACGAGCACGTCACATCTTATGTAAAACGTGTCTGTAGATACGCCCCTGTTCGTGTGTTGATGAACTCGGCTTATTAGTCTTTTTTGTGCACATTGGAATATTTCATACAATCAAACAATGCGAAGATTTAATAAAAGGATGTAACTCTGTTTCGGATCAAACTCGTACCTAAAAGATATTGCAAGTTTTGTTGTTCTAATTTTAATGATAATGAGATGAATGTTATTTGTATTGAGATGAGGGCTGCTCACGCAAATTTCTATCCACTTGAATGAGCCTTACATAAATGTCTTAGCAACAACTCTCCGACAATATCTGTCTTCTTAATTCCGCCGATCGTGTAAACCGAGAATATCTTTCTCAAAGGGATTGTAGGTTATCAGAAAGTGGATATATTGAAGTCGTACATCAAGACGCGAAGTTAAGGTAAAGGTAGTCTCTATTCATTCGAGATATTCATAGGTTATGTAAAGTTTTGGCAAACTGGAAACATCATCGGTGAGCCGATTGATTTCATTGTACATCTCGACTCATAGTCGTCTTACTGAATCAGTTGTAAAAAGCACTGAAGCAAATGCTGTTTACGGTGTGCTTTCTGACTCATTTTCATCGCCTCAAGCAAGTTACAAGGCAAGCCATAACCTAACTGAAGCGAGATATGAGTTACCAGTATATACTCTTTCGCGAGAGTGGCAGAATAATTAACCAAAAAAAATGCGTGCTTTCGCTTTCAAACGGTAAGTCTGAGGCTTGTGTTCAAACCCTGTATTTCTCGTTTCAGCTTACTAATTTCACTGAGGAATCTCACACGCGTACGATTTTACAAACGAGGTAAGTTTACAGACTTTGTCGCAGTTGTTGCATTGAATTTATATATGTGCTGGTTAACAAACATAATGAAACCCAAAAATTCAGAGTTGAAAAACAACAGAGCAGATCATGATAAAGTGAAAAAAAAATTGATAAGTAAATATTGGTTCAGAGTACCAATTCTTCAGGTGAGGTTCATCTCCGCAGTGTTTGAGGCATATCACAAAATCCCTGCCCAGACTGATATCAAATATTATCTACTTAGTTCTTAAGTATAGAAACAGAGCGTGATAAAATTCAAGCACACATCATGGGGTCATTGGGGTTTGACAGTTAATGTGCTCGGTTAGTTCATGACCACCGCTTGTTTGATAACAAAAGATTTTTGTTTCGTTTAGCGGGAATTAAGTTTGCATAAGAACCATTAGCAGCCAAACACGTAAAACAAGTAAACAAACACATAGCGAATATGTTCCATGCGTTGAGAAGTCAGGCGGAATTTTGAGTTTAGGAAGTTTGACCTCTTTTCAACTCCGCCTTCATGTTTACGTATTTCACACATACAAAAATTATCAACTGAGACTATGACGTACTTCCAGAGTGTACGGCTGACTGGCAACTTACCGACTAGTTAACAACCGATTAAGCCCCTGAGGCTGCATTAAAAAAGATATATATCGTTATATAACATAGGTAAATCTTGTATAATATATATATATATACATATATATATGATATCTTCATTCAGTTTGCAATATCGCTTTAACGGTGCTAAGATTAGCTCTGTTAGCTGAGATGTAGCGGTAGGAAATATAATTTCTTGCCCAGAAACAGCAAAGTGTTTCACTTTCATCGCATCAAATTGTTTTAAGCACCGCACACTTTAAATTGTCAAGGATACCAGAACGGTGAGCCTTACATAACGCTTCCTGAACATGATTTCGCGTCTTTCTCTGCTCTGTTTGTTTAAAGTTTTTGAGATGATCTTCCCTGAGAGTCACAATTTATTTTTGTTTTGTATTGATCTGTCAATTTTATATTGGTCATGCATGGTTTAGTAATCTTCCATAGTATGATCAAAGCTTGGCAATGCCAGTCATCACTTTGAATCACGAACTAAATCTCTGGTATGATTCAGTTATGTCGCGTTTAGACGAGGATGACGCGCGAGGGTGGTCTAGTATTAGAGTCAGAGCGATCCCAGGATGAAGAAAGTAAATGAATAATAAATGGAGTCTGTCGAGCAATTTACGGGTTGCCAAATCTGAAAGAGGACTTAATTGAGCGACTGTCGTATCGGATAGAGTCTGATGAGGGGCTAAAGCTCGACACGTCAGCTTTAGAAGCTATTTACGGACGCAAATTACGTTATTAACAAGTTAATAAAACCTAATGATTTGCACTTAACCTACCTGCGTGACTAGGTGACTGTGTGACAACGTGATGATTATTCAATTTCAGGTCAAAGGCTGGGCAGCAGTTTTACACAGAGGAAAAAGTTTTAACTTAACGAAGCGGTGTTCTTTCCTTGAAGGAGACAATACAGTTAAAATACAAAAATGGCCAAATTCGCCCTTAGGAACGAGCTTGGACGGTACATTGTTGCAGTAAGTAGATTACATTTTGATTGTTGTGTTTGTCTGAAGTTTGTTGTGGAACAACAGTTGTCGGCCGCTTCGGTTTCGCCCTCGAATTACGCTTTAAAGAGTTTTTCTTTTTTTGATCTCATACTTAACATATCTCTATTTTTACGTGAGTTTCAATTAAAGAGCTATTGTTAGTACTGTAATAAACTTTAGGGGTTTGATCTGAGAGGATTTCATGAGGTATTTCAGTTTCTGACTATCACTGTGTATCAAATGAACTGTGGCTTGTTTTGCACCTATACTCAAATTTTTCCCTGGAAATGTTCTTGAGTCTCACTTGCATAGCGACGTCTTTAGGCAAAGAAAATGATTAAATGTTACGTAAGTAGTGGCGGTAGAGACTTCACAAAGCACGTCAAAGTATCTTTGAATATATCAGTGAGACAAAATTGATTTGCATTTACACTAACTTTAATAATTACAACAAGCGGGAGTGGTAATATTGTTTGCAACAGCCGAAGTCGCTCGATTTGGGTTTTTCCCAGTCACCCAAATCTTACTATTACCGTCCAATTTCTCTGCTAAACGCAAATAAAGGGAACTTTTTCTGCACATCGACCTCGACCAACTTGTGAACTGAGTGATTGTTTGTGCAACAAAACACGTATTAATTTGCCCTATTGTGCAATATTAATGAAGTCTGATATTGAGCGTCGGTGATTTATTTCGGAGACAATTGATGGTTAATTTAACTAACATTTCACTGCAAAATGCATTTTTTGAAGTTTTTTTTTTCTGTTTTTATAAAACAGGTGAGGTTTGTTTCGATTGCATTTACATATTGCAAGCAATGGCAAACATGAAAGAAATTTATATTTAATTTTTAACTTTCAGAGATACTTCAAGTGTTTTTGTCAACTTTATTGCATTAGAAATAGAAATAAAACCGAAATAACGAGAAAAATGAGCTTCAATGAAGAAAAAAAATGTCCTTTAGCAGTGCAACTGGGCAATAAGCGGCATTACCGACTGAGGATATCTCGATAGCTGACGTCACGCAATATTCGAATCCTGGAAAAGGACCACTGTCGATAGAACGTTTTGACAGCCAGAGCGGAAGTCGTGAAAAGAGTGGACTCTGGTGATGACTTTCGCTAAGGTTGTGAATCGTCGGTCACTACTATCGACAACAGTCCTTCCCCGGACGATCAAAATACACAATTGAAGGCTACAGTTCGCGCAGGAAGGCTATCGAAGAGATGATGGGCAACTCGAAGGGAAAAGCAAGAGAGACGTACGACGGTTAAATAAGAACGGATTGGTAGCTTCTTGAAACACACGCGCTCAATTATTAACTGAAGGTGCCTGCAAAGTAAGGGAGCTGGATTTTTTTACGGTTGTGCGCGAGTAGAACGCACGGGCAATAAACACAAAGAAGGAGTTCACTTTCCTCGCGCTTTTTTTCCCTTATACGCGGGCTTCTTTAAGTTTTACTACCAAGGCTCAATTTATATCGATTTTCTTAAGTGTTATTTCGGTGTAATGCATGGAAACCATCATTTTATAACTAGGTACTGTGACTGTGTTACTTTCAGATTGCTGCTCTAACGAAGATTATGATTTTATGATAATAATAAAAATTACAACTAAAACCCTTGACACGCTTTTTTTGCTTTTCTCCTTTTAGATAGCATGGATGGGAATAAACATATATTTATTCGTGAGTGCCTACATATCTCTACAGACTTCCCCAAAAAACTTCTACCTCAGAGTTATTGTCAAGGTATTTGAAATTCTTTTATTTATATTCTAATACTCTAATGCTTTTGGCAATCGATCTTGATCAGCCTTTTTTAGATGTGATATTTTTTATTTTAATATATTATAGATATCGATCATCTATAGATTACAGATTTTCATCGATCATTAACCTCATTTTCCAGGTTGTCAATTGTCATCACGTACTTGCGGACAGTGTAGCAATACTGTTGGGGAGTGTGTTTAGAAATCATTCCTGAGACTAAAAAGAAAAAAAAATGTTTTAGTCGGAAAAAACATTAGAATCAAAGAGTTATTTACGAAAATAATCTGGCGATTAAAAAAATATATTCCTAAGGGAAGGTACGTTTTTTCTTGGGGGGGGGGAGGGCTGGGGAATTTTGGTATTTTTTCCAAAAGAAAGTGTTAGCCCTTCCTCATGTTTTGATTAAACAACTCCTGACCCCCCCACTTTTAGGTGACTGACAAAAGTGTGACCCTCCCCTCACTACCGAATTAAAAGAAACAATAAAAGAAAAAGGGAAAATAACATCACAAAATCCTCATTAAAAATTCTGGAAAAGGTGTGACCCTCCCTTGAATAGGAAAAAGAGGGTATGGCCCTCCCCTTTGGATGACCCTCCCCTCTGAGGCCCCAGCCCTCCCCAAAAAAAAACGTACCTTTAACAGGAAGGGACTCAATCGAATTGAAGGGAACGTGAATTTGTCATTTTGCATTTGCTGCTTTTAGCGGACCGGTAACTGGTAATTATTCATCGCGGGGGGGGAGGAGCGGTGTGGATAATTTTTGGTGCGACAACCCCCCACCCCCACCCCTACCCCCTTCCCTCTCAGCCACACCAAAAGTCAGTGTTCCTATCTCCTTCCGCACTCACATACCGATTGGTTGAAGTTTTACAAAGTTGTTAAGCAGAATTAAGAATCTGCTTTTGTTGTAAACAAGGCAAATGCAAATGGTATCTCTTTGAACAACAGAAAATACGCAGAAAATAGCAGTTAAACACAAAAATAAAAGATCTATGAGATTAGGAAAAGAGTCGTCTGTGAAACGAGAAGTGGAAGCACGTAAAAGCATCATAAAATTCATTGCAGACATAGATGGCTGCAAGAGCAGCGATGACGTTGTCAAGTGTAAGTCCTGGTTGATCACTGTAAATGACACCTTGAAATCCGCAGCAGATTTGTTATCATTCATCGACAGCCAGTGAAATGTTCTTAATAGAGTAGACCATTCTCCAAAACCCTTTGCAAATGACTACTTACACGTGTTGTGTTTTATTTAAACAGGAAGGATTGGCTTTTGCTCGAGCGTCTGCTGCAGTTTTGAACTTCAACTGTATGCTTATTCTTTTGACTATGTGTCGGAACCTTCTCTCTTCCATTCGAGGCCTTGGGGTACGTGATCTGCTTTACAGCAACTGCCTAATCTGATGAAGCAAGAGCTCAATTCAATCCAAAAAAATGAGAGACGATTTTGATTATTATTTGCCACTGCTCAGACGATAAATACTCGAATGATTTTGTCGGTCACGCTTCGGTTTTTAGCCGATCGTCCAGGTCGATCGTCTCAGTCGTGCTTCGTTCCGTTTTGAGCGACTGAACCGTTACGGATTATAATATGAAACACAACTCAGCGGGACGATGTTTCCTCTTTATTCATTTTCAGTCTAAAACGTAATTCTTTTCAGAGGTCTTCATAACGCGCATATCATAGAAATGCGAGGTGAGGCCATGAGGAGGGGACGATGGGAAGATAAAAGAGATTGTTTTTCACTGTCTCACGTCTTTCTCCCAACCCACCATCCCACATGCTTCCGTGCTACCCGAGCACGAAGACCACTGGTAACGAGTTAGCGATCAAAGAGTCCTGGTTTTCCTATCCAACCAATCACAAGTCTAAACAAATTGAATGCAACTCTCCGTAGTCCCTGTAAAATCATGGGATCGTGCACAGGACGGTTAACTTAGCAGCATGACTACAGTTTGATAACCGGCTTGATTGATTGATTGATTTATTCATTATTCTTTTTTAAACTTATTTTTTGAAGTGTGGTACCAGTGCCCTTCGCCTTCTTGACAAGCATATGACGTTTCATAAGTACATTGCATACATGATATGTTTCCAGACAGGTAAATTTGATTTAATTCGATTTTTTTCTTTTTTGCATTTGTTAGGTACAAATTCATTCAAAAGTATTTGACACGCAATACTTGACAAGTTTTGAATTTGAAATCACTTGATGTAATGCCAACAATTGCATATTGACAAGTTGAAAATTAAGATGGGCTTATTTTCTGGTGAAGTCTTACGAGCTTGGGAGCTCTCAACATCACAGCTCGTCCAGGTTCCCTTAGTATGGCACCTCGTCCTCCCCTTTGAAAGAATGCTAGTCCAGGGTAGGAAATCGTCAAGTTTACTAGTTCTCAGGAACCCCTTATATAGTACTGCGTGGAGAGAGACACCCTCGAAGTGAGGCGTCTTGCTCTGCTCGAATCCAGACTTCTTGATCCCAGGCCCGCGCTCTAACCTCATTATGGGTAATATTGAAAAAAGACAGGGAATTGGTAGCCTAGTGAAACTTACTTTTTTAGTATTTGTAACAATTTTCTTCGTTTTATTTATCTACAGCCATTCACATAGTAGCACACGTTTTTAATGTGGAGTTTTTCATTGACTCACACTTGAGTAAGGACATGCTTGTTCAGAGATTGAACAGCTTTGAGGATGAGGGAAGTGAAACTTATCTAAACCCTATACGGGACGCCAACGCTGTGAGTGTGAAAGACCGTTCTTATTTGCTTGGATTTGTCGTGAATTTTCATCGAAACCAAGGACAGTGACAAAGTTTATTTTGTGTCGTTATCTTAGGAGTGTGAAAGCGGCCGAGCGAGAACTGGGGGCGGGAAGGCAAAACAGACTCTCCCCAATTTTTTCGCGGCATTTTTTTTTTTTTTGTATTTGAAAATATTCATGCAATACTTAATGAGTCAATGAACCTACTTGTTTCAAAGACCTTTTATTTGTGTTGTTACCAAGCGTAATACTGACTTCTGGTTTTTCTGATCAGGTACCAGTAGTGGTGCTGTGGAAATTAGGTAAGGCGCGAAGCTTGTGGAATGATCTTCAAACGAATCTGAGGATTCAGAGGACTTGACGTTTTTATTCGTATCATATACGCCTACGTCAACGTGACGTAGAGGAGGGATTGATATTGTGAACCGCGCCAGAATCTATCTTTAAGATTGTAGGGTGCTTTTCATGGTATGCTTTTAAGTTCCAATACGACGCTGTTATGGGGCCTCGCTTTGAAAAATCTTGTTTCTGTTCTCCTAGTTGTTATTTGCATGAAACCTTCTGTCAGCTTATTGAGTGGTAAAATTTATACATAACGTTTCATCATCTGTATCGTTGATTGATATTTTATTGTATCACTTATAGCGGCTGGTATTACTGGAGCTGTCATAACCCTTTGTCTTATTTTGATGGTATGTTCAAATATGAGCTTAAGTAATGTAAATAAGAAGTAACCCTCGTTTATAACATTGCTAAGAGGATATGTGCATTCTAGTTGGTCAAAACCTTCCATGAGCATTTATTGAAGTGCCTGCAGCTATTTATTAAAACACTAAAATAACTCTCTTATAAGTTTGCGGGTATAATAATCTTTTGTTTTTATTCTCGAACAGCTCTCTTCTGCCACGGAACTTATCAGGTAATGTACTTATGATTGCATCTTAGCGCTTTTATTTTCACGATATCAGTAGTTTTACCGTACCTAAGTGTAACTATCATCTGTTCAAATGTTTCCTCCTTGCAGGCGGTCGTATTTTGAAGTGTTTTGGTATAACCATCATCTGTTCGTGATCTTCTACATTGGACTGGTCGTTCATGGTGTGCAGTAAGTATATTGACCAGTGTCGTGCGCATGTTCATAAGGTTGCCCCTTAAGGTTAATCCCGCTTGGATCACAAGGGGTCTATCGACGGCGTTTCTTCCTAGATTGCAGCCAAGGTCACGCCGGGATCCTTCCCTGACCGCAGCGTGATTTTCTTTGGGGCTTAATGCATTCCCGCAAAAGATTCAGCCGGGATCTTGCCTGGATACCCTCTAGTTTTTCCTGAACTTAAGTCGAACTGAGTGAAATCAAGTAGTAATGAAGAATATATATTATCACTTTCGTTGAATAATTTTTTATTTAACTGATCGGTCAGTTTTGCAGTGGTGAGTCACAGATATCTGCTCGCATGTTTCTAATAGGGGCAGATAAACTGTTAGAGTAACATTCTTACACCTCTCAATGGGTATGGGTGTGGCTCGATCCTGAACCGTTTTCTAACGCCGACATCAGCTCACCGCTTGCAAGAATTCACCTTCCGAGTGCTAACAGATATTTGTTCTCTCTAGGGGTATCGTACGATTTCAGTCGAACACTGATGAGCATGACCCTGAAACCTGCTCCAAAAATGTGACCTCGTGGGGAAAGGAGGGAGACTGCAAAACGCTTCCCAAATTTGCTCCTTTTGGAATGAATGTGAGTCACTTAATCATGTGTTAATTCATTGTCAACTTTCTCTTGGGATGTGTGATTCTAATAACTATTGTAGGAGTATTTGTAGATGCAGTTATTTTTGTTTTTCACAAATATCTACCTATATCGTAAGGCTGACTAGCAAGAGAGAGAGAGAGAGAGACATAGAAGATAAAAGAGAATCTAGTCCATTACCGTTAGATTACAAGTACCGCTCTACTTAACGCTTTATTACTGAGAGACAGGGGATTGGTGGCGAGTCAGACCACCCAGTCGTATTCTGATAGGTTGATCGATATCGAATTTCTTCGGCTTGACGAAATATAAAGTGTTAATCACGAATTTAAAGATCCCATTAATAGAATGTCACTTATCTTGTGGACGGCTTTTATCATCTACGAGTTCTTTAAAGCGCAACTGTCGGAGTATCCAAACGCGAGCTCGGAAAGTCTGAGATTCGATTTAGCAGGGCACACCCACTGTTTTGTGCAATACGGTTGTAATAAATACGTCAACATCGTTCTTCATTCGACGACCAGGTGCAAAATAAATTTAGCATCGTTCTTATTATCCTATCAATTATTTCCTCTTTCAGACCTGGAAATGGGTAGTTGGACCAATGTTCCTGTATCTCGTTGAACGTGGAATCAGATTTTGTCGCTCATTCCAGACGGTTAAAATTATGAAAGTAAGCTCTATCAATTTAATGCTATGTGACATTTTCTACAAATGTCTGGAAACAGATATGTATGTGTACCACACTGGTATCAATTCCAGAACTCATGCGCTGAAATCGCGCCAGCTGAGCCCCATACTTAATGAAATATGACAATCCGTTATGAAATGGCACTTTGGTTGTCATATGATGGTCTACATTCCATGCCCACGAAAAACCTTATTTTACATGTGGGACAATCTGCATTGGGGATGCCATGCTGGATAATACACATACGCAAGAAGATGGAGAGATGAAATGCACTTTAAGTAAACCAACTGGAGTTCCGCATTGCCCCTTTTCAATTTAGACATCAACGTTATTGTGCTGTTTATCTTTTTTTGTGATAGGTTAGTGTAGCTGCTTTCACGTGTTCCGTAGGTAGTTAATGACTTTCAATTTGAGAATCTTTCGATCAGGTTTAAGCAAGCTGATAATGAGTGATATTAACTGCCATGTAGGTTGTTAACCATCCATCGAAAGTTATCGAGATCCAGATGAAGAAAGCAGGCTTCCATCATGATGCTGGACAGGTATATTAGTTTTACTTTTACTTGAGGCGTTTTTCGAATTTCTTTTTAAACGGAAGTTACTCTGTCAGGAGGGGTGCTCATTGGCAAACTTTCCCAGTTGCTTTCTCCGAAGAGAAATTTATTGCAAAAAGACAACGCAATATCATTAATTTTACTTCTTCATAATCATCACAGAGCTAGTACTTCAAAGATTAAATGAGCTTTCTATTTTTTCCTATTTTATTACAGTACATTTTCCTCAAGTGTCCCAAACTCTCTCATTTAGAGTGGCATCCTTTCACTTTGACATCGGTGAGTAAAACCTATCCAACTAATAACAGATATTTTTAGGATAAAATACTCCCTTGATATAACTATGATTTTTTTTTGTCACTTTGATATTGCTTTCAAAACAATATGTTCTACTACGGGTGGGTTGTTTGGAGAGTTCGAACCTAGTGGGAATATTTACGCTTGGTATTGATTTACCCTCTACTACGATATGTTCTGTTGATCAATAACACTGATAACACATATAGAAGCAGGCACCCATATTGTATGTGGAATTTATGTACATGAAACTGCGAACATCTCGTTTTCTCCTTCAGGCCCCTGAGGATGATTTCTTCTCCGTGCATATTCGTATCGCTGGGGACTGGACAGGTAAGGCACTGATGTGAATGATTGCTAACTAACTGACTGGGTGTCTGAATGGCTGACTAGCTTACCGTATGACTATATGATTGGCTGACGCATAGAGGAAATGATTGACCAACTGTTTAACCTACTCTCAAGCTAATTGACTAACTTCTGACTCACTGATGGAGTAGCAACCGATCAAGTTGCCTACTGACTGACTCGTTAACTGACTGTCTGAGTGTGTGTCTAACTGACTGACCTACAAGCTGACTTCCCTTCGTCATTCGCTCTGACGAAGGGCTAACGCTCGAAACGTTAACTTTTGAACTGTTTACGGTTGCCAATTTACGTTCTTAACTCGTACGATAATACCAAATTACCCTGTTGGACTCTCTTACTGACGCAGTAGCTCAGTTTCTGTAGAAACTTACCCCCTTTATTCATTTGACTGACTGTCTGACTGTTTGAGTGACTGAGTGACCTACTGATCAATTAAATGATTGACATCTCGTTTATAGGTGGACTAGCCAAACTTTGTGGTGGTGACGGTAAACAAACAAGAAGCCTGTCTGATATGCCAAGGTACGTCTTTTGAGGAACTTGTTCACTTCTTTTTATCTAACTCTTCTCATATTCCAGAAGTTTAGCTCGTGTGCAGCAAGGCATATGATGTAACGATCCTTCTACTAAGATCTTAAATTGAAGTTTAAGAATGGAACTTTGAGCGGGATGCCCGACAAGTTTGGTTGGAAATTCCGAAAGCTGTCTGATGAGTCTCTTGGCCCGTAGCGAAACGCCTTGTCACACCAGCTACGAGGTGTTTTCACTCAAGAAATAAGTTGATAACTTGTATTTTGTGTTTGTAGACTTGCAGTAGATGGGCCCTTTGGAACAGCTACTACGGTAAGCCTGATTAGATTTTGTATATGTCGTAATGGTTTTGTTGATATGATATCACGCATGAGTTCAATTAATAATACGAACGGAGAAACCATTACTTCATATGTTTGCGTGGATCTGGGGGCACGAAGGCTCCTGGACTTCCCTCGTTTTGTTTGTTTGTTGATTTATCCCATATTGTCATTGTTGTTATTTTCTTTGTGTAGGACGTTTTTAAGTATCCCGTGGTGATGTGTATCGGAGCTGGTATTGGGGTAACACCGTTTGCATCTATCCTGAAGTCCATCTGGTAGGTTTGAGAAAAAAAATGGTCGACATGACTTTTAGAATTAGTCAGGTATCATTACAAGTAGCTGACGAACCATTTTTCAAGCAGAGAATATGACAGTCTTTTCCCGTTGGCCCAAAATTTTATGAAATCTCAGGTTGCTATTACTTTCTACCATCTCTCGTTTGAAGGAAAAATAAGCTTGTTCTTAATAGTTTACTCTTCGCCGAAAAATATTTTTTTCTAAATTCTCCCTGCCCTTGTAAAGTTCTGCATTTGCTTATTAATTAGTGAAAAGTATTTTTCTCTATTTTAATCACTTTATCCAGCTGATAAGTTCAAATATTCTCTTCAACTGTTTGCTTGAAAGTGTAATGTAATTGTAAGGAGAGGTGGAATGATGATCACGTGTTTGACCGAAGTTGTCCTGAAGCCTACTTTGTTCTGCTTATCCTGCAGGTATCAATATAATCAGAACAATGTTAACCCGGTGGTTAAAAAAGTTTACTTCTTTTGGATTTGTCCCGATACGAACGCATTCGAATGGTTTACAGATCTCTTGCAGTACCTTGAAGAAAGAGTAAGTGATAGCAGTGCAAAATGTCCTAGCGAAGCCTCATACCCAACATATTATGCTAACCTGTCATGTTGAAAAAAAAATTTGGCTATAGGGGCCATACATCACCTGATTCAATGTGGGACGAGTGTCGTCCACTGCAACTGTAATAGTTGGAAATTAGAATGAAAGCTGAGATCCATGTTTACGCTTTGCTGAATTTAAATATAAGTTGTAAATTAGTAACCAAACTCCAGAATCAATGTGAGGTAAGCGTCAATCTCGTTCAATTTGTTATCGATTGAAGATGTAACGCTATTTATTTCTGGAATTCGGCGTGGAAAATAATGTGAGTAATTATTTTCCTAACGTGCTTGCAGTACAGGAAATTTCGAGAAATCTTACCAAAAAAGGGTCAAATTTTCAACAAACTTTGAAAACGTTTCTGGTGCTTTCCTTTATCGAATATGCCTTAAATGTCATTCTCTGTGGTACAGCATTGAATTTATGTCTTCAATTCCAGATGGTGGAAACTGGAAACAGAGATTTCTTGGAATATAACATTTACCTCACCAGAGGCTGGGGTCCAAATATGGTAAGTAAAGTTCAGGCAGGCTGCTGTATAGCAAGATACAAATTCCTGATTGCTCTTACATCCTCAAATCCCCAACTACTTTGTAACGTAATTTGGAATCTGTCACTAGGCTCGCACCATTGTTCTACACGAGGATGAGGAGACGGACATCATCACTGGATGTAAACAAAAGACTCGCTATGGGCGACCAGAATGGAACGGCATTTTCGGTAGCGTTGCTCGAGCTCATCCAAGGTATGTAGTCAATGGAGATAGAAAACCAGGAAGGGTAGAGTTGTTTCCCTCGTATTGGGGAGGGTAAGGGTGTCTGAAAGTTTAATTTCAATGACAATTTGTTAAATCTCTTTCTTGATTGTTACAGAACAAACATCGGAGTCTTCTTTTGTGGTCCTGCTGTTCTTTCACATCAGCTTCACCAGACAGCCAATGCACACAGCAATGTTGTTGAAGGAACAAAGTTTTACTATAACAAGGAAAATTTCTGAAGCTTTAGGCGTGACTTTTTTTTTAATGAAGAGAACAACATTTTAATTTTTTTGTTTTTATCATAGAATAATGTAGTACTTTTTCAGTGTAGTTTTTATATTGGCAGTACAAAGTTAGTCGAATTAGTAAATTTTTCACACTAAGAGAATCTACAATGCACAAGGTAATGATGAAAGCTACTTTTCAACTTTAGTTTCTTAAATCGAATTAAAACATTAACCCTTTAACTTCCATGAGTGACAAAGACAGAATTTCTCCCCACAATATCAATACAATATCAAGCAGACAAGTGATGAGAATAAAGAAAAATAGAAGTTAAGGGAATATAAGTTGATCCAAGATCAAATTCTACAAACAAACATCACCAGAACTGTATGGCAGACAGTAAGGAGAATTACTAATGAGATCTTGGGAGTAAAAGGGTTAAATGGAAGTAGCTTGTCAGTTCGTGTTTGACATTTGCATGATTGGATGAGTCATGGTGTGGATACATATTTCTCTAACCAAAAAAATTCAAGGCTGTGTCAGATAGTTTGCCTCAGTAGTTCTTTAATTCATATTTATTTACAGTAAAATAGTAGTGCTTGATATTACAATTGTACTTCCTAAGAATGTAAAATAAATGTAATATACACCGTGAAACTTTATTTTTCTATTTATTTTCGTCCTTTTGGAAAGAAAGAATCATTCAAGGACCTTAAAAGTTTTTGTAATATCTGGTGAGTTAATTCTTGTAACTTCGCATACATTGTTTGTAATACGATAGGCATAAGTAACATTCAATAAAGAACTCATTTCCTACTTTTTTAAATAAAGGTCTTGCGCTATAACCATGGAAATGGTAATAGAATCAGGAAGAAATTCTTTCAAGACAAGATTTTTTTAACAACAGGTTGAAAACGGGAAATTTCCTTCTGGGCAGACTTGCATTCATTATTGAACTATCTTGGTATCCTTTTCAGTCACGTTGTGCAAGCTTCGAGACCTTTAGAAACGGCTGCAAAGGAAACTCAAACTGCCCCAGACATCTAAACGCTGGAAGCTTGGATTCATTGTTACAGTCACGTTACGTAACTGGTCTGAAGTGTCTTTCCGGTAGAAGCTTTTCAGCTTGAATTGATTGCGCAACCCAGTCTAGCGTAACAAGGTGTTGTTTTACTTCTCTATCTTGCGTTACTCTTTGTAGCTCTCTGAGGCGACAAAGATCCCTAAGCAAAGAGAAGTCATAGAATCATGAAAAAGCCGGAATCACCTCGTTAGGAAATTAAAGTGGAAAGCATTTAGTTGTACTCACCTTCCATCGAAGACGACATGAGTCACTTTGCTATCAAAACTGTCGGTGATCCGTGCCCCGAACATGCGTAGTTTCAAACCAATAAGCTCCAAACTGCTATTAGGAATTCCCTGAAAAGAAAATGATCATAAGAGAACGTTTGAAGAGACTTGTTTAGTTGCTTTCTACGACCTAAAAACGCGGGAGCGGTTTTGGAGGTTGCCAAGTCAAAATAAGCGCTGAAGAAAAGGAACAGTCAATGAAGACTAGCTAATTCAATTTTACTCAGCTGTCGGGGCATATTAATAAAGTATGTAGGTGGCTGAGGTTTCGCCTCGTCTTAGACTGGCTCCAAAACAATAACAAAAGAAGATGCTATCTTTTTAGACACCTCTATCCGGGAAGTACCTCCATTAAAGAAGAAAAAGCTTTTTCATTGACTAACAACAAAGCCTTCACAACCTTTGCATCTGTAAACTTCAATGAAGGGATACTGCTGTATAAGGAAATTTTGAGCTTAAAGCTTACACTCACTCACCGTTGATTTATTCCCAATAATAATGAACTGATCAAGGTACACTCTAGAAAGAACAAAATTTAATCCTCTTGAAAACGAAGTTAACATCAAGACATTTAACCCAATCATTACTTCAGACAAGTATAGTTCGCCGGTGTTTTTAAGGTGTGTAGACACAACCATTAGGAATTCCAGCTTGATGCAAAGCTTAAAAACGATAACACTCAAATAACTTTGATGTCTAAACGTGTTTTTTCAACGGATCAACTGCACCTATCAGATTTACCTGCAATGTTTGAACAATCCAAAAGGCGAGTTATCGGGAAAATAACGTTGAGATATTTCAAGTATTTCATCAGTTGAAAGTGGAACTGCTGAGTTCTATGAAGCAAAACAGAAACACGAAAGTAAAAAAAATTCAAATTAATTTCAAAAGGCAAGTGGATGCCACATCCCGTACCTCGTTACTAACGTCCCTGTACTAACGGGGGAATGGAAAGAGGGACCCTGGAAGCGAGTGTTGTTCCTCTTTTAAGTGTCTAAGCAGCATGATACGAGATGTTCGGAACCCGTGATCACTCGTGCTATTCTCTGATTGGACGGTCTTTTCCAAAGGTTTCAACAACGATTTGACGATCTTTTGCTTTCCGTCTGTACAATCATATTTTTTTCATTTTGGATAAAGCTCTCCTCGCTAACATAATGGAATATTTAGCTTTATTTTGTACCAGTATTGCTAGAGAAATCTCTCCTCACCTTGCTTTGGACATTATCAAACGCTTTCCTGAGTGACTCGGCTGTAGCAAATTCTGTGTAACTGTCTCCATGTCGATCAAACTCCTCGGCAAATTTATCAGCAGTTCGGGACGAGGAATGAAACATATCACTTGGAATCCACGGCTTCAGCTCGCCACTATCCTTTTGGGGTCACAAAAATAATAATCATGATAAATAAAAAACTGCAATAAATACCACACAAAACTGGGTGCACCGCAAAGGTGGTAGGACACAGTAGGGCACGGTTTAGTCAGATTTAACACGCATCGAGAGTGAGTCAGCATCGAGAGGTCTGGGCTCGAAACCTGACTACCTCAATGTGTTGTGTTCTGAGGCGAGGCACTTTACCCACGCATTACACCTCCCCAGAAAGGACAATACTTGTACATATAAATGCGTCAAGGAAGCATGACGAAACGATGAGGGTACACCTGCTGTAAACTAACATTCCATCCCGTAGAACGAGGAATATTTTTTCTCGCTTCGCGTTAAGCAACTGGGAAAAACCCTAATATCTATGCAAGTACTTCTCGTTAGTGAACTTTCTCTTTTTCAGAGAAAGCCGTCCAAGCCCTACTAAAAAAGTCGAACCTTACGCTTCAAGACAGGTCGATATTTTTATCAGTAGCAATGAACTACAATGAGCTAACGGGGGTATAAACCCTTTTAAAATTTATTTTTGATCCATACTTAAGACTGGTTTTATTCATACAGTCTACAAACCTGAGGTGTTATTGACTTACCAAGCAGTTAATAAGCCAAGATGCCTTCACCACATCGTATTTGTCCTGACTAATGGGGAGGAAACAAAGCAAACGAGCATTTCTACGTAATTTAGAACAATGAGAGCTACAGTGTGGATGGATGTATCTTATGTATCTCCTTTTGACATGGAAAATCTACTGTAGATATCGCAAATGTTTTTATCTATTATGTAAATCCTTACCTGATAATATTCTTAACTCTAACGTTGATTCTCTCAGCCACAACACAGAAAGTGTCAGAACAAGGGTTCTGAGTCAACGTGCCTCCATTCTGTGAAAAAATTATCTAACAATATGTAAGTCGACAGAAATCGGCGAAAACATAAATCTGCACTGTGTAAATTCATACAAGCATATAATTTTATCAGGCCTTGTATCAAGGGTGTAGGATAACGTAACGATAAAAAAACACATGCATCCAGAGTATAAATGTCAGATATTTTAAAATGAAACTGTTTCATGATAATACAAAGACAAAAAAAATACCTCGGCAACTTTTTTTTCTAAAACAGCCTTGGGATGCGAGGAAGGACCGTTAACAATATAAAATTCCTTTTCCTGGAACATTTGCGAAACCTGGAACACAAGTTTCATGATCGATTAGCGGATCACAGTGTAATTAGAACATGGAGATTTATCAAACTTACTCACCTCCTCAACTGAAGACACATCCGCCGGTTTAAAATGCTTGGCCACGGTCCGTGACTGTTCAACTCGTGCAGCCTCTCGCCTTCTTTTCTTGGCTGGTTCAGATTTCTCCTCTGCATTTACATGTTGGTATGTGAGCTTTCCCTCTGCCACCTATCAAGAAAAGTAACCAATAGGGATAGAGGAGCTAATCCGCGATTGCACTGGCTTTGCTTCGACATGCTTTGTGATTGGTGTAGAAAACTCGCGCCTTTATCTCAACCCACCATGCAAAACCAACGCCAAGCGCGATTTGGTTACACGCGTTTTCCCGCGCTCATGAAAGTCTGCTTGTTCTTTCTTCACTTACCTATAGGTAGTTTCCTTCGTTCTAGTTGACTTTTGTCATTAAGTTGGTTTTCTTTTTGCGACACTCAAACGTAATGCGCTCGAGCTCGCTCTAACTCTGAGAAACGCAATTAAGTTCAAACTCTCTTAACGGAAACTACGGACACATAGTGTATTTTCTCTCACCGATTTCAGCCTGGTCAGTTCGTTTAGGTTCAAACACTCGTACCACATCTTGTCACTGCGAACAGCTTCCAGCCGTGGAAAGCGAAGAGTCACACCAGTTTTAAACCTAACAACGAAAGAACAAAACGTCTCTTCAGGTCAAGAGTAACACTATGATAGTCTATGAGATGAGACCAAATGGTTAGTTCGCGTAAATTCAGATTAAGAGGCCTGGGTTCGAGCCACGTTCTAGTCCTATTGTGGTTCTCCTCTTTTAACTAAAGAGTATAAATGGGTAACGGTAAACTGTCGGGGGGGGGAGGGATGGGAAAGAGAGTTTTCTATACCCTAACATCCTTTTTCAGAGGGATAAAAGGGATAAAAGTGTTAGTTTGGTACTAAACTTACTTGTCTGATGTAATTATTTCTGCAGCTTTAATCTGAACTATCTTTGATTTGGACGGTTCAATCCACACATCAGGTTTTTCCTAAGCGGATAAGAAAAGAAACAACTGCAAAACCCACTTGTAATATGTGTGTGTATATATATATATATATATATATATATATATATATATATATATATATATATATATATATATATATATATATATATATATATATACACATACATATATATGTATGTATTTAAGCTTTTCGTCGTTTTTCCGACGGTTGTTGGTCTTCATCGCAGCCTAGTCCCCAGGACCCAGTCGTTTAAGGGGCGACTAACCCTAGCCCAGGGTTAAATTTTTTTTCCTTTATTGAAAAGCCATTTATCAGATAATTTTCTTTATTGTTTATCGCCCATCTAGTCTCAAATTGTAGACGTAATAAATTCTACTTAATTTTCTTTTAAAGCTTTCAGATCTGAAATCAGGTTTCATCCTAACCCTGGGTTATATAAACCCATCTTTAAACAACTCGCCCCAGGACTCGAAGTTCTCCTGGTTAAAAACAAGATGACTGCTGGGATGGTGAACTTACAACCTACAGTAAGGCCCACGACTGACCGAGCTGAGGCTCAGGTATTACTGTAGATAAACAAGGTAGTTTAAACACCTAGCGCCGGAGAAAAACATCCGTAAAACTACTAAAAAGGAAACGTAACTAATGGCAAAGACAGGCAGAACCGAATCTCTCTTACCTTGAATCCAGGGGCCAGAATGATTGATTCTGGAGGCTTTTTAGTATCAAATGCATTCCAGTGTGGACGCAACTGTTGATCCAGTTCACGCAACTCATTAATAGTGTAACCAGACCCCACCTATGTGAACAAGATGTGACAGGGCTACTTATAAAACAATACGTAAACTTATATGGCGCACCATGAAAAAGCCCTGCATCTTCAAATTCTCGAGACTACATAAAAACTCTTGATTTTAAACAGAGATAAGGGTGAAAATGTATTGATATTGTTTTACCAACCTCCACTTGAAAAAAAAATGTTACCTTGCAGAAAGAATGGAACACTTTGGGATGTTCACCTGGAACGTTCGAAGGAACCGCCACTGCACACATAAAGTGAGATGTCATTCCACTTCGGCGCTGCAGAGAGAAAAAAAATTCCCATCATGAAAACATCATCAAGAAGAATTTTTTAAATTTCCACGTGTTTTTTCTCTTTTCCGTTTCAAAAGCAACTTTAAACGAAAAGTTCCCCTTGACTCAGAAGCAGTCAAACAATCCCACAAGCGAGCTAATCAACAAAAGCGTGAATGTCTAAAAAGTTAAGGGAATACCCAACGAAACAACGAACCAACACACTACTGTAACTCTGCACAAAAATGATCGAACACACAGACGGAAGAACACGCGAACGAACGAACACGCAAATAGATATACACACAGTCAAATAAACGAAAATGAGTTAGACAAAAAGAAAGACACGAACACCGTAAAGAATAAACTGTGAAAAAAGTGCAGATGCTAACGAGGTGTCTAAAGAATGACCACACACAACATAATTTAAAGTCTACTGACCCCAACTCCAAAATAGCCACCAACAATGACGAGATCCAGCTGAGATCAAATAAAAAACGTTTTAGTGTTTGTTCTGACCAAAAAGCCAAGACATAATCAAACTCGGTTTGTCGCATCGACGATAAAAAATTCTGATAATCGTAATAACGATGATGATGAGAATGATAACAATAATAATAATGATAATGAACCCTAAGCAATAATAACAATAACAATAATAATAATAATTATAATAATAATAATAATAAAAAAAACATACCTCATCACTTAGGCTGTCTACATATTCTGGTTTAATCTTCACCCAGCCACTGCCTGTTGCAAATGGAAAACATAGACGCACAGGATGATGAACAATTTCAAGTTAGCTCACAATAAACCATTGTAAACGCATAGCAATCAGTTTTGTACACACCACTTCTTGAATTTGGTTTATAAACAGAGGACGGTGACTTTACAACCAAGCCTTCCTCCCTCTTGTCAATCGCAGTGTTGAGAGCTTTCACGACGTCTTCCCTACAAACAAAACAAAGCGTCTTTGTCAATGATAGAACAATTCTAATCTTAATGTCTGAAATACCCGGGATTGATTCGCTTTTATTTTACTTTGATCTGTGTTTGGTCCAGAAAAACTCACACCACTTTCTCAACCAATCAGATGCAAAGTATCCTGCACCTCAGGAAATTTGCTCGTCCTACTAAGTTTTCATTGGTCCCTTGAGATATTTTCCTTTGATCTGATTGGTCGTTGAGATCACTTTCAACTGGTTGTGGTTTAAGAGATTAAGTTCGAATACTTCCAAACTTTTAGCCTTTACTTCTTGATGTACAGCTCTATTACGTACTTAGAAACGACTTCTTGTCTCTCAACAAACTGAAGATATCCAGGCTTTGGCTTCAGCATGCTACAAAAGATTTAGAAGAAAAGTCGCAATATCAAACAAAAAATAAAAGCAACACTTTGGTCAAATGTTCCAACCATAATGTAAACAATAATTAATAAATATGCAACTGGTACAAAAGACCCCACTCGTGGTTGAATAATCAAGTCACGTGACTGATATGTACTCACTCTTCCATGGATTTAATTCTTTCACGCAAAGGAACATTTGCCAGTTTTTTCTCATTAATGATAAGAATATCGAACACAATGAAGCAAGGGTGATGACCTTCATCTAAAAATGACAAGGACAAGAAATTCACATGTGATAACAGAAAATGCACATGTACATGTAAGTTTTAGCCAACCTTACATCATAAATCAAGCTGATCTTCATTACAAGACATTGTGTATTACAATGGTAATGTTACTCTTTAGATCAAACATTGGAAGGATATTTCTTTACCGTTTTCATAAGCGGTTAAGGATTTCACATCAACATTCATTCCCTTTGATCTAAAATGTACGAAGTAAATTCAGAATTTGGTTCAGGTTATGTATAGCATCTAGTCTTCCACTGAGTGATAATTGATCATAAATGATAGCAGAGGAAGGGAAAAGAAAGGAGAACAGGAAGAGAGAACAGCCAAGTGAGGGGGAAGTCAGGTTAGAAATAAGAAAAGGAGAGGAGAAAAAGGAAGGAGGTAAAGATAGAACAATGAAAGGATGGAAGAAAGTGAATGAAGAAGTAAGCAAAATACAAGTGAGAGAGAGAGGAAGACAAAGAGTAAAAAAAGGAGTAAAAATGAAAAGGAAATGGAATCAAAATGAGGAACAAAATTATGGGAAGTTAAACTTACAGCCATGTGTCTGTCTTTGGATCAACAACAACCATTTCTCCATCCAGGATGCATGAATGTACAGAGCTACATGTTGAAAAACCAATTGACAGTACAGGAAATATTAGACTCTGCAATTATTTATTATTTACTCACACTTGAGTCTGACTCACAATACAGCAACAGCATAAGACATCTGATCTCCCCAAATTCTGACACTAGCATCCAGTTTTAGACACTATAGTCTAATTTTATACATTAGTGTCCCATTTTAGACACTACTGAACAATATTAAAGACTAGTATCTCATTCTGGACAGTCATATCTGATTTTAGACACTAGAGTCTTATTCTGGACAGTAGTGTCTGATTATGGAGACTAATTTGCAGTTTTAGACACTAGTGTTTGATATTTTAGACACTAACATGTGTTTATAGGCATCATTTCAGAGTTTGGAGACATCTGATCTCTGCATGAAGAAACTTCTCTTAAATGTAGGTTTCACTGACAACTTGTCATAACTGGTACAGTATCAAGTTGCAGAGAACTTTCTAAAAAAAAGTGAGAGATTTGTAAACACCTTGAGAAGCAACCAGGGATGTGAGGTGTGAGAACTCCAGAGGATGGGTCCCCACCAAATACATGAGTGTATTCATTTGCACTGTAAATTAAATACAATTAATTAAATCAGTACATTTCAATTCTTTGGAAAAGTGTAATATCAACTTAATCCTGTCCTTAAGATGGATCTTCTTTCATTGATAATACAATCAACTTTTGTGGCCCACTTTAACTCAACAAAGCTAAAATTTTATTTAATGTTATTTGATATTAATAAGTACTGTCTCACTCAAGAGCAGAAATGAGCAGCACTGTTGTTAACTAGCTCTCATAGAGCCAATTAAAAAGGGTGGCCCAGAAGATAGATCTCTGATGGACTGTTGTTGACAGCCTATGCCCCAGGAGGAGTGATGGGCCTAGACAGATAGTATAGTTATTTAAACTGTTATATGGAAACCAGATAAAATGGGTGGGGATAACATTGGCACCCCACCCAGGAAGGAGTAGCAATATTCCTGGTCACCTCATGTTACAGAAACGTAAACATGCTCCAAAATACATGCATGTCAGTCCACATACAGACTTCAACCTGGACTTGACGGTATATGTTAAATTAGGTCCTATACATTGAAAGCTTTTCAAGGGATTTGCAGACAGAAAAAAAAAAGTTGTTTAATCTAAACACTGGTACCTTCTTGAGAAGTACATAAAACTGTCTTTGTCTTTATGAAGCTGCATTCTCTCTCCATCTATTTTGGTTTCTATGTAAAATGACTGATTGTTCATTACCTTCTCCACCTGTGAAGAAATGCAGTGAGGAGGAAAATCTTAGAACTTCAAGGTAACAATCACAAATTCTACTCGGCTACCTCTATACAAAAAGGCACTGGAGTTTCTTCACTTTTTAAATTGCTACTCCCTTTTGTTAGAAAATTATAATTACTATTTGACACTTACACACAAATTATAACAAATACAATTAAAATATAATGCAATTAGATCATTAATATACAGCACAACACAACAAAATATGGATTTACTAGCCTCGTTGATGTGTTTTCTTTCAGCCAACATTGGTCGAAATGGTGAGAATAAAGACATCTCTGCTTCATTCATCCTAATGCTGCGATCATGAAGATCCATGCAAACCTTTAATGCAATTTTCCATATTAAATGTGGTTAAATTCATCCTTTCAAATTTGAATTAACTAGAACTTTTGCCTTACGTTGGCACTGTATATAGTGTAAAGAGGTTACAGGTTAGAGTTTTGAGAGATTTAATGACATTGGTCAATTGCATTTTCAAGAAAAAAATGAAAAAAACTTAAAATCTTAGTATTGGCAAGTTTGATAAGTTATAATTGATTTGTACTAGTCCTTTGATGGGTAAACTAAAATCTACAAAATCTGAAATCCAGTGAAACTCAATACTAACACCTAGTGTAAAAACACCACCTTCTGCCAATAGCAGTAAAATTAACTAATTCAAAATATTTTGTCAGACCTTGGGTAGACTGTTACAGACTCCAAACAGTTCCATTGCATCTGGATGATAAACATTAAATACAGAGTTCTCACTAAGGCCAATCTTCAATTCCTGGCAAATGCAATGATCACATAAAAAATATTACTAACAACTATTATAGTTTAAATTTAAATGATTGACCCTTTAACCCCTAAGAGTGACCAGCATCTAGTTTCTCCTCACAATAACACCCCTGAATCAAACACTAAGGTCATGAGAATAAAGGAAATGATCACACACTTAAGAATAATCTTGATTGTTAAACATATTCTCCCTACTGGCACCATAAGAAAAGTATCAAGAACAGTATGGAGAATATGCTAAGTGCTAATGTTTGGGTGTAAAGGGTTAAGTTTTGGTCATCTTTATAATAGGCATCATCTAATTGACATATTTATGGCAGATAAAGCAAAACTAACCTTGAAAATTATCCTGATTAACCATTTCTGTAAGAGAAAATTAAGATGATCTCATCCACTAGAATATGACATTTATCAAGTATTTATAAAGAAAATATCTGGTAAATAATACTGTAAAATGTTACAAAATAAAAAATCTACAGACCTGTTCCAGAGCACTTGTGTTACGTAGCAGTAGTTGTAGAGCTTTCTTAGCTTCATCACGTTTATGATCAATATTTGCTGAGGCCAGCTGGTCAAGGTACTTGTTTACTTGGTCAATCTTTAAACTGAGCATTTCAAGATGTTCAACTCTTTAGTAAATAATAATGACTAGGGAAAAATTATGAACAATTTAAAACATCTACAGTATTCATCTGATTTTTTTTTCACCATCAATAAGCCATGATTTCAAACCCACCCTAAATTTTCAGGAAGCCTGTAGGTCTTCTATACAAACACATACATTCAAACATTTAACCTTGTAACTTCCAGAAAGATTAGTAACATGCAAAATTCCACTGCAATTCTGCCCACAGGTTGATAGGATAACCAAATTTATAGAGTGGAGAGGGTATTTATTATTGATTTTTATGATGTTGAACAGCTCAGGAACTTTATTCCATGCTCTTCAATGGTTACAACACAGAATAATAATTATATCAAACTAACATGTAAAAAAATAATCGTTTAATTAAATAACAAAAGGAAAACACTTTTGTCCAATCATTAGCTTAATTATAGTTTCCTGTGAAGTTTCCTGACAACTTTCAAATAAATTTGTCATAACAACATTTATCTGAGAACAAAATTATCATAACCAGTTTACAAGGAAATTTTCAGCATCTCAAGGGGAGGATTACTAAATGAGATCTGAGTAGATTTTGAAAGAGCTGAATGGCGTAAAAAGCATTTACCTTCCTTTCTCAGGACATCTGTTTCTTAAAACAAAGTAAGCCACACTTGCAAAGTCAGCCACAGAATCCTACAGTGAGGGGTAAATAAATAATTTTGCCTCTTCTGTTATAACTCTGAGACATCTATAATGTTTTTATCTTGGAAAAGGAGAGACCTGGGGCAGGCCACCAAGTTGTTGGACCCCAGGAGAGGAAGAAATCTGGGCCAAGTCATTGTAAAGTGCGCTTGTGTAGGGGTGGGGCAGTTTGCCTTTAGGGTCATTCTCTGTAACCAGGTGTATAAGTAGGTAGAAGCAGACTTTCAAGGAAACTTGAAAAATTATTTGAGGGCAAGAGGGTTATTTCTGGTAGACAGTGGCAACCTATCCAAGAAGAGTTAAGATTATCCTTATATTTTCATCACTACAGAAATATTATTTGTTTTGAGAAAGGAGCACAATGCAGAAAGGAAGCAGGAAGACTGGGTTCAACTTTGGTCAGGTCATTATACAGATTAGTTATTGGGTAAGTGAGTATTAGTAAGTAAGAAACTTTATTTGTCAAATACTTCTTGTAAAGTTCATACTAACTGGGACATTTTGAAAAAATGTTAGGAGACTAATTTTTTATTGGGTTAAACCATCAAATCCTACAGTGCCTTTCTCTTAATAAGTGTTGTACCTGTTTGGCATTTTTGGGTGCTCTGTAATTCAGCAGTTTACGGCCATCTGTAGAGTCTTTCCCTATACTTAATATTTCAATGTAATATTTTGCAAGAACCACCTGAGAATGAAAGAAAAAAAATTATACTAGTAGTTTTCCAATAATTCTTTCAAAGAAATCAAAGCTCTATCAAGCTTATGGATTATTGCAAAAAGGAAAGATTTTTCATGAAATCAACAGTATACCCATACTAATAAATAAATTTAACTATTATCAATACAGGATAAAAATCAAATCTATGCAAACCTCCTTCATCCCATAAGCACCTCGTTCTTTGTCAAGATGAGGCAGCAACAGGCGCATACCAGAGTGAAATGAGTCAGTCTGCGACAGAAAGGAAATATCAATCAATTGTAAGAACTAACTGTTGATGAGACAAAGGGAATTGCTTTTCCCCCAACCTCCATATTAGGTTTTCTATTACCCTTCTCTGGGTAGGGAGGGGTGGTTGGAAGAGGTTGGATCAGAGATGTTTCATCATAACAGTCTCTAAGCTAGGTGATACGTCCCTAAATTCTTATCACCTGTTTGTTGCAATTGGGTAATGCATATCTTCATTGAAAAGAGAAGTTACATGCTTCATACAAGGCACAATAGCAATCAAAGGCATTTAAGAAAACAAACGTCCCTCACGCAAAAGGAACTTTATTCTTGAATAGCAATCAAGAATTTCAGATTTAACAGCAAGCCATCAATGCAACATATATACTCAGCTGTTTTCGAAGTTCCATGCAACTTAGCGTGCGTTTCTCTCCATGAATTGACAAACAATTCCAAGATCTTTTTCTTCTTTTCAGTTCCTGTTGTGCTTGCAATCCTTTCTAACAAAGCACACAAATCATAAAACGGAACCTGAGTTGCTACTTCTACTGTTGAAACTCCCGCCATTTTTATCGTTATAAACCACAAACACTTTCTCAACCATCCGCCATCTTGGAATCGGAGTGGTGTATAGTCTGGGAACTAGTTATCTCCGGAGGAGTCATGGGATATCCTAAAATTCGCCTTGTTGTTTTGGCCCGCCTCCGGCAAAGTTTTGTTTTCTACAGAAACAGTGTAAGACATCCGCCTGAAAAAAGCAACACAACACGTTTAAAAAAGTAATCTTAACACATTCCGCGAAAAAATACAGCTAAACGTCACCTTGAAGACTTGTAGATTTATTAAGGACAGAGTTCGATGCTCATTTCGTTGGAAAATGAGCCGTGGAATTTGTCATTGGGGTCCACTATTAGCGTTATCAATCATATGGACTCTTTTTCTTTGTGGAATTTATTGTATACTGCTATGGTACCCTCCTTGGACTTCAGCAGCAAGCGTGATACACTTAATATTTTATGTTTCATGGATGATTCTTATCATGAATTACTTTATTAAATCAGTTACTCTTGGACCTGGATATCTTCCACTAGAATGGAGACCGGTGAGCAGTGTTAATTAAGATGGTTTTCGACATACTATCGCGTTTGGGTAAAATTTGCGCACAGCCCCATACCACATTACGCATTCAGTTCTTGGATAGAGAAAACAACGACAAAAACAATACATTGCCAATGGGAAAACAGATTTGTTTAACAATAGTATGGGGCTGTGCGGAAATTTTACCCGCGTTTGCATGTAGCATATGAATTTTTCTTTCCAATAGTCTTAAATTGTATCTTTCTTTGAGAAATACTGAGACCAGTCTTGTGAGAATTGTAGAGAGTCAATCAAATCTTTCAAGGGACCTGGAAAATGTTTTCCAACAGTATTGATGTTAATGAAAGGGCTATAAAGACCCCTGTTAACTTGTCTTGGTCAACTAACTTTGCATGACAGGTGGCAACTTTTTGTGCTTACTAAACTATGGACAGGGAAATGCCCTAGACCAACAACTTTTTAATCAAATCCCAAATGGCAAGGTGGATTTTAAAAACTAAGTGGTTAGAAAATTTATAATTTAATACAGTGGACATCTTGTATTTAGGTGTAGAAAAAGCAAGGAGTCCATGATTTTTAAATGTACAAGTACAGCAGGATCTTTATGATGCCCTTTTTGTAATCTACACTGTTGTAGGATGATGATCAAAGTGAAGCACTGTTGCAGTACTGTGGTCTGTGCAAAGGTTACAAGGCACCCAGGGCACATCACTGTAGCAAATGTGGACGGTAATTATGTGTGAATTAGTTTGCATGTTAGCAACATTTTTATTTGTGAAATGAAGTGGACCTTTTCACAGCCAGGGTCTAGGAATCAGAGCTCCTCTTTGTTTTATACATTTTTCTTGATATTGCTTTCTCTAAATTTGTTGTTTAATTAAACCCAACTTACTGATATTTTTTCTGTCTCATCACCTTTCCATTTGGGAATGTGTTGAAGTTGTAAGGAGAAATTCCTTTTTGGTCATTCAATTCACAAAATAATATGGCCCTCATAGCATCCACAGTTAATCCCAATTGGGAAATGAAGAAGTATTGCAGCTGTTCGTTAGATATTAAGCTGACCTATCACAAGGTGCAACAATGTACCCCCTTCTGCTCCCACCCCCTTCTCCTCCCCTCACCTCCCACTTTCCCTGCCTTTCCTCTCCCCCTCCCTCTCCCAACATTTTGTTAGGTTTCTTTGATAGTATGCTACAACGTGGTGAAACAAACCAGGATCTAGACCTGGTGCACATTTCTTAAAAGACCCAAAAACTTCACAGGCCTGCATATAGCCCAAAAAAATTTAATGGGCATTACTCAGAGCACACAGAAATTTTGGGCCCTAGAAACTATTATTATTATGTTTGACTATTCATTCTCTGTCCACCAGTTCTTAGGAATCAGTTGCAGATTTAATTTCCTTGACAGGTGTGTCATGAAAATGGATCATCACTGTCCATGGATCAATAATTGTGTGGGTCACTTCAATCATAGAGCCTTTACGCTGTTTCTATTTTTTGTTCCCATTGGGTGTACACATGCAGCTGTGGTTTTTATATGTTGCACTGTGCAGCAGTTTCATTTGGTAAGTTGGTGTTGTTTTTATTTTTTTTGCTTTTTATGGGCCTCTACTTTGTCTTGATCTATCAAAGTGTAAAAACAGAGACCTTACAATTGGTCACTAACATCTTTACTCGTTTTTTTCTTACCCTAGCTTTCCACAGGACCCTATAGACGAGCTATCTTCCAGCGAAATGCTGTTGTTTCATTTACAGTCTATCGCATGATTATGGTGTTGTTTTGTATTGGTTTGTCAATTGGTGTTACTGTAGCTGTCGGCATTCTTCTGTATTACCAGGTATAAGTTGTTGCGATAAGAAACTTTTATACTCATTTTCACTTGGATAGAACCTTTTTGCAATTTTGTTTTTATCTTTTAGATGAAAGGAATATTAACAAACAAGACAGCAATAGAAGGATGGATTGCAGAAAAGGTTTTTGGCATGTTTGTTTTCCATTCTTAATTATTGCAAAACATATCATTATATGATCATATCTTACCTATCCATGTATACATCATGTAAATACTCCCATTATATTGGAATAAATGAAGGCTGGTTAGGGTAGACACTTCTGAACTTAATATGGTGTTACTGCTGTTTAATTTGACAGGCTGACAGATATCGGCCCAATGGAGAATCTTTCACATACCCTTACAATCTTGGCCAGAAAGAAAATTTTAAACAAGTAATGTGAACATTGAGAATCAATGTTAGCATCAGCAAAACTGTGCACCCATCCCTCCCCTAGCCCAGCATTAAGCCAAGGTTGTTGTCAGTGGACTATTGTTGGGTTAAGGGAGGGGTAAGTGCACAGTTGCTCTGGTACTTGTGTTGATCCAACATTTTTATATTTTTACTTGATGATAACTTAAGCCTTTAACTCCCAAGAGTGACCAAGACAGAATTTCTCTTAACAATATCAATACAGTAGCAACCAGATAAGTGAGGAGAATAAAGAAAAAGATCAATTTGGGGATTATTAGTTGATCCAATACTAAATTCTCTTAATTAACATTATAGTAACCATATGGTTGACAGTAAGGAGAATTACAAATTTAGTCTTCTACTTCTACTTCTAGAGGATTAAAGTTAAGCCTGATTCTCAGATGATCTGAGCTGGTTAACTTCAACACGATGAGGTTGTGGAATAGAGCAACCACTGGCTGTCTGAGAATCAGACTACTCTAATTTCTAATTGTGACAGTTTTGAATTTTTTTCATTCTGTGTAGGACAGTTATTATTGTGCAATTTCCTGATTATCTGTTTAAAAATACTTTTAGGTGATAACATTATGGCAAGATTATGTTGGAGATGGAATAACATGGCCTGTTGTTGAAGGATGTGATCAGTTTACGCTGACGGTATAGGAAATGAACTGAGATCTCTGTATTTTTCCTGTTGCTCAATGTTTGACCCTCAGACTGTAACTGTTACTTTATAGTTAGGACTAATTACTTCAACTCAATTTGTCAAAATCTGGTAATTTTTGTAGTTCTTCATTTCATTTTCTTTTTCTTCCCATTTTAGAAGGAACAGTTGGAGCAGAAGAAATTGAAAAGAGAAAGAACAGTGAGTTAAAAAATCAAATAAATATAATTATGTACCTTGTGTAAAGGAAACTCAACAGGAATTAAATTTCATCCCAGCCTATACAAGTTTAAGGTTCTGATGTGATATTTTTCTAACCCACATTTTCCATCCTTCAGATTTGTTGTAGAGTAGTAAAATCTTATAATGGAAGTGTTATTGCCTGGCGAGAGGGTCTGAGAACATGTATATCCACTCCATGGACAGACGAACCTCGCATAAAAGTGGAACAGGGAGATGTTATTTTGGTCACTCGCTGGAGAAAGTATGTTTTTATTTTTGTATGTATGTCAATACATTTGTTAGTTTCTTTTCTTCTGCTCCATTTGTGCTTCAGCTCCCTGTCTTTTTTTTCATTTTCTTGTTCAATTGTTTCTCATTCTTCAGGTCTCTATTTCTCCATTACACTGTTCTTTCTTACATGTACTTACATTGTTCTGTGTTTGCTTTGTTTCCATACTCTGTTCTTCAGATCCTTCATTTCTACTTTCTTGTTTTTCTTTCATTATTTGTTTCGTTCTTATCTCTATGCCTCAGTTCCAGTGTTTTCTCCTCCTTCCATTCTTCTGGTCTCCCTTTGCTTTGTTTCCAAACTCTGTTCTTCAGATCCCCCCTTCATTTCTACTTTCTTCTTTTTCCTGTTTCATCATTTGTTTTGTTCTTATCTGTTCCATTCCCATATCTCTGTGCCTCAGTTCCAGTGTTTTCTCCTCCTTCCATTCTTCTGGTCCCCCATTGTTTGCTTTGTCTCCAAACTCTGTTCTTCAGATCCCCCCCTCATTTCTACTTTCTTCTTTTTCCTGTTTCATCATTTGTTTTGTTCTTATCTGTTCCATTCCCATATCTCTGTGCCTCAGTTCCAGTGTTTTCTCCTCCTTCCATTCTTCTGGTCTCCCATTGTTTGCTTTGTTTCCAAACTCTGTTCTTCAGATCCCTCCCTCATTTCTACTTTCTTCTTTTTCCTGTTTCATTATTTGTTTTGTTCTTATTTGTTCCATTCCCATATCTCTGTGCCTCAGTTCCAGTGTTTTCTCCTCCTTCCATTCTTCTGGTCTCCCATTGTTTGCTTTGTTTCCAAACTCTGTTCTTCAGATCCCTCCCTCATTTCTACTTTCTTCTTTTTCCTGTTTCATCATTTGTTTTGTTCTTATTTGTTCCATTCCCATATCTCTGTGCCTCAGTTCTAGTGTTTTCTCCTCCTTTCACTCTCCTGGTCTCCTATTCTCACTTTTATTATCTCACCCTTCCTTCTTTCCTATCAGCATCCTTTCTGTCTTTCACACTCTGCTTGTATCATGTCTTCTTTTCTTTCTTAGCTGTATGTTGTTGTTGCATTTAATGATCATCTCATCACAACTCTTTGTTGGAGTGCGAGACTATTTCATTGTTCTGTGATTTCTCACACTGTTTCTTGTTCTTTTGTTGTCAGGTGGTGGCTGTATGGTGAAAAGTCTCTTCATAAGTTATCAGCCACTGGTGAGTCTATGAGACAAAAATTAAATGTTCTTTAGGCGTATGCAAAGAAGTAAAAAGTAAAATATCCCAACATTTGCACAGCAACCTAATGTAGGAAAACTATTATAACCGAAGCATTTTGGTTTTTTTTTGGGGGGGGGGGGGGGGGGGGGGAATAGGAAACTGGTGCTGCGTTGGTGCTGAAGTATAACAAGATCATTTGGTTTTATCAAATGAGTTAATAACATAATTTGGCCACCATAAAGAGTTTCAAAGCTGACACTGAGCATTAGCCCTTTATCAGAGTGAATAGTTTTGATTTTTTTTTCTTTTATGATGGAATCATTTGGTTGTAAGTGCATTTTAGCCAATCACAAGATGTCAGAATATTATGCAGAGCCATTCAGGTTGCTGTTGCAATATTCACTTCAATTGGCAGCAGAATTCCAAAAAATCTATTTCCTGGAAACAGAAGTTTCACTGTAATTGAATTTGAACAGTACAAACTAGATGAGTTGAAAGTAAGGATTGTTTATATGTGTTTTTTGTTGTTGTTGTTTTTTTAATTTAATTTAACAGAAATTACAGATGAAGTTCTGAGCAAAGAAAAAGGCTGGTTTCCTCGACATTGTGTTGTGAGAATAGATGAGGAAGAGTCAGCTTCCAAGAAGGATGATTAATGTGTCTGTTGCCATTATATTTGTGGACATCTATTTCTCTTCTGTTCAGGCTATTCTTTTCCAAATGCTGTAGAATAACGTTATCTGCTTTTAATGTTGGTTGGATTTATATCAAAATGATGTCTTTGAGTAAATAAACCTAAAGGACAAGCTATTGTCAATGTCACGTTTTCTTTCAATTTAAAGCCAACAGTTGTTCAAGCATTACACTGGGCTTGTGTTGGTTTTCCAGTTATTTGTACCTTGTTTTGATAATCTCACCAACCACAAAAGAACTGAACTTACTGTAAGTATTTCCTTATGTTTAATCTATTCCTGCTTCATTTTGTTATGTGATCATCAGTGGAAATGATGGTATTTTCTTTTTTCTAAGATCCTTTGCACTCCTTGCGGGCCTATGTGATTTTGGACTGTACAAACGCAATATATTCCGATCCACCTTGAGAAAATTAATATTCGTGAAGATGAAATTAGGAGATCCTCGCAGCTAAGAACACTACTGAAACGAGTAGTTGTAAATAGGACCTGAAAAAAACACCGCAGTGCAAATATGTGAATTTTCATATATCTAAAATCTTCATTCGTGAAGATGTTCTACGCACCTTGGGGGGGCTAAGCTGTGGTGTGGAACCTCCCATGGGACAAATCTTGTGTCTATTTCTTCCATGTTATCTGCTTAGCCTGGCCTCAAAATACGTCGAGGAAGTTTTTGAAAAAAGGAATTGAAAATATAAGTTTGCATATCCAGGCCTCTTTCAGTGTTCCCAGTGTGTTAAGTAGTGATAGGGCATTCAGCCAGAACTTTTTCGGATTTGTTTTGTTCGATTTGCGTACTTGAAGATTAGATTTCCTTGAAACCTTGTAATCTTTTTATCTGCTTATCTTCGCGTGTTGGCATCGATCATGCGCTTATAGACAAATTGAAAACAAGGAGATGCTAGTATTGGCGCACTCGAGGATTAAGAAGCCTAGAATAGTCTGTGAGATGAAAAAAAAAGAAAAGAAACACTCCATTTCCGCGCGGTTGTGACCCACCCTCTCATTAGGGTCGGATTGCGATGAATTGTTGTTAAACCTCATCTATTGTTAAATTCTGCCCAGTTGTATGTAAGATCTCAAAAGTGACTGTCTTTGGGTGTCAGACAGGATTGTATTGTGGAACAATACACGAGGAGAACAAATATTTCAACTGTACACAAACACTTCAGGCCGATGTACGCACGCGCGGTTCCTCGATAGAACGCGTTATATTGCTGGACATGTGACTCAGGACGAGACCGACATTGCAACTTCACCCTGCTCGGAAGTAAAAAAGCACCGCGTTTCTTTCAGCTTAGGAAGAACAGGTGATGCCGATGGAGTGTTCGCATTTGTGCCAGATTTTTCAAGGTAAGATTTCACTCGAGCGAAACGAAAAGTAAATATTATTGTCGACGCATTGTCAAATGAATGAATATAATATTTCGTGAGCTAATTCGCTTCGATTTCTTCACGCTGGTCTTGATAACAAGTTAATAGGTTACAAATGGCATCCATGTAGATATAATCTGACATATAGCGACCTTTTTTCGATGTTTCCGTATTTATTTGTGATGTTTTTGCTGATGGATTCGATTCTAGGAATGAAAATATTAAATTATGAATTGGAGAAGTGTTTATATTTTTGACGTACATCTTCGCTAAATTTGGTTTTCACGCCGTTGATTAATTTCGCTGTAAGAACGTGATGATTTTGCCTTCATGCTACCAAGGTTTTGACGTAAGTCGCCAAACTTATGCCCCATCATAAAAAATCTCGGAGTGAAGTCGGATAAAAAAACTCACATTTACAGAAAATTATTAAAGCTCAATTCACTTTTTTCTGCTACTCATAAAATTTTGTTCGATGTGAAATTTCTTAAAGTTAGGCGTTACAAAAACAGGCATTACTTAGATCCAAAATTTAGGCGTCTGACACGATGATCGATATTGAATTCGTGTTGTTTTTTCTTCCTTTTGTGGTCACTCAGTTCATGTTATTGTACATGGAACTTTTGTTGTTCTAAACGGATTGACGAACAAAATAAGGTGACAAATGTATTATTTTTATAAGAATTTCCTCAGATACAAAAGCCAAGTGCAGTTTGATAACTGTAGCAGTTCACCATAGAATTATATATTGGGTTGACTGAGGTAACTCTGACAGGGCCGCCTATTTTTATAAACTTCTGAAAAACGGTGTTTCTAGAAAATTTCAAACATAACTTTTTTTTTTATGGTTTTTGCCCATCCTTACCCCACAAGGGTTGGTGGGAAGAGGGGAGACCTGGGAATGAATTGGGATATCTACCCCCTTGAGAGGAGATAGGCAAAAGGTTGAGGCTGTGGTGCAATACATTTGAACAAAATTCTCATTTTCTTTGTTAAACGACTTACTAAATTGTTATAGATCCAATGGTTGTTTATGAAATGCTGACTTCATTCATCTTTTTGTTTCTTAGATGTGCTTTGTAATCCAGCCTTGACAAGGTTGTGAACTTTTGCTGTAAAGTAATGGAGTCATCTGCCCAAGAGTCATCACAACGTGACACTCCTCGTGAGCTGGACTTATTTGGAGAAGAAGCATTAGAAGAGATTCTTGACTCCTATGACAGTCTACGGGCACAGATTGAGCAACTTCAGTTGCACTGTGAAAAGCTAGTAACAGACAAAGCTACAGTTGATCAGTTGTTGATTGATAAAGAGAAAGAAAATCAACTCATCAAAGAAAAACTACAAGAAGAAATAAACAACCTTAGAAAATTAAATATACAATTGTTATCATCTCAGAACACAACTGAAAAAGGTAAGAGAAACATTTTTTTTCAGGAAGATTTTAAGCTTCATCAATTTATCAAATGAGTACCTTTGATTGGTATGAAGTTTTAACAGTGCAGAATTGCAAAAAAAATTTAGAACTTTTCTGATCAAAGTATACTAAATAAATCTCAGTTATTTAAAAAGGTTCACTAGGATGCAAGAGTCAAATAGCCAGGAAAGCATCAACTTGAGTGTTATATTTAATTTAATGACATTTACAGGATTCTTATTTCACTGAAAATTTCTTTGTCACAGATTTGAGTCATTCATCAGGCTTGGTGAAGGAAATCTTTGATTCCGATCAAGTGCATAAAAAAAAATTGGAAGCAGATGCCAAGGTATGTTGAAGCTGTCATGAAGAAAGTATATTCAAAGTGATTCATTAACAAGCATTATGGATGAGTAAGTGAGTCACTGACTAATTGACCCAAATCACCAACCAGCTGGATTAATGGCTGACTCAGTTACTCTGGCAAAGGGCTAATGCTTGGTATGTTAACTTCAGAGACTCCTTATGGTGGCCACTTGGCATTATCAATTCAGTTGAATGATTCTGAGTGATGGAATGACTGACTGGCTGACTAACTGAACAACTGGCTGACTTATGTGCTGATATGCTGGGAGTTGGAGTTACAAACTAACTGACAGACTCACAGACAAATAACCAAACAGATTGACTAACAGTCTGACTGATGTACTGACCAAGCCACAGATGAATTGACTGATTAAGTTGCAGAGTAATGGACCAGACTGACTGGCTGACAGACAAACTGACTGAAAGACTAATTGGGGGATGGACAGTCAGACCAATATACTGATTTGTTTTTCTCTTTTATTTTGGTTTTCATCGACAGGTGGATGCACTCCAATTAAAGTTATTAGAGAAGGACAAACACATTTCAAACTTGGAATGGCAGCTAGTTGATTCTGATGCTACAATAGCATCACTGCAGGCAGAGAGGGATCGTCTAGCATTGGAGCTTGACTGTACTTTAGCAAGAGAACAAGAATCAGACCTTCAGGCTCTTGGTGCTGTTGGAGACATATCTGGGTACACTGATCCTTTAGATAATTCAGATTATGGTTTAGTCGAGTCTGGATTTGTGGATGATATGCCTATACGACGTGTTAGGAAGCAGCCTCGGCGGCACCTGAGTGATTTGACCACACGTGGTACCTCTCACTTTGATGACTTTGGTGCAATTGTTGCTGGACATGTTAGCCTTTCAGATTACGATGTTCCTACATTAACAGATAAAGAATCATATGGTCTTGGTGGTCTACGGAGAGCAACAAACTTCAGCAACATTAATAACATAGATGCATGTGAGAATTTTCACAGTGTGACACCACAGTCTTCCTCAAGCAATGTTCATCTGCAGGATTGGGAAAGTTTTGATGAGTCTGATGCAAAGCAGTCATCATCATTGAACAGAAACAAATGGGACAGACTTTCTGATGTGTATGACCAGACAGACAGGGGTGGTAGTGATCTTAAAAGTGAAAAAGAAGACATGTGGACCTTCACTCCTGATAGTATTATCAATGTATCGACTGGTAGGTCCAGATATTGGTCTTATCAGTACTTAACTCCACAAGTTAAAATTTTACTCTTGCCTGTAGAACAGGCTGTAATTTTTTTTGTCTTTTCAGGCCTTTTCTATTAAAAGAGGCTAAGTTTCTAAAGAAACTTTGGTGCTGCATTGGTGGGAGAATATAACAAGATAATTTTGTAACTTCAACTGAGTTGATAATGTAAATTGGCCACTGCAAGGAATTTCAACGCTGATGTTTCAAGCATTAGCCCTCCATCAGAGCCTGCAGCAAATTGCAAGCTCTAACATACCCCTTTTTTTTAATTTTGCCATCACAACAAGATATTATTGATGAATCCTGCCTAACTCTAGGTTTGGTTTTGTTTTTTTGAGACACAGGAGAAAGATACTACCAATTTGAAGATATTTGGTTCTCTTGCTTGATATTTACAACAAATCAGAAGCACAACTGTGGTGTTTTGTTGCAGGTGAGGAATTGTCACCTTTACCAGGGGAGTCAAACTTTTTTCGGAGGTTCTCCAAGGACAGTAATATACCGTCTAATGACAACACACCACACAAGGGAACAAAAAACATTCAGAGGGCAGAGTCTCTGCCTTCTGACAGAAGGAGAGTGGACATCAACTCTGGAACGCATCAAAAGACAGCTAGTCAACCCATAGGCAAAACTGATTCATTTATTCTTCAAACTAATTATAACACGCAAACATCCAACAATAACAAAAATGTATCTAGCAAAAAGCTGGAGGAATACCACAAGTGGAAGGTGTCTGGTTGTAAGGGAGATCCCCCTGCAAAGCTCAAAATATCACAGTGAGTTGTTGTTGTTGTTTTTTTTTTTATCACATGCCATTGAATCTGAAAACTTGACATTTTTTGAGATTTGAAATTTTAAGGTGGCTGATATATGATTTTTAATGATCATGACACCTAAATATATGTTATTTTATATTATAAACTGAATATACATGCAGTTTGATTGGTTCTTACCTATAATCTATCGGAGGACAGACACATAGATGAGATCACCACTACTTGCATTTTTCATCATAAACAAACAAATCAATTCCATGTTGCCGTGAGCTTGTTTAGTGACAGATCATACCAGTGACACACTTTGTTACACCTTAATGTGTGCCTTTTTTTTTTTGTACTTACCACATTTTGACATCATCTTTGATCTACTACACAACAGAGGCAACTCAGAATCTATTTGTTAAATAAACCAGTTCATATAGGGGCTGTGGTACATTAGCTTTTCCCCCAGCAATAGTTGACTGGAGCATGTACCCCATGATTAAGCAGCCACAAACAGACTTAATTAATATTTTTCACCAAATTCTTTGAACTTTGTGTGTTGGGTTATTGTTGCGTGAAATTTCCCAGATGATGGCAGTCCCCATAAGCATTGCTGTTGGTTAACTAGTGGGCATCATTTTGACAACCCAGGGAAATTAAAGGGTGAGAGAGTCAAGAGATAATGACTTTAGTCTGGCTGCCACTAAAAATACCCCTCTCATATCAGTCTTCATTCAAGGGATCACACTCTACAAGATGGTCAAATGCTGTCATTTTCTGTACTCATGCAAGCCATGTTGCATTAGGTGATCTAACTCTACCCTATTTCTCTTTCCCAGATGCTGACTAAAGATGGAGGAAATTAGTGAATTTCAAGTTTAAATCATTGTGAGATGTTACTGCTACTTGCAGGACATTGCTGCAGTTATTTTCAGTTTTATTTTGCACCAAAATATGTTTCTTTTCCACTAAAGATTTTAATTTTTTGTTGATGGTTGCTGAGTCATCAATAGTGTGGGCCAGTAGAAGAGTTCAAGAATAAATTGATAGCTTTAATTTTCTGTGAAGAAGAAACATGTCCAGTGACAGTTCTTACTGTTTCTCTAGTGGTGATTGGGAGTTGTTCAGATTAATATATAGAATTTAATGTACATTGTGTACTTCTTAGAAAGATGAGAATTGTGGTACAAATCCTAGCTTCTATGTAAATGCATGATGAAAATGCTGATATCTGCTTAATACATACATTCATTGTTCTAAAAAGTAACTACAATTTAGGAAACAGACTGTTAATTTATTAGGTTTAACTTGGAAATGATATCGTCAAATTGTCCTTATTTTTATGCTGCAATTTCAAATTTTCTTCAGAGAGTTGAGCCCATTGCAAGGGCATGGTCAGACGCATTTGACTTCAAGAAAATTTTTGTGTGTTTTCCGTGTATTGATGGTTATGGTAAATGATTTGATTGTCTTCCAGAAGTTTAACTTCAGCGGACACTAAATGCTTAACGCAGTAATTAGACAAGGCCTGCTTTATTTGTGCATATACTATGTAATGGTATTTACTTGCAAGATTTTTTTCTTTTTTGCCTTTTTTTGTGGCAGTGAAGTTTTGATATTTTCTTTCCAAATTATCAATTTAGAATTGGTTGAAAGTTCTTAAAATGTGTGAGAAACCAAATTAGAGATAGAAATAGAAATGTATGTATAGTGTCTATTTATTTAATATTATTTATTAAATTAATTTAACATGTTCAAACAAGTTTTGTGTGTGTGTTGAACATTAATTAAATACTTGAACAAAGTTTGTCTGTGGTTGTGTCAGTTTAGCTTTTACTAGTTTGACAAGAGTCTTTTCAACACTTTATTAATGTACTCAAAATATGTCAACCATACAGTTGTAAAGTGTGAAACCACAATTTTGCAGTGCTGCCAACACACTTCTATATGTGACATAACGTCTATCAGAGTAAAAAAAAAAGGTCAGTTTTACCTTAAAAAAAAAAAAAAATGAATGAATGAATGACAATTTATCTTTCAAATGGTGAGTAAATGTTTGAATATTCATAATAAGTAAGGTTTCTTTACAAGTTGTCATTTAAAGAAATTGCTTATTTTCGGTGGAAAACTATTACCATTTCAAAACTACCAATGTTTACAAAATGTACACTGCCCAGATCATTCAAACAAGTTTACTTCTTGGTAGGAGCAATGATCCCTTCAAGCTGGGTCTGAAAGAGGAACAACCATTATTTCTCAGGAGGAAAACAATGATTATTTCAATAAAAGAGATAATGGAATATTCAGGGTTTTCAGCAGGAAATGTAGTAGGAAAAACATTATTCCCCTACCCCCTTTGTATTGTAGCAGATATAAACTGATGCAGACTGTCAGAGGAGCCCCAAAATAATACCAAAATGGCTATGAAGGGGAGAGGCTGATTGTTACTTTGTGGGAGGATATGGCTTCCAACAAGTCTTTATAGAGAAAACACACTCTACAAGAAAGGTGCCTGATTCTTTTCCTTGCAATGAGTGGCAGCCATCTTGGAATCTATAAGGAAGGAGGGGTTGGGTAGGTCTTCTTGTTTTTTATTTGAACCCCCTGTCTGATGACCTCTACTGAAATCAAATGAGGCAGCATTTTGGTCAGTTTATAAAGCCAGCAAATTGCTCACCATAATAAACTTCTCTAAGGTAAGCTGCCTTTCAACAGGCTAAGTATGTACCTTCAGTTGTTGGTTGGTCCTTTTGAGAAACTGAATTTCCTCTGCATGCTTCTTTTCCTCGACTGCCCTTCTTTCAGCTTCTCTCTTCTCAATGGCATCACACTTGGCTTTCAGTTCATTGACCTGCCTCTCAAGATCTCGCTTGTCTCCCTCAAGCTCTTGAATCTACATGAAACCATCACAATTACCTTATACTCAAATAAATGTTTGTTAAAACAGCAGTACTGAATTTGATGTTCTCATGTAATGCAACTACAGTGATCAAAAGCAATTTCATTGAGTGTCCTTTTGAATGCACAGTAGCAAAAAGGAGACAGCTGGCTATGTGAAAAAAAAAAACTATGGAACCACAAATACATTCTTGTGCCACATGGAAACTATCCCTACATCGTCACAGTCATATAAAACAAAATACTGATTTCTTCCTATATATTCTCCAAATATCAGATTGTGGCATGCACTAACCTTCCTTTCCATGTCTGCTTTTCCTTGCTCAGCTTGCAATGCTTTCCTCATTCCAAATGCAACACTGCACAAATTGCATGTAATAAAGATATGTTTTCAACCATGCATTTAGCTAACAGTTGGGAAGGACTGGTGCAGATGGGGGAAGGGTGTGGAAGGTCACAAAAACTTTGAGCTTAGCATGGAGAGGGTCATAACTTTTCTGGATCACATGAGGGGGAGGGTTACGGTTTTTTTTTCTTTTTTTGCAAAAAAAAAAAAAGGCACCAGAAAGTCTGCTTTTTCTTTGACGATCACATTAATTGCACTTACCTGCTTTCATACAGAGTTTGGTAGGCAGCAATAGTCATTCTGATCTCATCACGCACTCTACAGGTAACAAAACAAACGCGAGTTATTGATTGCTTGTCAAAGCAGGTTCCTTTTAAAACAGTAAAAATAATGATACTTTGCAGATACTCCTTTTGGTTTTCACCTACAATTAGAGGCCAATGTGCTCTTTACTAAAAAATTGCTAATGATTTAAGTTACAAAGTCATTTGTGTTTCCAGTTTACACCATACCTGAGCAGCAGAAGGCCACGTTCAGCACAGTTAATGGTCACTTGACGAATCAATTCATCTGAAATATATTACCAGATAAATTACCATTACGCATCTGAGATGTTTGACATTTTATAATTGAACATCTCATAACATCAAATGGCTCACCAAAACACTGTGAGTAAAGTTCTCTCCTGACTGGGCAGATTCCTGTCTCTCTTGCTTGTCGCTGTTGAAGACGCATGTCCAGTTGCTCCTAGAAGATAACAAAAGAACATCACAATCCACCCTAATCAGTAAAAAAGTCAAACATGAACACAAATACATAAAAAAAACTTTACCAATCTACTTCTTCAACTGATTCTTCAAGAATTTAGGGTGGGGGAAATAAAAGAATTTCAATTTTTCCCTCACACCCACTGACCAACCCTAGTTACACTTTTACATCATATTTTCTATACTGTTCTCTATACATTTTCTATGGCTTTGATAAAGAGAATTTATTTATCCGTCATGAGCGTCTTAAGTTGATTATCATTATCTTTATTCTTTTGAGCTTAATGTCTGATTCAGAAGTAATTTTTTAAGGAGAAATTAAATGCTTGTAACTCTTAGGCCATACGTTAAGTGCTGTATGCAAAAGCTTTAACCCCCAGTAATTACCTGTAGATTAACAACGTCTAATCTTGTGGCTGGAGTACTAGATACCTGTTGCACCCATAACTGACCATTTTCAGTCCACTCCCTGTAAAATAAAAGAACAAACAAAAAATTTTCCCAGCAGGATCAAAAACACCTGTCAAGGAGACATGAGCGAGTCGAGTAATGCTTTGCCCATAGAAAACCTACTTAAAAATAGGCAAACAAGGGGTACCCATTTGGCTCAAATTCTTCAGGCATCACATTGTAAGCTCTCTAATAATATTAGTCATACAAGTCTCTAGGCCAGACAGAAGGTGAGGCCCCCAAAGGTGGCCGTTCTAAAGAAAGATTGACGGGGAAAGTTTCTTAAGAAACGGTGAAGCTGCATCTGCAGGCAGTATTAAAAGATAAATTGGTTTTAGCAACTAGGCTGATAATGTAAATTGGCCACCACAGAGAATTTCTAAAGCTGAAGTTTTAAGTGTTTGACCTTTGTCAGTTGATCCTTAGTTCTGACAAAGGGATAACTCTTGTAAGATCAGCTTTGGAAACTCTCTATGGCAGCCAATTTACATTGTTAACTCAATTGATAAAACCAAATTATTTAATCATAAAAGCAGAGGCAGACACCATCAAGATCATGCATATGATATGTACCTTGGCGGCAGGATTGCATTGAGTATCTCATCAGTTTGTTGGTTTTTCTGTGCATCCATAGGTGGTAGTTTACTAGCTCGTGGTGGTTGAGGTACTGGTCCAGTTGCTGCAGGTCCTGTGCCTTGCTGTTGGCTTACTTTCAGAGATCGCGCCTGTAAACAAATAAATGAAATATGCAGTACCACTACAAAATCAACAACTTAAAAGGTTTGTACCGACATACTAACAATTTCATAATGATTTATTTTTTTATATTCTTAATACATTAATTCCCTCATTAAGATTGTCATTTGAAATCCCAAAACAAAGTAGCAATGGCATGGAATGGAATAATTTCTTCTCCACGAAAGAAGCTTGCTATTTTGTGTTCTTTTTCCGACACGGTGCCATCACAATGTACCGTTCTTCACAGACCAGAAATTTCGCTAAAGAGCAAGGTCTTTCTCGGTAATGTACATGTAAAACGTGTTTGTCAATGCTTATCGAGGATTTTTTTTCCTAAAAAAAATCTCTCTTTGGTTTAAGGGACGAAATACTCTCTTGCATGCCCATTAAACCACTCACAATTGAACTAAATGTTTAATTAATATATCACATAGCTCACCACTGCATAAACCTTATAGTTGTGTTGTACATATGACGATTGCAAAAATAGCTTACCCTTGGCGATTTTTTGTCTGTGTTCCTGCTCACGAGAACTGGATTGTCATATTTAACTAGTGATGCATTCGGTGGAATCATAGTGAAGCCTGAAACACTGTGTTTTGGCTAAATTCTCTACAATAACCAAATCCTCTTCTTGTCTTACCGAAGGAGAAGACACTTTTGTTGCCTTGGTAATGAATCGCGCTGAAATGAAATACTGGGAGCTAGTCAGCACCAGGACCCGTCGGTCAGAGAGGAAAGAAATTTTTGGAATGGACCTTAAGCAGCAGGAGCTGGAGCACTTGCAGACATTTACTGTGAGATAAAACCGCAAGATATTGAAATTTGAATGTTTTTGTGGTTTTTTTAAATGAAATTCTCGAGGCTTAGGTAAGTATAAAATTACGAAAAAGTATCCCATGAACTTGTACTCCCCAACAGATTTTTCTGCGGGCAGTCTCATTGCGTCTTAGCTCGTTTCATCCCAGCTCATCCCGCAATTTTTCTTCACAACTGGATAGATCATAGATGTGTGTGTGTGTGTGTGTGTGCGATTAACCCATCAGAGAATGGGAGAATTTACTGAAAATTAAACTTCACAGTTTGTATCACGTTAGTATGCTTACACGAGTTACACCGCTTTTCCAGGATTTCAAATACATTGCATGCTAATTTATAAAACTATATCTCATTCCTTTCCTTACTCTGACTGGAGGCATGCGCTAAAATGTGTAACGATTGCCTAGTAATTGCCTTGATTTTCCGCGGTATGAGTATGAGCATTGCAGACAAATCCTTGTGCCGTAATTACCCAGCCATTTGTCAACTGGCGCGCGCGATATCATTGAGATTTCGTTTCATGACCTTTACGATAATCCTTGTAAGTATTGACAGAGACCTTGCAGTTACATATGCACATGCTGCTGCTGGTTTGAAGAGAGAAAAAAAATGCTCTAATTTTTTGTACTTTTTTATTCTTTTTTTTTTGTGCTGTGCAAAACAATCTCCGACGTAAAGGAGACATTTTAAACATAGTTCGGCGGATGGTATGAAACAAAAGGGGCAATAAGATTAAAGGAGGAAGAGGAATGGCTGGGAATTGAGGAGATTTATACGAATATGACGAAGTTGTAAAGTCAACGAAGTCATTCAAGACAAAAGCTGACGTATCTCCCAGCTTAACGTGCAAAAAAAACCGGAACCTCGAACACCCATGAAAATAAGATCAGCGAGTTTTTTGCCTGCATGCGAAGGAGACTAGTGCAAAGAAAGCGAACGTATTATTTCCAAGGTAGCTAATGTTTATTTACTTAATTAAATTCTCCGTCGATGACAATGGCTTATTCAACACGTCACTGCGTGAAGCTTTGTATCTTTCAAAAAGCTTGTAAGCTTCTTAGATCTTTTGATAAACTCTATTTTTCTCGCTTAGTCAATATTTAGGACAATGTAGACATCTTAACTAAAGCAGGATGTATCTTATAGCGTTGCGTTCGGGATCTGTAAATGCGCCATGTTCGTATTGTCCTGGTCATCAAAGCAATCTCTTAGATCATGATAAATCACTATAAGTTTAACCTGTTAATGATTAAACTATAAGACCTATTAAATGAACTGGTGTTCTATGAAGTGCAAGTAATTTATAGGAAAGTCTATAATCGGATGAAGAAGTCATATTTTTTAACTGTCAAGTTTTTGCGAGTTTATAAAAAGTTTGAACTAAGAAGCTCCCTTTTGCTAGTTTGAAACTCCAGATTTCTTCTCTTGAAGTTATCCAGCGCCTTTTCCATAACCTGAATTTTTCTCTCCAAAGTGCATCGCTTCTTTTCGGCTTCTCGCCTCCGTAAAATTGCCCCTCTTATTTTCTCTTGTATGCTTATAACTTTGGCTTCTTGGTCGGATTGTGGAACAAGTTCCTCTTCAGGAGACAACATTCCTTCAGGCCTTTTGGCTGCTAGGTAACGATGAACAGACAACTTTTGATTTATCAAAAACGCACGGTTAAGAGCTTTCTGTTCGCGTTGCTCCGCTTTTTCAATTTTAGGCTCCAGAATTGCAACAACCTGCGACATTCCCTTGTTCATTTTCCTTAATTCCATTACGCGCTGCTGGGATTCGTGAAGTTTACGCATCATTTCCTCTACATTGATCGTGGATTCTTCCAACACATTTGCAACTCGCCCGTTTTCTCGGTATTTTTCCGCTATCTCTTTCCTTCGCCCGTTCTGGTAATGAATGCGGTCCTCGATCTTTCTGATCTTTTCTTCTTTCTCTGAGATCTTTTCAGACATCTCCTTCAGTTTGAGTTTGGCTTCGTGTTCTCTCCATCTTGCAGAAAGCGTTTCCTGTTTATGCTGTTTAATTTTGTTCTCTGTTTCGTTTAAATCACTTTTCAACTTGATCATCTTTTCTTGAAATGATTTAATACTGTTCCTTGCGGTCCCTTTGTATCCATTATTTACCACAGACGACATTCTAACCTGAGAAGAGCACTCACTTCGACGACAGAATTTCTCGTTAGTCTCCGATGTTGTCAACCCACTTTATGATATCATCCGGGCTACGATTACGTCCAGACCAGGTTTGCGTGATTAGCGGTGTTTTTTAATTCGATGCTACTACCTATTAAGTATCGAATAACGGAAACGTTTCTCTTTTTTCTGTGAAAACTGAACTGCTGGAATCTCATAGGGTCGTCCTTTCTGCGTATCGCAAATCCATTTCGTGTAGATACCGCAGGCAGAAGAATGGATTGAAATAATTACAATAGAATGACCTCGTTTTAAGGGTCAACTGCACTTCGCACTATGTTTTATTGCACAATTGACCATTGTTAGATCTTAGTCTGTAAAATTATAAAATACTATCGAACGTTTTGAGCGATGTAAAGGAAAACTTGGATCAAGCGTGAATCATGTTACGAAGTTTGATTTCTCTTAAAACCCTCAAAGATATGCTTTTGTAGTGCGTGACCTTTGTTGGATCACGCAATCCGGCAACATTAATTTCAAACAAAGAGAGCTGTCGAAAAAGGCAAAATCACGCCACCTGGCTCGAGCCCAGGTGTCCTAAGTGACGCGCGGCCGAGAAATGCATGGGAACGTACATGAAATGTGATTGGTTAAAAGGAATGTCCCCTCTTACCATCCCTTGCTTCTCGAATTATGTCCTTTGCCACTTGTATAGTTAATGAAATCGAAAAGTTTGAATCTCTGCACTAAACTCTTGACATGTTTTGTCTGCCAGTTTGGGGTTCCTGTGACGAAAAACATTCCTCACACTTGAGACCCGAGGTAATCAACGCGAAAGGGATGTTTGAGCACGACTGTTTGAGAAGAAAGATGTTCAAGAACTGGAACTAATTATGACGAGGTCCCTCATGACACAAACGTCACACATTGTTATTTTAATGTAATGATCTCATTTTAATGCACATTCTTCCCAACAAAATCGTACAGCTGTACTAACAAATGAACGACTAAACAAGTAATTGAAAGTTCCTTTCACGAGATAAGATGGGTGTTAGAGATGGAGCCATAGTTTACTTTGACGGCGTTCTGAAGTTATTAGGTGTTATTCATGGTATGTTTGGCGGCTTGTTTATTGTGCTGGGAATCTTAGTAAGGCTTGTGGTTGATCACTGGACCAGCCAAATGCTTCTTCCAATCTGGATTGGAGTCATAGTAAGTGAGATTTATTTATATATGGGGAATGGTGTTTGGATGACTATATAGTTAATGATTTGGCATGTCGTGGTTGTATTGACATACTGATGATGAATCACTTTTCCGCGGATCAAAGTTAAAGAATATGAATTTAAGAAAAGAGGTCTTTTCAAGATCAGTTGATGATTGCTGCCTTTAAGTTCTCGCTAGGCATCACTCCTTTTTTTACTCTCGGACGTGTCAAATTTCACATTATCTCTTAACTAAATTAAAAAGCAAGATAAACAAATATCGCAACACAAGAAAATTCTGGAGAAATCGGCATAAAACGCATGACTACCCTTCTGTGATATGTAAATGCAAAAACAACGTAAAACAGATCTACATCGCACTTTTATGAGTTTACCAGCATATCAAATACCCCAAAAGAGATCACGAGAAACTGTACCAACGATGGTGCGCTCGATTGTTCTGTATGTTTCAGTTTCACCGTGGTATAACTGGCGAGGTCACTGAAGACATAAAAAATATAGAATTTTAATTTTAAAAACAAGAAAAACTTGTGCAAAGTGACTCGATCTCAGTTAGGTACATCCGTCAAAGTTAAAGAATAAATGAATGGATCACTAAACAAATGAACAGCCTTCATAGGTAACTGCCTCGATCCCAAAATTTCTTTTTGCAGATTGCTGTCACTGGGGTTATTGCAGTTTTGGATTCGAACATGGAGAACGCTGAAAACTCCAAAAAGTATTATGTAAGTTGGAGTCAATCAGACTTTAGTTTACCTAATTATATATATAACACACTGCCAATATTATAATTGCGGTAAAAAAGCTTTTAAGATCCAAGTACAGGCTGCCTTGTTTTCAGACTCACGGGCCTTCGGATGAAATCCCCCATTTTCACTTTGTCTCTTTATCAATTGGTGTTGCTTTTTAGTAGTTTTGGTTTCACTGAAAATTTCTTCTGTGTTTTTTTAAAAAAAACCAATCAGTATTTTTGGCGCTTTCTTTTATCAACGAGGTTCTTACTGAGTTAGTACTACTAGTACATAGATTTAGCCAAGCCTAAAAGCGGAGCTCGCATTTTTTTTCCCGCACGTCTCAAGGGCACAACGCCTTGCCCCGGCCAGGACTAGAACCCAGGTCGTCTCACTCGGAGCCCACTGCACTGACCACTGGACTACTGAACAAAGCCGTGGCGTTGGAGTGCCCGAGGTACAGTTGACCACGCATGTTAAAAGTAGCACCTTGTACAGACGCCCGCACGGTGATAAGTCCAAATTTTTTCGGCTTTATAGGTTACTACCATTTTGCATAATTACGGAGCTACGCTCTGCGAGCTCCGTTATTATTATATTATCTGAGATAATGATTTGGAATTAATCAACTGTTGGGTTTATTAATGTTTTGTCCCACTCTTTCAATCTTTCATTTTAATTTTTAGTTGATCGACTTCCTGTTATTCTCAGTATTATCCTTACTCCTGTCCACAATGCTGATCGTCTGTTACAGTATGGCAGTACACACGGTATTCACAGGTGAAGAGGTCGGATCGTTTAGTTGGTATGCCTACAACAGAACTCCTGATCAGAATGTTACACGAACCAAAACCTTAACCACATTCGTGCTCATTTTTTCCTGTTTAGAGTTTTTGCTATGTCTTGGTTCCATCGCATACTTTGCATATGCTTACAGACGAGATTTCAAAAAGAAGCCGGTAAGATATATATGCTTTTTGGATTTTTTGGTGGTTTTCGTTTTAAGTTAGACGCTAAAAGGGTAATTCTCAATTGCGGGTCATGATTGACTCTGTAATGGATTGATTTTTTTAAAAGTTTCGCTCCACTATTCGAAAAAAACATTTATCTGATTTTAAGGTTATTATGTTTTTATTGACTTTTTGTTTATTTGCGTTTCAACAGAAATCGAGAATTCAAGAGAATGCACCGTGCTCTTACGCCAACGAATACGTACAATACTAATTTTTTATTGGCGGTAAAACAGCATTGAAATAAGCTCTACGAATGATCGAATGTTTATAGCAGCTTCAAACGGCTCCAGTTCGAACTCATTCCTTTGTAAATGTTCAGCGGAATTATTTAACACAGTTCGACACACAGATAGAAGTCTCTTTGGCTTAGTTGTAGTTTGCCATGAAACAGAATATTGTGATTAATAAAATATAATTGATGTATATGTGGTTGTCCACTGGGCGTCATTTGAGTTGCACCCCGCCCAAATTCAGTACGCCTTGCATGTGATGCCAGAAAGAAAAACCCAGCGTAGATGAATAATGAAGATAAATTATGATGAAATAAAAAGCAATAACATCAGCTGAGGGCAAACTGTCTTTGTCTTCGCAAACCTGTGAGAAACTTTCTGAGTCCGCTACTTGTTTGGCATAATTTTTGGCGCGTGCCTAATGCATGATACTCGCATCACCTGTAATTTTTCCAGCTAAAGTTTCGGCACGTTCTAAAATAGGACACCATTTGATATGTAGGCCTTGAAAAAAATTTACCAGATTTTGGAGAGCCCCCGTACTAAGTGAACGGTCGTTACTCATCGCCTTTGGGAAGGAAGGGTGGAAAATTCTGGTTATTTCTCGAGGAAATTTCCTGATCCCCTCATATGGCTCTGCAATATTCTCACGACCCCCCCCCCTCTCGTTGACAGTTAATTGGCAGTCCACTTTCCACTAGTCCCTTTCGCCAAAATTCTCCCCCCCCCCCCCCACCGCCGAGGGTGATACTTAATGAACAAGCGTGGACTTTACTCCAGGCTTCTCTCTTAAACTCTCCTGCAATATGGTGGCGCCAGTGAAGATTTACCTGGTGTTTTATAATGTTGTACTGACGCTAGGGTGAGGATCAGATCACTTCTCTGTCATCTTACTGTTTATGGCAAGAGGCTTGAGTGTAATATAGTTAGCACATAGTACTTTCTGTGATTTATGTTTGGTGAAAACCTACGCGTAAACAGCTGAGCTTCCATTTATTGTGATTTGATCGAGTGCGAATACTTCTAATGTTTTTTCGTTAGTGCAGCTTAGAAGATATTGATAGCTCTCAGCAAACTAAAACCTGCGACTGCTGAAACCAAGTTTAATGTCAGGCATAAGTTTTCCAGTGATTTCTGAGTAAATCCTTGATTTAATCATTATATTTATTACTTAATACAATATGTCAGCTGATGTTTTTTTCTTGTTCCTCAGTCTGCAGATCGTCACGCGCTTTGAACTTTTTTTTTAGGCCAACATTGCCAAATTGCGTGAATAAAATAATTCCTTCTGTGTGCGCCAAATGAAATCTATTCTAAGTCCCTGAGAGCTTTGACATAAAAGTTTATTAGTTTGGTATTACTAAGCAGTTTATTTTTATCATTTATTTTTGTCACATGGGTTCCGTTACCCTTAACATGCGAGATAGTTTTCGCGTATAAGGTTGAGCTTGGAAATATGGGGGTATGAGCGAATTATTCGAACAGAATTGTTGGAAATCAATTAATTTGGGGATTTTTTAAAATTATTGTTCTGTAGATGGGGTGTGATTCTTGTCCTCGCAGTACAGCACTTGACAAAGAAGAATACTCATATTGGGCTTTACGACTCGGTGGAAAAACCCCTCAAGATTTTTCAATCTGCAGCCATCCTAGAGGTGAATGATTGTCAAACATACATGTACAGAACCTAGAACTTAGAACATTTAATTTAGCTGTGTAGTCATGATTGCAGAAAAAGTAACATTCTACACAAAATTGAAATAACATTAAAATAAATGATTAGTTAAGGACCTGTAAGGCAACCTTTCTTGCTGTAAGCTAGATTTCCTAAGTCTGGAAGTTTGTATCTTGAAGTGTGCTTTTTTGAGGTATAGTATATGTCTAACATGACTTTTTGTTTCCTCTTGTTCCAGGTATTACACTGTGCAGTAGGTATGTAGGATTATATAGGAGCAAATTTGATCATTTTATAAAAAAAATATTTTACCCATTTGCTCTACATGTATTGTCTTAGGCTGCAAGCTGTTATGTGCCAGTCAAGATAAGAAAAACATTTCTGTTCTCATTGAAGGGTTTGTCACTATGGGATACTTTTATTCAGTGCCAGAAATTTGTTCCCTTTTTGCAAGTGGTGCAGCCTTTTTATCTCTTGGTACAATATACGGAGAATAATCAGGATCTAAGTAATAACAATAATAAAAAAAGCAAAGATAGCTACAAACCTTGGTATAGGTTCTAAATACATGCTTCTAAGCATCTCTTTTCGCTGAAACATCATGTGCATGTTTGTAAAAAAAATCAAATAGTAGAGAAGCCTTGTCCCTTGTCCCTGTACTGGGATATAGATGAGAATTACTTTCAATGGTGTTCTTTTCCCCACAAAGGTATAGTGCCATCTTCAGTTGTTCTTACAGCATTTCAAGTAGCTTCAAGACTCTTTTTAACCTGGGCAGTGGCTCACAGTGTCCCTCAAGTAAGCATCTATCAAATCTTTATTATGCTGGCTTGGTGTGTGTAGAGCTCTGGTGATTATTATTACATGCATATGCCCCACTGCTAAGTAGCTAATTTTGGCTTTTAGCATTATGAAGGATTCCTATATTTGTCCTGATGTAGGGCTAATGTTCTAAACTTCAGCTTTAAGAACTTGTGGCCAATTTACATTGTTAACTCAGTTTTAAAACCAAATTATCTTTTTCTCCCCTTCCTTAACTGCCCCAAGTAATCCCATCCTTCCCCATCCATTTTGAGGTGAGATTAAACAGCTATGTGTAAAAGTTTAAACAGATGATAGATCAATAAATATCAATATGATTTGGTGAGGGATAACGTGGCTCAATATATTTAATTTAGAGGTTACTGGTATTTTATTAGTTAAATTATTTTTTTCTTCTGTGCTTTAGGTTCATGACAACCCTGGTGTGGCAGGGTTTGTTTTAGCTTGGTCCATCACAGAGGTTATTCGCTATTCATTTTATGCATTTTCCTTGTTGGACAGTTTGCCTTATATACTTCAGTGGTGCAGGTTTGTTAACCTCTACACACTAACATTAATATTGATATTCTCCACACTGTTCTCATTACTTTTCCTCTTGTACTGACAATGAGAATTTGTTTGACAATCAGGAGCTTTTCAGATTTGTGATCATTTCCTTTATTCTCATGACCTATGCACTTGATTACAGGCAGATACTCTATGGAGAAATTAGAGGCCAGTCACTCCTAGGGGTTAAAGAATTAACAGTTTGTAGGTGTATACATTGTAGTTTCATCAAAAGTTTTCTCATCATTAGTTTTGCAAGCTCGTAAAAAGAGGAAATTGCTAATCATATGCAATTGCCCACACAGGGTATTTTTCAATTGCCTGTTGAAATAAATATTTGATAGTCTTAGAGTGTATTGGTTTTCCTTTAGTTGTTCTTTGCTAAATTAATTATATTTTCTATCGGAACCTAGTAGTAAAAAGTAAAGCCTATATACGGGCCCCTATCGGAACCTACTTACAAAATAATTTAAGTGGCTCAAACTAAAACATGTTTTTGTGTGCTTTTTACACAGATATACTTTCTTTTTTTTCCTCTATCCCATTGGCGTGACAGTGAGTAAAATTAAAGTTCTATTTTTAAGAGAGTGGAGATTTTTCAGGGAAAGTCCTGTCCCTGTTCAGATGAGATTGTTTGTCAGTTCATCATGATCATTTGTTTAATTATCAGTCAACCCTTTGCACCCTAACAGCCTCCATATTCTCCATACTGTTATTTACACAATTTGTAAGGAGCTGAGAAGAAGAATTGATATTATAATCAAGAGCTGGTGATCATTTCCTTTATTCTTAGGACCTTAATGTTTGATTTAGCAATGATACTGTCGGGAGAATTTTGACGCCAATCACTTCTCAGGGGTTAAAGATTTAAGATGTTGTGTATGGTTGTATCATAGCTGTGTTGAACAGTTAATCATTCTTCTGATGTTTATTTTAATTCCTACTGTGGTCTTTAGGGTGAACTGGTGACAATATACTCCTCTCTTGGTCATGTTTCCAAGTCTGGTCTGTACAGTGTGTCCATGCCAAATCTTCTCAATTTTTCCTTTGATTATCATCTCTTCCTGATCGTGGTGATGTTCTCGTATATTCCAAGTAAGTGTCTTGGTGTCCATACATTAAAATTTTAGAGGGATTTCCAATATTGAACAAACTGATCCCTATATCTAGGTCCTCTTCTTAGCCTCTGTTCTCTGGGGTGCGCATTGCGTGACAATCGTTCGGGATGTTTGCCTTTTAAGGGTGAGCGTTACGTGACAGTGTAGGAAACTACACATTTAATTAGACTACAAGGAAAGTAATAGTAGAAATGGAAGCCTTTAAAAAAAAAAAAATACGGTCTCCGATGGGGATCGAGCCCTTGTCTTCTAGATACCAGTAAGACTCTACTACGTACAAACAGCTAAAAAGCTACAGGTTTGGGGAGAGGCAATTATTATTTGGTTTGCAATTTTACCTTAAGAACTTTAACCCTATCAAGGTGGCTGTACATTATTTATGTGCAGGAGTCCAATCGGTTAACCTAAACTGCATTGCAATTAAAATTTCTCTCCGGAAATTATTCAAACACGCTGTTAACATGGAGATTCACCGTAGCGGTCGATATCCCTTGGAATCTGAGAATTTGCAATAGTAGCGAAAAGTGTCTGTTGATAAATTTATCGTCATAGAAAATGATATTAAAAAGAAATGAAAAGAAAGTCACGAAAGCTGATGAATTTTTTATTTTACTTAAATTTCAGTCTTTCCGCAACTTTATTTTCACATGATCCGACAAAGAAAGAAGGTTATTGGTGGAAAAGTCAAACCGCAATAACTTGAGGCTCCAACCGTCCAGTTGAAAGGCGGGAGGAACTTAAGTCAAGATATGTTTGTTAATTTTTTTTTTTTTCGATTTTAACACTAAGTGACGGCGGTGTCAAGCCACAAGTTGATTGATCGTTGAACTGTTGTGTATCCGTGTCTCGAAAGTTCCGGTAACTAACGGCCCCAAGCCATGCTCTGAGCAACAGTTGTTTGGGTTATACATGCAGCTCAAAAGTTATTTCCATATTGTTATAATAACTGTTATTTTTATCATATTAATTTCAAAACTATTCGTATCTCGATCTTGAGGGAACACACAACGAACAAAAATCGTTTTCCGGGATCGGTGAGTACCGGAACTTTCGGCGTAGGAGTGACATAGGACATAGTAAGTGACATTAGTTGGTGTGTGCAAAATTTAGCTTTGTGTGTTCTCTGCTTCCAAAAAAAAAATGTGATTCATTTTAGCGCTGCGAACGGTTCAGGGGAACAAAATAACAGTTCTGTTACACTTACGAATAAGACTTTCACAAAAGTCATATTTGTCACTCGAAGCTAATTTGCCCGCAAGCGGCCTATAAACGTGTCTATAATAAAATATATTTTGAAAATTCTGAATATGTTTTTCAAACAAAGATATTATTTTGATTTTTGCTAACTACGAGATGTAATTTATTGATTGAATACATTTAATAAAAGAGCCTTGGGAACAGTAGTTTTAATTGTTTTTTTTTTGTCAGAATAATTTGTCGAGACCATTTGACCGAGCGTTTTCCATTAGTTTGGAAATTTTAGATCTAGACGCATAGATTATTTTAATTAAAACACGTTGCTCGTTAGCAGTTTTCTTTTTTGCGAATTTGATTGCGCACTTTGTATGTCTAAAGAATTGAGTAATTTTAATGTTTAAAGCAGATAATTTGAAAACTGAAACAGCGAAGAGTGTTAGACTAGTAGGTGGGGTAAGGAAGATTAATTTAAATTTTGTACGTTTGGAAATTTGCACCTCATCGCTTGACTGCGCTAGAGTAGACCCACCTTCTATTTTAAACAAAGAGCGTTTTAATCCCAATAAGATTTCACTAACACTGATTAAATTTCGTCAATATTTTCAAACTTGGAGAGTCTGCAACGAGGAATTGAGGAAACTTTATAAAATACGTAGCTGATACAAAGTTTAAGATTTGTGAGAAATTTAAAGCTAACAATTATGACAGTTTGAATTTATTCATCATTGGAACGAGGGCGACGTTGTTCGATTCAATAGATAAAAGAAAAATTTAAAAGGAATAAAAACAGAAAAGCGTTTTATTGCCTGCGGTTCCTTTGTTCTCCGGCAACAAAATAATTTTTTTTTAGATACCAGTATGATAGCTCTGTTTCTTTTTGCGACGAAGAAAAGTTAACTTGTTTACTTTTGAGCGTAAATCAAGAGGAGGTTTGCAAACACAGGTGTTTTGTTAGGGTGAATCGTACATTTTATGTGGTTACTATTGGCGACCTTTTATTGGCAAAGCTGTCATTCAAATGAAGCTACCATTGTCATGCGTGTTCGGTGTTTGTTCCGTCAACAGAAATTATGCGAATTCGAAATTTTTTATCGTGGCTCCGATGATTAGTTTGCCCTGAGTGAAATTCTACCCTTCATGGGCGTACTTGGGCCTACAGTGAACTTTAAGTTGTTACTCAAGGGAAGTATTTCACCAGAGCTTCGGCAAGACAATGACGGACAACAAAGATAATGTAAATTGGAGTAGATTTGGTTTGGATCCTGTTGGGCGATCAGAGCCTTCTCCTCCAAGATCACACGGCGATCAATCGGTAGAAGTAACAGCCAGTGGAAGTACATCTTGTGGTAATCCGAATGTCAAAGATCTCTTTGACGAAGATCAGGTTCGTATGGAAAAAAATGGCGGGAAACGAAAGGAAAATTCGTTTTTGTTGTCAATTTCTTGATCATCCGTTCTCGCTCGAAGGAACGACTTTCATTTGCATATTAAAAGGATTTTTGTAGCTTGAGGGGTAAATAAGCTGTTATTTCAAACGAATAGTTATTTACGCAAAACATTTCGAAAGGAGAAGGCAAGATTTTGAAGGGGAAATATAATAAGCTTAGATTCGAATCTGATATTTAACTTAATTTTTGTTTTCTTGTAAATGCACATACTTCCTCTCATTTGCGTGATTCGACAGCTGGCTTCAATACCGGCGGTTTTTCAATTTGTGTTTTGATTTTATAAGTGCAAGAAAGACTCTTAAAAATATATTCCATTCGTGGCATTTACATGGTAGGTCTGCAATTTCACGGTTGATCTAATTTCAATCAGACACGAATTTATTCAAGAAAAAAATAGAAGTAAACAAAATTGTACTTGATCGGTGTGTTCCTTTACCCGACATGAATTGTTGATCAGAAATTAATAAAATTTGAAATTATATACTTCGATAGCGATTACTGATTTCATGAACTCAATACTATTTTTGTATGTATTTGTCATGATGAAAAAAAGGAGTATTTTTTTTATTTGCTCCAGTAGCTTGGAACAAAGTTGATAACCTTATCCAGCGTGAAGATGTAAATTTCGTACGATTCGATCAAGAAGAACGAATTCGCACTGACATTGCCCGCTCTTGAAATTTCTTTTTAACAACGAACCCTATATACCTTATATCGGCTTATCCTTTAAAACTGGGAAAATATCTGGATCGCAGGGAAAGTATTTTGATAATTTAGAGAGAACTTCTTAAGATGCAGATGAACAACAGTTCTCAGTAGATATAAGGTTTGAGTTTTTTTTTTCCCCAAAATGGCCCGCGGCAACATACGTGCTGTCTATCAGAGCTTTTAAAACTGAGTCAGAAATTAGCCGATTTATGCTGTTTAGTGATTTGCAGAAGAATCTCTCTTAAGATATACTTGACCCTTTTGACAAGACAAATTGTAGACTGAAGTGAAAGCAAAGGAGCTGTATTGTCGAAGTCAACAACATGATGGCAGACAGCTTGTGATATAAATACCAATATATCAAATGAAATTTAATTAATACATACCCCATTAGCTCTGGTGAAAAGTACTTTTCATGCATGCTTTATTAGCAAGTTCAGAAGTGATTGGCAACTACTACTCGCCTCCAATGAGCTGAAGATACAAAATCAAATCAGTCTCTGTGAAAGTGGTGAATATTTACATTGTCGCTTCCTAGCTAGGTATATATCCACCCCCATCCACTTCCTCTTTGATGAATAATTGTTGCTAAACTTTTAAAAATTTCTTAAATTGCATTAAGGGGGATCAAGTGTCTCAGAAGCCATGGTGGAAGGCAAACTTCTTTGTGAGAGAGCCAGTATTATTCGGAACATGGGATGGTGAGTTTTTGCATTCATAGGATATAATAAAGAGGATAGGTGCTTGACACTTGTGACAGTGATTAAAATATTTGGTGGTCTGGTATGGGCACTCAGCTTGCAAGGCTTCCTAATACTCTTGGTGTAATTATCATGACAAATCATGTGAAATTCTTCTATGCATTGATATATCATATGAAGTCCACAGGTTTCAAGTTAGCTGATTTAAGCTTGTAATTAGTAAACAGTTAATTTAATTTGCTTTCTTTTTTTAATCAAAGGTGTATTTACATCATGTATGCTGAACATTTTTGGTGTGGTTATATTTCTCAGAACAGGATGGATGGTGGTATGTACCTTTGATATCTAATTCCTTATATTACATCAACACTGTGCACAATAAACAATAAACAAAAGTGATTTGTACAAGCCCAGGTGTAGGGTAACCTTGAATTAGGACTGGCTTTGTCATTCTATAGTTGTTACTGAGCAGTGATCTAAAGGATAATTATTAGTGTTAAAACAGACATCTGTGCCCTTGAGGGAAATGTGGGGGCAGGGGGGACAAAACAATTGTCAGTGCCTCGTACAATTAGACTGACTGTTTTCTTGATAAGTTTGCACCTGCTCAATTCCTCCAGTCCTGAAGGAGACCTTTGCAAGCCCCTGCAAACATCATATCCTTAATAGGGACACGTACATGTATGTACATTTCCTTGTCAAATGAAGGATCTTTGCTCACTGATGCTAGCCACCTTAAAGTGAAAATTATGGATCATCCCAGTGAGGGAAGAATGCATCAATGAGGACTGTATTTTCAGTGAAAGTGATAAGTCTTTAAACAACCTTAGGTCTGAAGTGGTGTAACCATTTGATTTAAGTTGGTCACTTGAGAAAAAAGTCTTATCCCAGATGATCTCACTTAGTTTTGTACCAGATGAGAAAGACTTGCAATATTATTTTAATTTTTTTTTTTTGGACTTGTGCAACAGACTTCTATATACTTATACTATTTGTAAATGGTGTGATGCATGAATGGTAATTCAATGTTTTAAATGGTTACTTTTCATTATTTTTACTACTAACAGGGTAATGCTGGCATTGGGCTGTCATTATTGATTATTGTGTTAACTCTGCTGGTTGCTCTGGCTCCAGCACTATCAGCCATTGGTGTGTGTGAGCGCTGTCATGTGGAAAGTGGTGGTGTGTACTTCCTTTTAGCACATGTTCTAGGACAGCGAAGTGGAGGAACTGTTGGAATTCTTTATTCTTTTGGAATGGTGAGTTGGTGGTGAATTGATGCTTCTGCATCTATTAATAATGAGGATCAAAATGCTCCAATGACAGCATGCCAAAAAACACCAACAACAACAAACCAAGATGCTGTAAATAGCAAGACATAAACTTTTGACCTGACAAAGACCAGCAGTATAGCAGTCAAAATGTTGCAATCACTACAATTAATTAGCCTGACTCTGAATTGTAAGACAAAGGATTCAAATTTTCATTTATGCATAACAAAAAAAACAAAAAAAAAACTGTGTTTCCAAGGAGATCATGGAGATGAAAGTGGAAACCTTTAAGGGTTACAATTAGTTTCAAACTTGGAGGCAGGCAAAAAATTCCAATTTCAAAGTACCCAATATCTGGTTTGATTTTCTCTCCCTTTTAGCACTTCATTCCTATTCAGCTAACACATTTTAATGTTGAAGATTGTTTTATATCATTAAACAACAAATTGATCACCATGGGAGCTTTTATTTTTCTTTAATTAGTGTTCTTGTCTTTTTTCCACTAGGCTGTTAGTATTTCATTATTTTGTGCTGGATTTGGTGAATCCCTGGCAGAGACCACAGGCTGGGAGGGACCATGGGCAGTCCGCGTGATTGGTCTGATCACTTCTCTCATCCTATTGGTTGTTGTTCTTGCTGGTGTCAAATGGGTCGTCAAACTGCAGCTTCTCCTTCTTGCTATCCTGATGCTCTCTGTACTTGACTTCCTTGTTGGCACCTTTGCACATACTGATTATTGTAAGTGACAGGGAGTGAGATAGAAGGCAGGGGGAGGGGAGGCTGTGTTGATACTGGCTTGAGATGATCTTTAATATTAAGTGACCTAGAATGCATTCTTCATTCTACAAAGTGGCATTGCTCTTCAAGAAGTGAGAAAACTCATTTTATTTGTTCAAAATTGGTAAACTAAGTTCCAACAAAGAAATAGCCAGAGGTGAAGGTTTGTAATAAACTTAGCAAAGGTTCATTTTTTTCAGAGTAGTGATCTCAAAAACACTTGCCAATATGTTTTGTGTTTGCTGTATCTCTTTCAGCCGCTGGGTTCACTGGCTACAGAACTGAAAATATGGAGAAAAATGCTCCACCCAAGTTCTCCGAAGGACAGAATTTCTTCTCTGTATTTGGCATTTTCTTTCCCAGTGCGACAGGAGTACTGGCAGGAATCAATATGAGTGGAGACCTCAAGGATCCTTCAAGTAATATTCCGGCAGGAACACTTGCAGCGTTGGGATTTAGGTCAGGGAAAATTCCACATTATTTTGATAATACAGTGCCCCCTTAAAACTGCCACACCTTGGAGTGATCATCTGCATTTATATTTTTATTACAATTTTTATTCACTGTCGGATAAACTGGTAACAACAAGTAACGATGAGAACACAAACAGCCGAGGCATGCATTTTGGATGAAACAGTGTTTTTCAGGACGAACTAGTGAAAAAATTATTTGTCATCATTTGAAAGAATAAGCTTTTAGATTCTGGGAAAGAGGAGGGTAAACCTATTACCTCATCATATTTAATATAACAAGTGGTTCATGAGTCAGTGTGGGAAGATTGGACGAATAGATGCGTAAGGATCCAAGAGCTCTACTAACTTCCCGAGTGATTAGCGCCTTGACGAACTCTCAGCCCAGTAGAGGCATGAATCAATTGTTTTGTAACGTTTTCACTGCGGCAATTAGAATGTTGTTTGAAGAGGAAGTCCCTCTGGTACACAATAGGGATATGACGGGGACTCTTGCCTAATTGACTTTGATGTCTCAAATCTACAAACTTATTCAATTAAAAAAAGCCGTTTGTTTTTGTCTCTGAACAGTGGAATGCTGTACATCTTGTTTGCTGTGTTACTTGGAGCAGTTTGCAGCCGCTATGCTTTGCTCACAGACTATATGATAGCATCTAAGGTGTCTCTAGTTGGTGTACTGTTCCTCTTTGGTTTGTATGTATCCTCCCTTTCGTCCTGTCTTGGTGCTCAATATGGAGCCCCACGAGTATTACAATGCATCAGCAAGGAGAATGTTGTACCTCTCATTAAATCACTCGGCAAAGGGGTAAGAAGATTCATTATCAATTGATGGCAATTTACAAAGAAGATGTGTTTTATTTGTGTGTGTGTAGTTATGATATCAATCAAAGAATCGAACTGAACCATTTTGTGAGCGGGGAGAGCACAGCCTAACCTGATCAAAAATGATCAATTAGAACTAGCTTTTAGCGTGAAAATACAGCCAATAACAATCCAACAACCCTTTAATTTGACTCAGGTTATCAAAACGTAAACGTCATTGTCACCGATGAGGGTGTTTTTCAGGAATACTCTTACAGTTGCAAGTAACATCACAGCAAAATTGACCAATCAGCTTTAAAGAACCAGATTTAAATCATTCAACCGACAAACAACTGATCTCTGGATTCTTAATTTCTGACAAAAACGTTCTTCTCTCTATTTTCAGCGTGGTCCAAATCAGGAGCCGTATGTAGCTGCAATATTTGTGGCCGTGATTGCCATATCATTTATAATGATCGGTAACCTGAACGCTTTAGCTCCTATTGTAACAATGCCATTCCTACTCACATACGCTGCTATCGATTATGCGTACTTTAAACTGGCCATGAGTTACGATATACGACAACAGCAGAAATTGCTGGAACGAAAACCGTCATCGGATCTGAAGAAGTCGCCAGAAAGCCGGTTGATTTCGTCTGACTTTCAAGACAGTGGAAAGAAGTTGAGTTACGGCAGCAGCTCTGAGGAAAAATATGATTTTGGAGAAGTGAAATTTGGCGGGCAAGATGCCATGGAGAAGGATGACTCTCAGGAGAAGGAAAATAAGAATAAAGATGACAATTGGTTTGATTACAACTCGCCACTGGACATGCCAGAGCACGATACAGCAGAGACGAAAGTTAATTTGGAGGGCAAAGATGGCGAAAAAGAGGATACGGAAGTGTTTAAGGATACAACAAAATTGTTGCAGAATGGGAGCAATAAAGACAAGGAGGACACACTGAGAGAAAGAAGAAAATCGGACGAAGCAGATCGAGAGAAAATTAAAGGTAAAGTTAAATCCTGTTATTAAACTTTCAACTCCGAATATTGAATTTCTAGTGTGCTAATTGACGCTCTTAACTCTGGTTATCAGCTCATATTCCGAGTCACCTTGCATGCGAATGCATAGTGCTAATTGTTGCAGAGCTGATAAAAGATCCAAATATCCAAACGTTTAGGATTTTCGAAATCTAATAAGAAATGACTCCATTCGCACATGCCTTTAGGAAGGTAGTCGTCCAATTTTTAACGGTTCTCATTAGGTCATATAGCGTGGCCTTTTATTCCTCTTAGCTCTGCAATTACAGTGAACACAAACACCGAGAGCACTAAATTAAACAAACGAGAGGCGAGGAAGAATGGTTTAGAATGTAGGAGGTTATCATGGATTGAAAATAAAAATTTGAAAACCTCAGGCTGAATTGTGCAAAATGTGCTGAACAGTAAAGTAGATCCCTTAAGCTTGGTGAGGTTTGTTTTTCGCGGTTCACACGCTGTCGAACCTTTTCTCCCAAGTAAACATGTGGTGTAGGGCTCAGCAGAGTGTAATATGTTTTTATGAAGTTTTGTTGCAATGCTGTCTCAAGTAATGCAATGTTATTGTTAATCCCTTTAAAATCTCAGAACGCAGAAGAAAAGAGGAGTACTACAACGAAGAGCATCAGATCAAATGGGAAATAGAAAAACAACCCTCTTCTTATTATTCAGATTTATGTAATCGATGGGTGTCTTTAGCTGGGGTAAGTGAACGATTTATATGTTAATTCTCCTTTCTAGGTGTTACGTATTTCTTTGTACATCAGTTCAGAGGATCTGGTACTACACCAAGATCACACCTCGTAGCCAATGAGTGTGAGCATTCATAATTCATGATCTTCAGAGGACTTAAAACAACTTATGAAATTAAGCTACTGTATCGTAAAGGGATTATTGGGCTATCTATAAGAACGCGCCTGAAGAAAAAAAAAACACTAGTTGAAATATTCGTGCCAAATTTCACTGATTGTTTTTTTCTGCTTTGGTCAACCAATGATTTCATCACTTATAACTGATGTATTTAACTTGCAGGCGTTTGCCAGTATATTAATTATGTTCCTTATTAACTGGGGCTACGCCCTCGCCAACATCTCATTGGCGTTATTAGTGTACATATATATTGGTCAAGCAAACCCAGGATTATCAAAAGGTAGGCCAGGATTTTCCTTTGTAATAACAGAAGTGAATTATTTTGAAAATCTGTTGTCCGAAGAATCGTATGCCCTACTCTACATTATTCCAATGTGGTCAAATTTCAATATTTTTCAACCATTTGACATAAGGGTATTGTATCTGCAGCTGTTTATTTTTTTCTGCTTTGGAAACGTTTGAATCTAGTGTTTTGCAAATCTGGTTCAGCCAAAAGACTCGGTGGCCTGGGGTTTAGCGCAGTTAAATTTGCGTCAAGAAGTCTGGATCCAAACCAAAATGGGGTTTTACTGTGGAAACCTTGCTCGTAAGGCAAGCCATTCGACTACTTCTCCTTCCGTGATCGTCCGTTCAAATTCAAACTGTAGTCATCATCTATTACAGACTTAGTTGGAAATGGCTAAATGGCGAAATGATAACAAAGTTCACTGTATTATCTTTGTAATCCATCTTGATCATCATTGTGATGTAAGTGGTATTTTGTTGTGTCTTTACAGGAGTTGCTTCAGATTTCGTGTTCTCTAAGTGGGTTCAATCCTTGTGGGACAAGCTTACAAGGTAACCTTCATGTGCGCATGCAAGAAATAATTATTTTATGTTCCAATTTATCTTGAGTCTTGTAAAAATCATAGTGTTTGCTTACAAAAAAAGCAAAATAAAGACGAAACTGAAAAAATGACGACCAAAAACAAACTAAACAAACAAAAAGTACTCTGTCGTTAAATGACCGTGTGAACTCCTGATCTCGTATATAAAAGAGGCGAGAAAGTGTGTAGTTCTCGATTCAACCACAACTGTTTGTGAAGTAAGGGAAAACGAAAAGACACTGAACAGAAAACCTACATCCGTTATCGGGTTGGCAGAGTAAATTATCATCCTCTAGTCGATCTCCAGTGGTGTGTATTAAACCCCCGTGTTCTTTTCTCTTTGTAAACAGGAAAGAATCTTCACAACAACAAATCGTTGTACCGATCAGCGGTATTCCTTATCAGATGTCCACCTATCAGCTGACAGAAGAGAACACAGACTTTTCGTACCGAGATAAACGGCACCAGTCCTCTATGGTAACAAGCATTGGACCCCAATGACGTGACAATGTCAGGAGATCAAGAGGAGGAAAGGTTCTTTTTCGGAGAAGTATTTATTGCGTTACTTCGCTTATGAAAGTCAATAACTGTGCAGTTATGGTCATTTTGTTAAATAATTTCTTCGGACACTTTTCTGAAACCTCCATTGACAGAGCTGCTTTAAGTTCTAGTTAGTTATTTAAAAAGCTGTCGAATTTCAATCGTTTTTGTTACATATTTGTTCCAATTCATTTTCGCAAATGCCACAAATCTAGCTCGGTCATTTTTTTGAATTTTCGAGTTTACTGGTCCCGCGATTTTATTTGATGATTAGAATGAATAATTAGTGAAAAATGGTTTACCTGAACGCACAACAGAGTTATTTGGAAAAGGGAATTTATCATTTTGGGTGAGTGAGAGCTTAAAGAATTTTGAAAATACAAATGGTTATGAAATTGTTATAAATATTAGGTTGAATGTAAGGTTTGTTTTGTAAATACGTGGAAGAATTTATTTATATTGTTGGATACTAAATTTTCTGAAGCCGTCGATCCAAACAGATCCATAGGGTGTATTTAGGTTCAAAATGAAGAATGTTTCATCGGAAAATTTTAATTTATTGACATGTGCAGAAGTTTTATTTTTTTCCTATTTTGTTTGAAAGGGTAAATACATGAAAAATATGTATAAAAAGATTGAACAAAAACGGAGTGACAAACATTTGAGGAAATGCTAGGTATTTATTAATTTATCCTCAAGGGTTACTGATTTCGACCGTTTGTAGCTGAGAAGTTCAAGTAGTCCTTTTATTCAAGGCTTTTGTTACTTCTGTAGAAGTGGTATTCTATTTGCTTACAGAGCGGTTTTCTGTTGAGTGTCGTCATGGAAATCTTGGAGAATACCAAGGATCACTGTAGCCAATCAATGAAGACATTACATTGAAATAAACGAATGAGAACGCGAAGAAAATACTTGTGATCAGGGCCTTAGTCAAGCGCGGGAAAATCGGCGCGTGGGAGTGCCTTTACAGCAGAATTTTTATTTAGTAGTCTCCTTTATCTATTTTTTGTATTTCCAAACCTGGTCGAGAAAGTGGCGTGAGATTTGAACCATAGAGCCCGATGAGGCAAATCTTAGGCAAAATCAAGATTCCTCGCACTTAACAGTAAACCGCTCAATGGGGAGAAAATTTAGCGGGCGGAAGACGTGTAGAGGTAGGAACTTTACACACGAAGAAACAGAATCCCAAATTGAATTAACTGAATTAATTTCTTGTCATTTTGAATCACTGGCTCAAAGTCATGAACTCCAAAAAAATAAATGTGAAATTAGTATCCACGACAGTTCTGTTTCTTGACTTATTCTATGAGTGTTCTTTGTGCTACCTTTCCATCTTTGACTTTGTTCTCAATGACAAATCAATTTACGTTTTTTCGGTGTCTATTTATTCCTTTTCTGAAAAGTGTTTTAAAGTAGAACTCAGTTGACAAGTCTGTTTCTGTTGTTAATGCTTTGTTCGCAAAGTGAGCGGCCGTTTTCTCGTAGCCTTTTAGACTAACGGGGCTACAAGCCTAACATACCAAAACTCGAAGGCAGCTGAAATTCTTTAAACAACATAGGATAGTGAGAATTTGGACAGAATTTGCAGTAAGCAGTATAGTTTTTTAAAAACTACGTCTTCAGGGCGTGGTACGAGCTGCTCTCGAAAGGGTTTTTAGATGTAAATTTTTCGTGAGAAAGTAATCAATAATTTACTTAAAATAATTTGTCGAGAATCTTCCGAAGAGCTTGGTGCCGGCGGTTGCACCTTATTAGTTTTTGCTTTTTTCTCTTTTTGCACTTGAAATAAACGTCCTCATAGATAGGCTTAAACATTGCTTGTGAACAAAGATTTAACAACAGAAGATCAAGAACAAACTTATTTTAAAATCTTTAACTTTCTCTGGAACTGTTGTGGTGAGTTAACCTTGAAGTTCATAATGGAATGAAATAAACTCCTCGGATTGTCTGAATGATTGATAAAACTATTAAGGGTGTTGGCTGGGATATAACCTATATGTCACTCGGCTTTTTTGAACGAATTTTCACTTCAATCAAATGTTACCTCCTATCTCCTGTTTGTTTTTTTAAATTTTATGAAGTTGGAAAAAAAAACTTCGATACGCCAACAAAATGATCATGTAGATACATATATTTCATCGTGTAAAAAGACTACACCCACCAGTTCATTTCCAGCACTTCAATCTTGTTTTGATCTGATTTGAACGCGTATCAGCTGTTCATAGCACCTGGGACATCTGGTTTGGATTGGCCAGCATGTAATGTGAGTTTTATAATTGTGATGTAAATTGAGGAATTGTGCATCTTTCTCCAATTGAAATAAAGATTTCTTTTTGTTTATGTTCATTGACAGCGCATCGACAAAGTACCAAGAACCACGGAGTTTCGTTAAAAATAATCCCTTTTTTAATACACAATAACAAATTAATTCCAACTAAGTCATAAGTTTCCATCTTGGAAGCAACATTTCCATAAGAATGTCTTTGGAAAAACTATAATCCATTTCGTTAATTACTTAGGGAAATTCTATGTCTACAGACCAGTTAAGATTTTGATATGATGACAGATAAAATAGTTATTTTGAATGAAATCGGTTTTTTCCTTCGGAAAGCATGTGATCTCCTGTGAACGGTTTAAGTATGAACTGAGGCGTTTGGTCAGGTCCAAAAGACATTGATGAATATGACTGTTAATTATTATTTTTTTTATGAAAACCATTTACCGGTTCTTTGAATTCGGTCCGCAATCAAAAGGAAATGAACAAGGAGATGACGTCACGATCCTGGCCAAAGGTACTCGCTTTCTGCCAAAGCCAGCCATAGCGAGTGATTTATATCATTAAGTATTGTACCAGACAATCTACGGTTTTTTACAGTTATTCAAGGAAAACAGGACTTTACATTCTGAAAGGCAAAGGTAAGCAAACTTTGGCCTAGTGTAAACATTACAGGAGTTAGTCGAATTATTGTTGGCATTTTATCAATGTAGGATAAAGGACAACGCGGTTAAGGTAACTATCATTACCGCCTCCGAGCAGGTGAATTATCAATATGCTGGAAAAATTGTATTATTGAATCGACGACGACTATCCCTTTTCTCACCATACCAGTTTTTGCTGATAAATCGGGAAAATAATTCAGTTCGCCAGATGCATTGCTAGAACTGGTAAAAGCAAAACATGATTTCAAAAGGCCTGCTCTTGTTGTGTCTAGTACACATTTCAAAGAGGTATTACGACTCGGAGTACGGATGACGACTGTTTGCTTGTTCTTGACAAAGCAGGTTTAAATTTCGCGCATCTAACTTGAGTCCCTTACTTGAACCACTGCTTATTATATTCATACCTTAAGCAGCAGTAATGTGGCGTTTTAAACATTACTTGAACTAAAAGCGACGCGTTACCGATGTATTGAAAAACAAACAAACATAAAAAATCTGGATAAAGGGGCTGAGTTTCTGAAGAAACTGTGCTGCTGCTTCGGTGGGAGGGTATAGCAGGCAATTTAGTGTTAACAACTGAGTTGAGAACGTAAATTAGCCACTGTAAAGAATAAAAAAGCTAAAATAAAAAATCTGGGACACGTCGAAAACTGAAATGATTCCGATGCTTCCGATTGGACACAAAATTAGTAAATGTTAAATTTGAACAGAATAAAAAATACAAACATACATATGATTTGAAAGAAAAAACGAACATCTTTAAAATTAATATAATAATTCAAAACTAGCTAACCCTAAGATTAATTGATTGGAAACAAATCGCTCAACGTCTATATACATGAATTAGATTTAGATGAGAAGGGGAGAGAGCCTTTACAGGCATCATTCACTGGTGCTCTCATTATTCGTTTGGAATAGACAACTGTCTTACATAGGAATTGCATTTTTAACCCTCTAACATATATTTTTTTCTCTTTTAAATAGATTATTCTCAAGATTTTTTTAGTTTTAGGTTTTTTTCTCATTGATTTGTGCCATTTTAAAATTGCAATTATTGTTAAAATTAATTCTAAATAAAAACATCTGGAATTTATATGCGTAGGAAGTTAATGCATTTCATTTTCTGTCCAAAGATTTATAGAAAAATGATCCATGGATGGTGAAATAAACTGCAAATTGACTTCGTTTATCCTATGGGAGGAAAGTTCCCGACATTACAGTAATGATGTCATCATATGCACAGTAAACACCATAAGTGCTGTCTTCGCTCTCTTTTGTAACCTGGCCATCATTGTGACGATAAAGAAGAAGAACCTGATTCAGACTCCGCGTGATATTCTAATTGGTAGCCTAACCTTATTAGACTGCATAGTTCCATTAGTAGCTAAGCCCTTATTCATAGCATTGCGCATGTCACTTCATGATGATCATGTGACCTGCTCCCGCCTGCAGCAATTGACGAAAGCTACAGAGTTAGCTGTGATGTTTGGTTGTGGTTGTTCCCTCACGCATATTGTGTTGATCGCCGGAGATCGATACCTTGCCCTACGTAAGCCAATAAAGTATCGAAGACCACGCACAAAGAAAGGTGAGAAGCTTGGATACTTTATCACTCAATTTTTCAAATTTGTCCGTGTTTTATTTTATCTTCACAAATAGCGCGTCTCCCCAGCGACACTACTAGGGACATTAGAAAGAGCACAACGGCGACGGCAACGCGGACTTGGCTAAAGGAAAAGTCTAGTGAATTGAACAATTGCTCAGCACATGCGTTTTTAAACTTTGTACACATCTTCAAATCACCAAAATCTACGTGGTCTGAGAACTGGCATGATGGAACCCCTACGGCAAATTACTTGATTTAAATTTCGATTTGGAACTCAACGCTGTTCACAAAGTTGAGGTGTGGCGCTATAAGAGACGGTAAACAAATCCAGCCATTCGCGAAATTCTGAATGAAGAGATAAATTATTTCCATAATTGACGTTTTCCTTGACGTTGTCGTCCTGACTGCTTTAGGTCACTATTAAATGACCTCAACTCCCCCACCCTTCCCCCCCCCCTCACGCCTTACTAAGAAAACTGCAACCATAGACCAATCATTGGACGCTGATTATAGGCCAGCGTCATATTAAAGCCCGTTTCTACGTTGGTCCTCCTATCCTTGGGTCTGGCAGGGTCTTAATAATAACTGGTGTCTAATGTAAATAACCCAAGCCAGATGTACACATAGGATTTAGTTTCAATTCTTCCACCTCACTGAGGATATCACACAGAAGATTCAGCAATATTCTTCTAACATTTGTTTTCTTTTTTATCTTCCTTTCTTAGTGGCCATCACGTTTGCTTGTACATGCTGGGCAATCTGGAGCCTCATTGTCATTATTTTTGATAAAATCATTCCAAGACGTTTTGAAAATTTCTTGAGAATTTTCATAGCCACAGTGCTTCTAACTTCGCTCGTGTTTTTAAAGGTAAAAGCCTTTCTGATCGTCTACCGATTCAGTCACACTTTAGTACACGATAGAAATTCCCTCAAAGTCGAAGGACTCACTGAAAGGGACAGAAAAGTGCTGATTGACACAACGTTCATTTCAATCATATTCATGCTATTGTTCATTCCAACAGCAGCTCTGATTGTCATAAGACCGGCCGGTATCTATGGCAACGTCGTGTTTCCCTGGTCATTGACCATAACTCTTCTGAATTCTTTGCTTAATCCCATGATTCACGTCTGGCGCAATCGCCTTTTGAGAAGAGCGATGTTAGACTTGTTGACTACTGAGCACTGAAAAGAAATTGAAACGTCATAAAGGGGGTAAATTTTTTAAGAAAATGCGGTGCTACGTCTGTGTGTGTGTGTGTGTGTATGTGTGGAAGGGGTATGATGTAGTTTAACAACTGAATTTTTAATGTGAATTGACCAACATAGAGAGTATTTACAGTTAAGGTTCGAGCGTAATCCCTTCGTTATAGTGAACTGAAATTTCATTAGCATTTGATCATCGCTTTTCTCACTCCAAGGATTAATTTTACTGATAAATTGCTATTTTGAGGATCTACTGCAATTTTTCATTTCAGCTATTTATTGTGCGCATTTATTGTGTTTTGAATAAAACATCGTCCTTTAAGATCTTTGGAAAAACTTGTAAACGTGCTCTATCAACTCTGTTTTGACCTCGAAGTAATCATCGCTGGATTAAGCCGACGTTATTGTTTATCTAATATTGTATGTCGACAAGCAACTTGTGGGACCTTATATAGAACAGACTTAACAATATTGTGATAAGGGAGCATAACAGAAGAATTGTTGGCCACAGTCATTGTCAAGGAATGATTCTTAATTACATGATGTTTTGTGGCTCTACAAGCGCAGTTAGTTAGCAATATTTGTAAGGATAAACCTACGTTGGGCCAAGGTACAGAGAAATGCCACAAATATTTCGTTGAAATGCAAGAACTTTATTAACTTTGAAAATCACCGACGGACTTCAGTCCAGAACGGCATGATCCACTAAAATGTAACAGGTTTCGTATAGTTTCAAAAATTTTATGATAAAATCATGAAATTAAATTTGGCGATGACCATAACTTTGTCTAATGATAATAATAGCAGTATTCAAGTTTGATATTCCTTCCAACATAAGCATAAGGTCTGGATCCACCGCCATAGTTTTTCGGAAACCAATCTTCACAATCCCATTGGAAATATTCACTTCGGACCCGCATTCCTCGGACATGCTGACACTGATGAGTGTTGGACTTCAACAGCACAAACGGGGAGTCCGTGGGAAGAATTATGGCATTGGTGGCGTGACCATCCGTGCGGCAACAGTACTGAATGTGAGTGTTCCTGTCATACACGCCGTCTGGAAGCGCTCCAGAGTGTCTGTTTTTATTGTTACTGTTCTCGTCATCCCATCTGATGTGTCCTTGCTGGAAACCTGAGTAATGAGTGATTAAGAGAAAACCCCGTCTTTGATTGTAATAATGCTAAGAAATTCATCATTTCCGAACGGGGCGGAGCAACAGCCTGAAGAAAAGTAACGACCTACATTTTGGCTCACATCAGTGGTCCCTCTCTCCTATATGTTCCCCCCTGTCTGCAGGTGAAGGCTCCATAAATCAATGAGGCGGGGGGAACGTTTCTCAGGCGTTTACATCAATAACAGGGAAATATAATTAATCTTATCCAATTTTATCTTTGACAAATTTGTTAACAGTGCTTACCCTCGGCACATTCTCCCTTCTTCAGAATACAGTATTGACCTCTTGGCCACTGCAGACCATTTTTCTTGTCTCCTTCCTCTGTCTTCATGCAAAACTTCTGCTCCATGTTGCTTTTGGCTAATGACCCTGCCAAGTCATACGGACTTGACCAGCGGTTCTTTCCAAAAGCATCCTCAGTATCTTGGTAGCGGGTTCCAACGTGCCAAGCAAACTTTGTATTCTTAGGACAACCTGCCTTTGGCATGGGAAGGCCATACGTTCCAACTGGCCAAGTGAGAGGAATTCGTACTTCAGGATCTGCAAATCGCGCATGAGAAGGTTAAGTTGACTTTGAGGTACAGGGCTAAAGTTTAAAATCAGGAAATTTTGAATTTTCAAAACTATGATTGGATTCTCAAACTTTTTGGTAAGAAAGTAGCAAAAAATATGAACACGCAAATGCCGTTTGATGTCCTTGAAATGAAAAGGTGAAAACCTAAGGGAAAGATAAATTAATATCAAAATGTTACTCACATTTTCCCTTGACCTCACCTTTCACCTTAATTTCTTACCTGTAGGCACCTCAGCTTTCTTGAGTTTCGGATACTCTTCTAATGCCTTCTTGACGTGTTCCCTTCGAGTTCCGACAAGCTCGCTGGAATGGACGCATCGTGCAGAGTTCTGGTGATCAAGCTTTGCGTAGAAACTGGCATCAAAGGCTTCGTATATTGGCACAATCCTTATTCCAATAGGCTCAGGCATATCAACGCCTCCGGATGTGAACGACACCTTGTGTTCTCCGAATTCGGTTTTATCCGACATGGATTCTTTAAATTTTTTCATGTCAACTTTCAGGGAGGCCTTGAAACCCATATAACCTCCTGACACGGAAACTGAGTTTTCCATCTGAAAAAAAAAAGTAAAACCGCTACAGATTTACTGAAAGTTCCCTAAAGAAGGTAACCAAAGTAATGAAACAATCGCCAAAAGAACGCCTTTAGAATGACTGCCTTGGAGTGAAAACTAAAGTTCTTATAATTACTATGAAAAGGAAGATAATTATAAAATGGAACCAATAATCCTGATAACCTTGAGTTACATGGGTAACCGACCATTTGTACGGCAGAGCGAGGGCGACTACTTCTCGAATGTTTTTCTATTTTCTTATTGAGAACTGATTATTTCAGAATGTGGTGTAAGTTATGCAGATTCATCAAAGGGCTCAGTGGGGCAAAGGCAAAGAAAACTTCTTTTCCCTTTGAAACTTATTTGAAAACTGCCTCAAAATTAACCATGTTAATGCAAATGGTTTCAAACATGTTGTGCAGATCACCTGGAATCAACCAAAAAAACAATTTCTTGTCATCCCAATTAAATTTTTTTGTTTTCGCGCCATAATCGTCACTGCGCTGCGCATGCGTTAGCCATTATGGTTATATGACTTTATTCTTACGTTATTCATGGCGTATTTGGTGAACTCAGAGTTTGTGGATTTGGATCGATCAGTCTTCCTCTCACCGAGATCAACTTCAACCACAATATGCTGAAGAAAAAGCAAAAACAATCAGAAACCTGTCAGTGATTGTCTTTCTAGAAATCTGTAAAACTGTAATTCAACTCCCTTCCAGTCTTTTTCTATGAGTGGTTGTGACCGAGCCCTCCTTTTAAGATTAACGGCCGATTTTGGATTGGACCTGGCTTAGAAACCTTGGATGAAGTTGATTAATTTATGGTTGTTAAAAATCAGCTTAGTGTCCACTAATGAAAGGCTTTTATCTAAATATGTGCTCTCATTTACAGAGCATAAATACCTGTAGTCTCCTATTCAAAAAGCTTTGTTTTAAAAATTTATTACTGCAACTTTGTAAAAGTATAAGAAGCCATTCAAAAACAGAAGTTGCCTTATTTCAAAGCTGGTTCCCTAATGTTGTCTTTTAGTGAAGACAAGCTTTTTTTGACACTCACTGTTCCCCAGTTCTCGATGAATTTGAAGTAGGCCTGCTGATTGTAATCTTCTGGTAAAATACAAACAGCTGCTGCAAAGTCCTCTGACACAGAATACTTCTTGACTCGAGCCAAGTCCATTTGGTATCGAGCTCGGCCACGATTGCACACATGCTTCTCTTCATAAAACACATTGTGGTATTTTGATGTTTCTTTCTTCACCTGCTCATATCCTAATAAGGAACAAAACCGGGAGAAGAAAGAAAACACAATTTCATCTAACAACACAGCTCTCTGATTGGCCTCCTTTCGTTAGAGACAAATTTGTAAAACTGCTTGCCAACTGGGGGAATATTTTGTTACGCAATACAACTTTTTAATGTATGGTTTTCTTCCAGATAACATAAGTCTAACACCTGACTTTTCTGTAATCAGTGGTGCTAATCAATCAAAACTGACCAACAGAGGTTCCTTCTTTAGTTGTTTCAAGGGACTCGCCCTCTTGTCTTATCTTGCCTTGAATTATTATCGAAGAGCTGACTAGCCTGCTTATGACACACATTTTCAAGATTTTTTTAGCACGAATTGAATTATTTTACTTACTTGAACTTAGAGAAAAGGCAACGTTCCACAATATTGCATTGTAACCACCTGCAGAATAAAAACGTATCTTTAATTTAACCCACGATGTCTGCGTTTAGGATGTAGAAGTAGAACACAAAACGACTTGCTTGACCCTTTAACTCCCACGAGTCACCAAGACAGAATTTCTTCTTACAATATCAACACAATATCAAAAAGAAAAATGATGAGATTAAAGAAAGTCCCTTAATTAAGGGATTATTAGTTAATCCGATACTAAATTCTCCAAACCAACATCACAAGAACTGTATGGCAGACAGTAGGGAGAATTACTGATAAGATCCTGGGAGTTAAAGGGTTAAAGAAGTAAGAGAAAAGTCAGGTTTACAGAATAGTGTTTTCTTGGCCTTACCGCTGGATTGTACATCCACACTAAGTTTTTCCTGGTAGCTTTTGGAACCTGAAAAAACTTCCTTTTTATTTGTTTTGACGCAAGACTGACGTGGGGCGAAGCTGACCTGATCTGGTACAACATACTTCTTGTCTAGAGAGACTTTGTTTTCTTCCCATGTCAGCTTGAAGACTTTTCTGGTGAACAGAAGTCCTGGGTCAACACCACCGTTTGATACATCGCCCCCCTCGGGGTTTCCTTCCAGAAGATTGTAACCAACACCTACAAAGTGAAGACCTTTGGGCGAATTTTGGAAAGCCTCTACATTGATTGCGGCACCAAGCATGGCAGCAAGGCAGAGTAAAAGGTTCATGATTTCCCCTTGCCTTGATAGAGCCGTCTGTGTAAGATAAACGAACATACCAATAATTAAATCTGTGGATAAATTTTCTATGTCTTTTTAGCCTAGGTGTTTCAAGAATTTGTGGAAGAAGCATATAAAAATATCTTCCAATCGCGGATAGAGTCTTTAACTTGAGCTTCGAAACGACAGAAAGATCTTACTGACAGAGAATTATACGGCAGGAGAGGTTATGGAAGATTTATGGTAATGTTACGATAACATGGAAAATTTAGAAATTTCTAAACGCTTAGTCAAAGAAATTAATATTAAAAAACATCTATCTATTTTAAACACAAAAGACTATGAAGTCAATGCATACCCGTTTTTGTCAGTTGCTACTCAGGTATCGGCTTCGGCTCATTGTGTCTTTCGAGTATTTATGCCATTTTACTTCGTTGTCATCAAATAAAATAATGATCTATCAAAACAAAGCATGGAAACTGCACCAGAACATTTAACTAGCTGGCCACGGGCAATCAGATGGTTTTCGAGTCATCTTAATTAAAATGCTACTTCAATTTCTCAATAATAAAAAACCGATTAGTTTACACTTGCTTGCTATTTGATCTTAATTTCCACTTTATGAGTTTTGCAATTGCTGTTCAGGTCAGATCTCTTTATAGTTACTCAGCTTGAAATAAAGCAAGAGTGTCTCAAAAGGAATTAATTTTTTAACTTGACACATGTTTAGAAGGGGATTTCTTTTAGTGAAAGAATTGCTCTGCTTCCCGAGAAAAACGATTTTATCTACGATAAATCTGTTTTCTTGAAACTATGGAACTATCTGTGAAAAAAATGACATATTCATACATGAAATTTAAAGGTGTAATAGTAACAAACGATTGATAGAAATTAACTAATCTTTATTTTCAATTTGCTCCGTCTCGAAGGAACTTTTGGTCACGGGACCTGTAGATTAGGAGTGGAAAGTCAAGAGAAAAAGATCGATTCCTGTTCTATTTACTTCGTAAATGAAAGTAGAATACTAACATCTGGCAATCTTACACGACTGTTTGAATTCCGAAAAAAACTTTTGAGCTGTGTTTACCAAGCGGTAAACAAAATAGGGCGTGATGGTCATTTCTCATCATTTCGTTTTTTCTTATAATCAAAGGAGAATAATACATCAACTTTCTGTTTTCTAAAAAAAACCTTTTGAGCAGTCTTTTGCCTAGGCGGTAGAGAAATAAAGCGTAAAGGTCAATTGGTTTAAATATTTGCACTTGTAAGACTGCATCACAATACATCAGTTTGTTTTACACACATCCATGCTCTAAAAGTCGTCAAGCAATTACCGCCAATGGGTTTGTTCGGCAGCACCTGTATCTCACTTTAGGCCAAACAAAATATACGTTATCAATTATTAGTAGTAAAGTCAAGGTACTACCTTGCGAATTACCCATCAGAACATTCCGAGAAAACGACTTAAGTTGACTGCTCATATTTCTAAAGCTGAGCAGCGGTTTCGTGGAGGAGTGGCTTAGATTTTCGTCTTTTAAGAAAATGCAAGAGAAGGCATGTCTCACTAAAGAGTTTTTTCAAAATCTTGACGTATTTTAAGGTTTAAGAGGTATCCAAACCAGATAAATACAAGGTCATCGAAAACCCAATACGTTTAACTCAAATTAATAAATTTATTTATTGTTGTTTCTCACAATGATATGGTATAGCGCCTTTAGAAGCTTTTCAAACTAAAGCTCGGCTCTGAACAAACTCAGCATTTGTTGAATGAAAACAAAACAAGATTTCACTCGAAGTGCAACTTTATTCAGAGAAGCTTGGCTTCATAAGTTGAGTTATTAGCTGTTCACGTTCCTTACAATATTAGAGTTTCTCTAACTCTTTCACTAAAACTGAAATTCTCGTTACTTGAAATGAAAAAAAAAATTTTTTGATATAAAGAAACCCTAGTACTATAAAAAAAAAAGAGTTGATGAAGGTCTGAAGCGGCTGTTTAGGTCAAAAGCTTCCCAAGAAGATTTGAGAAGCAAAAAGGTCTGAGTAAACGTTGCATTAGATTTTTTTCCTGCTAAGACTGTTTTTTTTTGTTTTTTTTTTTTAACTCGACTACTTGCAGAAAACCTAAATTTGAACTCGTTTGATTCTTACATATTTCTTCTTGCCCTGAAAAACTTTAAATATTGTGGAATATTAATATATGGCTTGATTTGACTCGATTTCTTTTGGAGACGCTCACAATATGAATCGCTTTTATTCTTACTTCGTTGACTCTTGATGTAAATCTTAAACATTGCAGAACATGGAAAAAGACTGATTTCACTCAGCAGTGGTTGTTCACCGAACGAGCTTTCGTGGCGTATGGATAGATAGTGTTAAAAAAAAAAAGCCGCCGTGGAAACACACGCAATTAAAATAATTGTATTTTAATCTCAATGGGCTTCTGGCAAATATGGCAAACACTAAGCTGCTTTGCACAAAACTGACATGTGCCGTGACCACAACGGAAAATGACGTCCTTCTTCCTTTCCACGCAAATACAACACACAACGGATTCCTCCAATTTCCGAAATTTTGCTTCAAGTTGCTGATATCGCGAAACCAAGGACTTGTTGTTAATTCCAATGATTGGGTTACCATCTGCGAAGAGAGTTAGAGCGAATGGAATTCGATAATATTTCAGCCAATTTCTCCCAAGACAAAGCAAACAATAATATTATTACGAAGTAATATTATTACGAGGTAATATTATTACGAAGCTGACAAAGAACCTTTTTCCTTGCTCTCAAAATCTGGATATTTGCGAAAGCTCAGAATAATCAAAATAAAATAAAAATGAAATTCAACAAAACATAAAAACTGGTTAAGAATCGAACACCCACGATTACCCAACATATAATTTGAGGGCCCAGCTAAAAACCACCTTAGCGAGTTTGGTTCCCTCATTATTATAACTATTATCATTATTATTATTATTATCGTTTTTGTCATCATCATCATCATCAACAGTATCTTTTTTAGTAATTATAATAACTTGCTTCTTTCGGAAAATTCAGGGGAAAAGTGAAAGGAATAGAAAGCTTGAATATGAATATGAAAGTTTAAAAAATAAAATTTAAGTAAGATCACTCTCTTTTCTAAAGGGGGAAAGTTTCTAAAGAAACTATGGTGCTGTGTTGGTCGTCAGTCCCTCTTCAGAGCGAAGGGCCAAAGCTCGAAACGTCAGCTTTGAAACTCTTTACAGTGGCTAACTAACGTTATCAACTCAGTTGATAATGCTAAATTACCCTGTCTCTTCTCTGTCAGGAGCAGATATAAAAATTTCTAGCTTTCGCCGATCCACTTCATCATCAAGATGATATGCCGTGGATCGTCGAAAGATTGAAATTTTAGTTTTAGCTACATCGGCCTCACCTCGCCAGTGAAGGACAACATCCAAAGACTAATAAAAAAATTAAAATTTTTGCAAGTTACCTCTCGTTCCTTTACCAGTGATAGGCGTTTTACATTCCAAACATCTCTTTAATCGGGCTGCACATTCTGCAAACCGATTATTACGTTAATAAATACTAAGATCAAGATGCCTTTTTCAAACTGTGTTAATCTTCTCCACACTTAATCGTGGTCGTTCCTCCTTGAATCCTTTTTACCTTTTCGCGATTGTCTTCTCAAGGAAACAGGTATTTCAAAGTCGCTTTCTTTTTCAAGGCAATTCTCTATAAAGGACGCTTGAATCACTTCAAACTAAGAGACAAGGCCCATTTAAAATTTGAGTGATTGACACAGAACAAAGAACAACAACTAAAACAAAAAGTAGAGCTACCTATGCACACAACAGTGTGGCCACAGGGTTTGAATGCAACAACAGCCTCAGTCTCCTCACATATGTAACACAGCACTTTTTGATCATCAGATGTCGATGGATTTTTTTCGCCATTTTCTGTCTCCTGATCCATATTTACGTCGTCGTCTACTGGTTGTGATATTAGGCCCTTGCTGTCGTCCATATCTATGTCTGTGTTATTCTCTGCCATTTCAGCAGGTTGAACGGCGCTGTTGTTTGAGATGTCTGAGGCCCAGGTTTCTACTTCAACTTTATTAGTCACTTCCAACACCACATTCTCCTTGTAAACAAAAAAATCAAATAAACTCAACTCCTTTGATAAAGTATAGAATTAGGAGAGTTTATACCAAAAGGGAGTCCTAATGGAGTATTTTAGTCTGGTAACGAGCAACTTTTTTCTTATTTTCAATGAGTAACGCCTCTTAACCGGTTATCGAATCAAAATGAGTGTAAGAAAGATGATCGGAAAACTCCCATCAACCGTACCGCTTAAGATAGAAGACTAAATATTTTAACACTATTATGCACAGTATCCAAGAAAACCATCCTCATAATGAATACAGATAAAAAAGAAGGTTGAAAAGCAATAAATGATCAAGGGCGTCAGACTTCTTATAGTGCTTCCAGAATACACATCTAAGGATTGTCCTCGTTGTAATTTTTCTTCACTGATATAAAATGATACTACAAAAGTGCTTTTTTATAAACCTTCGTATGAACTTTTTCAGCTGACACAACGTGTCTTCCACCATCATATTTCTCACCAGGGCTGTTTCCTGTAATACACTTTCAGCTGTTTCGCCTTCTTGAACGTCTTCACTCTCTGTCTCGTCTGACATCTCCTCTGATACTGATTCTTGTTGATCTCCACTGCACAAGTCATTTATTACGTCACGTAAAAACGTATCTTCTGCCTCATCTGTGCTACTCGAACTGTCTGTTTGATTTTCATCATCTTTTTCAGTTTCGTCTGTCAATATCGCACTCGCTGAAGATGACGCCTCGCCTAATTCAGGTTCGGTTTGCAACCCGCTCGAGGACCCAAAACTTGGAACTTTCTTGTTGTGTGTAGTCCTACAGTTGTTAAACAAAGTATAATTTTTGGTTAAATATCATATATGTGAAAAGAATTTCCACACTGAAACAGCTCTCATTCAGTTAAAATCCTTCGGACTAAATTCAGGCAAGAGAAACGGAGACTACGCGGGGAATGTTCTAAATCGTGATCAGGATAAAAATGTCATCGGAAATAGGTGTTTAAGAAGCGAAGTATATAGACATTTAAAAAAAATACACAAAACATTTGAATACCCTCCACAGGCAGCAATCTCCCGAATGAGTTGCTCAACTTCCGATCCTCGACATTTGTCCAGTGGTGTTTCCCCTGAATCATTGGCTTTCAACACGTCAGCTCCATAGCTTAACAAGCAGCGTGAGACAGCGACAAAGGACGCATTGCTCTTTCGTGCACCAAATAGTAACTCCAGACCAGGCTTAAATAAAACAACACTAATCCGTTTCAAGAAGGCCGAAGACATTAACATAGAACAAACTGATCACCTTTCCCTTTATATCAGTTGTACTTATTACAATCTGCATGAGAACCTATTTGAGATCATTGTATTACGGCGAAATTATGAAGTAGGAAGACGATTCTCAAAAGGTGTGGTAGATGATATATTGGAGTAATTTTTACTTCACAATAGTGTCATTATCCAAACCAATTCGAACAAATCAAAAGCCAATTTTGGAGATGCCTAGAAACATCAGAGTGATGACGCATGCATAACCATCCAAATCATTTCATGATCATTTTACATTACTCATTTTCCCACGCTGAAAGGCAGAAAAAGATCGGTAGGTTAAACTTTGTGAACTTATTTACCATTAATCCCATAATTCCTTGTGGCACGCGTTCCTTCATTAAAGTGATGTGAAGCGCTGTATCTCCGTCATTATCCACTGCATTAACATCGGCTCCATGGTCCAACAACATCCCAACCATGACTGAGTATCCTTTCTCGGCAGCTAAATGAAGTGCCGATTCATTTTCAGCAGTTGGAGAATCGACCTCACACCCCGGCTGTTAGATAAAAATATTCTTTCATTATCAAGATATCTTTATCAGTAAGAATTCAGACTCAGTGTTTCAAATGTTTTGTCAACTTTGTTAAAGTTGTCGATAACAAGAATACGCAGTGGCCAGATAGTTAGCAGTCTGGACTCCAGACCCGAGTTGTTTACCATTGAGATCTGCCTGGGTCACTGTGTCGTGTTCTAAAGCAGGAAACGTTCGTTAGTGCCTCCCTCTGGCCAGGAGAGGACATTCTGGCGAAGTTTCATGGGATATATGATGGAGTAGCATCTCAACCAAAGAGGCGTTGTTGAACAATGTGCGCGAAACAAAGATAACAGTTTGTTGGTATGGGCCACTTGGCTAGTGCAAAACGTACGCGTAAGCCTTATAGCAATCAATTATTTGTAGTGAACCGCTGGCCTTAAATGTCAACTTTTGTTCCTAGTTTTTACAGGGGGAGAATAGATGTAATAGTAACGATTTGTGGTTATCATCCCAACTAACGCAAAAAGTCATACTCCGTATTGGATTGAACAAAAGCGAACGTCTTTGAAATCTCATAAAGACAGTTGAAACAACACAACGAGTGTGTTTCGAAAAAAAAGGTAACAAATTTAGATGATATTACCTTTCGTAAAAGGATCTTAGCTATCTCAAGGTGATTATTAATTGCTGCAATATGAAGGGTCGTAAACCCATCATTGTTAATAACATTCAAGGAATTTCCGGTCGTGGCAAAAATTCTTTCCACGGCGCTGCAAATGAATGACAAAATAAAGTTATGTTACTGTCCCGACCGAACATCGATATTTTGGTCATTTTTATTTTTTTTCATATTTTATCTTGTTTGCACGTATTGCATGCCATTAAAAGTGACGTTATGAACATGTGATTTTTTTACGCGACCTCGTGGAAAATAAAATGGTTGAATTTTGAAATACAGTCATCTCATTTTAGTGAAGTGTTTTACACGACAATTACACTGAATGTCAGAGCGAAAAAAGTTAACAACATACAAATAATTTGTAATTGAGATTTGGTCTGGTTTCCTCCTGATCCTTCAGATCGCCCCAATTGCCAACAACCAACGGCCCTAACGATCTGGAACACCATGAACTTTCAGTTGAGCCTGAGTCTCATAAGCTTAGCTTTCTTATGATTACAAGTTTGTCCCAGCTGCAGTCGTCTCGAAAATTGCGACGATCAGATGAAGACTAGGCTGTTCATGTGGGTATATCATTCAGCGTTCAGATGCTTAACAACTGAATCAGTTGGCTATATATCGTACTCTTACTCTGACTAATCTGTCTAACTGAGTAATGATGTGATTATATTTGGCATAGCTACCGTTTATTTCCTTTCAAAACAGCAAGTTGAAGATAATTGAAACCTTTTCCGTTACAAAGAGTAACAGAAATTCTTGAGCAGTCTAACAGTATATCCATCATACTGTGGCGTTGCAAAAAGATGGCACAATGGAGAGGGGTATCACCTGCCTCGTCCTGAAAATGAGTCGAAGCGTGATATTAGGATTCACCTGGTACCATTCGACTTTTTAATACACTATTTTGACTGGCAGCTTAGGTAGCAGTTTATTTTATAACAAAAATGATAGGATGAAAATGAAAAATTGGAGCAAATGTCATGACAGTCCGGTGCAGATATATTTGAATTCGAGTCTTTTGCCTCTCTATTGGCTGATTTTAGTTTTTTCATGTTTTTTATGAACAGTCGAACAAGGTTTAAATTTGACTACGACATGCGTCTAATGATATATGCAACGTTTGCTGGGTTTAGTGTCACAGTCTAGAATGCGTCGGGTATTTGTATTCCCAAGAGAACTGATATCTTCAAAGGACCCAACGAACCTGTAGATTGACGTCACACTCAGGGCACTGTGTCAGGATCCGTACTGCCGTTTCGTTTTTCCTTTCCACAGCCAAATGTAAGGGTGTACTCTTATTACTTCTGTGTTGAACATTTGGGTCAAAACCTTTCTCCAGTAACAGTTTCAGTGCTTCACCGCTTTCGTCTCTGAATGATCACAAGGATTTATGGGCAATGAGAATATCAGGCATTTTAGAAATTCTCCATTAATTTAAAGAGTTTCTAATTCTACTTTCCTGTGTGGTTAAAATAAAAAACAAAAAACACAACAACAACAGCAACGACAAAAAACAGATATGAACCATAAAATGCAAATAGTGCGCGTTGGGTTGTCATCAAACCAAAGCCAAAGCAATCAGAGCCACTCAGAACAAAGATGAATATCTTGATGAATAAATAAACAATAACAACAACATACACATGCTATCGACAGCAGCCCGAGTAAAAGTTACTTTGTTGTGGGTGTTTTTTTTTATCGATTGGTTGACAGGATGGCTGAAGATTTCGAAAGCAATGGCATTGAGAAGGAAAGGAAAACTAAAGCAATCTTAGATTTCTCAGTCTGCGGCTAACTTAACATTACTATGATATTTCAGTCATCTTACTGGTAAGTAGAGAGATGCATGACTGTGTATCCCTGATTATCCTGTATTTTGAGAAAAATTAAAGAATATGATTAAGAAGGCTCCTCTCCTGAAACACTGAGATATGTAGAACATAACCATGTAAAAAATAATAACTTAATCTTGCGTCTCTTTGTTATCCTCCTCAACCAGTACTAACAATTACAGTAATTTGAACGGGGCAAAAATAACAGTGATGGTTAAAAGTACTGGATTGAATAAAAAATTTCGTTACCCACCAGTACATCCATGTTAGCTCCTCTCTCAAGCAATTCTCTAATGATGTCACAATGCCCCTGGCGACATGCTACATGAAGAGCTGTGTGACCTCCCACTAGGTCATCAATCTGTGCAGAACGAAAAAACGCAAACCCTTGATCGTGTCAAATTTTCTTGAACGCCACCAAATTCAAATTTGATTCTAAATCATGAATTGATATTACATTGATTTTTTTTCTTGAAGTATCCTTCCAGTTATCACTGTTTACTAAAACCTAAGTTACACGGTTCTCATCTTATTATCATATTTCTAATATTGCTTTGATTTAAGAAAATTGTTCCGACTTGTTAATGTTATCTGTAAAAGTAAAAGGAATGAAAGAAAAAAGGTACCCGTTCTGGGTTAACATCCAAGATTTCCTTGAGTCTTGAGAGGTTGTTACTTCTTGCAGCATTCACGAGGCCGATGTCCGCCTGTTAAAGAACGATTGAGCGCGTCAGACCTCTCATAGTGTGGTTGTCACAGAAAGACAACTAATCGTATTAGGATCGTCCTCGTTGTAGTTTTTTCCCTTACTGATACAAAATGATACCGCTACAGTACTTTTAGAACTCCTTTTGAACTTTTAACGCGACACAATGTGTCTTCCTCTGGACACCGGGGCTGTTTCCTGTGATACACCTTCAGCTGTTTCGCATACCTTAATGTCTTCACTTTCCATCTCTTGCGACCCGCTCAAGGACTCAAAACTTGGAATTTTCTTGTTGTGTGTGGTCCTATAGTTGATAAGCAAAGTATCATTCTACTTAGATATCATATAAAAGCAATTCCCACATGCACTGAAAAGGCCTTAATTCAGGTGGCATCTCACGGACTGAATATTAATCCCCTTATTAGTGTTAGGTGTAATTGTTGTTGTTAAAATAAACTTCTAGAAATCTCCAGACTGCTAAGTCATGCTGACATGTGTACCATGGAACTTTCTTGAACATTTCATCAAGTCACTCAGTTATTACGTAATACTACTAAATAGTTCTTTTGTAAGCTTCTGGAATGTTCCAGAACACTTTGTGAATGTATATAGGAACTCAGTTATGTAGTAGTAGTAGTTGCTGTTGTTGGGATTGACCGACTGTTTACAAAGCTATCCCGTGAGAGAGAGCAACAGTGGAAGATTGGTAATTTCGAGAAAAGTCGGAGGAATCTGAGAGTTTGGGTCAGTGATGAGCTAAGATATAGACTGTAGTGGGCTTATCTGAGTTTATCGATGATACGCACTGTACTGCCTTTAGGAGTCGCTCCTTATTAAGAATATTACTCGTTGTTTAATAAAGTAGTTGAGTTTGTAGGATTGCATTGTTTTCCTGTCGGTTAGATTATACCGAAACATTAGTAATGTGCCTTCCATTCAGGCAAGAGATTCAGAGACTACGCGGGGAACGTGTTTAGCCGCGATCAAATTTCGTCTTACCAAGATAAAAAGCGAGAATCCGCTCTACTATAACATAGAAAGATGTACAGATATCATAAAATACACAAAAGCATTTGAATACCCTCCACAGGCAGCAATCTCCCGAATGAGTTGCTCAACTTCCGATCCTCGACATTTGTCCAGTGGCGTTTCCCCTGAGTCATTGGCTTTCAATACTTCAGCTCCATAGCTTAACAAGCTGCGTGAGACAGCAACAAAGGACGCACTGTTCTTCCGTACACCAAGTAGTAGGTCCAGACCGAGCTAAAAATAAAACAACAGAAAGAACCAACTGATCACCTTTCTCTTTATATCAGTTATACTTATTGCAAGTAGTGTGAGAACCCTTTTGAGATCTCAGCATTACAGTGACGTCATAGCAAAGTTGACCGGGCGGACTATTCTCAAAGGATGTGTTTGATGATAGAAATTATTTGTCTATCTACGTTCAAGCAAGAAAATAACAGTAACTTTACTTCAAAACAATGTTATTGTCTAAACCGATGTGAAAAACACATAAGCTAATATTGGAGTTGCCTTTAAACGTCTTGGTAAAAGTGACACATGCATAACCATCCATGTTAAGATTATTTTACATTACTAATCCTCTACGCCGAAGGAATGAAAAAGTGAGATAAAACATACAATGTCTCCTTCGACATCTTGTTGGCCTGTTCCAAGCGTTCATTCGGTAAAACAGAGCATAATGGCCAAAGGCGTTATAGTGGCGGAGGAGTGAAATAGCTAAGGCATACGTGAGGCTAAGGTATACGTAAGGCATACGTGATCTGACCTCATCACTCCTCCGCGACTACAGCGCTGTTTACTATCGAGCTTTGATTTGCTGACTGAACGCCATGAACAGACTCAGAGAACGGTATTTTATGAAACTACTTATTTATCATTGCTACCGGATTTCTCTGCAGTTCATGTTCCTTCATTAAAGTGATATGAAGCGCCGTATTTCCGTAATAATCCACTGCATTCGCATTAGCTCCATGGTCCAACAACACTCCTACCATGACCGAATGCCCTTTACTGGCGGCTAAATAAAGTGCTGTTTGATTTTTAGCGGTTGGAGCATCGACCTCACACCCCGGCTGTCAGATAAACAATTTTCTCTCATGATCAAAATTGTTTACCAATAAGAATTTAGATTTAGTATTCAATGGGTTTTGTAAACTTTTTTCAATAAGAAAAATACGCAACAGCCTGACAGTTAGCAGTCTGAACTTTAAACCCGGGTTGTTTACCATTGAGATCTGCCTGGGTCACTGTGTGGTGTTCTAAGGCAGGAAACGTCCATTAGCGCCTCCCTCTGACCAGGAGAGGACATCCTGACGGAATATCATAGGATATACAATGATGGAATAGCATCTCAAACAGAAAAGATTTGTTTGACAATGTGCGGGAAACAAGGATATCAGTTTGTTGGTATGGGCCACTTGGCCAGTGTAAAATTTACACATAAGCTTCGTAGCAATAAATTTTTGCAGTGAACTGACCGCAAATATAAATGACCGCTTTTTGTTTTCCTAATTTTTACAATTGGAGAACAGACGTAAAAGGAACGTCGAATATCCCAACAAACCACACACAGAAAATCATATTCCGTTCCGAGATTGAACACAGTCGACAATCGTTCAAATCTGTTAAGGCCGTTTAACCACACAGGGAGTCTTAGACGCGAGAAAAAAATACAAATTAAAATTAACAAAGAACAGGGAAAAATCGATGGAATTTTTTTTTATAAAATTACCTTCGTTAAAAGGATCTTAGCTATCTCACGATGATCATTAATTGCTGCAATATGAAGGGTTGTAAACCCATCATCTTGAACGACATTCAAGGAATTCCCGGTTTTGGCAAAAATTCTTTCTACTGCCCTGTGAATAAATGACACAATAGATTTTACGTTGCACTGAATGTCAAAGCGAATATAGGCAACAGTATAAAAGGAATTTTGTAACTGATGTTTGGTCCGGGTTCGTCCTGATCACTCATCGCCCCAATTGTCCAAATTATTCAGGAAAGGAGGGCCAAGAGATGACCAACGACCCTAACGATCAGGAAGATCGTGAACTTCATCTTGGACTTTAATTTGCATATAAACTTACATTCCCTATGATCAAAAGTATGATCCAGTCGTCTCAGAAACGGCGACAGTCAATTTAAAACTATGCCTTGGGTCTGGGTACTACTGATCCATCAGATGCTGAACACCTGAATCAGAAAGTTATTGCACCCTTATCCATTAGTTGTGATGTAATTATTTTTGGCAGTTACCGTTTATTTCCACTCAAAACAGCGTGTTGAAGATAATTGAAACCTTTTCGATTACAAAGAGCGTAGCAAATTCTTGGACAGTCTAACAGCATATCCACCATGTTGTGGTGTTCTGCATGGATGGCATCATGGAGAGGGGTATCACCTGCCTCGTCCTGAAAATTGTCAAGCGTAATGTTAGAAGTCACATGGTGCCTTTCTACTTTGTTATATCGACTGGCAGCTTCGGTAGCAGTGTATTTGAGCACGAAAATGGTGGGATGAAAACATCAAGAATGGATGCAAACGTCAAATAGTTCAGTGCAGCAGTCCAAACAGTTGAGTATTAAGACTTTCCAACGGCCGGTCCTAAACTGTTCACGTACGTTTAAAATAAAAAAAGGGCAATGTAGTTTTAGATTTTACAACGAAATGCGTCTTAATAATATGTGCAATGTTTGCTGAGTTAGTCGGACAGTCGAGAAAGCATCAGGAATTTTTATTCTCAGGAGAACTGATATCTTCAAAGGACCCAACGAACCTGTAGATTGACGTCACACTCAGGGCACTGTGTCAGGATCCGTACTGCCGTTTCGTTTTTCCTTTTCACAGCCAAATGTAAGGGTGTGCTCTTATTACTTCTGTGTTGAATATTTGGGTCAAAGCCTTTCTCCAGTAACAGTTTCAGTGCTTCACCGCTTTCGTCTCTGAATGATCATAAGGATAAGAGTACAACAAACATCAGGCATTTTTGGCATTTTACTTTAACTTAAGAGATTACTCATTCTGCTTTCCTAAGAATGTTCACGTGACTGTCATAAAGGAAAAAAATTAAGAGCAATAACATGCAGATAGTTTGCGTTGGCTCCTGCAAGTGTCGTAAAACCAAAAGCTAAGCAATCAGAGCCATTCAGAACATGCCATAATATCTTGGCGGATAAATGAAATTGGAGAACAATCACATGCTGTCGAGTTTAAGCACAGCAATAGTTACTTTGTTTTCAGTGGTTTTCGTTTTTTTTTTCTATTCAATTGGTTGAGAAGATAGCTCAAGTATTCGAAAGCAATCGCTTTTTTACTAAAGCAATCTCTGAATCGAATCGAAGTTTGATTAGCTAACCTAAAATTAACTTTTTTATGTCGACTTACTGGTAAGTAGAGTGATGCATGGCTGTGTATCCCTGATTATCCTGTATTTTAAATAAATAGGAATGTATGAATAGGGAAGTTCCACTCCTGAAACACTTAGATAAATGGAATACAAACATGTCAAAATAATAACCTAAGCCTGTCGACCACGTGTCTCTTTGTTACCCTCCTCGTGCAGCACTAGCATTTTGACGGGGCAAAAAATAACATAAATGATACAAAAAAAAATTTAAATAGATATTACTCACCAGTATATCTATGTCAGCTCCTCTCTCAAGCAATTCTCTAATGATGTCACAATGCCCCTGGTGACATGCTACATGAAGAGCTGTGTGACCACCCGCTAACTCATCAATCTGTGCAGAACGAAAAGACTCAAACCCTTTATCATTTCAAATTTTCTTTAAGGCCACCAAATTCAAATTTGATTTTAGAAGTTTTAAAAAATATCCTTAATTACACAGTTTTCATCTTATGCTCATATTTTTCATTTTGCTTTGATTAAAGAAAACTTTTCAGACTTGTAAATAGTATCTGCAAAACTAAAGGAATGAAAGAAAAAAGGTACCTGTTCTGGGTTAGCATCCAAGATTTCCTTGAGTCTTAAGAGGTTATTACTTCCTGCAGCATTCACAAGGCCGGGTTCCTCCCGTTCACGAGCTTGACGTAAGAAGTCTCTAAAGAGACTGAAAAGCCCTGGAGAAAAAAGAAAACAGCCTTAGTGAGAGACAAAATTGCGGAATTATACTTATGATCTGTGCTGTCAAGCAATTTGTCTTTTCATTTCTCAGGGCAGTTTTTGATTTAGTGACATAGATGACGTTAAATTGTTTATCTCGCTTTGTGAGTGGTCAAGAAAACTCGAGCCATCCTTTCAGTACATTAGGTGCAAAGCTGAAACTAATCGCGACTTAGTCATTGTCGTTTTCGTGCGCTTCGTAGATTTTACTCTTTTTGACCTGGATTGGCCATTTTTACTGAGGCTTTCAATACACGTGTGCCATAATTTTGTACCTGAGGGATCTTCGCTGCCCATGTCACCAGCCTCTGTTAACTGCTGGGGGTCTGGGTCAGTGACAGACGTCACAGAAGCTGGGCTCAACATCCATCTGGTGCCTTCTACTGACACTAACACATCACCATCACTATCGACTTCCAACACCTTTCCAGTACGACCAAGGATCTACAAATGGAATAAAACAGGATATTATCCAGTTTAAACCTGCTTATCTCTTAAATAGTTTTTGGAGGTACACATATGATTAGCTCCAAAGTTGTGACGTTTACTCTTTCAGCTTCTTTTAGTTTACATTTTTAGCTACCGCACACGCCTAAAGGAGTTTGCGTTTACGTCCAAGTGAAAGCTTACGATGAATACAAAACCAAAAACGAGAAAATAAAAAAAAAAAATTCAAAAAATAAAACTTACTGATATCATAGACTCGTTCCATCCTCCATGTTCTTTTTGGAGCTCTTTGACTAAGTTCTCATCACTTTTAACTACAACTTCATCGCCTGCCTTAAATTTTTGTATCTGGGTAAAGAAAAAAAATTATATTTGACAGTGGAATGTCCTTTAGCTAGCTCTTGGAGTGTTTCTTGATTGTGGAGTGTTTCTTGGAGTGATTTTATATCGCTAATTCCTGGTGGCCAGTTAATCGAATGATGATGCTTTAAATTCACATGGCGTCCATTGTGTGCAGTCACAAATTTAATTAACACATTGTGAGTGTTTTAACTTTGAACAAACCATACTGACATAATTAACTAATGTAGGAAATTTCTTGATCATCTAAGCCACTTCATCTATTATACCTGATGCTAAAGTTTGCGACAATCAAAAAAAAAAAAAAAATCAGGGCTCCCTCATAACACAGATGTGGTTAAATAATTTAAAGTAAGAACTTCTTGGCGAGACAAATGATTGCGTTAGCATTACCTTTCTTAAAGCTTCTGGATTGTAACGCCATCTTATGTCGCGATACTCTACAACAACGTCACCATTGGTTGTGAAATCTTGCACGACTCCAATTTTTCCTATATACTGTGGATACATGTAGACTGTTTCTTAAATGTTGTTAACGACATTTCACTGCATTGGCTTAAATGTAAGAGGACATGCAAGAGACTAAGGACATTGTACTCTCTCAGGGGGAAGGGCCAATTTCTCCTTATTAAGAATTGAATACTAGGGCTTTCAGAATTTTTGAGCCTCAAACCAGACCAAAATGATCAAACATTCAAATGTTTTTAGATGTTTTAGATAGTGTTATGAGTCCGTGAATTTTGAAAACAAAAATATAAACGAGTCCCAAACGAACCTTTTCCATGTCTGCGTTCCATCCCCCATGACCGGCGGATAACTCCTGAAGCTTTCCTACCGCAAGCATCTGAAGGTAGACTTTGTCACCAGTCGTAAACCCACTTTGGGATTTTCTTATCTGCATCGTGAGCGGTGGTAGGTGATCCCTGTAATAACATCCTCCAACAGTTGGCGAAGTACACTTGAGGTCAACCTACCAGTTGGAAGGAAATAATAGTATGGACTAGGTATCCTTTGTGCGGGATTTTTTGACTGCAAGAGTTTACCAAAGTGACCCAGTATAAAGTTGTGGTTAAATCAAATTGTAGAGTTCTTGAAATGAAAATATCGGTTAAGATACTTGGGGTCAATAATGAAGGGAAAGTTAGGTTTGTCCCTGAATTTTTATTTTGGCGAGCAAACATTCGTGCGCGTGTCTTCGTAGACATTAAGAATCGAGACTGAGAATTGACTATTCTTTAAAAAACTGTTTCTTTCCATTTCAGTCTTTGAAATGTACGTTAATACCCCAATGATGCGAAACTTTGGCTTTCAAAATCGAGTACACTGACCAATGCGGCGGCCATCTCTCAAAATATTCTTGTTACGAGGATTTATTGGTCGATTTTAGCAGAACAGTTTTGCTCCAAAATCGAGATATGGCGTGCAAAATAGGTTGCGGGCTCTTCCTGAGCCCGCAGTAATGATGATACTGATGACAATAATAATAAAACAGTAATTCATCAGCCCACGTCACCTTTCCATTTGTTCCCAATCTATAAATGTTCCCCCTCGGTCCTTTGTTCCAGTTCACTCGCACAGCATCATTATTAGTCTCGTCACTCCAGCTGGTGACCTCAGTAACCTCGCCTTCCATAGGAGATTGGTTATCCTGTTCCTTCCATTCCCAGTCTGGTCCTCTGGTTACTTTTGCTCCTTTAAACATTCCGCGGGCTTCAAGCTTAGTGGCGCCTTGCCTTTTGCCAATAGGGATACTGTAAATTTACATCAGATAACGCAATTGAAGATATAGTTCATTAATACTCTTCGAGAGAATATCTGTTGATATTCTGTTTTTTTTTCTACTGGTGAAAAACATAAATTTACCTCTGAACAACAAAATAAACTAAAAGTATTTAATTGCTCACAAAAAATGTTGTTAAATCGAAGTAAGATATTTCTTTATAAGAAACATAGTTCAATCACCATTGGAGCCCAGAGGCTGGAGCGCTAGAGAAACCTCTAGGTCTTAGAGCTGATCTTTTACATTGAAAGTCAATGAAGCTAGATTTGATTTAAGACAATGGAACATTTTTTACATCGATTGGCGTTACATGGACGCACAGGCCGCTGACCTGTTCGTTTGACAACTTACCCTTTGGCGCGACTCTTGACTAATCGTTCAAAGCGATGATTGACATCATGAACATCATTCATATAACATTTGCTACACAGATCATAGTTGGGACAATCTAAACAGTGCCAGCGCAGTCCAGTGATAGGATCTTCTTTACAACCATCGCAGCTAATAAATAGATGTTTCGCGTCTAATAGAGGAGGAGATCAGAATATGAATTGGCGAGATACCTTACGTTCAGGAGTGAAGTGGTATGCCTCAGCATCCCAAATGAAGATAAGAGTAATCTTCGAAGTGATGAACACTACTTAAGCAGCAGTGAAAATAAGGACTGAAAAAATTCAAGCCTGTGCGGGAGTTGAATCCATGACCTACAGATTTGAATGATTCTTTGTCTTTATTCTCACAGCTGCTTAAGAAGTGTTCACAATTGCGAATGCGATGATCACTTTCATCTTCATTTATTAATTCGTGGTTCAAATATACGATATTTATAGATTCATAATTGTTCAGGCATTATAGTTCCGTCCCTAGTACACAATGTCCTTCTGTGTCTGACTTCGTCGAAGAAAACACAAAGATTTCCGAAAAAAGCGGAAATGTTCCACTGGTTCTCAAAAACAGCCCCATATTTTTTGACGAATAGCGGAAATTGCAAAAGATGTTTGGTGGCTACACGAGTTTGCACGATGAACTAACATGTGTAAAGGAAAAGTTGGCCCGTAGCTTTGCAAAGTTTGCTCGGCCTAAGCATGTTATGATATTGAGCTGTTGATTAGTAAGCAAGCTGATAAATGAGAAATCTGCATATTATGCAATAATGTAGGTCTGAGAGTTCGAACTCTATGCATATAAATTTCTGTGAAATAAAAAACAAAGCGTCAATCGAAAAGTTTGCCGACCTTAAATTTTGCAAGGGAAGCATTTAATAAGAAAGTATAAAATTTGAAACGAGGCTCGCTATTTAAATTTTGATCACGGTTGTCACGGGATCTCAACTCCAGTTGAATATTTAATGATTTTTCCGTGTCAATTGTCAGTCCGCATGGTTTCTCAACCTCGTGCTGGTGTGTTAAAATTTCATTGAAATTGTGTCCTCATTTGCTGCTTAACAGAAGTGCTGAGATTGCAGTTTTTCTTCTTTAAGGAATATGATATTCAGCTAGGGTTGTTTAGGTGAATCTAGGCAAATATTTCCGTTTAAAATAAGATAAGCAACAAAAAACATAAATGGTCACTCACCGTCATTTGTGAGACAAAAAACACGAAGATCGTGTTTCCCTTCGATTCCAGCCCTGTAGTCGTACTTCCCTCCACAATCCCACTGTACGTAAACAAGCTGTTCCGTCACAGGCGACTTCTTGTCTTTTCCGACTTGAACTACTGTACCTACAAAACCTTCTCCGCCATCTTGATTTCCCCATTTCCAATCTTGACCACGAACAACTCGGGTGCCTAGAAGATTTATTGCCATAGTTATATCAGGATTTTCCTTATCACTTTTATACCGACTAGATCTGATGGAGCCTTCTCGAGATCTCTTCATTTCCGAAATAACGCTGAAGCAAATATATTGCCTCAGAAATGTTCCTGTTGGTGAACCAATCGTCAGATGATTACGATTCAATACCCTTCTGCCGGTTTTACACAAAGCTAACAAGTTCCCTTCTCAATTCTAAAATGAATCAAGATGTGTCAGTGAGTAAATTTGCCGATTGGGGCTGTCAATAAAATGCCGCATAGGCGATGAAATGCTAATATAGGCAGCATACTTTTCCTAGAAAACTAAATTCATTACCGCATCTGTCGGGGATTCCCCAACACATCATTCAAGACACATTATTGGTTAATTGAAAGTTGCGTTACTTTACGTTTCTTGCTATGGTAATTTTAGAGAACCTGAAATAGGATTAGGAATGGACATGAGGAAACAGATAGTGATTGATGAATACACTCTGTGTGGATGACGGTATTTATTTAAAAAGTATTGCGTGGATTGGGTATGTTGAAAAAAATTATTTTACCTCCACGACTCTGCAACAATTTCATTCGCACAATATTTTGATATCTTTGTATAATTTGGAAGTTCGAGTTCGGCGAAGAAATCTACAGATTTCGGAGAGTTGTTTGCTTTACAGTTCTCAGAATTATTAGCCAAAAATAGAAAAGCAAAATATTGAAGAGGAAAAAAGTGGAAAATAACAGAGATCTGACATAAAATCCTGAAAATTGGTTGATACATTTGATTGCGGTCTAACATCCATTCTGTACCTGCTAAACCTGCTTTTAATGCTTTAAATGTATTTCACTTATTTTAGCAAGAAGGAAAGTTTTCATTGTATTTGTACTGAGTCCTTTGCTGAGCGACAAATAAGACTCTCTCAAAGAACGCCGAAGAGTCAAAACCAAGGGTTTCTCGTTATTAATGACCAAAGCTGAGTGTTTTACAAAGTTTTACCAACTCACAAAACACACGTATCTTTTATCTGGCACCACCCCTGTCGGATCTTACATAAAACCCTGTATGACACGCTCTAGTTTAGGTTTCAAGGAACGGTTTTTTCGTTTCTACTTACAAACCACCTGTCACATAAGGCGGAGCTTCCTTAAACTCTCTAAGAACTATTTTTTCTACGCCAAGTTTTAAATCAATTAAGACACCAGTAGATGACGTATTTCTGCTCATCTTTATTACTAAATAACAACAACAGTTCTCGAGCAAGTAGCCTCGATTCAGCTTACCTGTAATAATAACAATGATACAACTTGATATTCCATCCAACCTCCTCATACGGAACAGATCCCATTTTTTCGTTTCTAGAGAAAGACCAGAAAGTCCTCGGTATCGATCCCATGGGAACCATTCCTCCTTCCGGCGCATTCCTTGCACATGCTGATACTGATGAGAGTTCGATTTGAACAACACGAACGGCGTGTCCGTAGGCAGGATGATGTCGTTTTCGGCGTGCTCATCCGTGAGGCAGCAATACTCAATACGCGTGTTTTTAGTAAACTTTCCATCCGGCATAGCTCCCCTATAATTGTTTTTGTTATCGCTAATTTCATCGTCCTAGTGAATGAAACCTGTTTCATGTATAATCAACCATCTCACGAAATGAAATGCGAGAGCATGCCAATTATATTTTATATTACCTCAGTAGTAAAAGACTTAAAGAACTTTACAAGCAGACGTTTTGGCTCACGTTTCATTTGATAATGTAATGGCCCAAGGTAGTGTTTTTCTTAATTTATAATCTCAGCGCCGGAAATGCAATCGGAGCAAAACACGAGTCACTATTGCGTAATTGGCACCACTCGTACAACTGCATGCTGTATGAATGGCACCTCGTTGGCGTTCGTGCCAAAGGAAGATCCCAAAGGTACGCACAGTTCGCTTAAAATGTTTTTAATGACCATTCTTATTCATATTTTTCTAGACGGGAGCCAAAACGTCTGCTGGTACCCAGAGTAGAAAAAGGTAAGTCAAGTCAGTCTTTTGACGACGAGTTTGTTATTTTAATTTTTTTTTTTTTTACCTAGTAGTTCATTTTCTAAAGTTCTTTAAGTCTTTTACTACTGAGGGAATATGAATTATAATTAGCATGCTCTCGCTCTCTCGGAGGTGGAGGTTTCGTTCGATTCTCGTATTTCATGTACGTGACATAATGCTGTCTCACCTTATTTTAGACATTTACGCCTTGTTTTAGATGGTTTTAGTTAGTTTGCGAGTGGCTAAAGATGTTTTTGAGGTCGTTGTGGGTGGTTGTTGAAATATTTGAGGTAGTCGTAGGTGGTTGTAGGTGGTTTTAGGTGGTTTTTAGGTGGTTTTAGGTCGTTCCATGTTCTAGTACTTACGCAAAATTTCAATGAAAGGCAACGTTTTATTCTCTAGTGTTTACTACAAACCTACAGACTCACATAGTTGTAACCTTCAAAGGTTACTAGTGTAGCGGAGAAGACAATCCGAACGCACAATATAAATCACGATTTAATCAAGAAGTACGTAATCAAAATTACAAACGAAAATAAGGAGATCGGTGTGAAATCGCAGATGAAGAGGGCGAAGTAAAGATTGAAGATGGCCTGGTTATGATTGATGGTAACGTTGTAGCTGAATTTGTGTGGTTCGAACTAAAAGAAAATGCAGCAGAAACTAAACTAAGAAAATATCCCTGAGAAATTTAACACTAGCCTAATGAACAATGAAGCGATTATAACGTAAACTGAAAGCGAGAAATAAATCGATATACGTATCGAAAAAAAAAGGAAATATCTTAAATGTGAAATAAAGAAAAACTTACTTTGGTCTAACTCCTAATGATTGTAGATAAATCGCCGACAGCGGATCGTACGTGAATAGAAGAAAAAAATTGGCGGCGTCGACAGCAATTTATAGCGATGAAATATGAAATATAATATCTGGTATATGTGCTTAAATGAAACTGATTGAAATAAAAACTTATTAAGTAATAATCACTAACCAACGAGGAAATAATAGACCGGAACAAACCTAACAGAAAAGCGCACAAGTTACGCGTTTCGAAACTAACAATAGTTACTTGTTGTATTCATCTTCGCATCCATCACACGTCAAGAATTCCATACCTTTTTCACGATTTCTCAGAATTCGTCGTTTATGTAGTGACGACTCCGATTTTTCCGAAAAAACAGAGGCAATGTGCCAGATTTTCGATAAACGTGGCTATCCTGTTTCTGTCGTTCAAGCGGGCCACCACCATGCCCAACAAATTGATCGACAGTCAGAACTACAAACGGCTGAGGAGGACAATACTGATCGCATTCCATTTACTCTCACATTTCACCCTCACAACCATGCGGTTAAATCTATCATTCTTGAAAACTTCAAATTATTCCAAAATATTCAGAAACTGGTTTTATTTTTTCGCAACCTCCACTAATTTTACTAATTTTATTCAAACGTGACAAAAACATTGACAACTTTTTGGTCGGAAGTTCGTTTCAAACCAATGACCAACCTGAAACTTTTAAATGCGCTCGCTCACGATGCAAAACTTGTCCTTATATTCATAAAGTAGAGAAAATGTCGGGACCCAAGAGATCCATTAAGATCACTAATCACTTTACGTGCACCTCCGCCAATGTCATTTACTACATGACTTGCACTTATTGCAAAAAGTTATACATTGGAGAAACAGGAAGACGGATAGGTGACCGATTTCGAGAACACCTTCGCGACGTAGAAAGAAATGACAAGGACGCATCCAAACCAGTCGCTTGACAATTTAATCTCCTTAATCATTCTAAACAGCATATGACAGCTTGCGGCCTTTCCCTACATCCAGGCAGTTAGGAAAGCCGTAAAACTTTAGAACAAAAATTTATTTTCCAAATCGCACTCTTAATCCTTACGGTATCAACGAGCGCCTTTTATTCAACTAATTTATTCTTGTCTTCTCATCACCATATTCCCACCAATAGAGTAGCTCCATTTTCTGCATATAAACCCACACACAACCCACAATTCCTCCAATCGCTCTGACGAAGGGCTAACGCTCGAAACGACAGCCTTTAAACTCTTTACGGTGGCCAATTTACGTTTTAAACTCAGTTCATCACACTGAATTACTCAATTTGAACTCGTTTGATTCATAAATATTTTCCTTCGTTCCATGTATTGTATTATGAATATATGGCCTTATTTGACTCGATTTCTTTTCGAGAAGCTCACAATATGAATCTCTTTTTTTCTTATTTTGTTGACCTTTGATGTAAATCTTTAGTACTGTAGAACATAGAAAAAGACTGATTTCACTCAGCAGTGGTTGTTCATCGAACGAGCTTTCATGGCGTATCGATAGATAGTGTAGATAGTGTTTAACCCACACAATTAAAACATCTGTATTTTCATCTCAATGGGCTTCTGGCAAATATGGCAGATACTAAGCTGCTTTGCACAAAACTGACATGTGCCGTGGCCACAGCGGAAAATGACGTCCCTCTTCCTTTCCACGCAAATACAACACACAACGAATTCCTCCAATTTCCGAAACTTTGCTTCAAGTTGCTGATATCGCGAGAGCAAGGACTTGTTGTTCATTCCAATGATTGGGTTACCATCTGCGAAGAGAGTTAGAGCGAATGGAATTCAATAATATTTTCAGCCAATTTCTTCCAAGACAAACCAAATAATGATAGTATTACGAAGCTGACAAAGAATCTTCTTTCCTTGCTCCAAAAATATGGGTATTTGCGAAAGTTCAAAATAATCCAAATCAAATAAAAATTAAATTCAACAAAACATAAAAACTGGTTAAGAATCAAAAACCCAAGACTACTCTACATATCAATTGAGGGCCCAGCTTAAAACCACATTGGCGCGTTTGGTTCCCTCCTTAAAAACTATTACTATTGTTATTATAGTTATCATGATCATCATGATCATCATCATGATCATCATCATCATCATCATCATCATCATCATCATCATTATTTTCATTATCATCAACAGCACCTTTTTAGTAATAATGACCAGCTGCTTTCGAACAATTCAGAGGAAAAGTGAAAGGAATGGCAGGCTTGAATATGATTATGAAGGTTTCATAACAAAGTTGAAGTAAGGCCAGTCTCTTCTTTGAAGGGGGTGAGTTTGGGAAGAAACTGTGGTGCTGCGTTGGTCGTTAGCCCTTCGTCAGAGCGAAGGGCTAACGCTCGCAACGTCAGCTTTGAAACTCTTTACGGAGGTCAGTTTACGTTATCAACTCAGTTGGTATTACTAGATTACCTCGTCTCTTCTCTGTTAGGAGTAGATATTAAAATTTCAAGCTTCCGGCGATTCAATTCACCATCAAGAAGATATGCCGTGAATCGATGTTATGAATCGTTGAAAGCTTGAAATTTTAGTTCTAGTTACATCGGTCTCACCTCGCCAGCGAAGGATAACATCCAAAGACTAGAAAACTTAAAATTTGTGCGAGTTACCTCTCGTTCCTTTACCGGTAATAGGCGTTTTACAATCCGAACATCTCTTTAATCGGGCTGCACATTCTGCAAACGGATTATTACGTTGATAAGTGATACCATCAAGATGTTTTTTTCAAACTGTGTTAATCTTCTCCACACTTAATCATGGTCTTTCCTCCTTGAATCCTTTTTACCTTTTCGCGATTGTATTTCAAAGTCGCTTTCTTTTTCAAGGCAATTTTCTATAAAGGAAGCTTGAATTATTTCAAACTTAGAGACAAGGCCCATTTAAAATTTGAGTGGTTAAAACAGAACAAAAACAACAAGTAACACAAAAAGCATAGCTACCTGTGCATGCAACAGTGTGGCCACAGGGTTTGAATGCAACAACAGCCTCAGCCTCCTCACATATGTTACACAGCACTTTTAGATCATCAGATGTTGATGGATTTTTTTCTTCATTTTCTGTCTCCTGATCCATATTAACATCGTCGTCTGCTGATTGTGTTTGCGATGGTGGGCCTTTTCTGTCGTCCATATCTGCGTCGGTATTATTCTCTGCCATTTCAGCAGGTTGAACGACGCTGTTGTTTGAGATGTCTGAGGCCCAGGTTTCTACTTCAACTTTATTAGTCACTCCCCGCACCACATTCTCCTTGTAAACAAAAAAATCAAATAAACTCAACTCCTTTTATAAACTATGGATTTAAGAGAGTTTATACCAAAAAGAGAGATCTAATGGAGCATTTTAGTCTAGTAACGAGCCATTATTTTTTATCTAGAACAGAAAGGTAGCTTCGAAAGAGAATTTTGAATGAGTAACGTCACTTAACCTGCCACCGAATCAAAATGAATGTAAGAAAGATGATCGGAAAACCCTCAACAACCATTTCGTCTAAAATAGAAGGCTTTTCTGTAAGATTTTGACACTATTATGTACAGTATCCGAGGAAACCATCGTCATAATTAATACAGATGAAAAACGTAAACAGAATGTTTAAAAGCAATAAACTATTGGGGGCATCAGACTTCTTATGGTGCTTCCAGAATACACATTTAAAGATTATCCCTGGTGTAATTTTTCTTTACTGATAGGAAATGGTACCACAAAAGTGCTTTTAAAACTTCGCATGAACTTTTCACCTGACACAATGTATCTTCCACTATTGTATTTTCCATCAGGGCCGTTTCCTGTAATACACTTTCAGCTGTTTCGTCTTCTCGAACGTCTTCATTCTCCATCTCATCTGACATCTCCTCTGATACTGATTGTTGTTGATCTACACTCCACAAGTCACTAATTAGGCGTCGTAGAAACGTATCTTCTGCCTCATCTGTGTTACTCGTACTATCTGTTTGATTTTCATCATCTTTTTCAGTTTCGTCTGTCAGTGTTGTCGCACTTGCTAAAGATGAAGCATCCTCTGACTCAGGTTCTGTTTGCAACCTGCTCGAGGACCCAAAACTTGGAACTTTCTTATTGTCTGTGGTCCTAAAGTTGTTAAACAGAGTATAATTTTTAGTTAAATATCATATATGTAAAAGCAATTTCCACGTTGAAACAGCCTTCATTCATTTGAAATCCTTTGGACTAAATTCAGGCAAGAGATAAGGAGACTACACGGAGAATGTTCTTAGTCGTGATCAGGATAAAAATGTTATCGGAATGTAAGTGTTTTGGACGCGAGGAATACAGATATTAAGAAAAAAAATACGCAAAAGCATTTGAATACCGTCCACAGGCTGCAATCTTCCGAATGAGTTGCTCAACTTCTGATCCTCGACATCTGGTCAGCGGTGTTTCCCATGAACCATTGACTTTCCACACGTCAGCTCCATAGCTCAACAAGCAGCGTGATACAGCGACAAAGGACGCACTGCTCTTTCGTACTCCAAGTAGTAACTCCAGACCAGACTAAAATAAAACATCACCATTCAGTGTAGAAGGCCAAAGACACTAACAAAGAACCAATTGATCAACTTTCCCTGTACATCAATTGTACTAATTGCAGGCAGTGTGAGAACCCTTTTGAGATCGGTGTACTACAGTGAAGCCATAGCAAAGTTAACCGGGTGGAGGATTCTCAAAGGGTGTGGCTGATAGTAGAAATTATTTGTCTATCTACGTTCCTCGCTTAGTCGTTTTCACGAAGTTAGAAAGCAGCAGCGCTTGAAGCAAGAAAATAATAGTAACTTTACTTCACAACAGTATTGTTGTCTAAACCGATGTGAACAACACATAAGCTAACATTTGAGTTTCCTTTAAACTTCTTGGTAAAAGCAACGACACATGCATAACCAACCATGCTATGACTATTTTACTTTACTAATCCTATCACGCTAAAGGGGAGAAAAAGAGAGATAATATATACAGTGTCACCTTCGACAGCTTGTTGGCCTGTTCCAGGCGTTCAGTTGGCAAACCAGAGCGTAATGGCCAAAGACTTCATAGTAGCGGAGGAGTGAAATAGCTAAGGTATGCTTGACCTGACCCCTTCACTCCTCCAGGATCACGGCGCTGTTTACTATCGAGTTTTGATTTACTGACTGAATGCTAGAACAGGCTCACAGCACGGTATTTTATAAAGCTACTTAGTTACCATTACTTCCGGATTTCTCTGTAGTACGTGTTCCATCATTAAACTGATGTGAAGCGCCGTATCTCCGTGATTATCCACCAAGTTCACATTGGCTCCATAGTCCAACAACATTTCTACCATGACTGAGTATCCTTCATTGGCGGCTAAATGAAGTGCCGACTGATTGTGAGGGTTTTGAGCATCCACCTCACACCCCGGCTGTTAGATAAAAAATATCGTCTCACTATCAAAATATGTTTATCAATAAGAATTCAGATTCATTATTTTACTGGTTTTGTAAACTTCTGTTAAAGTTGTAGAGAACAAGAATACGCAGTGGCCTGACGGTTAGCAGTCTGGACTCTAGACCCGCGTTGTTTACCATTGATATCTGCCGGGGTCACTGTGTTGTGTTCTAAAGCAGGAAACTGAATTTAGCCCCTTTCTCTGGCCAGGAGAGGACATCCTAACGGAATTTCATATACTATATATATGATATACTGGTAGCATCTCAAACGGAAAAGGTATGGTTAACAATGTGCGGAAAACAAGGATATCCGTTCGGTGGTATGGACCATTTTGCCAGTGCCGGTGCAAAACTTACATTTATTGCAAGAGCCTAAGCAATATAGCCTTATAGCAATCAATTTTTTGCAGTGAAATGACCGTAAATGAGAGCTTCTATTTTTCTTACTTTTTTACAATGGGAGAATAGACTTAAAAATAGTGTTGAATATCCAAACTAACCACACACAGAAAGTCGTATTCCGTTCCGAGATTGAACACATACGACACTCTTTCAATTCTGTTAAAGCAGTTTAACCCCAAAGGGAGTCTCGCACGCAAAAAAAAAAAAAACCGGGAAAAGGCGTTAAAACTTTTTTTTCAAAAATAAAATTACCTTTTTTAAAAGGATCTTAGCTATCTCACGATGATCGTTAATTGCTGCAATATGAAGGGTCGTAAACCCATTATCTTTTACAACATTTAAGGAATTCCCGGTTTTGGCAAAAATTCTTTCCACGGCGCTGCAAATAAATGACACAATAGTTTTAGAATACACTGGATGTCAGAGCGATTAAGTTAGGTAACAGCGTAACAACTACTTTGTGATTGAGATTTAGTCTGGCTTCCTCCTGATCACTCATCGCCCCAATTATCAACATTTCATGAAAACCAGGCCAAGTGATGATCAACGACTCTAACGATCAGGAAGACTATGAACTTCATGTTAGACCGTAGTGTGCGTATAAGCTTAGATTCCCTATGATAGCAAGTATGACCCAGACGCCTCGAGAACTGCGATGATCTGTTGAAAACTATGCCTTGGGTCTGGGTACACCTGAATCATTTGGCTATCGTACCCTTACTCTGACTAAACTGTCTAACTGAGTAGTGATGTGATTATATTTGGCATATTTACCGTTTATTTCCTTTCCAAACAGCGAGTTGAAGATAATTGAAACCTTCTCCGTTACAAAGAGTGACACAAATTCTCGGGCAGTCCAACAGCATATCCACCATGTTGTGGTGTTCTGCAAGGATGGCATCATGGAGAGGGGTATTACCAGCCTCGTTCTGAAAATTGTCAAGCTTAATGTTAGAAGTCACATGGTGCCTTTCCACTTTGTTTTATCGACTGGCAGCTTGGGTAGCAGCGTATTTGAGCACGAAAATGCTGGGATGAAAACAACAAGAATGGGTGCAAACGTCAAATAGTCCAGTGCAACAGCCAAAACAGTTGAGTCTTAGGACTTTCCGACTGCCAGTCGTAGACTTTTCTTGTACGTTTCAAATAAACAACGGGGATTGTAGTTTTAAATTTTGCAACGAAATCGTCCTAGTAATATGTGAAATGCTTGCTGAGTTAGTCGGACAGTCGAGAATCGGGAATTTGTATTCCAAGGAAAACTGATATCTTCAAAGGACCCAACGAACCTGTAAATTGACGTCACAATCAAGGCACTGAGTTAGGATCTGTACTGCCGTTTCGTTTTTTTCTTGCACAGCCGAATGTAATGGTGTGCTCTTATTATTTCCATGTTGAACATTTGGGTCAAAACCTCTCTCCAGTAACAGTTTCAGTGCTTCACCGCTTTCGTCTCTGGATGATCATAAGGATAAGAGTACAACAAAACATCGGGCATTTTTGCATTTTACTTTAACGTAAGAGGTTACTTATTCTGCTTTCCTAAGAATTTTCACGTGACTGTCATAAAGGAAAAAATTAAGAGCAATAACATGCAGATAGTTTGCGTTGGCTCCTGCAAGTGTCGTAAAACCAAAAGCTAAGCAATCAGAGCCATTTAGAACATGCAATAATATCTTGGCGGATGAATGAAAATGGAGAAAAAAAGGAAAGGGAAAAAGATATAGGGAATAATACATGGGTGCGCGTAGATATGGAATTTCTCTTCGAGTGTTTTAACTCGATAGCTCACGAGTTAGCGTAGCGAACGAGTGAGATGTCAAGTTGAACACAAGAAGAGAATTCCATATCTACAACCAAACATGTATTATTTTGTTTATCACATAAACACAATAACCCTTTACTCACAAGAAAAGCCGATTTTATTAATGAATGAAAATAAATGAATCGAGAATCCCAAATAACAATTGTAGAGTGCGTTGGCGCTAGCTCTTAAGATGGAAAAATGCGCTGAATCACGATTACAAAAACAACAATGGTCGTAATTTTCAATTTATAAAATTCTCATTTATTGACTTTGTCCTTACCGACGGGAGAAGTCTTTCGGGTAAACGGGCAAAATCGGCCCGTGGCAAATCTTCCAGTTGTCGATTTTCATTCTCAGCCGCGAGGAAATGCCAACATCAAAGTCACTGAATAAGTGACATTCCGTTTTTCCTTTAGTATATTGGTTTTTCCCCTTCTAGAAAAGTTTGAACCACTCTGTCTGTCAGCGATACGGATTTTTCAGTGATTTAGCGCCACAATCTGAGAAAGTTCCGACAAACTACCTTGTATTGAGAATCGTGAAGGCTTTGCCGTTCATTCATCGACCTGACCGAGTGGCGCCAAAGGCGAGTGACGCCAAAGGCGAGTGACGTATCAGCAACTGACTGGCTATATCAACACACGTGAAAAAAATACGATATTTCTTGACGTGTGTTGTTACGGCTTTTCTCAGGGTCGGAAATCCCTGTATAACACCGCAGTTTATGTGATAAATGAGCAATAACATGCAGATGGTTTGCGTTGGCTCCTGCAAGTGTCGTAAAACCAAATGTTAAGCTATCAGAACCAGTCAGAACATACAATAATATCTTCGCGAATGAATGAACATGCACAACAATCACATGCTTTCGAATTTAAGCACAGCCAAAGTTACTTCGTTTTTAGTGGTTTTCGGTTTTTTGTTTTTCTACTCAATTGGCTGAGAGAATGACTAAGTGTTCGAAAGCAATCGTTTGGTGCAGGAAAGCGAACCGAAAGTAATCTCGGAATCAAATTATAAGTTTGACTAGCTAACTTAAAATTACCTTTTTTATGTCAACTTACTGGTAAGTAGAGACATGCATGGCTGTGTATCCCTGATTATCCTGTATTTTGATTAATAAAAGTATATGAATAGGGAAGTCTCACTTCTGAAACACTGAGATAAATAGAATACAAGCATGCCAAAATAACAACCTAAGCTTGTCGCTCATGAGTCTCTTTGTTATGCTCCTCGTGCAGCACTAACAATTACAATAATTTGAACGGGACAAAAAATAACAGTAATAATAAAAAAAATTATAAAAAAATTATAACTCACCAGTACATCCATATCAGCTCCTCTCTCAAGCAGTTCTCTAATGATGTCACAATGTCCCTGGTGACATGCCACATGAAGAGCTGTGTGACCACCCACAAGCTCATCAATCTGTGCAGACCGAACGATCATGTCAAATTTTCTAAAACGCCACCAAATTAAATTCAAATTTGATTCTAGAAGTTTTTAAAAGTAAACTTTTCGTTATCACTTCTAAAACCTAAGTTGTACAGTTCTCTTCTTATGCTCATATTTCTCATATTGCCTTGATTTAAGAAAACTTTTTAGACTTGTAAATACTATCTGCAAAAGTAAAAGGAATGTAAGAAAAAAAGTACCCGTTCTGGGTTAGCATCCAAGATTTCCTTGAGTCTCAGGAGGTCGTCGCTTTGTGCAGCATTCAGAAGGCCGCGGTCCTCCTGCTCATGAGCTTGACGTTGGAAGTCTCTAAGGAGACTGAAAAGCCCTGAAGAAAAAAAGTCGACAGCAATGGTGAGGAGACAAATTTCCGGAATAATACTTCTCACTTGTGCTGTCGAGGAATATTTCTTCTCATTTCTCGGGGCAGTTTTCGGTTGAGTGACATAGATGACGTTAAATTGCTCATCTCGCTTTGTGAGTGGTCGAGAAAACTTTAGACATCCTCTCAACAAATCGGTTTTCATGCGCTTCAGGGGTTTTACTCTTTTTGACTTAGATTGTTCATCTTTACTGAGGCTTTCAATACTTTTGTGCCATAACTTTGTACCTAAAGGATCTTCGCTGCCCATGTCACCAGACGCAGTTGACTGCTGGGGGTCTGGGTCAGTTACAGAAGTCACAGCAGCCGGGCTCAACATCCATGTGGTACCTTCTGCTGACACTAATATACCACCATCACTATCAACTTCCAATACCTTTCCAGTACGACCAAGGATCTACAAATGGAATAAAGTAGCATATTATTTTTTCTTAAACCTGCTTAGTTTTTCAATAGTTTCTGGAGATACACGTATAATTGGCTCCAGAGTTGAGGCTTTTATCGTTTACTCTTCTAGCTTCTTTTAGTTTACATTCTTTAAATTCTTTTAGTTTTCAGCTTCCGCACATGCCCACAAGAGTTAGCGTTTACTTCCAAGTGAAAGCCTACAATGTTAACCAAACTAAAAACCATAAAATATATAAACATTAAAACTAATCTAAAAAAATTAGACTTACTGATATCATAGACTCGTCCCATCCTGCATGTTCTTTTTGAAGTTCTTTCACTAAGTGCTCATCACTTTTAACAACGACTTCATCGCCTTGCTTAAATTTTTGTATCTGGGTAAAGGAAATATATATAAATATATATACTAAAACCAATGAAAAACGAAAGTCTTCTTTTAACTTTTACTTTGCTTTTGCGCTACGCGTTTCACCGCTGTTGCGGCTCTTCAGGCATAGCAAAGTGTGTTTAATATAGGTAATTTAGTGTTAACAACTGAGTTTGAAAACGTAAATTAGCCACCGTAAAGGGTAAAAAAGCTGACGTTTCGAGCGTTAACCCTTCGTGCTATACTCTCCCACCGACGCAGCACCACGGTTTCTTTAGAAACTTACCCCTTTATTCGTGTGTTTAATATATATATATGACACTGAAATGTCCATTAGCTAGCTCTTGGATTGTTTCCCGTCCCACTCCATATCCCTGATTCCTGTTGGCCAGTTAATCGAATGATGATGCTCTAAGTTATCACTAATCACATAGCGTCCATTGTGTGCAGTCAGAAATTTAACACATTGTAAGTGTTTTAACTTTGAACAAACGATATAAATTTTGACATAATTAAGTAAAGTAGGATATTTCTTGATCACTCAAGCCACTCCTAATATACCTGATGCCAATGTTTACGTCAACTGAAAAAAAAACCAATAAGGGCTCTCTCAGAACAAGGATATAGTTAACTAATTGTCAGTAGGGACTTCTTGGCGAGACAAATGGTTGCGTTGGCATTACCTTTGTCAAAGCTGCTGGATTGTAACGCCAACTTCTGTCGCGATACTCTACAACAACGTCACCATCGGTTGTGAAATCTTGCACGACTCCAATTTTTCCTATGTACTGTGGATGCAAGTAAACAGTTTCTTCAGTGCGAGTTGTCAACGACATTTCACCAAATTGGCTTAAATATAAGAGGATATGCACAAGACTAAGGACATCGTACACCCAAAGGGGAGGGCCAATGTGTCCTTATTAGGAATTGAATACTGAGGCTTTCCACGATTTCTGAATCTCAAATCAGGGTTAAACATTAAAACGTTTTTAAGAGTTTAGAAAGTGTTATGAGTCCGTGAAAACAAGTCCCAAACGAACCCTTTCCATGTCTGCGTTCCATCCCCCATGACCAGCGGATAACTCCTGAAGCTTTACTACCGCAAGCTTCTGAAGGTAGACTTTTTCACCAGTCGTAAACCCACTTTTGGATTTTCTTATCTGCACTTTGATCGGTGGTAAGTGATCTCTGTAATAATATCCTCCAACAGCTGGCGAAGTACACTTGAGGTCAACCTACAGTTAGAAGGAAATAGAAATAGAGAATCGGTATCCATTGTGTGGGATTTTTTGACTGCAAGAGTTTCCGAAGAGACCCAGTCTCAAACTGAGCTTGAATTAAATTATAGAATTCTTGAAATGACTTGAGGAGATGTTCAAGATGTAAAATAGGGTCAGGAGTGCCAAAGATGAAATCATTCTCAAGATATAGTTGCGAGAAAGTCAACAGGAAACAACTTTAAACAATTGGATCCTGTTTATAATTAAAATCAATTGATTTCACTACTACCACTACTAATTATTATTACTACTATGAAACCGATGATAATAGTAGTAATAATGATAATAATAATAAAAAATAATAATAATAAAAAGCAATAATTCATTTGCCCATGTCACCTTTCCATTTGTTCCCAATCTATAAATGTCCTCCTTCGGTCCTTTGTTCCAGTTGACTCGCACAGCATCATTATTAGTCTCGTCACTCCAGTTGGTGACCTCAGTTACCTCGCCTTCCATAGGAGGTTGGTTATCTTGTTCCTTCCATTCCCAGTCTGGTCCTCTGGTTACTTTTGCTCCTTTAAACATTCCGCGGGCTTCAAGCTTAGTGGCGCCTTGCCTTTTGCCAACGCAGATGCTGTAAATTTGCATCAGATGACGCAATTGAATATATATATAATTCATTAATACTCTTCAAGAGAATATCAGCTGATATTCTGTTGTTATCTTCTTCCGGTGAAAAACATAAGTTTTACCTCCGAACAACAAAATAAAACTAAAAGTGGTTTATTACTCACAAAAGTGTTGTTAAATTGAAGTAAGAAAATTAGTCACAAGAAACATTATTAAATCCCTATTAGAGTCCAGAGGCTGGACCGCTACAGGAACCGTGACGTCTTGGAGCTCACCCTTTTCCATTTGAAGTCAATTCTCATTGAAAAAAAAAGAGCAACAAAAGAGAAAGAAACCAAACTTAATAGATAATGCGATGTTACATAATAAGACATATTAAAGTTATATATGATCGGGTTCTGACGGCAAATAACGTTTTGTTTCTTTGGCGAGAGATAATGAAGTTAAAGTTGATTTAAAACAATGGAATATTGTTGACATCGATCCGTTTACATGGACGTACAGGCCGCTGACCTGTTCGTTTGGCAACTTACCCTTTGGCGCGACTCTTGTGGAATCGTTCAAAGCGATGATTGACATCATGGACATCGTTCATATAACACTTGCTACACAGATCATAGCTGGGACAATCTAAACAGTGCCAGCGCAGTCCAATGATAGTATCTTCTTTACAACCATCGCAGCTACTAAATAGATGTTTCGCGTCTAATAGAAGAGACAACCAGCGTATGAATTAGAGAGATACCTTATGTTTAGGAGTGAACTTGTTTGCCTCGGCATCACAAATGAAGATGACAGTAATCTTCGCAGTGATGAACACTACTTAAGCGGTAGTGAAATAAGGACTGAAAAAAGATTCAGGCTTGTGCACTAGTTGAATCCCTGATCTAAGGGTTTGAATAATAATAATAATAATGATGATGATAATAATAATAATAATAATAATAATAATAACAATAATGTATAAAATTTATATTGCACAAATATCAATATAAAATTTTCATTTGCGCATTACTGTGTCGTCGTACATCTATATACAAGTTAGAAATACTACATATAAAACTAAAAATACGATACAAATTTATCAATGATTTAGTTAATCAATAATCGAATCTGAAAATTAAAATGAGAAATCACAACTTTCATACTAAAAACACTTCTTTAAAAGAGTGAGTCTTGATGAATGTTATTAGTGTTTCCTATACTCTCTGGTAGGGCATTTCAGAGTCTCAGAGCAGCCACACTAAAGACCTGTCACTAAGCGTGGCGAGCGACTTTATTGAACAATAATTTAATGTCACACTCTTTGCGAATCTTAGACTATATCTACTCTTCTGTTTAATGGTAATCAGCTCATTTAGATAGTGGGGACTTGCCGGTATATTAATTTGAAGGTAATGAGTAAAACTTTAAAATCTATACAGCATTTTTACAAGGAGTCAATGTAATTCTACAAGTAACGGCATGACTGAGAATATTTTGCTTCCTGAAAAATTATCCCAGCGGCAGTAATTTGAACACGTTGTAATTTCTTAGGGTTAGGAAGCGTTGATTGACATACAAAAGAATGCGGATCGATGTTTACTGATCTATGTTACAAAAGGGAGTTTTAGATCCACGTTTGTTTCTGAATATATGTGACCGCAAACTTGAATGTCTAGTAGTCACGCGATCAGACTCCAGCGGTCACGTTCGCCGTTTGCTGTCCACGTTTGCACTTCGGGCAAGGCAGTTTCAGGTAGTTGGGTTCCCTCGACGCTTTTTTTTCTTCCTGTTCGAAAGTTCTCACGTATGTTCTATAAATATATGTAAGGAGAAATCTTCCTTTATCACCAATCCGCTTGGGACGCTAGAAAACCAATCTTTTAGCTACATTTTGTGTTCGAAATGAAGGAGTCCATCCTTTGTGTAATTCAAGATGGCGGCTCACATGTTGATTTTTTTGAGGTGGAAGCAGACGTCGATCTATAAAACTG